TTTGGTTAGCTCTAATTATAGCTAACGTTCAAAGAATTTAAAAAACTAGTAAAATCAACTCAGCCAATTTTCATTTATTACAAATATTTAAAATAATTTTCATGCCAAAACATTTTCTTAATAGGGAAGGAGAAAGGCGGAAATGCCTAAAATAAATTTCCGTCATTTATATGAGTGCCATAAAAATTCTTTGTTTTTAGGGAATTTCCGCAAAGGTGAAAACAATTTTTAAATGTTTCTGATAAGTTTAAAGCAGAAAGGAGACAGAAACTAGTATATATTAGCTAATAGCAAAAAAAATTTAAAAATCACACATATTTAAGAAAAATTAGGTTTGAAAAACACAAATCTAGTAAAGAAATTTTTAGAAAAATTAGAGAAAAAATCATTCGGAAATAAATAAAAAATAAATAAAAATATTTAATGCAAATATATTTAAGCAAAAATAATATTTAAAATACCCAAATCAACTAAAAAGAAGAAGCAATTTAAAGGTGAATAAATAAATTGGCCAGTTGGTTTAAATTGAAAGGTTTGGGGTAAATGGGAGAGAAAAATGACCCAAAAGAGGAAAGAAAGAGAGAAAGGATGGGCAAAAAACGGAAGGGGGCGGGGCTAGATAAATAAAAATAAAAATATTTTAAAAAGGGATTTGAAAAGATAATCAAAGGATTTTAAAATTTTTTTATTTAATTGAATTTTAAATAAAAATTGAAATTTCATTTAAAATAAAATAAAAGTTTAGTACGTAAAAATTTCTGTTTTTATTTCTAAATAAATTAATAATTCCTTTAAAATAATAATTTAAATAAAACTAATTTCCAAAAAAATAAATTTAAATTGAATATACATATACCTAACTTTTAAATAGGGTAAAGAATGTGACACTAAGTATAAAATGCGAATAAATTGATGAGTTAATTGCTTGGGAATTGTGTTTAAAAATATATCCAGGTAATTTATTTATTCAAAAATTTGTAGAATTTTTTTTAAATATTTAAAAAAATATATATAGTTTTTTAACTAAAAGCATTTTTAAAGTTAATTTTTTAAAATTAATTTAAAACGATTAAAAAATAAAAATTATTTTCGTAATTTCCTAAAGGCATTAATTAAATAAAAAAATAATTTTCTAACTTTTAAAAAGATAAAAGAAAAGAAGGCGCTATCATTCGCGCATTTAAAAAAATAATTTTTTGTCAAAAATAAACCGAAAAAGAATTTTTATATTTTAATTACTATTTTGCAAAAAGGTTTAATTAAATTAATTACAAAGTAAAATTAAAGGAGTTTTTAGTAAAATTTTAATGAAATAATTGATTAAATTATTATTAAAAAGTATACATTTTAAAATATTATTAATAACCCCAATCAACAATTTTTGCCAAAAATACATATATTGGGGAATTTAATTAAATTTAAAAAGTGGTTGGATGATTCAACTAAAAATTTGTTGGGGGAGGGGGGGGAGAGAGTTCGGATTGCCTGATTTCTTTTACAAGTAAATAGAGAATAATTTATAAAAATAATTATTAATAACAACCGATTATTTATTAAAAACAAAGCTGAAAAAGAGGAGGGAGGAGGTAGATGAATACAAAAAATTTTTTCTAAATCAAGGTAATGCCAAACATTAAAAAAATATTAAAATATTTTTTATTTTATATAAAATTCCTCTAATGATTAACAGAAAAAATTGATGAAAGATGTGATCATCATTTTACATAAATTTATATATTCTAGCAGAAAATAAGGAGACAACCAACCACCTTCTCCCCCCTCGATTTTCTCTTTTATTTTTCCCAGAAGTGTCAGCTAATAACGCAATCTCTCTCTTTCAGGAAAAAAGAGTGAATATAATTTTGAAAAAAAATATGAATCGTTCAAATAAAGAGAAGTGAATATGTAAAATAAAAATGGACAGAAAAAACTTTTTAAATTAAGAAAACCGCGAAAATTTTGTGTAAAATATTTAAATAAATTTTCAGAAAAATTAAAATAAACTAAAGTTTAAGAATATTTTATATAAAATATATTGGGATACAATCAAAATACAAAATAATTTTCATTGTGATTAACAAGAAGTTGACATTTTTACTAGCAAAGATTTCGGGATTTTTATTAATTATTATTGCCAAAATATAATTGAAAGTGATTTTGGATCTGAATAAACTTACCTAATAGTTAACAAAAATTCTAGTTTAAAGCAAGTAACTAACTAAACTTTAGTAAATTAAATTATGCTAGCTAATAGTTAAAAAATGTTAATAAAAATAATATTTCGAATTTTATTCAAAAGTTGGCCTAAAAATCATGAAAATAAACATGAGAAAAATAATTTAATCTTGACGTGATTTGAAAGTTTAATCAAAATTAAATTTTACATATTTTATAATAAGCAAATAAATTAAAAAATAAATTTAAATAGTTAATTTTGTAAAAATAATTTAAAGTAAAGCAACTAACTATAAGTGTCCTCTATAAACTAAATTTAACAAAAATACATATATCTTTTCCCAATCCAATTTCTACATACTTTCTTTATATGCCACCGACTTTTCCTTTTTTTATTATTTTTTAGTGGCATTACTGAGAAAATATAAAAACATGTACTTATACTTTTATTATAAAATTAAAAAGCGTGGGAAAAGAAAGTGAAGATCAACAACGGTAAAACACAACAACTTTTTTAAAATAAAATTATTTATTTACTAGTTTTTCTTTTAAAATATATGTAAAGCAATAATGTAAATCAAAAAATGTAGTTATATTTATGTTTGTACTGTCCCCGATATTTATTTATTACTTTGTTTTGAATGCCGTCAAAATGAAAGTTTTGATGAGCTTGAGAAAATAAAATGAACAGGAAATGTTTCTTTTTTATTTTAGAGGATATGTATTTAAATTAGGTAGTTAGTTGTTTCAAGTAAAAATATCAAAAAAAGAGAGAAGGAATATTAAGGATATCAAAATATAATTTTGAAAAAATTTGATTATTTTTAAGGAAAAGAAAAAAATTTAATAAATTTAGATAGCCCGGACCGAGACGAGATCTCGAAGAAAATCTCGGCTATCGAGATGCCGATTCTCGTACGACCCTCGAGTCCGGCTTTATCTAGCATTACTTTGAAGAAAATAAATCTATGAGATTTGGCCAATAAGTAAGAAAATCAAAAAATAATTTGGCCAAATTGTTAATCAAAATAAATTTTTGTAAAAAATTTTAAAAAACTGATAAAAATTAAAATAAATCTTTAACAAAATTAAATGGACAAATTGAGCAAAAAATTAAAATTAGGAATAAATCGAAATGATTTAATGGGGTAAAGGGAAATAAATAAATCTGAACATCAAAATGAGGGGAATAAAAATGTAAAAAGATGTAGCAAAAAGGAGTTTTAAACGGCCTAAGAAAAAAAGAGAAGGGAATAAATTTTCGTTATTTAATGTGTCAATGAAGGCCATTGACGGTTAAAAAAATTTTAAAAAAATTAAAGAGAAAGGCAGTTTGGAATTAAATTTTGAGGAATTTTTATTAATTTTTAAAGATTATTAGGCTACAAAGAAGTAAAATAAATTTTTATAAAGCTTTAGCTCTTTCAAGATTTTGGTTCTCTTCATTAATGTTTACTGGACATAAAAGAGAGAAAGTGATAAAATAGATATGAATATTTTGAATTAATTTTTTTTGAGAAAAGTCAAGAATTTGCCTAAGGGGTTAAATCTTTTTAGCAAGTTTCTCTTGATTCATTTGTAATTTCAATTTATTTTTACTAGAAAAATCTAAATAATTTATAAATGTGTTCAGTCTCAAAAGTGCGGGTGGAAATAAAAACAGTAAAAACCGTGCAAAGCCAAGGAGGTGATTGATACAAGAAAAGGATTTACTAGTAACATTTTAAAGAGAAGAACAAAAAATATTTTATAATAAAAATGAAATGGGCAATTGACACCAACGCGCGAATGAAAAAGATGTGTTGTGTTGTTAGAGTTCGGCTATATATAATTTTTTCTCGATTAAATTCGATTTAAATTTTTTATTGAGAAAATTCTGAATTTTTATAATTTTTTCGAACTGTTTTTTTATTTTTAATCAAAAATCGCTCGACTTAAGGAAATCCAAAAATTTCCAAATTCAGTGCTAAAAAGGAAGATTTGTTGCTTCTTGTCCTGTTGTAACTAAAAAATAGGGAATTTAATTACCAGAATGGGTGTAATTAGAACTGAGCCAATTAGAAGAGAGTGAGTGGGATTGACTATTGAGAGATTAGGAAAATACCACTTTAGGGGGTTTTTACAAATGTATTTTGTAATTTTTTTAGTAAAATTTTATTTTTAATTTTTATTTATTTATATACTAGTCCTTGTAATTCCATTCATTCCCAAACTATTTAATTTAAAATATGGAATTTCGGAAAAATCAAAGAAAATAAAGGCAAAATATCTGACCAATTTTTGCCACTTTTTGCTTTCTACAATCCAAAAAATTTAATTCATTTAAGAAATATTCATACAGATACCGACAAAAGGGAGAAAAAAGTGGTTTCCAAACAAATAATGTAAATGTTCAGAAATTAATCCTTCCTTCCTGAAATATTGCCACTTTAATTTTTACTTACAAGGGAACCTTCCGAACTGTGACCAAATTAGAAGTTGGCAAAAATTAGAAGCTGGCGAAATGATTTTTGGCAAAGAAGTTATTGGCGTAACGAATATTTTCATTTTGATAGGGAACAGTTTGAGATTTTTCTCTTTAAAAATTTCATTTTACCTAATTTCTTTTTAAATAAAAATTTTTACAAATTATTTCGTGGAAAATTTTCAGAAAAATCTAAATTTAGTTAACTGAAATTTTATACATTGGTGCACTAAAGTAATTGCGCGTCTATAGATTTTCATTTAATTTCATTGCTAGGGGGTAATTTTTTAATTTTGATAACTTTAAATTAATATATTCAGTTTTTTATGGGCTTTCAGAGAAGCACAAATCTAAAAAAACCAAATTTATAAAATAAATATTTATCAACGGTTAAACCAAATACACTTAAATTTAGAGGGGGCAAAAGTAATTGCGGTGCCTTCAATATTGGCTTTAACATCACCACTGACATTGGAGCATTTACCTATAGACGCGCAATTACTTTTGTATAACTGTATTAATTTTTAAAATATTTTTTAGATTACTTGCATTTTTGAATATTTTTATTTTTCAATATCAAAATTTAAATGCCTGGACGTTCATTTCAAAGGACTAAAGTTATTGGGAATTTTAAAGGAATAAAGGAATTAATTGAAGCTAGCCAATATGTTGATGCTGGTGTTATTGAAGTAACTGCCGCATTGAAGGATGTCCCAGACGGGGTTAATCAATATTATGAGTCACAAGAGCGAAAATTTGGTTGTTTACCATGGTTTGTCTTTTTGGTTTAAAAATTAACTTTACCTAATTTGTTTTAAAGGCGCCTCCAACTTCAGAAAGGGTTTGATTTGGCACGTGATCGATTAGACAGAGATGTAGGACAAGTTTCTCATTTTATCAAGGTCACATTGCGTTGCGATTATACCGAGCAAAGTAATTGGATTGCAAAGGCATCTGGTGTTTTGTCAATGGAAAAATGGCCTGAGAAGATGAAAGGAAAATCCGAGGCTGAGCGAAAACCTGAACACAAAGAGGTTTAATATTTTTTATCCGAGTTTTGTGTTTCTTATGGTGTGATCTTCTGTGTTATTGCTTGTGATTTTGGTTGGCTGTACTTTAGTACGTGGGTTCCGGAGTTAATATACAAATGTTATACCATTCGAAAGAACTCGTCGAGCTGAGTCGAATGCCACAAGTTTTAGCCCGAGGAAAAATTTTTGGACCGAGATATAGGTCCCTGAAATTTGAAAAAGCATAGGGGGGACCAAGCACTTTTTTGTGGTGAAAAATTCGAAAATGCAAATGATACCTCGGTAATAGTTCGGTTCGTACCCCCCCTTTTTTTCCTTCCTAAAAGTATTAAAAAATGGTCAGTGAGTCATAGTTTATAGAACTCGTCGAGCTGTGTCGAATTAACCAAAATCAACCACAGGCCTTAACTTTGGGCCGAGATACAGACTCACGAAAATTGAAAAATAATAGCGTGAACTAAGCTCATTTTTCGGGCTAAAAATTCGATTAAACAAATAATATTTCATTCGAAAGAGCTTGTCGAGCTGATTTTAATTACATCAAAATCAACATAATTGAACAAGATTTGACAAAGTTATGGCATAAAGTAATCCTATTGTAGTCGTGAGACGCTTTTGCAAAACCTTTATCTTTGCGCAGGGTTTTTGTCTGTATCTCGGCCCAAAGTTAAGACCTGGGTTTGATTTTAGTGTCTTTCGAAACATCTCGACGAGTTCTATAAGCTAAGACTGACTGACCATTTTTTAATAATTTTAGGACGGAAAAAGGAGGGGGGTACGAACCGAACTATTACCGATACCTCATTCGAAAGAGCTCCTCGAGCTGAGTCGAATGACACCAAAATCAACGAAATCCGACTCGATTGGACAAAGTTATGATCTTTTCTTTTAGCTCCTTACCTATGGCATCTGTGGAGATTTTTGCTACTACAGAGGCCCAAATACGACCAGAGCAAGAGAATTAGGAATAGGTTTATGTTACGAGCCCAGACCCAGCGCCCGTAGACTCCCCGCGAGGCGCGTGCCGCAAAACCCCGCGCGAAGCGCGGGGTTTTGCACAAGCGCCTCGCCGACGCTCTATAGGGTTAGGTTTTTTGTGTCATAACTAAGTCTAATTTTGTCCAATCACGGTGATTTTGGTGTCATTCGACTCAGCTCGACGAGCTCTTTCGAATGAGTTATTATTTGTTTAAAAAATTTTTTATTCCAAAAATCGCCCCTTTGGATCTTCGGTTTTTAGGGGTCTATATCTCAGTCCAATCAAGTCGGATTTCGTTGATTTTGGTCTCATTCGACTCAGCTCGAGGAGCTCTTTCGAATGAGTTATCATTTGCATTTTTGAGTTTTTCACCCCAAAAAAGTGCTTGGTCCCCCCTATGATTTTTCGATTTTCAATCGCCTGTATCTCGGTCCAAAAATTTTTCCTCGGGCTAAAACTAGTGGCGTTCGACTCAGCTCGACGAGCTCTTTCGAATGGTATAACATTTGTATATTAACTCCGGGACCCACGTACTAAAGTGACCCCTTTTGGTTGTTTCACCTTCAGTCATTTTTTATTTAACATTACCTTTTAAATTTTATATTTTTTAGATTTTCACGCGCAAATTCAATACTTATGAACGTAGCCATCAATTTATCAAACGCTTTCCTATGCCAACTAAAAGAGCTGGATCAGCAGCACCTGCCGATTCTCCTTATCTCAAGAATGGACAATTCATTTTTAAATTGGAAATAATTATTCATCATGTTAGGAAAAGGTTAGAGGATTTGTGTTTTAGATGATTTTCTTTATTTTTAGTCATTTCCCCTATTATGACTTTGGAAAGAAAACACCAATGTCCAACGCTGTAGTTAAAATTGTCGACGGTAGTAATATGATTCATCGTTACCACGTTAATAAAGAGGTTTTACCTTTTTAAATTTTGATTTGTATTTTATTTTTTAAAGTTTCTTTCAATGCATTCTGACGCTCTTCAATCTCTCTTTCATAATACGGGTTTTATAGAAGGTGCTTCCGGTGAGGTTGAACTTCGTTCTGTTGAACACGGTGTTTTTAATGAATTCCTTTCAATTGTTTATCCTTCGCGCCATCGGCCACAAAGTTATTTTTTCATTAAACTGTCATTAATTTTAGTTTAATAATTAAATAATTTAGTTAAATATGTTCGTGGTTTACTCGAATTTGCTCGAATGTACTTCGTTCCAATGGTTACTGCGATTTGCGAGCAGCGTTTATTGGTGGCTGTCGAGGCTGAAATGGCTCTTGGGGAACGGCTTAGATTGGCAGACCAATACGGACTTTTTCAACTGAAGGTTTTTTAGTTTTTTTATAGACAAAACAAAATATTTTTCAGTCTGTTATAATGCAAAAGTTGGACCCAAGAAAAATGGATGAAAAGTTTTTGGAAGGACTGTCACAAGAGACTCTACAAATGTTTATTCGCAAGCAGAAACACATCGATCAAAATGAAAAAGCTGCTGCTAAAAAATCGGGAACTACAAAAGAAGAGTCCATGGATGTTGATCAGGTTTTTTAGTTTTCGCTATTAATGATTGCTTTGGAATGGACCCGTTCAATATTTTTCACCTAAAATTCTTACTTTTTTAGACTGCTCCTTCTTCAAGTCAAGCTACTGATCGAAGTCACCATCGTAGAGCAGCTGCTTCTCATACTTCTGCTGCTGCCAACAATGCTCACGAAGTTTTAGCTGCACGTCTCCGACCAATGGCTCGACGAGGACGTGGAATTGGATTGAATCGACGTTAGAAAGAATAAGATATAAATGGAGCGCTATAAAAGTTAAATTTGACTATTTTTCACGAGGAAATATTTTTAAAAATTTTAATTCTTACCCGCAATCTAAAATAAAAATTTCTGTTTTTTATAATGGACAATTTCATTTTTTCTTAAAAAAGTTTTTGTGCCCTTAAAAATTTTATTTGTGAAAATCAATTTGAGAAATCATTTTTAGGAATGTATTTACATGCCTTTTACATTCTCACTATTTTAAATGATTTACTTTTACCGATTTTCAATTTTATCAAAATTGTTGACTTTCAATTTATTTGAATATCTTTATTTAAAGACTTGACCATCATTTATTTTTTGATGTTGCTTACATATAATTTTGAATTTATTAAATTAAAAGATTTTAGTTATTTTTTAATTTTATTTGATAATTATATTTGTTAACTTATTAAAATTATAATTAAAAGAATTTAACTAGTCTTTAATTTATTTGAAAATATTTAATGCCTGATCCGTCCGAGTGTACCGTTTGTGGTTCTGGTCAAGTTGTATTAGATGCTGGTTACTATTTTTGTGCAGATTGTGGTGCACAACAAGAGGTTCTAATTGAATTTTGTTACGGATACGTTTTGATTTCTTTTGTAAATTTTGCCTATCTGATTAATATTTACCGTTATAATTTATTAGAAAATATTTTTTAAAGGGTCGTGAAACTGAACAAGAATTTGGTGCATATGGCCAGCAAGGGGCAAGAATAAATAGACCTAAAAAAGATCGAGATAATGAACTAAACAAGCGTGAGGTTCGGATCAATTCTTTCTAATTTTTTCAATTTAAATTTTTAGAGATTAAAAAAGATTCGTGAAGGTTGATTATTTAAAACAATCTAACAAATATTTCATAAAAATACTAGATCCTTTTATTACTGAACGTGCAATTCCTGAAGAAGATTTTCCTTTTTGGCTTGATCAATTAGGCATAAGATTATGTACAGCAACGAAGATTTTAGCTAAATGTTCTTTTGTTTTGGTTAATGAATTTAATGTTCCAGAAAAATGCTTGGTTGGTTAATTCTATTGTAAATAAAATTAAAATTTTTATTAATTACCTAGTTACATTATTTTTTTATAATTTTTTAGGAGAACTCAAAATTTATTTTTTACACTTATTTACGTCGTGCAGGCATTGCATTTTGTGAAGAGGAAACAACTGATGATCCAGCAAAATCATTTTGTCCTCTTGTTAAGCATAGAAAGCCGTAAATATATTTATTTTTTAAAGAAAAATTTACTTGATATTTTTAGGGAAATTGAAAGTAAATTAAGACAAAATCGACTACGAGCAGCTAATTTAAGAAAACTTTTACAAAAAGACAAGAAAGAGAAATCAGATGCTTGGATGGATTTAACCTCAACAGATGAAGCTTTAAAGAAAGTATTAGAAGAGGAAGAGGCTGAAATAGCTGCAACATTAGAGGAAGTCCAGTTTGTAGAAAGAATTAAAACTAGTCTGTCTGTTGATGCTGTAAATATGGTTTGAATTTTTTTTTAAATTTAAATTGGGGTTCAGTAATGATAACTTATCCTTGATTAGTAAGGTTGTCGCATATGAATTTAAAAAAGGCCGGATATCCGAAAATTTTGGTTCGGACATAGGATCCGGATATCCGAAGATTTCCAACTATCTGACAACCTTATTGCTTAGGCTAGCTAATTGTAAGCAAATTAATTTATGTTTTTAGACTAAAAAAATTATTTCTCTCTCTTTTCTAGGCAGCTCATATCTATTTGGGTATAGATTTACTTTTTTGTATTCTATATTTGGCTGTACATTTATCTGGTTGTAATTGGGTTTTGATTTCTGATATTTTTCGGTAAAATTATTTTTATTATTTTGTAAATATATTTAATATTCAAAAAGTTGGTATCGAGAAGGAAGATTCAATATTTCTCGTTCACAACTTCTCGCCTTAAATTTTTCTACTTCGTGGAGTGAGGAAGACATACCACCTTCAAAAGAATTAGTGTCAAGTCTCAATGTTGATCGACGTTTTTATGTTAGAAGCAAATATAATGTGCCCTATTTGGGGGTTATTTTTTGTAAAATAAAGTGACAGAATTTTAATTTTAAGATTCAACCTGTCAGTGAGTCTTTACGTGTTCTTTCTTTTCTTACACAATTTGCTAATATTCCTCGTTCTATTCAAACAACGGATTTCCAAAAAGTTAAAAAATTTTTTGGGTTAATTAAAATTATTTTTTAAAGGTTTTATCTCGTTTTGTTTATAATTTAAATTTACCTCTTGCTTTTAACAAACATTTAATGACAATTTTAAATTTTTTGCCACCTGTTAATGTTGATTATGGTTCAGAACGTTTTTCCTATGTGCAGCCGATTGATGGAGGGTTGGTGAAAATTTATAATAAAAATTTCAAAATAATTTTCAAAATTTATTGTTCAGCAAAAATACACTTTTTCTATTTTATATTCTAGAAAAATAAAAAATTTATTTTCATTTTTTAGACTTCGTCAACATCTTTTATGTTTAACTTCACGTTCACGTACTAACAATTCTGGATTTGGATTTGTTTCATTTTTTCAACGAGCATTTCTCGCTAACAAAAGTCAAAAATGTTGGGAAAAAGTTGAGGGAACATTAAATAATAGATATATTAATCCTCTTCTTCGATATGGAAGTCATTGGCATTTGTGAGTTTTTTTATTTTTTCTACATTTTTATTAATTACCAACACGAAAAGAAAATATTTTTATGAGATTATTTGCCTATTTTTGAGAAAAAAGGGATCAGACAGAATTAAATGTTTTTTATATAGCGTTCCATTACCTACAGAAGTAAAAGCAGCTGCACTTATTCTTTTTGCTTTAAAATTATTTTTTGGACTTGATGATCAGAGAGAATATAATTTAAAACCAAAACAACAACAATTAATAGAAGATGAAGAAATGAATGAGGAAAATGATTATTTTAATTTTGGGGAATGGTTGACTCAGTTGGAGATGCGTACACATTGTTGGCAAGGAACTTCTCCAAAAATTGTGTTGAATAATGAGTTGGTCAATTATTTAAAAATAATTTGGAAATTTTTTGTTTTCAGTTTCTATTGTGATCAATTTGAACGTAGCAGTGTTCAAGAATCATTATTAGTTAGTCTTTTTCGCCGACCACATCTGGGAATGAGGATTGTTTCGTGGAGCAGATTAAACCCATTTTTAGGGTGCATACCTAATACTGTTAGTTTGTAATTAGAAAATTAGTGTTTATTCTCTATCAATTTATGAATTAAACAGAAATCTTCATAATTTATGCATTTGGATTAAGAATCTTCCCTTCCCAATTTTCGAAAAAGATTCATAATTTCAAAATCTTTTTATTCAGGTTCGTATACAATCTCAACCATATATTTTTGAAAATTTATTTCCAACCTATTTATCACCAGCACCTTCAAAACCTTTATTGTCTGCAGATAATATGAATTTGAGTATGTCAAAAGAAGCATTATTTAGTAAGAAATACAGTGAGGTGCAAAAGTTTGGAACATTTACTTTTAGATTGTTTAATCAATAATTTTTTATTCAAAATATAAGTTCAATATAGCAATCGAAAGCTCTATTCGTATCTCAGTTGACATGTTTCTGCATTTTTCATGAAAATGAAAACTGGCCGAGATATCCGGATTAAGCCGGATATCCCAAATCCTATATCCGCGGAAAAATTTTTCGGAAAATATTTAACAAACCCATTTGATAAAGCATATTTTTATGAGCATTTACCACAAAACCGCTTAGAAATATCTTTCTCCGGACCAGAGATATGATTTTTTGAAAATGGCAATTTTCCCTTAAAAATTGAATTTTTTGCAAAAATAGACGAAAATTGCCATTTTCAAAAAATCATATCTCTGGTCCGGAGAAAGATATTTCTAAGCGGTTTTGTGGTAAATGCTCATAAAAATATGCTTTATCAAATGGGTTTGTTAAATATTTTCCGAAAAATTTTTCCGCGGATATAGGATTTGGGATATCCGGCTTAATCCGGATATCTCGGCCAGTTTTCATTTTCATGAAAAATGCAGAAACATGTCAACTGAGATACGAATAGAGCTTTCGATTGCTATATTGAACTTATATTTTGAATAAAAAATTATTGATTAAACAATCTAAAAGTAAATGTTCCAAACTTTTGCACCTCACTGTAAATATGTAAAATAAAATTTTTTTAAATATTATTTTTCAGCTCCTCTTCAATATCAATCATCTAAAAATTCTAATATTCAAAACGAAAATGCAAAAATATCTGGAATTGACAAAAATAAAAGGAAAATATTTTTCCATAAATTTTATGATTCAAGTTTGGATTTAGAATTATCTTCACCTGAAAATTCATCTCCATCCTCTTCTGGTCGGAATATAATTCTAAAAATGTTTCCATGTGCAAATGCTTATAAGGCAGAGTTTAATCTTTTGGACTATTTTTAATTTAATTTATACTAAAAGTCTGACCCTTAAAAAGTCTTGCAATTTTTTTATTCGTGGCGAATTTTGATAAGACGTCAAGACCTAATTAAGCCAACATGATAAGAGGGGAGATATGTTAATAGTATGACGTGCTATGTGATTTGACTGTAGTCACATTCCTAATTAACACATTCCTACTATCTTCCTTTCAAGACTTTAATAAATTTTTTTATTTTAATTATAAAAATATTTTATTTTTATTTTAGCGTTACCCTCCTGGATATCACAAAAATATTGCAGTTGTTATTCCTGATTTCGACGATAGAGGCCTTAAAAACACATTTCATCAAGGAGCTATTCGTATTAATTCATTACCTATATCACCTTTACTTGCTACAAAATCAATGAAAGTATTTAAAAAATTATTTAAATATAATTAAAAATTAATTATTTTTCGATGTCTTTACTTTCAACAGAAAAACAATTTTCTAAAACTTTTGCTAAACTTTTGAGGCATTTGGCACTTTCTGTTTCTGAAACTGATCATTTATTATTTTTTGTTTTTCAAATGGTTGAATCTATGTTTTTTGAAAGAGCAAGGTTGGTAGTTAGAGTAGATTTTTTAAAAATATTTTTGAAATACTAAAACTTTTTTAAATTTTAGTTTAAGAATCGTCTATAAAACTTTTTTCTATTTCTAATTATTTAATTAAAAATATTTTTTAGTTTTAATAGAATAAAAAATGATTTATTACAATTTGGCCGTTGTATGTTTCATAGCCAACAACAATTTCAATCTTTACGTTTTCGCTACACAATTTCTTTGGATAAATCAAATAATGTTAACAACGATAATATACCTTTATATAAATTTTGTTATAAAGTAAGTTTTTTGAATAAATAAATTAAATTATCGTATTTCCTCTAAAATAGCCCCCCTCTAAAAGCCGATCGAAATAACAATCCCTCGGGTTATTTTAGAATAAATACGGTATATAAAAATCTATTTTAGCTTACAAGAGCACGAGAACGTGATAACAAAGTTATTGATAAAGAGGAAGCTGAAAAGAATTATTTGTTTCAACGATGCTTTTTCCATAATGTTGATGTAGGGTTTTGTGTTTTTTTTAATTATTGGAAAATATTTACTTCTTCAGCCTGAAAGTGTAGTCCGTTCAGCGCCATCTGAACCTGCTGGTCCATTTACTTTTGCACATCTAAATAAACACAGAAACGTGACAATCTCTGAAAGTGAAGATACGGATGTGGAAATTAACAACAATAATGAGATTGCCGATTTGTTATCTTCCTCTTCCTCATCGTCGAGTGATAACGACGAGGATGAAATATTGGGTGAATAAATATTGAATTATAAAAAGTACTTTTTAATTTTAAGAAGAAAATGTTCGAGGAAAAGCTACTGGCAAAAAATACCCTCTTAAATTAACTTCATTGCCGGCGCCTGCTACACTAGCACTTTGCGCATTTAGATATTGGTGATTGTTTGTTACTTTATATTTTTAAATTATTTTTTTGTTTTTATATAAAAGTTTATAGAATTTTGGTTATTATTTCTTGACCACTTTTCTTAGTGGATTTCGACCACATTTTACGCAAAAAAATTTCCCAAGTTAAAAATATCAAAATCTCACACAAAAAGTTTATTCATTAAAAGGATAAAAATGAAATATAAAAAATGTAAAAACAAATTGATACTGCAAAATTTTCTATATTTATATAAAATTCAATTTTAGAAGAAGATTAATAGATCGTTTCCCGTTTCTATAATTCGCTTCAGTGATTGACACAAATTTGTTACCGCATATTTTTTAAAAGGAAGTGGTAAATAGAAATATATTAAGAGAAGAGAACTTTTAATGGATATCTGAGTGGTTACAGAAACTTTTCCGGAAGGTCAGACAAGATTCCGGAACATTTAAAGTTCTCTTTCTTTCAAATGTTTAAAACTAAACAAAATAAATAGCTCTATAAGTTAAACTATAAAATGAGGATTTAGAGTGTATAGAAGGGGGTATTTTATATACAAAGTTGTTTTATCTCATATAATTACAACACAATTAGTGTAGAGGTTTAAAAGAAGGAGTAATTTAAAAAAGGGTAAAATCTACTCGCATTTTTTTGTAATGGATTGTATAATGAAAATGATTTTGTTAAAATTGCTCAAGCACACTTAACTAAATAAACACAAAATTGAAAAAAAATTGTTGAATATTTACAAAAGAAATTTTAAAAAAGTAACAAAAAATGTAATTAATTCGAATCATTAATCCACCGGGGATAGACTGTGTGTGGTTTGTTTAGATTTGTTGGGAAAACTATAATAATGTAACTTGTAAGCAGTCTCAATTTCTCCAAACAAATTTCAACAGAAAATTATAACAATATTTAAATGCTAAAGAAAAATTAAAAATAGGTAAAAATCTAATACAAAAAAGCTAGGTAATTTAATTTAAAAAAAATTCCAAAAATAAGTATAATTTCTTTTTGATTGGAATAGAAAAAATTAGTAAATTTTATTTTGTAGCAATAATTCTTGTCGATGATTAAAAAGAGAAGGGGAAATAAAGGGATCATTTTCAGTTTATAATCGAGGTAGATATATTTAACATAAATTTAAGAATGACAATAAAAAAAGAAAATAAGAAAGAATAAAATGGTTGAAATTTTGGTGGCAGCATATCTCTCTTACTTAGTCTAGTTAAATTAATTAATAAAAAAAGGATAATTGATAGGTTACATATTACCTAAAAATCTTATTCTTTAATAATCCTTTTTTTAAAAAAAGAGGTAAAGAAAAATTGAGGATTTTGTCTTATTTTTTAAAAAACTCTCAAACAACAACAGAAACTACTTCCTCACTCTCTTGTTGTTCAACAATTTGTTGCTCAGCAATTTGTTGTTGTGCCTCTTGGACTTGTTCAACAACAGCGGCAGCCGCGGCGGCAGCAGCTGCTGCAGTTCCAAATACTTGAGTTAGCGCTTGAAGTTGTCCAACTTCTGCTAATTGTTGCTGTTGTTGTTGGAATTGGTCAATTAACAAAAGTTGTTGTTGTTGCTGTTGATAACGTTCAAGCAATAAAGCTGCTTGTTGTAATTCAACCTAAAAAAGAAAATAAATAAAATTTTCAGAAAAAATTATTTAAAGTTTACTTGTTGTTGATTAACACTTTCAGCAACAGGAGAGTGTGCAACAGCGGGGACAGATGATGGAGGGGGTGGGGAATTGTCAGTTAAATTAGTTGTTGGTTGCTAAAAATTAGGAATTTAGTTTAAAAATAATAATTATTTTTCTGTTTACTTGTTCAACATTTGTTGAATTATTATTTTCATTATTATTATTTGTAGAAGCAGCAGAAGAAAATAATCTTGATAATAATAATTGTGTTAACATTGACTGATTATTATTTGAATTATTCCTCCCATTTTCATTTGCTAAAACTGACGGAGAAGAAGGGGCTGTTGTTGCTGCCAAATTAAGAAGTAAAGGATTATTTCGATTTAAAGTTGTTGTTAATGGATCGTGAACAACTGGACTAAGAGGGGCAGAATGGCCATGAGGAAAATCATTATGACGATGTCCACCAAGTAAACGAAGATTTAAATGTTCTCTGTGGGTGTGCTCCAAAAGGGCTAATTGTTGTTGTAACTTTAATAATTAATGTGTATAAATATATAAAAAAATTTGCTTGTAAGGTGATTTGTCTGTAAGTGATTTGTTTGTATAGTAGGTATCATTTTGTGGAAACCTTTACAGACAAACCTCCTTATGGTTTTAAATAAGATTTGTATTTTTCAGAGCTATAAAATCAGTGAGTTCAAAATGAGGCTATTTTGGTTATAGGATATTTTGACTGAAGGTGTTTTTGAATAAAATGTTTTTGTCTTTATTTAATAAGAATAATTTAGTACCTGCTGTTGTTGTGCATATAACTGAACCAACTGAATACGTTGTAATTCTGCCGCAGCAGCTGCTGCAACTGCTAATGAAGCTTGATCTTGTTGTTGTTGAGGTTGTTGTGTAGGTTGTGGACTTGTAGAAGCTAATGCCCTATTAAAAATAAATTTTTTAAATTAAAAACAAAAAAAAAATAAATTTACTGGCTAGCTAATTGACTGAGCAGATTTAACCCTCCTCCATTTGTTGTTGGTGTTGTAGCTAATGTTGAATTAGAAGTTGTTGGTGCTAATGGATTGGCCTTTAAAATAAAAATTATTTTTTTAATTGAAAAAAAATATTACAGGTAAAGAAGGAGGAGCAGATGCAGGTGTTTCTGGCTGAGTTAATAATTGATCTTGTTGTGCTCCAGCAGCAATAGCTAATAATTGTTGTAAATGTTGTTCTAATAATGCTGGTTGTGAAGGGGCTGTTTTGCCAGGAATTGGAGAAAATTGTAATAATTGTTGTTGTTGTTGGTGATGTTGAGGTGTTTGGGCAGCAAGTAAATGCTGAGCTACAGCTTGACTTCCCAAAACAAGTTCGAGAGGGGAAAGAAGCTAAAATAATAATTGTTAGGTATTTTCGGGGAAGAAATTATTTTTTACATTATTCTGATTCAAATTCATTCCATTATTATTAAAATTAAGAGCAGCAGCAGCTTGCTGTTTCAACGCTAATTGTAATGCTGAATGTTGGAGGCTATTTGAAGCCAGAGGGGATTGAAGAGGCTAAAAATTAAAATTATTTCCTTAAAAGGAATAAAATTTTTTACTTGAAATTTGTTTGTTTGAGTCAATAAATCAGAAGAGGTATTAATTTGCAGTAAAGAAGCCGGAACTGAGGCGCTACCATTAGTTGGACTAATATCCCCAGATTGTGTACCACCACCACAATCGTCACTCATAACACCGCTATCCGAGCTGAAGAGGTGGGAAAGGCTAGAAAATTTTAATTTAATTTTTAAAATACTTATCATTTTTCAATTCTCACCTAACACTTTGCCTTCCTTTCAATCCTTTTGCCTTCCCTCCAGCAGCATTTCCAACTTGGGATGCTGGATGACCTTGATTCCCTCCTACTTTTCTAGACCCTTTTCCAGTAGGTCCACCGCCTGTGCCATTTGCACGAGAACGTCTCCTTGTTGGCCCTTGTTTGTCTTCAGGGTTACGATGAACTACAGTCCAGAAATGACCTAAAAATGATTTTTTAAATAATAATTTTAAAAATTATGAGGAAAAATAAGTCTAATCGAAACGGACGGATAAGAATTTTGAATTTTTTGTTTTCTATTCCCTCTAAGAAATTACAATCTAACATTTTATAAATTTCATGATCTCTCTCTCCAAAAGTTAAGTACAAATAACTTACCAACAACCCCATTAGCACTAGTCTGTTTTAATGGCAATTTAACAAAACAATCATGTAAAGAAAGGTTATGTCTAATAGAATTTTGCCATCCCCATTGATCGGCTCTTCTTTGATAATACGGATGTAAATATTTAATTACTTGGTAGATTTCACTTAATTTTAATCTTCTATCCGGATTACTTTCGATAGCTTCGATAATTAAATCTTTGTAACTTAATGATGGTCTTTCTTCTTTTTCATCTCCAGGGGGTTTTATAACTTGCAGCATTGACTTTCCATTTGCTGGAGGGGCTGAAATTTGGAAAAAGTTAATAAAAAGGAATAAAATCTGAGAATTGAAAAGTATCTTCTAAAAACAATATATCCCCAATCAAATATCGAATTAAAATTTACTTTTGCAAGTAATTATTGTGGGACTTGTCTGCAAAGAACCATTCAATGAAGACATACTTTCACTAATCTCCAAAGGTGCAAGTTTATCATCAGAATCTGTTTCCATTTTTAACAAAAAATTAAGATTAAAAGCTGCTTCTAGAGCATTGTTGGTTTGACGGGGACTTTGGGCAGCAGAGGCTTAAATAAATAAAAAAGTTAAAATTATAGTCAAGAGAACGGATAAAAATTTATTTATTTTTATTTATTTCTTTTATTTATTTCTTTTATTATTCTTTTATTTATTTTAAAAATTTATTTATTTCTAAGTAAAAATATATCCATAAAAATGATTAATATTTGGATCCCCAAAATAAATATTTTACAATTAGGCATTGCTGCTTCCTCTCCCCCATTTCCTTCTCCCGCAGGTTCTTCAATTTTAATTTCTGCATTTTTTGCTGTAGCTGCTGCTGTTGCCAAAGATTGTTGTTGTTGTTCTTCAGCTGCTGCTGCTTGTGCTGCAGCAACAGAGATGGCAGCATGTAATTGTAGAGGGGAAGCTGATAAAAGTAATTGACTGGCTGAATCCATCATTTTATTTTATTTTTTGACAAAAAAAAATTGTTGAAATAAAAATATATTTAAATTTCCAAATATTTTTTTTTATTTTCCACCTTCACAAAATTTTTAAAAAATAATTGTTGGAAAATAATAATAAAATAATAAATGTTTTTTTCCTTAAAATTAAAAAAAAATTAAATTAATTTTAATAAAAAAATATACAAAATGCGCGAAAATAAAAATTAAATTAAAAATATTAAAAATTGTAACACAAGAGAAAATACTTAAACTAATTAAATTTACAAAAAAAAAAATAAAAAAAGGTCATTAATTGCATGCTAAGAACAAAGAACAAATAAATACAAAATAATTTCTAAGAAAATTATTTAAAAAGAAAAAAAATTAATTTTCAGCTTTAAATAATTTTAAAAAGTATTTTACGTCATTTCTTTTAAATTATAATATTTCTTTTAAGGTGCAAAAAAGAAATTAAATTTATTTTTTGTAAATTATATATTTAAAAACACCCCCTCATTTAATTGTTGCTTTTAAATAAATTATTTAAAAATATTTTTAATAAAATAAAATATTTTAAAAAATATATTTTAAATAAAGACAAAAAATCGGCGGCTTTACTTAACATTCAATAAAGCCAAAGAATATATTTTATATTTAAAAATAATCCTTTAAATTATTTTTTTCCAAAAAGAGAAGTTTTTTTAATAAAATATATATTTAAATTAATCTTTATTTTAAAAATCTTTTTTTTAATATTCCAAAGTGGAATGAATATATTTATTTAAGGTGCAAAATTAAAAAAATATATTTTAGAAATATATCTATTTAAATTAAAAACATCACTTAAAAATTAATATATTTAATGGAAAATGTTTAAAAAAAGTTTTTAAAAAATCCAAAAAAAAGATTAAATTGTTTAAGGAAAATATTTTAAATTTTACAAAAGAAAATAAATTTTTGTAAAGCAGGAAATGTTTTTAACAAAAATATTTTTAAAAAATAATAAGTTGCCTCTACAAAATAAATAAATATTTTAATTTTTTTTTGTTACAAAAACACGTAATAAATAAATAAATAAAATGACAAGTTCAATCATTTATATATATATTTATTTTTTAAAATAAAAAAACAGTATAAGAGAAGTAGTGAGTGGGCGGAATGAGAAATATAAAAATAATAATAATACTACAAAAATATTAAAATAAAAAAATTAAAATTAAAATTAAAAAAAAGACAAGGGGAGAAACAACAAAAAAAATTAAAAATACAAAAACAATGCCCTCATTAAAAATAATTTTTTTAAATTAATTTTCTTTTGTTCAAAGTATTTGTACTTTCTTCGCGAAAATACTTTGTCTTTTTATTTTTACAAAAATTATTTTTTTAATTCTTTTAATGGCCTAATTCTTTAACCCAATTTTTGTAAAGTTCTCTACTTTAATTAAACTTTTGGCCAAACAACAAAGAAGAAAAGACTCCGAAAATTTCTTTGTTTATTATTAAAAACGTTAAAAATTGTTTTTATATAAAAAAATATATTTTTTTAAATAATTTTTAATTTACTAAAAATATTTTTGTGGAATAAATAGAGAGGAAGGAGTATTTAAAATGAATCAAAAAATTTCTTTTAAAAAAACTGACCAAACAGAAAATATAGGTACAAGTTTATTGTCCTCCTATGTATATTCAACAAACAACAAACACAATTTTCTATTGTACTCTTCCAAAAAAAAAACAATTACTCTATTAATTCCTTTATTGTTTTCTCAACTAAAAAAACAAGAGACAACAATAATCATCTCCACAAAGTTGAAAAATAAATGTAAACACAAAGTTTTTCCCTCAAAATAATTGTTCTATATATTTGTTGCTTTGATGTTTTTATGAACAAAAAACAGGAAAAAACAATAGAAAATAAAGGTAAATTAGGTCATTTATTGTTTAATATAAGCGTGTCTTCGTAAAAAAAAGAAACAAAAGAAAATAACAAGAAAAGATGCGAATGCTTGAGGGAAATTCGGGAAAAATTGTTGGGCAACAAAAATGAGTAAAATAAAGAGGTTGGAAATGAATGGATGAGTGAATATTTTTGGAGTGAAACCTAAAAATAAAATAAATTATTATTTTAAGGAAGAAAGGAGATTATTAAAAAATAAAATTGTCTAGTTAAAATTAGCACAATTTTAAATAAATAAAGAATTAGATTAATAAATTTTACAAGACTTTTAGGAATATGAAAAAGCCTAGCTAAATTCTTAAAAAATAAATATTAAATTAAAAATAAAGTAAAAAATTCAAAAAAATTTTTTTATTGTTTCTATACAAAAATTACTATAAAGAATATCTTTTAGAAAAAACATTTAATTGACAGGTGAAAAGTAGAAACAAATTTAATTTAATATTTTAAAGTATTTCTTTGAATATAATAAAAATAATTGGAGAGAATAAATATTTAAAATATACATTTTTTGTTGAATTTTTAAAAAACTTTTTTTAAAAATTAAAATGTATTTAAATAATAGGCAGGTGTTTCCAAAATAATTTTTTTGACTAATTTTCAAAATAAAAATTATTAAAATAATATATAAAACACATGACTGAGGACAATAAAAAATTAAAAAGAAAATTGAAAAAAAGGAATAAAATATTGCAATACAGTGTGTAACAAAACTATAAGCCACCCAAAAATTTTTTAATTTCTTAAGGTTCTAATTAATGAAAATTTTTAAAATTTTTACCCAATATTGAAAATGTAATTTCAAGCAAAGAATCAAAAAATTTTTAATTAAAATTTTTTTAATTTTAGCTTGAGATTACATTTTCAATATTGGGTTAAAATTTAGAAGATTTTCATTCATTAGAACCTTAAGAAATTAAAAAATTTTGGGTGGCTTATAGTTTTGTTACACACTGTATATATTTTTTTAATTTCCAAGTATTTGAGAAAACAATTGTTTAAATAAATAAAAAAAAATAAAATTATTTAATTCCTTTTTTTGTATATTTTAAATTAAAAAAGTTTAAGAATAAAAAAATTTTTTAAATTATTTTTATTTCCTTTTCTATAAAAATGGAAAAAAATTTAAATAATTAAAAAATATGTATTTCTAAATAAAATAAAAGTATTTTAATTTAAAGTAGCTAATATGTATTTAAAGCAAAGAGGCGTTGAAAATTAAAAAAGAAATTGAGAATACGAAATAGAAATCTAAAAAACTTTAAAAAGCTTTTTTAAAATAATTTGCAAAATGTCTGATAAAGTTTTTAAAATTAATTTTAAAAAATTATTTAATACAAAAATATCTAAATGAAAGGGATTAACAGAGAAAATTAAAAAAAAATTTAAATATACTTTTTTTAAAAGTGGAGAAAAACTAAAATTAAATACTAAAAATAAAAAATAAAAATAATTTTGTAATTAAAATAATAATATTTATGAGAAGTATAAGAATAAAGTCCATGAAGAGATAAAATGAAAACAATAATTGAAATTGGGTTGGGAGGGGGCCCGGTCCGGTCCGAAAGATCGAGTCGGGTATCAAATTTTGGCCCGAAAAAGATTCGGTCGGACCGGCCCGAAAAAATGAGGCCCGGAAAAAATTTTCCGGGCCTACTCGAAAACCCCAACCCTAAATAGAAATGAATAGAGACGTATAATTTAAAAATAACAAATACTTATTTAAATTAATTAAATTTTGTATTTTTCTAAAAATATTTTTTAAATCAAATAATAAGGGGAAATTTATTTTTTTATTTGACGTGTATTTAAATTTTCTAAAAATTAATTTTTTTTTATTTTTTATTCTCACACAAAATAAAAAATAAAAATTATTAAATGTAGTCTGAAATAGAGGAAATAAAATTTAAAAATAAATATATTTAAAAACTACGCAAATAAAAAAATATTTTTTTATTTCTTGGTAATTAAATTTAGAATTTATTTAAAAATTATTTTAGACTTATTTAATTAATTTTATTTAATTTTTGTGTTTCAGATTTTCATATTCTTGCATTTTTTCTTGTTAATGTTTAAATGCGCACATTTAATATTAAAAAAAAGAATTTTTGCTTGTCTCTTTAGTGGATACATACTTTTTAATTAAAAAAATATTACATTTTAGACAGAGATAAATACATATATATTTTTTAATATTTTGAGTGCTTTTTAAAAGTATGTAGACAAAGATTTTAATAATTAAAATATATATTTTGTGTTGGGGAGTTTTTCTTCGTTGCTAAGGACAGATGCTAATACTTTGGAATTTTTTGGTAAATTTTGAATTAAAAAAAGAGTAAAGGACGTGAGGTTTTGAAAAAAAATTTTTTTTTTGTAAAATTATAGGGAGTATTTAAAGTATTTATTTTAAATGCCAATGCGCGAACGGAGAAAAGGAATTAAAGAAAAACTAAAGACGTGAATGTTTTGTGAAAAAAAGAAGAAATTATAGTCTAACGGAAATTAAAAAATTTAAAAATAAATTTAGAAAATAAAGCTAAAAGGAAAAATTAAAATTTATTTAAAAAATTATTTAAGAATTAAGAAAAATATGTATTTATACATATATAAAAATATTTAATTTTGAAAAACAGAAAAAATCTTTGAAAAAAAATTAAAGGGAATATCAGTCGAAGCTCTTTATAATGACACTCTCGGGACTAAACGAATGGGGAGAGGGAGGGAGGGATGTGACGGCAAAAGTGGGTCGAAAAAGTGTCGAAAATCGGAAGAGCCGGAAATCGGAAATCAAAGTTGGAAATCGGAATTCCGACCTACTTTTGTGTGACGGAAGGAGAGGTCGTTATTAGAGCCTTAATACAATCATCAACCATTTAAGAGAATTCCTTCGCTTAAATTTTTTCAAAAAAATGTCTCAAAAAATTTCCAAGACATTAAAAATAAGTAAAAACATTTTTGAGTAAAAGAAAAGTGCAATAACAACATTTGAAAAAAAGAAACAAACAGAAAATTCTTTGAAAAAAAAACTAGACGCGTCTAAAGGTTATTTATTTTTTTATTTTTTATGTTTATTTGGCACTTTCTACGCGTGCACGGAAATTCGGGACAAAAACAAAATACTTACTAGACAGACGATGACTACTCACGAGGTTAATATACATTCTTTTATTTTTTTAATACTTTATTATTTTTCTTCTATCTTTCACCCATTTAAATGAAAAAAAGAAAGGAAAAAAAGACGGAAAACAGCCGGCTGTCCGGGGACGATGGCAACAAACAAAATAACAACATAAAAAAAACGAAAACACATAAAAAAATAAAATAAATAGACAAAAAAAATAAAAGTTCATTTGGTTGAACGGCTGACATTTTCGAATAGAATAAACACAAAAACGAGACAAGAAAACAATTTTAAGTAAATAGGGTTATTATTAAATAGGAGCAGGCCAATGTACCGCGAGGCCAATATACCGCAGAGATATAACTTTTTTCAAAGTGGTCGGATCCGAGACACCTTGGTATGGTTCGAAGCGTCTTGGCGAGCTGAATCGAAACATACTAGGGCGTCTCGGATCCGACCTCATTGAAAGAAGTTATAGCTTTGCGGTAGTTTGGGGTGTAACCTTATTAAAAATATTTAAATATATTTCTTGAATAAGTAAAACAAATTCTGAAATATAAAATTAAAATTTTGAGATAAAAAATATTTGTTTTTATTTTGTTGTTATTTTTTTTGCGTTTTTCTTTGTTTTCGGTATTCTTAGAAAAATAAAAAAAAGATAACCCCATCACTGGGCAAATATTTTAAAGTGCACAAAACACATTAGAAAATAAACCCACGCAATAAATAAAAAATAAAAACAAAAAAAGTAGAAGATTGAGACAATATAATAATAAAAAGGAAAATAATAATACTAGATTATTTAAGATTTAAATAAATATTTATTGTTTTATTATACATAAATACACACAAGTTTTTAGATTTATTTAAATAATATGTATAAAAGAATAAAACACAAAAGAATTAATTTTAAATTAAAATAAAAATATATAGTATGTAAAATATGTATTTATGTCTCCTAATATTTTTATTTTAAAAAATATTTTTTATTTTGTCAATTTTCACAATTTCCGTTCACTTCGAAAAACTTAAATAATATTTTTAAAAAATATTATGTATGTAGTACTTAAAAAAAGACCCAAGATTGGACCAAAAAACTAAAGATGAGACAAAACAAATAAAAGAAGGGAAGAAGAATGTTGGGGACAGAGTTTACTTAAAGTATTTGAAAAAAAGGAGGAATTAAAATAAATTGAAGTGGGGAAAAACAAAATGAGGAGAGGGGAAATGAATGAAAAAATAATTTTAAAAATTTAAAAAAAAAAGGAAGAGAAGGGAAGGGAAGGGAAGAAAAAATAACAAAGAAAAGCATGGCAACACGAGTTTTTAAGAAGAAGCAGACAAAAATAGGCAGACGATTGAAGGAAATAAGAGATCACCTCTCTTCATGCCCTTAAGAGGAAGTAATTATTGTAGGGCTATAATTAGAGAGAGGATATATATTTATTGATTGTCTATATATTTATCTTTCTTTCTTTCCCTTTCCACCCTCACATATCTTCTATTCTTTTTTTAAAATATTTTTTTTTGAATTTTAATTAAAAATCCAAATATTTCAGGAAAAAGGTTATTTTAAAATTAATAAAAAGTTAAGAAAAAAAAAGTTAAAAAAACATGGAGAAAAAACTATTTTAAAAATATCAAGAAATAAATTAGAATAAAATTTTTGGGGGGGGGGGGGGCGCTGACAAAACTAAATGATTTTATTTAAAATAATAATCTCTACAAAATTTTCAACTATTTTCTCATTTTTCCTTTTATCTAATTTCCCTTTTAATTTTTTTAATCAAATTAATCTTTTAAAGTGAACTTTTCCCTATCTTTCCATTGTTGTCTCGAAAAGCCGCCCGCTCTCCTCTACTTTTTGTTGCATTTCCGAAATAAAAAAGTACAGAAAAAGTTAAAATAATTATTAGACTATGAATTTCTCTTCTTCTACCATTTCATCATTTCTAGTTGAAATAATTGGCAATAAATTAAAGGGAAAAGGTTGTCACATTTTAAAAAAATTTAAGAGAAAAAGGACTTATAATTGATTGGTTAAAAAAAATTTTTTTTTAATTTTTTTAGTTTTGTCTAGTTAAAAATATATTTTGTGTTTGAAACTTTGAAAATAATTTAAAAGAAAGAGGAGGTGAACATTGGTTTTTATTAAGGGAAATAAAAAAATGAGAGAGAGAGAAAGAGAGAGAGGGGAGGAATCGAGAATTTAAAATAAAGTCAAAAAAGAGGAGTGAGAATTAAAAAAAAATTTTAGTTAAAAAATAAATAAAATAAATATATGTATTGCGAAAAATAATATTTGGGTTTGTTCAAATAAAAAAAGATTTAAATCGGTTAATTTAAAAAATTAAAAAAAAAGAAATTTAGAGAAAATAAATGACAAAAAATTAAAATCAGAGTGTTTAACAATGAATTTAAATTAGTTGAAAGGGGAAACTGTTTCATTCTTCGACCAAAAATATTTTTTGATCAGAAAATTAAAAGAAAATTAATTGAGAAATTTAAAACTGAATTAAAAATGAATTTTATTTATATAGGAAAAAATAAAATAAATTCAGAAAAGTTAACAAAAACAACAATTATTACCATATATGCTCGAATAGAGCAGATGTGGGTCGGAATTCCAACTTCCGACGTTTTTTTCATTCCGATTTCCGAAAAAAATTTTGATTTCCGATTTCCGTCACCTCTGACTGTTAGGACCCACCATTGTGAGGAGAAAACAACAATCATACCCTGGGTGATTATTTGAGTATATAAGGGTAACAACTATTTAGTTCTTCTTTTTTTAGTTAACATAATTAATTAAATTTTTAATATAAAAAATTGTTTGAAGTTTTTGATTTGAAATTTTGATAAAAAAATATTTATTTTAAATTAATTGCCAAATAAAAGAAAAATATATTTTATTAAAATAATAAATTAAAAAAAGTACCTATTTTAATTTTAATGTGTTTTGTCTTTATCATTAAAAAGAAAATTTTTCTTTTTTAATTGTTTAAAGATAAAATATTGTTTAAATAAAATATTTAACAATTTTAATGAATTATAAAATAAATTTTGGAAGGGAGGATTGATAAAAAATAATTAATTGTGAAATTAAAATAATATATAAAAACATTTCTAGTTAAAAATTTAGATTATTATTTTTATTAATTAAAAATAACGTAAATCTTCTAATAGAAGCACACCCTACGAGAGGATCGACTTCTATTAGAAGATTTACGGTATATACATAAATATTTTTGTCAAAAATAGAAAAAATATATTTTTTTTTAAAATACCAAAAAATATATCAAAGTTAAAAATACACACACACAAGTATGCTTGTACTAAAGAAGAAGAAGAATTAAAACAATTTCTTAAAATAACTAAATATTTTTAAAATAATTATTTATTTATTTCTATTTTTAAATATTTTAACTTTAATCTTTTGCCTATAATTTCCGTCTTTTAAAAAATTTTTTCCCCTTTTTTCAAAGTTTTTTTGACGTAAAGGAGAAAGAAAGGACTTTACAAAAAATATATATCCGTTCCTTTCTCTCTTGAGAAAAAAGAGAAACAATCAATCTAATTGAAAAAAAACGAAGAAAAAGCTTAAATAAATTCTAAATGGAAAAGACAGTTGTTTTGGAACAGGAAGAAAAAAATAAATAAAAAATGAAGGAGATAGAATTTTTGTTTCAGATATTTTAGTATGGAAAGAATAAACTAAAAATATTTTTATTTTTATAAATTATCAAGCTATTTTTGTAATTTAAAAATAATCAAAAATAAATAAAGAAACAAAAATTCTAAAATTTGGATTTCCAAACATGCATAGAATTACTAAAAGGAAACTTTTAATCGAGATGTGCATATGTATATGGATTTAATTTAATTTTGGATTAGCTACATTAAAAATTAAATAAAATTTCAAACTCAAAATATTTCTTAACTTTTTGATAATTTGTTGTTAGGAGCTAAGGGGATATTAAGTAAAAAGAATAAAAATAATTTTAAAAAAATGATAAAAAGTTTTGGGGAGGTTTTTAAATATTTTTATGGAATATATTAATAATAAATATGAAAAAGAGGAAAATAAATAAATGATTAATATATTATTTTTTTATAAAAATCAAAACATTTTAAAGTACGTAAATAATAAAAATATATTTATTTATTAAAAAAAAATATAATCAAAACACGCAATCCCCCCCCCCTTTTTATTTAATATTAAGGAAGTAAATAAAAAGATAAAAAAAAAACTAAAAAACAAAAATAAAACGCAAAGTTGGGAATAAAATAAAATATTGTTGTTATTTAATAATAAAAAATTATTATTGTAGTAATTAAATAAGTTTGTTTTTTAGTCAAAGAAAGATTTTATCTACATATTCACCCAAGAATTTTTTTAATAATTATTTTCAATTAATTATTTTTATATTTGGTCTTTAAAATTTTTTACAAAAAATTTTAACAAAAAATTAAATTTAAAAAAATTAAGAAAACAAATCAAAACAGAATACCTAACCTACTTTTATTTTAATTGGCCAAGAGGGGTGGATAAAATCAAAATATGTATAATACATGTTTTTGTATTCTGATGTATGTAGAAATTTTTTGAAGAAAAATTATTTTTATAAATTTCTAAAATTGCAATTATTAAACAAAATTTAATTTATATTTTTTAAAAATTAAATTAAATAATTTCTAATATGTATATATTAAATGCCCTTTTATATTTAAAAAAAATTAGAAAAAGCTTGTGACAAATAAAAATAAAATGAAAAAAAAGTTTTGTCTGTTAAATAAAAACTACTATTGAATCAACAAAAGCAAATATATAAATCTATTGTTCAGACAAAAATTGAAATAAAGTTTAACAGAAAATTGTCTAATAAAACGGAAATATAAATAATAAAAATATATTTTCTAAGTACATATTTCATTAGTTTAAAATTTATTTATTTTTCAAAATTTCAAGGAAAAAAAGTTTTTTAAAAATTATTTTAATTTAAAATCTACAATTTTTTGTTGTTTCTCAAAAAAAATTTTTAAATTAGAAATTTTGCTTTCAAATTTTTATAAAAATTTTCTAACAAATAAAAATAATATTTGAGAATGCTATTGACGGAATTGAAAAAAATTTAGTTAAAGGATACAACAATTTTAGGTTTTGTGATAAAAGGTTTCTTAAACTTAATAATTCTTTCTTCTCAATACTGAGAAAATTATTTGTACCCACCCTTGTTTTGACATTGTTTGAATCAACTAGAAGAACTGATTAAATAATATAAATGCCAAAAACTGAACTTATATGTATAGTATCGTTTAAATCATTCAAATTTTTAACTAAATTTTTTGCCGACCTTTAAGAAAAATTTAAAGGCTAATATTATATTACATTAATTAAGAGTGTAGCGAAAAAAATAAATGTCCTTATTTTAACTGTTATGTAAAAAACAGAAAACAACACGAAATTGCCAAACCTTGCTTAAAATATTTTTCGAAGTAATGTATAATAATACTCGTTTATTTTTCTATTAAGAACAGACAAATGTGAAAGAATATATTCTAATTATTCCAAAAAATATATAAAAATAATTCTAACAATTGTTTTATTTTGTTTTAAATTTTCTAAAAATAAGAACAAAAAATAAAACTAAACCTTAAGGAAGATTTAAAAGGTTGACGTAAATAAAAAGCTTAAAGTATTTTTAGATGTTTCTAAAATCCTCTAAAAATTTTAGCAAAAATATTTTTTAAAAATATTCTTTTTATTTATTTTCTAAATTTTGCAAAAATAAAGTTAAGAATTAAATAAATAAATTTTAAATAAATGTTTGTTTGTGTATTTGTTGTTGTTATATATTTTTTAAAATAAATTTTTATGTTTATTTTTTTTTGTTTGTTTTGCTAAAAATATGAAGAGATTTTTGTTTTGTTATTGCAAAAATTTTATTAGAATTTTTAGAGAAAATTAGAGATAATTTTAAAATAAGAGAAATAAAAATATATTTTTATTGGATATTTTTAAATAAATATATTTGTGAATTTTAAAGAAAAAAATATATTTAAATTTGCAAATAAGTAAATAAATAAAAATATATTTTTACAAAGTTAAAGTGTTGGGAATATGTAATTATTAGGAGTAAACTTTTAAAAATATATTTGTGTTTTAAAGTTACTAAAGTTAAAGAATAATATATTTAAAAATCAGATAATTAAGGAATTAATTATTTAACTAATTTTTATTATTTAAAATAATTTCATAAATTATTTCCTCAATTTTAAATTTTGTATTTTAATAAAAACACAATTAAATTAACTTTTTGTATTTAATTTAAATATATTTGTATAGGAATTTAAATATAAAAATGTGTATAGTTTAATAAAAATTAAAATAAAAAAAGTCAGTAAATTAATTAAATTAAATATTTAATTAAATTAAAAATAAATTTAAAAATAAAAATATTTTTAAATTAAAAATCGAACACATATTTTGATTATTAAAAGAAAACAAATATGTACTATTATGATAGTTTTTGATAAGATATTAGACTAAGAATGCCAAATTGACTAAAAAAACTTTTAAGATTTTATTAGAGATTAACGGAAATTAGAATAATATAAATCTAAATATTTTTTAATAAATAATTATTTTTTCTAGTTCAAAAATATATTTTAGACTGGCATGGCAACAATTTATTTATTTATATATTTATTTATTCCCCTCCCAGTCTTTACTTCCTCGTTTTCATCTTTTTTTCGTCAAGTGCGGCGCCGCGGTTTGTCGTAGCTTTATAAAAAATACCAGGAAAGAACACATAAAAATAAATGGAAAAGCAGGAACAAAATATAAAGAAAAATAAATTCGAGACAGAAAAAATTTAAAAATAATAACAAAGGAAAACATATGGAAATAAACAATTTTTTTAAATAATGAAAGAAAAATAAATATTTTTGTCTGGTAAAAGAATTTTATTAACAATTAATTTAAAAAATAGACAAAAATTTTTAAATATAAAATTTAATTAAAATAATTAAAAAGAAAGGTGCCACAAATACATAAATGCCTAGCTGTGCCTGGAAATGTAGATTTTGTTCGTACTTCGTACCAGGTACGAGCGTCCAAGAACTGATGCCTAGTCTAGATATATTAATTATAATAAATATTTTCCCAAAAAAACTTTAATAATATATTATTAAAAAATAAATAAAAGCACGTAAATATATCCATCCCCCCATCCATTTTTTATTTTTTTAAAAGCCCCATTTGTGTGTGAATAAATAAAAATAAATGTAAATGACAAGTGAACGTTTATTTTTTTTTCTCCACTTCATTCCTTCTCCTCCTCCTCTTTTTTTGTTGCTATATTTCCCTTCCTTATTTCCAGACAACAGAAAATAGGAAAAGGGCGGAGTTTTTTTAACAAAAACAGGCGAGAACGGGAAAATACATTTTTTAATATTTTTTTCTGAATACGGGCGTGCGGTTGTCACGAGTGAAGTTAAGACCAAAGGCCATTTGACTAGTAAAAATAAAAAGAAGAGTTAGAAGAAAGTAGGAGGGAATGTTGCTATACATGAATATACATTGTATTGATAAAAAGAATTTATAGAGGAAACAGTAGACACAAATGAAGGAAAAATACGAGAGTAACAATTACCGAATTTCTTCAAATAGTACGGCCGGCCGTACTATTTTTCAACCTTCCTCTAAAGGGCAGTACCAATAGATAGGACAATAATAAATGCGGTACGTTAAAAACAAAAATAATTAGGTAAAAATATGAACTAAGAAATAATATTTTGAATAGAATATGCTATAATTTTTTGTTCAATAAGATTTTTTAAGAGGTGACTAATAAATTGAAAAAATATTTCTGTTTTTAAATAAATTTACAAAATTTTATTTTTTTAAACTTTGAAAAGCCGCAACAATTAAATATTAAAAACTCCAAACTTGCAATCATTTACGGCCCAAAATTAATTAAAAAGAAATTTAAAAATATTTTAAGAACTTTTAATTTTGGGAACACTTTCTATTTAATTTTACTTGATTGTTTTACTTTTCTAAAATAATATCCCCTAACAAATGGCAACAAGTGTGTCGCCAAAAATAAAACAATTTACGGCCTTGTCAATTTTTCAGGAAAAAAAGTAAAATAAAAAAAACATTTTTCAAAAATATAGAGGAAGACAATTGACTGACGTGTGTTGCCAATAGAAAAGTAAAAAAACCAAAGAATATTTATTTATACACAAATACTCCCGTGGGCGGTAATAAATTCATAAAAAAGCAAAACCCCAAAAAAGAATTTTTTATCCACAAAAATGTCCAAATGTCAATATAAAAAATAAAAGGATATATTAAATATAGGTATGTATTTAATTATGTGTTTAATTATGTAGTAGAAAAGTTGGATTATTTTGATTAAAAACATAAAAATAAAATAAAAATAAAGAAAATTATGAAAATTTGGAAATAAAAAGTTTATTGATAGAAATCCAAAGAATATTCCAAAAAATGTTTTAATGTCTTATTTTAGATTATTTTATTAGTAATATATTATTGAGTATTTTGTAATTTAAGATTTTTTTCGGAACGAAATTTTTTTGATAAATTGGAAATTTCATATTAAAGCAAAAATATTTTTATATTTAATTTTCAAAATGACTTTAACAAAAAAATAATTAATAAACCCAACAATTTGTCTAATTTTTAATTTTTAATAAGAAAATAAGGAAGTATTTTTTATTTTTTGTTAAAAAAGAATAAAAATTAGCAACGAAATATACTTTTTTTTATTTTTTAAGAAGCATTTCCGCGTCTATTTATGGGCAAAAAATAATAATAAAGGAAAAAGGGGAAGGATTGTTGCCGTTAACGGGCATTTTCTTGGAATTAAAATAAAAGAAAAAGTGCTATGTAGATAAATAGATATAATTATTTTTTTGTATTAATAAAAGATCAAAAATTAATTTAAAATAAAATAATTAAATTAATAAATTTTCTCCTTCCCTATTTAATTCTAATTTATTAAAAATACCAAACTTATATTTAAAAGAGGCTAAAAAATATTTTTTTTTATTTTTAAAAATTAAAATATTATTTATATGTATGTATATGTATATATAAAAAATAATAAAAAATAAAAAAAAATATACTATGTATAAAATATAAATTTATAAATAAAATGTCAATATTTTTTTATTAAAAAATTCCTCATGTGATTTATTTTTTTAGATTTCTTTTTATTCCTTTACTTCCCTTTTTTTAATAATAAAAAAATAAAAGAAGAACTTTTTTATTCTTAAAAAATAAACGAGAAAAAAAACTTTTTATATTCAAAAGAAAAAAATTTAAAAAAATAAAGAAACAAAAATTTAATAAAATAATTAATTTTTAAAAATCTTTTTAAAAAAATTATTTATTAAAAAATATATACCAATAGTTTTTAGGCACTAAATAGTCCAAAAATAATTTTTAAAAAATAATTTATTAAATTGCCGGATGTATGGGGGGATTTATAACAAAAAGAAAAAAATCAAAAATCTTATGATGGAATTTATTAAGTAAATGGAAGGATTTATACGTATAAATTAATAAATATATAAATTAAAAAATTGTTTAAAAATAGAAAATATTTTTTATAAAAATAAAAAAAAAATAATTAAAATAATTTGGTAAAAAAATTATTTTTATTTTTAGAAAAAGTATCACAAAAAAGTGAATTTTTCTCACCTTTTTTACACTATAATATTAAAAATAAATTCCAAAACTCTTTAAATAAGGATCCTTCATGCATATTAAGCTAACAATCTTCTTAAAACAAAAAATTTTTAGGGACTTTACACTTGATTAAAAATTCAAAATACAAACGGAATTAGTTTTCCCCTTTAAAAATTTCATTTTTTAAAATTGTCTTGAGCCTTATAAATTTCAAAGTCTTGACATTTCTAATTTTTGTAAGTTTTTCTATTAGAATATTATTTACTTTAATTTTTTCAACAACTTTATCCTTTTTACTAAAAATAACTATTTATTTGTCAACCTAATTCCTCCCCTATATTTATTCTATTTTTAAAAATATTGTCTGGGTCATTTTAACGTTTTTTGTGTCATAAAAATAATTAAAATTTAGAACAAATCAGAAAATTTGTTAATGACATTAATTAATTAATTCGGAAGGGAATTTAGAAAAATAAATAAATAAATATTTATTTTCATATAAGATATTATTTTTTAATTTTAAAATAAATTTAATTATTTGTATGTACTTTTTTGGGAAAAATTTAAAATTAAAGAAAACCCCTTAAATAGAAAATCATTTTAAAATCATTTGATTTGTATTTAAAAGTGTAGAGATTAAAATAAGGAAATCCGGTTATGATATTTAAAATATTTAGAGAGAAACTTTCTTAATCAGACTTCGGATATAACAAAACACTATAGGAAATTCTGATAAATTCGCCTTGATCCAGCTATATATAATTGACTAGAATTTTTTGGGAAAAGATTAAGCGTGTCAAATTAGATGTTAATTAAGTATGTAAATAATTACCGTTTTAACCAAAAAACGGGAGAGGTTCAAACCTATGATGCGAGAAAAATAAATAATGGAAGTGCTTGAATCTTAAACATAAATAAATATATGACTAAATAAAACAAGGAAAAAAATTTTGAAATAATTTTGTAAAATTTAGAAATACTATTTGTTTCCTCTCTCCCTCTCTAACAGACAGAAATATTTTTAAAAATATTTAGTTAAAATATTAAACAAATACAGTAGTGATTTAGTTACAAAATAAGAAGAAAAAATATTTTTAATTAAAATAAATTGCGGAAAATTTTTGTAGTAATTATTTAATAAAGGTGTGGCAATAAAATATATTTTTTAAAAGATATATAAATTGTTGTGATAACAAAATAATTAAATGAAATTGGAAAATAAGAAGGAGAAGAAGGAGAAGATGAACAAAAATTAATTTTTTTGGTTATGTTCTTTGATGTTTTGTATATAAAATTAAAATATTTTGGCGCTGAAATTGTTTCTCTCTAAATATTTTTTTGGAATTTTTTTGGCAAATTAATATTTACTGATAAGGAATTTTTATAAAATAAAAATGATTGAATAATGAGACTGGAATAATAAAAAATAAATAAATAAATAAATTATTTATTTATAATTTATTGCCAATCAAATAATTTTTTTTTTATATTTTTGCAAATTAATTTTTAAAATAAAAATTAAAAAACAGGGAATTTAAAAATAAAAATAATTCTAATTATTTTAGTCTAAAAACATTACTAAAAAATGAAAAGAAATTTTATTTTTTTTAAAGAGAGAATTCAGTAAAGCAGCTCTCTCCTTTAAAAAGTTATTCGGCGGCTGGGAGCAAACTAGCATCTTCAGTAGACCGGACTTATGATCCATTACACCAATCCGCCTACTGCACAGCCTTAGGAAAGGCTTTATTTTAGGAAAGGCCTTTTCTGCCTTACAATTCTCTCATAATAAAAATTGCTTTCCCCTCGATTAAATGATTACTTATTACCTTAATCCATTGGTGTTTTCGGGCCCAATAAAAGTATAAATTTTATACAAAAAATCTAAAAAGGTCCCGGACTTCATTCAGTCTATTATTCCAAATATTTTATTTGAATCAAACAATTTTTGAAAAAAAGTACACTAAAAGTTCAAAATGAAAAATAAATAAAATAAAATTTTAATTTTTAATCTAAAATACCTATTTCTATTTATCTACAAAAAATTTTTACAAAAATCAAAACAAAAATATTTCTTTTTTTTTAACTACAAACTGGTTATTGCAAATAAATAAATATTTTTAAATATTTTTATTTATTTATTTAAAGTATTTGGATACGCTTATATAGCCGTTACTGTTTGTATGTATTATGACAAAAATTTGTAAAAAAATATTTTGAGTTAATTTTGTAGAAAAATAAATAAATTATTTAAAAAAATGAAGAAATTAAGTAAAGAAAATATTGTGAGGAAATACTAGATATTTTTTAATCGAATCTCCAGTGTGTATTTTATAAAATAATACAGTGGCGGAAATTTAGTTAAAAAATATTATTAGTGATATTTCTGAAAATTATTTTTCAAACATTAATTTCAACATTATTTAAAATTAAAGGTTCCAAATTAATGTTTGAAAAAATAATTTTGAGAAATATCACTAATACGTAATATTTTTTCTTAACTAAATTTCCGTCACTGTATATCTAGAAAACATTAAACTGAAAATTTACTGAACATTTTTTGGTAAAACAAAAAAATTCCAGAACTTATTTAGTAGTTTATTTAAAAAACAGTCTTTAAATTAAAAAAAATATTTTTTTATTTAATTAAAAAGTTTGCACAAAATTATTTTACAAGAATATTAAAAACACACACCTCTCTCTCAATAATATTTTAAATTTTCATGACTGTCCAAAAAGTATTAAATATTTATTTTTATTTAACGAAAAAAAAGGTTAAAACATAAAATAAATTCTTGCAAAAATAAATATATTTATTTATTTATTTAATTAACACAAAAACACACTTTTAAACAAATCAAAACACAAATTTAGACAAAAAACGAAAATATATTCAATCACTCTAACTTTTTTTCTTATCACAATTTAATCAAACAAACATAAAAAGTATTTTAAATATTTAATTGTAAAAACAAAATAATATATAGGTAATTTTTAAATTTATAAATAAAAAAGGAACAACGAAATCCCCCGTTATGAGCAGAGGTGAATCGGCAATGACGAAGATGCCGGAAATCGGCGAAAATTTTGAGAATTTTGGGAAAATCTTCAGTCGGAATATGCTATAAAAATTAGTAGAAGTAGGAAATCGGAATTCAGATTCAACCTCTGGTTAGGAGTGGATTGTGAGAGAGAAACATTTTATGTATATTCGACTGTATTTAAAAATTAAAAAATTTTATTTTGAAATACCCTCCTCAATTTATTAATTAAAAAAATAATAATTCATTTATTTATTTATTTTTATTTTTTAAAATAAATTCTCGTGATTTTAACATTCTAGAAAAAAAAAGAATTAATATTAAATGTAACAATTTACTGATATAAAAATTGTGAAAAAAAAAAAAGAAAGTCAAATTAATGTTCTTTTTTGTGTTGATTTGGCAATTAAATAAAAAGAGAATTAATTTATCTAAAAATGTTTTGTTGCAGAGGAAATTGTGATAAATATATAAATAAAAAATAAATCAGTTGATCTTTATTTTATTAAATAAATTTAAGAAAAAATGTTTAAAAAATATATTTATTTATAATTAAAGATCGGATTGAGATGAAATCGCAGAAAATATCTCGGTTATGAAAAATTAAATAAAAAAAATTTCGACATCAATATTCTTTGACATATCGATCTCGATTATCGTATGATATTCCCAATTCATTTTTATTTAAAAATATTACTTAATATAATTTTATATAAATTTATTTAAAATAAAAATTAATAAATTTATTTTTTAAATTATTTAATATTTTTATAAAATTATTTTTTAATATTTTATTTTTGCTTTTTATTTTTATTAAAAATCACACCACTTTTCCATTATGCAACAAACACTAAATGTTTTTAATCATTTAGTTGATCTATTTGATGGACGGACGTGACGCATGATTAAATATATATTTAAGTTATTATTATTTTTTGTTGTTGTTCTTTACTCAAAATAATTATAATTATTTTTAATTTAATAATTACTGTAAATTCTCCAATAGAAGCACACCCTCTAATATAAATTTGTAAAAAATATAAAAATTCAAAATGTCCACAAAATATCAATTTTATCATTTCAAATAAAAATACATTTACAAAAATTTAATTGTTCTTTATAAAATCACTTTTTTAAATAGCCGTTCCACGTTCCAAATCTTCTTTAATATTTGCAGTATATTTTCCATAATAACGTTCCAATTTATGATTAAATTTACGATTACGTTCATTAATAAAATCGATAGGTGCATCTGGATCAAACATACGTCTACGGTGATATTGATCTCGTTTTTTCATTCTTTAATTAATTTTTTGAATTGTAAAAAATGTTTAAAAATTAAAGGAATTTTTTGAATTTAAAATTGTTTTGTTTTAACCAGACATGGTCATGGATACGGATACAGATAATACAAAAATGCCTACGGATATCCGCCTGTATCCGTCTGCATCCGCCGTAAATATCCGGATATGGATATCAAAATTCGTATCCATGTTCTAGTCTGATTTTAACCGCCAAAAATTATAAAAAAAATTAAAAATATTTCTAGGAAGCAAATATTTCAGAACAATCCAGTTTGCCAGCTTCCCAATATATGCTGTAAATACTCTAATAGAGGCCCACAACTTGTAGAAGCCCACCTCTAATATAAACCCATCCGGATGGGCCCATTGAGAAATATAAGCCCAGGGCTTCTATTCGAGTATTTACGGATTTTATTTTAAATTAAAAAATATTTAAAATAAATTTACTGATTGTGAACATCTTCAGAAAGACGATCCAATGCTTTATCTGTTGGATAATGAGAACCTTGGATGAGTGTATTGGCTGATGGATAAAATTGTTCTTCTCCTCTATAAAAATATATTTTAGTAGACAATTAAAATATACATTTACTTACATAACTTCTTTCATTTTTTGATAAGACTCCATGTCCGGTTTAATTGAATTTGTTTGACGTTCATATTGACGAAGAGACATTGCCTCGTAACCTATAAGTTAAAATATAAACAAAAAATTTTTATTTAAAAATAAAATATAAACAAACTAGCAAATCCCGTGTCCGGATTATTTTTCCTTCTTTTCGCCGTTTCCATCTTCTCTGCCACATCAGCTTGTGTATCCAAAGCTTTTAAACGTTCGAAATCTTCGCCTCTCTCCTCCGCTTTCTAAAAATAAAATTTTCCAAAATAATTTTAAAATTCAAAAAAACCTTTTTCGCTTCAAGTTCTGCCAATTCCCATTCTTGTCTTCTTCTTTTCGCTTCAAAATTAGCCGGCAATTTTGAACGTCTATCTTCTTCAACTACTTGTTCATGATTTATTTTTCTGGATTCCTCCTAAAATTTAAATTTTTATTAATTATTTTTGTTAAATTAGGAAGTTTACCCTTTTCTGGTGAAGAGATTTGAAGCGTTCCTTGAATTGAGCCAAACTTGTTTTTGAAACGCCTAAATCAATTTTAGCATTCATAATAAGCAAATCTAAAAATCGTTTTAGTTTCAGTGTTTAAAAAGTAAAAAATATTTTTAAAAGTTATTTTTTAACATTTAAAATAAAAATATTATAGAAAATAATTTTATTAAAAAATTTCAAAAAATCAAAGAGGCAACATTTCACCAACTCCAGCTCGATCCTTATTAATAAAATCAATGTTCATCTTGTTTGCATTTCCTCGTCTAGTTTGTTCTAATCTTTTTTCATCCGCATCTTCTTCACCAGTAAATAATGTAGGGAATTCTGCGACAAAATCCTTCTAAAAATTATTTTGATTTTAAAGAAAAAGTGAATTTCTTAAAAAATTAAAGAGGATATTTTTTAATTTTACTGATCCTTCAAATTAATTATGTTAAATACCTTAAAGAAAACAAAAGCTATTTTCTTGTCCTCATCCTTCCACAATGCTCTTCTCTTTTGTTTATCTAATGGATGATCCCAAGTGATTTTTCCTTCCACATTTCTTAAACGAACATCACGTACGGGAAATTTGTAAATTTTTTCCAAATATTCTCGGACATCTTGAAAAATTAAATTTAATTTAAAAAATATTAAATTCTTTTTATTTCAATTGGAAATTGCCAATAATTTCACCCAAAACCGAGAATCAAATTTTACATAAAATATACCATTATTTCCAAAGCAACCCCCGAAAAACCCATCTGAATTATTTTCCAAATTTCACAAAAATTAAATTACCAAATCGAGACATCCTCAGATCCACTTCAAACATTGCAGCATTCTTTGGTAATCGCATATACCCAACCTTATGAGGTTCCAAAAGTTTTATCCAAAAATCGGGCAAAAAAACACGAGGCCTTCCATCACCAGGAAACCAGAGCCTATGAATTCTTGATGTCATTCTATATTTAAGAAATATTTAAAAAATGTTAGCAAATAAAAAAGGTAATAAAAAGATATTTGTAAATCATAAAAATAATTAAAATTTTATTTTAAAAGTTTATTTAACAAAATTTAAAAAAACTAAAAATTTAAAATAAAGAAAAATAATTTAAAATTTAATAGATTTAATTGTACTAACACGAATTCCTCTTTTTTCACCTCCATATCGATCAATTTCGCGTCGCAAATCAGGCACCTTGGATTAAAATGAAAAATCTGATCTTACATCAACAAAATACCTGTGACCGTTTCTTTATCATTGCTTTATGAAACTTCCTTCGATTAACAATACGGGCATGCCTTTTAATCTTTTTCCGTCCTCTATCTTTTGGAATACCTTTATTTTTTCTCATCTAAAATAAAAAAAGGAAATTTTGAAGCTGTTAACTACTTTTCAGCACTTTCATTCCTTAAACGATTTCGAATCGAGGCTTGAAGAAAATAGGGGAATAAGCTGAAATCGAGGTCTGACCAATGCGTTTTTGAGGAGGGAAATCGGGAAGAAAAGCAAATGATCAGCTCAAAAATTAAAAAAATATAAAATAACCTCATATGTTATTTTTCTCCTCTCTCTGCCAGAATCATCTTTATTTCCTTGTTTAACATCAGACTCACTCATCACAGAGGAATTTTCAGAATTAGAATCGTCATCAATCTTAATTAAACATTTAAATTGATTTAATAGGATGCAGTTAATTTTAAGGGAAGACAATTGAATAATTTAAAGGAAAATCAATTCAAAAAATCCCAACCTCCTCAATAATTTCATCCTCGTTTCCTTCCCCATCCGATGAATTACTTGTAACTGCCGGGTGTTGAACTTCAATTTGAAGTAAATCAGCAAGTCCACATTCCTCACCCGGATCATCATTCTCTTCAGAATTATTCAACTCAAACTCTTTTCGGAAAAATTGATTAAAATCCAAGCAGGAATTTGCATTTTCTAATTTTATTTGGCGAGCGATTGCGTCTTGTTCTTCTAATTGTAAAGCCTCTTCCTCGTCAGAATCATGAATTGCTCCACCATAATCACCATCTACATAGGATGTTCCATAATAATTACGACGTAATTTCCCCCATTTATTGCTAGTTATTTGGTTATCTTTACAAAAAAATTAAATTAAAATAAGAGTAAATAAATAACCATTATTTAGACTTTCCTCTCCATCAGTAAATCCTTCTTCATCTTCAGAAAAATCTTCATCAGAAATAACCCTCAAAACTTCTTTTGCCAAAGGTTTTTTTGGTTGCTTAACAATTTTTAAAAGCTTCGCATCATATTCAGCGTGAAATTTGTCTATTTCATCAAATACTTCATCACCGTCATCGACTTTTTGAGAAAGCACGATTCTTGAAGAACCAGAATTCTTAACACTAAAATTTAATTTGAATAAAAAACTAAAAATTAAATACCTACATTCTTTTCTTTTTATGTTTTCGTTTCCCCATTTTCAGAAATTTAGTAGTCGAAAATCCAAAAATTATTGATTAAAATGTGGATTTGGAACTCAACCGGCGGGACTCAATAGTTCCCCAATTTAGCCGTACTCTGAACCGGCTGCCCTGAAACGGCCTACTCTGAAAGGTCCCCTACCCTTTTCGGTACCAGCTGTTTAACGAGATTTTGGTTTTTATTTTCGTAGAAATTTGATGGTATTTTAAATAATCAAAATGACTCGTCATGCAAAAAATGCAACAGCAGCTTCAGTTTACACCTATCATGAACGTCGAAAAGATGCTAGTGTTTCTGGTTATGGAACTTTACATGAACGTTTGGGAAAAGATTCTATGAAATCGTTTGATTGTTGTTCTCTTAGTTTACAACCATGCAGGTTTTTTTTATTTATTTACTCATTCTTTACCTTCTAATTTAGAGAACCATTAATATCGCCACAAGGGCATATATTTGATCGTGAGGCAATTTTAAATTATATATTGGATCAAAAAGAAGCATACAAACGTAAATTGAAAGTTTGGGAACAACAGAGACGGATTGATGAAGAAAAAATTGAAAATGTAAGGATGTTATTTGATTCAGAATTCTTTTTTAAAATTTTTTTAAGGCTTTAAAGAAAGAAAAAGATAAAATGAAAGAAAAATTAATTGCTTTGGAATCAGCCCCTTTACCCCAAAAAACACAAGTTCCGTCTACTCCAGATGTTCGACCATTAAAACGTCCACAAAATGATAAGATGGAAGGGCCAAGCAACAGCAAAAAAGTTTTTGAAGAGGAAAGTATTTCAAATATGGAAGGGGCAAAAGCAAAGGAATGGAAAAGTTTTTGGGTGCCTGTTCTTTCTACAACAGCAGAACCTGATCGAATTGAGAAACCGGTATTTTTTAAAATTTTTTCCAAAAGAGATTTATTGACATTGGGGATTAAAAAATTTAACAATAAATATATTTTCTAGTGTTGCGCCGGAAGTTCCGGTTCCGGTAGGCCGGAAGTTCCGGTAGGCCGGAAGTTCCGGTAGGCCGGAAGTTCCGGGATTTTTTGGTTCCGGTTCCGGCTCGTTTGTAAGGTTCTGGCCCGGAACAAAAAAATTATCCGATTCCGGTCAAGGTTTCAGATCCGGTTCCGGCGCAACACTAATATTTTCCCAAAACCCCCTTAATTATTTTTGTTTATCTCAATTTATTCTTTTTTTAGTCAAATAAAATTCTGTGTCCAATCAGCGGTGTTGAATTAAAATTCAAAGAACTTCTTCCCGTCAAGTTTACCCCAATTGATGAAAGAATTGAATTTAGTAAATTAATTGCTATGAATGAACGTTATATTTGTCCAATATCTCGTGATGTTCTCACAAACAGTATTCGTTGTGTTTATTTAAAAACATCGTTAGTTTATTTTTAAAAAAATATTTTTTTATTAATTTTTTAGGAAATCTGTTGTTTGTTCCCCTTGTATGGAAAAAATTATTCGTTTGGACATGATTGATCCCCTCTGTGGGAAGTCTCTTCAAGATTCTGATGTAATTGAATTAAGTCGAGGTGGGACAGGTTATGCAGCAACAAATGATTTGAAGGCGAAATTGATTAGACCCCAACTTGAATTACAATAATGATTTTAGAAATTATTCTAATTGTAAGGATTTTTTCGTGTTTTTAAAAAATATTTTATAAATTTTTTGGGATTTTATAAATTAAACTTTCCGAATCGTTTTTGTCAAAAAAAACTTCGACCCTATCCTAAAAAGAGGGTGCCTTGATTTTTTTTCATCATTTTTTCCAACCTTAATATATAAATAATGGTCAGTCTTTTCTTCTTCGTGCAATTCCAATCTTTTTTCCTGTGGCATATTCAAATGAGAGGACAGAAAAATACACTCACGGGCAGACAAAACACAGACGAAGACGGACAGACAAAACACGGACGAGCACGGACGAACACGGACAGACAAAACACGGACGAACACGGACAGACAAAACAAGTTTGTGTGTGTCCGTCCGTGTTTTGTCTGCAGTGTATGTTCTTTTCTGTCCTCTCAATTGAATATGCCAAAGGTAAAAAGAGTGGAATTGCACGAAGAAGAAAAGACTGACCATTATTTATATATTAAGGTTGGAAAAAAATGATGAAAAAAAATCAAGGCGCCCTCTTTTTAGGATAGGGCCAAAACTTCTTTTAATTTTTATTTATTTTTCTACAATCAACTAATTTCATTTTTCCATCCTCTAAAGTAGCCAATAATACATTTGGTGGTGAATAATGAATAACCCAACTGCTAAAGGTTGTCGTTTAATAAAAATTGTTTTTGGCGCTTCAAAGTTTCAGCGAATTTCACTTGCTGAATGGAAACGACACAGAGTGGAAATGAAAAAAGAATCAAAATGGTCTCGTTTGTTGATCAGGCCAAGTCTTACTAGAGAACAATTGGAAGCTGAAAGAATTGAACGTGCTAAGAAACGAGATGAATACAATAAAAGAACGAGTGCAAATGTGACTGAAAGAACAAAAAACCATTAAGAGGTCGTCCAAGATTCAAGGTTTTAAAAAACTCTTTAAATATTTCCCCTTTTTATAAATGTCTATATTTTAATAGTAGGAGCTTGGTTAACAAATTAGATGCTTTAAGATTACTTTTACTTTCCAAGTCCTTTAAAATAATTTGTATTTCCGAATCGTGGTTGAACAAAAAGATCGATAATTCCCAAATTTTACATACTTCACCTTATTCCATTGTCAGATGCGATAGAAGTTCTAGGGGCGGTGGTGCTTGTATTTTAGTAGATAATATAATTCCCTTCTCTCCCGTTAAAATTCCTAAAAATAAAAATTCCGACATTGTTGCCATAGACATTTACTCCCCCAAATTTGACAAATTTCGAATAATAACCGTATACCGTCCTACCACAAACGAAAATTTTAAAGACTTCCATGAACTTCTTGATACATTAAGTTATTTAATATCTATTAATCATAACTACATAATCGTAGGTGACTTTAATTTCCCTAATCTAATCTGGAAGACCAACATACCACTCGCTCTCAACCACAAATCACCTTCTGAAAAATTATTTATCGAATTTATAGAAAGCTATAATCTATTTCAAGAAATCTCTTCCCCAACCAGACAAGATAACTATCTCGATTTACTTTTTTCCTCTTCCGCCTTTCGCGTTGTAAAAAATATTACCATTAATGCCCCCTTTAAAAATTCTGACCATAACACCATTGAATTTAACTTAAATTTTAAATATTTTCCCAAAAAACCAGAATTTATACTTGACTTTCATAATGCCGATTACAATCAAATTAACAATATCCTAATTGGTTTAAACTGGAATACCTTGTTTTTAAATTGCACTGATGTAGACTCCCAATATACCCTATTTTTAGAAATCATTCACCAAACAATCCGAAATTTCATACCGTTAAAAAAGATCAATAAAGACCTTACTAGATTCCCAAAACATATTCAAAAAATTATCTCATATAAAAATCTTTTATGGAAAAATATTAATAAACCTGCTATACGTGAAAAATATATTCTCACACAACAAAAAATTGATAAAGAAATTTCTCGTTTCTTTAAAAATAGAGAAATCTCAAAATTCAATGATTCACGATCTAGATTTCAGTATATAGGGGCTTTCCTTAAATCCAAAAAATCCAAAATTCCAATATTCAACATTAATGATAGACTTACCATTTCAGACAAAGATAAAGCCGAATGTCTTGCAATACAATTCAAGTCTGTCTTTAACTCTTCTAACTTTGATTCCTCTGATATAAACAATCCAAACAAAAACACATTATCCTTTATTGATATCAATCCAGAGGAAATCTATAGCACTATAAACAAACTCGACAATGTTAATAACATATCACCGGACGGCATTCCCAACATTTTCTTAAAAAACACCGCAGTCTCATTAACCACTCCATTAACAATTATGTTTAACATGTCAATCATGACAAGTAAAATTCCATCTATATGGAAAAAGTCAATAATCCGACCTATTCCTAAAAATAATAATCCTAACGAACCTAAAGATTTTCGACCTATCTCTCTCTTATGTTCAACCTCTAAAATTTTGGAACGAATTATTTCAAATAAATTAACTTCATTTCTTGAATCGAATAATTACCTTCCTGCTTGCCAACATGGGTTTCGTAAAAACCACTCAGTTATAACTCAACTCCTAGAAACCTATAATGACTACACATTAGCTATCGAAAATAAAAAATGTGTTGACGTTATATTCTTCGACCTGGCAAAAGCGTTTGATACTGTCCCCCACGATCGCCTTCTGAAAAAACTATATCATCTAGGTATCACTGGCGCATTACTAAATTGGATTGACGATTATTTAATAGACCGAACTCTTTCTGTTCTTGTCGAATCTGAAAATTCTAATGAATATCATATAACAAGTGGAGTTCCTCAAGGATCAATCCTCGGCCCTATTTTATTCATCTCATATATATTTGATATAATAGATTTCTGTAAGACAGATAATGTTACACCCAAATTATTTGCTGACGATTTAAAGGCCTATACCTGCTTTGATTTTCCAAATAAAAACCACTATTCTCCACTCCAAACATTTATCCAAAAATTCTCAAAATACTGCGAAATAAATGGCCTTAAAATCGCTATCAGCAAATGTAGCTCACTCCACATAGGAACTAAAAATCCCTTCCACCAATACTCTCTACAAAACATAAATATACCAATCATTCCACCCAACGAACCTATTCGTGATCTAGGCATTTATTTTACATCAAACTTAAAATGGGATTCTCACATTAAAATAATAACAAATAAAGCAACTGGAATTTATTATACTCTTATAAGATCTCTTAAAACTAATAACACTCAATTCCTAACTACTTTATTCAAAATATACGTCTTACCTATCCTCGAATTCGGATCTCCTATAATTAACCCTTATTTAAATAAAGATATAAATTCTTTAGAAAATGTTCAACATAAATTCTTAAAAATATTATACTTACGCTCTATGAAACACAATAACAGCCCAACATTACCTAATTATAAAGAACTCCTTGACCTGTTTAAACTTGAATCTCTATCGCACAGACGTTTAAAATCAAATCTTATCCTTTTCCATAATATTATCTCAGGCAAAATTAAATTAAAACATGATAATTCATTCAGCATTCTCCCTACCACTACTAGAGGTAACCCGCATAATTTATTTATACCCTTTTGTTCAAGCACCATTCGGAAAAACTCATTCTTTATAGACATCCCAAACATTTACAGAAAACTCCCAACAGAATTACAAAAATCGTCAATCGAATTGTTTCCAAAGCTCCTAAACAATATTAACTTAAACAATGTTTTATCAAAGCCACTTTCCATTCAATTGCCTCCAGACCTTATATAAAACAATTGATACATTTTTATTTATTTTATCTGAATGTCACGTTTTTATGCGTATAAATTGAATTGAATTGAATTGAATTTTCTTTACCTTTAAAAAAATATATTTTTTAAATTTAAAAGTAAAAACCTTTCCATTAAATAAATATTTTTCTAAAAATTCATTAATTTCTATAATTTCATGTACTTCAAATTCACATTCCCATTTTTTAAAATCATCCAAATTAATCTTCTCTTGTTTATTTTTTCTTTTAAAATATATAATTGCGATGTACAAAAATATTAAAAATGAAAAATATAAGAGAACCAAAGCAACAACTAAAAGACGTTTTTCAAAGTTGTATAAACGTAGTAAAACTTCATCAACTTAAAATAAAATTTTGAGAGTTAATTTTAAAATTAAATTTTCAAGAGACTAGAAACTGTCCGTTTTCCCCCCAAATATATTTATTTTAAACCTGCTTTTGGATCAGCATTTTTCCAATCACCCGCCGGCTTTTGTCCACATTCATGCTCCAAGTAAAGCCTATAAAGAGGATCATAATTGCCAACCATTGCTAAGACATAGGCATTAAAATAGTTTAAATTGCTTGGATTTCTAGAGGAAGTTGATTTTTGTTCTTGATATTTACATAAAACTTTACTGTTATAAATTAATCTTCGACTTTGAAAGGAAAAACATTGGCGTATATAACAAATAAGAGAATCTCGTATCATCTGAATTTTAAATAAAATATTCTTCAAATAAATTCCTAAATTTTTAGACTTACAAAATTTTGTCTGACAAAAAGAAATTTGATAAAAACGACCGGTTTAGTGCCGAATTAAGAAAGTATTTTTAATTTGTTTGAAACTGCATTAAAGCTCGGATTTATAGGCAAGTAAAAAATGAGAAATAGGCGCCCTAAATGGGGACCAAAAAGCCAAAAAGGCACAAAAATAGGCAAGTAAAAAAGCTATCAGTTGTGATAAACTATACTTACTCCCTATCGAGTACTGTAAAAGTCCGTGAAAAGTCTAATTACATCGCCCTTCTTAAACACAACTCGAAAAAATTTTAGAACACCTTAATAACACGATAATTTATTAGAATATATACAAACACAATACAAATATAGCAATACAATACAGTAAAATACAATTATAGCGAAAACGAATGTCGAAATATTTATACAATCGTGAGGCAAATCAATAGGGCGAAATATTTCAATTTTATCTTTCACATCCCTCATTCCCAGTCATATGGATGCTCAGGGATCCTGTTCTCGGTGAGATATGCGCGCAGCATCTTCATTATCCAGCTGTAGTCTGGACGACCGTAGAAACGCATCTCATCTATATGCCTCAGGATAGTGATGAATTCATCAGGGCAGCCAGCGACGAGGGCACGCACAGCATCAGTTCGCACCTTCAGTGGATTGTTCGGGAGTCTAGCTTCTTTGAACGTACCAATCTGCAAAATCAATTACTTATTAGTTAAGAATTTCTCAAAAATTCGTACCGCATCCATGTCGCCGACACCGCTCCAAGGAAGTTTGCCGGCATAGATTTCGACCATCATGTAGAACCTAGTAGAGAAAAAGTTAAGATTTGAAGGAAAGAAACTCGTCTATCAGAGACTTACCAGGATTCCATGTCATCCTTACGTGCGTATTCTCTTTTGATGTGTGCTGATGTAGCCGCATAACGTGGAGTACCTCGGAAACGTGCAGACTCCCTTGGACGCATCAACGACCCATCTGAGTGCATGAACTTTCTCGCGATCCCAAAATCAAGCACGTAGATTATCTGCTGTTCTCCCTCTTCCTTCCGTCCGGTAGTCGTGTTTGCCGGCTTGATATCCCGGTGGAGATATCCAATGCCGTGAAGAGCCCGTAGCGCGTTGACCATCTGAATTGAGACGCCGATCGCCGTACCAGGAGAGAAGCGTCGACCAGGCCGAGCTTTGACGAGTTTGTCCAGTCCTGGGCCAACCAGCGACATCCTAAAAAAAAAGGTAAGTTACTGCTTAATTTACTGCTCCCTAAAAAACCCCGTTCTACCCGTGTATGTAATCCAAAATTCTTACACGATATAGTTGAAGGACACCTTTCCAGCAGGTCCAATGGTCTGGCTGTCCCTGCCGATGTCGAAGCACTTAGTGAAGTGACGGTCGTCCTTTATGCGATGCAGTTCTTGAAGAACATGGGCCTCCATTGCTAGTAGCGGCATTGACGCATCGACTGGCTCAGTTTTGAGAGCCCCTTCCCTCAAGCCGAATTTGCAGTGGTAGACAGCTCCGAATGCACCGGCACCAAGCTTTTTGATGATCGTCCATTTCTCTGCAACTTTCATCCCTGGCGACAACTCGACGAGCTGCGGCGGCATTCCTGAAGAATCTGTTGAGAGCTCCGGAAATGAGATAAGCGCAGGAAGGTATACAGATGACTAAAAAGCAAAAAAGTAATTGATGAAGATGAACGACCAAAATAAACTAAAAAACTAAACCGTACCTTGGAAGATAACGTCGTGACGAGGAAAGCCAAGTGTGCCAAGAGCCAAGCAGGTTAGAGACAGCGCCAATGCAAGCAGCGTGAGTTAATTGGGTGTGGTTGTGAATAGCAAAAATCTGTTGGCTTTTATAGTCGAGATTTAAGGATTAAATTAAGGCTAGTGACTCAATAAGGAGTAAACCATTCCATCCAAAATAATTGATAATTATTTTAAATAATGATTAAATTACCTATTTATTAAACTAATAAAAAAAGATTTATTTTTAAAAAAGAATTAAAAATATGTTTTTAAGACTAATCAAAATTTATTTAATAGGCAAAAGCATAGCTGTTGTTATTGCTCTTCCTGCTTCATTTTCAACCAATACAGTATATGAGCCTTTAAATTATTTTAAAATTATTATTTTTTAAATTTAAATAACCATAATGATGATTACAGACATATTTAATTGTGCATCTACATATATCTAAATTGTTAAAAAAATCTTTCAAAATTAACTTGTATAAAGGAAACTTTTAAAAATAAAAACGAATAAATAATATAGAGAATTTTACTCAATATATTAGGTTCTTCAGCTAATTTTGAAAATATTCCCAGACCTGCACGATGTCAAGGATTTTTCTATCCGTTTTCGGATATGTCCGTGGAGTTAATATCCGTATCCGTTTTATACCGTATCCGTTATTAAATTTTTTAATTTAATTATTACCAGAAGTGTCTTCCAAAATTACATCATCAAAAGTCAACTTTTCATCATTAAATAACCAACAAACCTTTTTTAAATAAAAATTAAAAATAATTTTTTCTGAAAAAACTTTTGGTCTAGGCGATCCTAATATCATACAGTCAAAAATTGCTGTAGAACCTTCAATGCAACGAATATCAGAAAAAACTTTGAGAAATTCTGGTGGTTGAAACAAAGAATTTTTTGTAAATTTAAAATCAGGAATTTCATAAAGTAATTGATCGACTTGCTATTAAATAGTAAATATTTTTTAAATTAAAAAAAATATTTTTTTCTTTTACTTTTGTAAGCGGTTGATTTGGTATTAAATTACTAAAAGTTTGTCGATGCCTTAATGATGATGAACTTGGGGAAATTAGTAATTGTGAAGGATATTGTTGCGTTGGATTGCTTAATATATATTTTTAAATTAGAGAATATAAATGTACTTACAAATCTTTATCATTCCAAAACATATTTTTGGTACTTCTTAAAAAGAGGAAGGGGGGTTATTTAAATAATGGATATTATTTAATGTTAAAAGACCGGTTAAAACTTTGTGTATATTCTCCTCTTCCAGGTTCTCCTTTCCTCTTGAAAGAATAATAATTGGCAAACTGTCGAGAAGATAAAGAGGAGGAGCCAATTCCACGGCCATAACTATGCCCATTCATTTATGTTGAAAATATAAACACTTGAATATTATCTACGTAAAATTACTTTTCCGGAAACAATCCGGAAACAAATAATATTTAGTATGTTAGACAGTGATTTAAAGGAAATAATTCTTGCGAAAAGATGAGGAAGGATTTAGAGAAAATCAAAATCATCTTTACTTATCAACACAGCTTTACTAAATGTTTACACATTAATATACTATGAAGATGAATAAATAAAGTAAAAAAAAGTTCTCAAGTTCAGTCTTTGGTAAACACAAAAATGACTGGAAGTGAGATAAAGCTCTAGAAATCTTATAAAAAGCCTTACAAAAGAATAAAGTTTTTGATAAAATCGATAAAACTTGTAATGAGCTACTTAATTTTGTTTTATAAAAATCAAACAAATTCCACCTAAAATTTTAAGGGATTTTAAAATTAAAAATAAATTTATTTTTTATTTAAAATTAAAAAATAAACACAAAAAAAATAATTATTTTAACTTATCAAAATAATCAAAAGCCTTTTCATAAGCATTTTTTGTTACATTCAATAATGGATGTATTGGCTCCTTAAAATTAAAATTTGTATATTATTTTAATTAAATTAACCAATAAATTATTTTCTCCCCCAATTATTTCTTCATTTGTTTTAGCAAAAGATTGGGCTATTGAAAGGCCAGAAAGTGCATAACAAGTATGATATAAATCAACTTGTCTATATTTAAATTAAAAAATATATTTAATTTCTTTAAATTCAATACTTTTCAGGTTTATCTCTAAACCCTCCACAATTATTTTGTGAAATTTCCAAAATATATTTTTGTAAATCAACAACATTAAAAAGACATTTATCTTCCTCTATTGAATTTCCTCTATTAAATATTTCATTTTCAATAGCACAAAAACAAGCTGATAACCAATAAGAATAACAAACATCCACTAATTTATTTGTCCGGCCCTAGAAAATTTTTAAAAAAATTATTTTGTCTAAAATATTTACTTGAAATCCCCCTTCCAACTTCATTTGTCTAAAAACAAGCCAACGTAAAGCTGATTGTGTGTCAATTAAATACATTTTTTGCATTAAAGCAAATGTAGCTAGAGCACAAAAAGTATAACCCCCGTGTGACTCACAACCAGGCTCTCCACCAAAACCGCCTTCATAGGTCTTTAAATAATTAAAAAAATTATTTTTTAATTCCACAAAAATTACTTGACAACGTGTTAACCATGCAGACGATCCTTCAAATAATTCTTCCAAATTAGGCAAATTACACAAATAAGAAACAGTAAAAGCACAATAAACTGCTCTTTAAAAATAATTAAATTTTTATTTAAAAAATAGTATTTACCTAACATCAATCTCTCCATCTTCATGAACACAAAAACTTCCATTGGACTGTTTCATTGATGAAATAAATTCTTTTAATTTGTCCCGTTCAATTGAATTTAAAGCTTCCTCAGTTCCAATTTCAACTAACGTCATTACCTTTATAAATATTTTAATCACAATTTAATTTTAAAACATTTACTGCAGCATAAGTAGTAACAATATGTGGACAATGTCCGGGGGCCCCAGCATATCCACCAGAAGATTTACACAAATTAAGCACAGAAACAATTCTTTTTTTACATAAATTTTAATTAAAAAATATTTTTAAAAACCTATTAGCCAATTCTTCTTTTAAATGTCCACCAAGTAAACGTAAACTATGAACACCCCAAAAACATAACCAGGCTCTACTTGAACTTAATTCCTTTTTAAAAAATATTTAAAAAATAAAAAATAATTTTCTTTACAGAATATCCTCCAGGTAAATTATTTAATAACCCCAAAATAAAATTAATATGTTGTTGACGATGAAGTTTAAAATTATTTAAATCATCTTTTGTTGTTGTTGCCCTAATAGATTTAATTATATTTTCTAATTTTATCTAAAAAATAAATTAAAATAAAAAAATATTTTTAAATTTATTTTTACTTGTTCAATAGAAGTTTGGGTTATAAAACCATCTGGATGTCCCAAAAAAGAATTTGTATCCTCTTCTTCCTCCATATTTTTCTCAATAATTTTAATAATTCGTAAATTAACTTTGTTTAAATATTATTTATTTATTTTAAAAATATTTTTAAAATATTTTTTTAAAAATTAAATATTTATTTTATAAAAATATTTTTAGTAAAATTATAATTTTTAAGAATGCTCATTAAATGCATTAATCTTTTTCTGAATTCTTTCAATATTTTGGCGATGACAAAAGAAATGAGAAATTGAGTCAAAACGATGACGGACAAAGGCACTAAAAATTAATTTAATTAAATAATTCAAAAAAACCTTTCCATAATTCTTTTTTTGCACATAAAACAAACAACACTTTCATTAATATTTATACGCTGTTGTTTCAATAATTTAAAATTTATTTCCGTTCTATTTATTGCAATTTGTGTTAATGCCATTAATAAATTTACCTTTAAAATAATTTTTATTTAAATAAAATTTTAAAAAACCATAGTTAGTCGAGTACAAAGTGTTTCAAAAACAGCCTTTAACGCTATATCTATCCTTAATAATGGTGTTTCTGATGGAATTAATGCAAAGGCTTTAACTAAAAAATAATTAGAATTTTTTATGATTTTTAAAAATAATTTAAAAAAAACTGGGAGAAGTACAAAAGTTAAAAAATCAAAATGCCAAAAATATCGAAATAAAAAATACCAAAAAAACCTCAGTTCTACCTTAAAAAACATTCCAAAAACAAACCAATATTTATTTTATTTGCGTGTCTCCTCAACAATTTCAAAGCTTCTGTTATATTTGGCCTTTTCTGTGGAGAATGTTCTACTGATACAATTTGTTTTTCTCCATTTTCTTTCGATTTTTTTCTATTAATTTCATCTCCACCAGAAACATAAGAACAAAATAAATTGTAAAAAATCTATAAAAAATTAAAAAAAATTTTTCTAAAATTAAAAATTACTTGAGAATTATTTAAATCGTTTTCGTTATAATAAATTAAACAATGTCTCTCTGCTGCAGCAAAATCAACTAATTTATTTGTATAAATTGAAAGGGCTTCTTTATGTTGACCTAGCCGACCATAAAGGATTGCCTGTTCATCGGCCAAAACTTTAAAAAAAATTTTTTTTAATTAAAAATCTCTAAAAAAATTTTCAAGAAATTTCTCGAACCTTCATCTTTTTCAATTAACTTCAACGTATCCTTCACTGTATAATATTTATCAGTCTCCAAAAATGCTCTAAGTTTTCTTCTTAAAATTACCAATTCATTATTATCAATATTTTCATCATTTGAAGATAATGAACGCATAAATTGATTATTTACGGGTAATTTAACAAATTGAGATAAAAGAGATTTAATTCTAGTAATATATTGAAGTACAAGTTCTTCATGAAATTTTGGCCTTTTATCTTCCCATTCGTAAATTATATGTTCCTTTAAATAAAATATTTTCTATATGTTAAGATAATTCAGCAAAATATTCAAAAAATAATTATTTTGGAAATATAAAAAAATTAGGGAAGAAATTGTTTAAAATAAAAGTACAAATTATAGAGAAATTTTGTTCGAAATAGATTTACTTTTTTAATTTAAAATTGTTCAAAAATTAAAAAAAAATTTTTTAAATACCAAATAAGGAATAACAGCAGCAGGAAATTGTCGCTTCAAAAATTGTAAAACAGAATCTCTATCAAAATTTTTTGCATCTACGGAAGAATCAATACCCGTAAAAATCTTTAAAAAAATATATTTACTTAAAATTTAATTAAAAATACCTTAACACCCAATTCAATATCTTCAGCCAAAACAATTGGAGAAAATTCTAAAATTAAAGAAAGTTGTTCAGATTTTAATTTCATTAAGAAAGTAGCTATTTTTTCAATTCCATGGGCATGTGTAGCTGCTTCAGGTTTTTTAACTTCTCTTTGAAAATATTCGAGATCTTAAATTTTTTTTTAAATTTTTAAAAATCCAAAAAAAACATTTTCTAAACATTTTCTTCCTTTCATATAAAATTAGCAATTCCTCAAACAATCCAGCTTTTTTCAAATCTTTTTCAGCTTCAGAAATAATACAACAACAATTTTTAAGTCTCAATAATGGACCGATAAGTTTTGGATTTATCTAAATTTTTAAAATTATTTTTCAAAAAGAAAACTCCTTTTAAAAAACCATTAAATAAGCCTTTAACAGAACAGTATCAATTAATTCCAACGCTACTTCATGTCGTTTTAATGAATTTGTTGAAAGAATATTTTCTTTTCTTTCTTCTTTGTAATCCAAAAAATGTAAATTAATTGGCTTTGAATGTTCTTGTCTTTTCTTTTTAATTTAAAAAAATATTAAAATTTGAATCTAAAAAATACCATTGAAATGAATTTAATAAGGGCATCAACTGCTTTTTTATGAATTTCTTCTTCATCCAAAGAATTTTCTTCATTTGAAATTCCATACAATTTAATTTCATTAATAAATTTTTCGGTTGAACAAGAATATTTTTCAGGAAGAAATTTTGGAAATAAATTAATAATAAATAGAAGATCTAGAAAAAAATTTTTTAATGTGTTTTAGCTGTAAAAATATACCAGTTTTTAATTCAGCATGTATATCAAAACATTTAGAAAATTTTCTCTCCAAAAAAGATTTAGCTGCAATTGACTTTTTTAAATTAACAATTTCTTTTTCATCTACAACATCAGAATAAACATTCTAAAATAAAATTTTCAAAAAATTTTTACTTTAAATTTACAGCAATTTGTAAAGCAATTTCGTGGTGTCCATTTAAATTTAAAAATTTTAAATTATCCCTAAGTTTATTTTGTGTATTTAATTTCCAAGCTTGTGTATCATTTGCTGCATAAATTGAACCTCTAAAAATTATTTTAAAAATAAAAAAAAATTTTTCAAACCTTCTTCCAATATTTAACATAAAAACTTTATTTAAATTAATTTTTTGAATAAAAATTGAAGGAGTTATTAAACGTATTTCAATACAATTAGTACATAAAATTGCCAAAATATATGGTGAATCATAAACTAGAAGAAAAACATTAGAAAAAAATATAAGAATTTTTTTATTTTTTTCTTAAAATAAATTAGAGATGATAACAGGGCTACTATTTTTGCGGATTTTTCCTCATTTTGTGGGTTTTTGATAGGTCGATGAGGTGATTTTAAATTTAATAGTGATTTTAATTCGATTTTTGTGTTTGATAATTTTTTGCATCTTTTTGATATAAAATGCGGATTTTTGAAAATTTGAGATCGAAGCCCTGGATATACTCTTAAAATCAACAAAAATTTCAAACTTTTAATAAAATATTCCAAAATTATTAACATATTCACTTATTATTTCTAACTTATAATCGTATAAATCCCTTACCAAAATCAACAATTCCCTCAGTAAATTGACAACAATTTTCTTCATTTTCAATTAATTTTGTCTGTCCCCCACTTTCCAAATCAAAAAATTCTAAACTTTTTTCATCTTTATTTAAAGCAACAATTTGTTTATCAAATAATAAACAGGCAGAAATTTGAAGGGATAAATCAGAAGAACGAGTAGGGATTGACAAAAGTAAACGAGGAAATTCAGAAATTGAAATTTGATTGAAGGCCTTTAAATTATTTTTAAAAAATTTAAAAAACAAAATTAAAAAATAACCTCTTTCCCGTTAGTTTGAATAATTGTTAATTTAGCAAAATAATGTTCTAATTTAGTAGAAATAAATAAACTATTTGATTGACACCTTAAAAGAAAAATTTTTTAAAACTTTTTTTAAAAAACCATAAAATTCTTAAGGCAGAATCATCAAAATTAATAAACCCAATTTCTTCTAATTTTTCTTCCAAATGTTGGAAAATTATAAGACGATTTTTAATTGAAATTAAAATATAAAGAATGTTCTGAAAAAGAATTTGATATATAATTTTAAAATAAAAAATAAACCTGTTCAATTAAATGAGCAAAACACAATATTTGTTTATATTTTGTAATACTGCTAATTAACCTTTTTAAAAATTAAAATGAAGGATAAAAATAACAAAAAATTTAAAAAATATTTTTAAAGAAATTGGGAAACTAAAAAAACTTTTGAGTGATTTTAGAAGAAAGAAAATAAAATTAGGACACAAAATATTTATCAATTAAGCCAAGTACTTCCCTCTAATTCTAGCTTCCTAAAAAATTTTAAATTAAATTTTTTAAAATACCTGTAGGGAGCAAAAGCTTCATGAATTGACAAATGTGTATCAGTAAGGCAAATAATTTTGTCTAACGATTCTATCACAGATAAATTAATTATTTGACGTCTTTCGAAAGAACGGCAAACTTGATAATCATAAGAGGGAATATTGTGACCCGCTAAATTTTATTTATAATTTTGAAAAAAATTTTTTTGTTAAATTTACATAAAAAAGTTTGTGAACAACAAATTAAATGTCCTTGTTTTGAACCAATTAATAATGTATCACCTTTAAAAAAATTAAAAATATTAAAAAGAATATGAATATAACCATAATTTGATATAGAATTAGCTTCAAGTGGAAGTTTAGAAACAACTTCTTCAATTGAATAAGCATTAAACATCTTTTTAAAGGAAAGGCTGTCTTTTTAATTTTTAATAAAAACTCAATTAATTTAAGAAAAAATAAATCTGAAAAAATTTTTAATTAAAAATATTCTCAAGGCTAAATTTCTCCGGTTAAGGACGATTCAGTATCGCCGATTCAGTATAGCCGATTCAGTATCGCCGATTCAGTATCCGCCGATTCAGTATATGGCCATAACTTTCCTGATATTCGACCGATTTGAATATTTTCATATCATTCGAAAGGTCTCATGATTCGACATCTTTTTCATAATTGACCCGATCTGATCTGATGATCTCAAAAAAAGTTACAGCGTGAAAACCGATTCTTTATGCCTGTGACGTCGTTTATCAGTGATAACTTTTTGTAGAGTGATAAGATCAGGTCAGTCCAATTATGAAAAAGATGCAGCACTCCGAGGCCTATCAAATCATATATAATAATTCCCACAATATTGATCGAGCAAAAAGTTATGGCCAAAAAAGCCAAATACTGAATCGGCCAATACTGAATCGGCGATACTGAATTGGCGATACTGAATCGGCGATACTGAATCGTCCCCTACCCTAAATTTCTCGACTAATAATAAATGGTACAGCCCAAGTAGGCGCGCAGCTATAAAGGCGCAAAGCCATAGCTTGCTTCAAGATTTACGAATCTCAACAAATTTAGTATTAAACGATTCATCTCATCGAGCTAAAGCGAATGGTACCAAAATTAACAAGGGCCAGAAATTTTCCAGCAAGTTATTGCTTTGCGCCGTTATGGACGCGCGCCTGCGTGACCCAATAATAAAGTTACAGAAAATATGAAAGAACTTTTTGAAAATGATACAAAAATAATCTTTGTAATCAACAAATCATCAAGCAATATTTCTGATTTTACAAGTCATTTCATTTTTTATTGCTGAAAAAATGAAAAACTCGATTTTGAGTTTGACAAATGGTGAAAATCCCGAATATAAAAGCCGTGTATTTTTACTCATTTAGATAAAGCACTTACAAACAATCTACTCTATTCGTGCCTCTCGTCATTAATAATTCTCGTCATCCCCCGGTAGACGCTAATGATATCTTCGCTTAGTGTGCTGTTTTTGGTTGCCGCCATCTGCGCCCTGACGACTACACCGTTGATTTTCCTGTGCTGCAAGAAGAAGGGAAAGAAGGACAATAAGAAGCCACCAGCAAAACAGCCTGAGAAGGGCGGTGGAGGACCGGAATCAAAATCAAAGGAAGTAGGAGCAAAGGATGCAGCGGGAAAGGATGCAGCGGGAAAGGATGCGGCGGGAAAGGACGGAGCGGCGAAGGACGGCGGAGCAAAACCACCAGCTGCAGAACAAGTACAGAAGAAACCCGAAGATGTAAGAGATCTATTTTTAATTATTTAAAAAATTCACATCTTTAACAGAAAAAGAAGGCCGCAGCAGGCAAGGGAGATGCCAAAAATGTCAAACTTCCTGTTACATACCACGTTGTGAAGGGAAAACCGACAAGTTCGGAGTTAGCCAAAAAGACGACAGCAACCGCTCAAATAGCTATGCCGCCGACAACGACTCTTCCGGTAGTTGGACCTGGTGCTCCATCCAAAGACAGCAAACAATCTTCTGGAGTTGCAACTGCACAAAAGGCTGGCGATGCTAAAAGTGCCACCGGTGGGTCGAAAGCTACAGATGTGAAATCGGGAACAAATGATGGCAAGTTTTCATTTTAAATTTTTTTTTCAATAAAAATTTTTAGATGCTCAGCCAAGTAAGAGTAATACAGCATTCGACGAAGCAAATAAATCGGCACAAAGGATTTCTCAGAATCCCATCGATGGTGTTGAAGTTCCGCCAACGGGAGTGACGGAGACATCAAGGAGGGATGAAGGCAAGTTTAGAAGGACTTATCTGAATAAAAATTCCTTTTTCTAGGACCGCCAGAGGGTGGTGGTGGTGATCAACAGCTATACGAGACAGTGCCTGGTGGAGAAGCTCCGAAGGAGGAAAAGCCAGTCCCTGCAGATGGTAAGCATTTAAATTTTTGAAAATCGATGTTAAATTAAACTTAATGTTTTTCAGAGGCTGGCGGTTCCTACGAATCGATAGGCGATTTGAATCTTGCGGAACAGGCATAATGTGTGTATTGTACGGATAATCACAAAAATATATTCATTATATAAATAGACTTGTAGTATAATATATTGTTGTATTGCCTCTGCCTATTCCCCCATTATTTGTTGATTCAATTGGTTATCTCTAATGCTACGCTTACATAAAAAACGCAAGACGCCGGCGGAAGACGCTCGGCGACAAGACGCCGGCGGAAGACGCAGTTTCGTGCTTACATAAAATCGGCGTCTTCCGCTAAGCGGGAAGACGCAAAGCGTCAAAACGCTAGTTTTATGTAAGCACAAAACAGCGTCTTCCGCCGGCGTCTTGACGCCGAGCGTCTTCCGCAAAAAGCTGCGTTTTTTATGTAAGCACTAATTGCGGACTAAATTTATAACAAATATTTTATTGAAATTAAATTGAACAAATAATATTAAATCATTTTATCCTGCCATGATACCGATCCAACTTCAATGGTAAAATATTCTACTTAGAGGTCGGCGCGGGACGGGATCCCGACGGGATTTTCCGGGATCCCGGATTTTTGTTATTATCGGGATCATTCCTCTTATGAGGCTAAATCTTCATATTCAAAAAAATTTAAAAGTTTGGAACTAGAACAAACTTGGAACAAGTTCTGAACTGGAACTAAGGAATTTAAAAAATGGACGAGCCCTACTATATGGTACGAGCCCTACTCATTAAGAAATGGTCAATTTTTCATGTTTTTGGTATTATTTGATAGAGAATCAAAAGCTCTACAACATAACAAAAAATCAGAATTTTTGACCGATTGATAAAAAAGTTATGATATAAATACTTTTTTATCTCGAAAATCTCAAAAATATCGAAAAAAAAGAATATTTTTTGCAAAAAGTATACGTTTTTCAAAATCAATTTTAACCCATAAGATTTAACTTTAAAAATATAAAATTTATATTGATCGATAGAGAATGAATTGAATTTTCAAAATCTTTTTAAATTTTGAAAATCGGATTAGAATTGGCCGAGAAATGATCAAGACGCTAAAAGTTGCCGCAAAAAATTCAAACATGTTTGAATTAAAAAAAGAGACGCCGGCGGAAGACGCAGTTTATGTAAGCACTCAAAAAAAGCGGCAAGACGCCGGCGTCAAGACGCCGGCGGAAGACGCGAGTTATGTAAGCACGCAAAAAAAGCGTCAAGACGCCGGCGTCTTGACGCCGGCGAAAGACGCAGTTTATGTAAGCACTCAAAAAAAGCGGCAAGACGCCGGCGTCTTTTACTCTCCTCATTTCCCATTATCTTTTCTGCCGCAAGACGCGCGCGTTTTTTATGTAAGCGTAGCATAATCGAATGTTGTGTATTTTAATTTGTAAAAGTATAAATAGGTGAAATTAAGGGTCAATTTTTTAAAGGTGTATTTATTCGAATTTATCAAAATTTCTGTTTACAGAAAATTATTTAAAAAAAGGCATTTTAAAGATAGAAATAAAAATAATCAAAAGCTAAATTTAAAGTATGCTTGAGAGAGAAAATAAGCCATTTTTGTCATAAAAATTAAACAATATCCGATACTTGAGTTTGTAATTTATTTTCTTTAACATTATAAGTTGTCTTGAATTGTTCTGGCACAGGAAATTCTGTCTAAAATTTAAATAAAGAATTTATTTAAATTATTTTTTTATTTTTACAAAATCTCCATCAGCTCCTTTAGGCACTAATATATTCATTTCACTTGATTTACTAGTTACAATTTCTGCATTCAAAGATTCTTTGCTTAAGTAAACTTGACAACCATCCGTTTTTTGAATTGAAATTGTTGGTAAAGAACCTAATGTCTAGAAAGGGGAAAATTTTTTTTGATAAAAGCAGGGTTAGGGGCCGGTTCGAAAGATCGAGTCGGGCATCGAATTTTGGCCCGAAAAAGGCTCGGTCGGGCCGGTCCGATAAAAATAAGGCCCGAAAAAATGACTTGAAAAATGCAGCCAGACTCGAAAACCCCAACCCTAATAAAAATATATTTCACTAAAAGAAGGTTTCCTCGAAAATTTTGGTTTTTAATTAATCAGAGGAAGAGAATATTCAAAAAAAATTTAAAAAAAGGACTTTCAATTCCCTTTTACCTGTAATTCAATACTTTGACAATTAATAACTTCCACTTGAGAAAGAAGGGCATCAAAAACTACACTAGTTTTCTTACAAGAATCAACAGTTACAGAATTAGCCTTTCCCTTTATTTGAATAACACTATTCTCACAACGAAATATATAAACTGACTTTAAAAAAAGAATAATGTTAAGAATTACTTTTAAGTATTTACGTGTTTTAAATCAGCTTGTATTTGGATTTGACGATTATCTTTGTGGTATTCCTATAAATTATAATATAAACTTTAACAAATATTTTTTTTAATTTGTTGGTTTTAGAAGCAAATGGTCAACACTTTTTGTTTAATAATTTGTTCTAGTGTATGTAAAGGTTGTCGGGTAGTTGGAAATCCTCGGATATCCGGATCCGGTATCCGAACCATATTTTTCGAATTTGGATATCCGGATCCGACAACCTTAGTTAATAATGAAAAATTAAAAGCTCTAGTCAATCTCATTAACTAGTGTATCCCAAAAAGACAAGCCCCAACTTAAAAAAGTCATCCATTTATTTTTAAAAAAATTAGAGAATCACCCAGGAAAAAGTAAAATATTCTAATAAAAACCAACAACCAAAACTCACAATTTCCCAAACTTTTTGATTTTTCAATTCTATTTTTGGAGGTTTTTCAATTCCAGCCTTTCCAGACGGAGAAACACTTTTTTGTGGAGATTTTCCTTTATCAGCTGGAACTGTTGACTTTAAAAAATAAATTTTTAGAAATTTATTAAAAATTTCGATTTTACTTGAGTTCTAAGTTGGGGATTTTTGTGTGTTTGCATGTCTGCAGTAACTTTTTTTAATCCAGAAGTTATAGCATCCCCTTTATTTAATTCGGCAAAAAGTGCTTGTCTTCCTTGATCTTTACCCCCACCGCCACTTTGTTTGCTAGCCATTTGTGTAAGTAAATCTTTGAAAATTTTGATTTTTAAAATAAAAAATATTCGTCCAACTTTATTATTAAAAAAAGTTAAGAAGTTTAATTACCATTAGAAGGCGGTGGCGGGGGAGGAGGAGCACCTCCACCGCTTTTTGGTGTAGTCCCAGAAGGTTGAGAACCCTTAAAAATAAATATTTCTAAATTTATTTAAATTTAACAAACAGGTGCAGAATTCCAAGACAACCCTGTAGTATGCCATTGTTTAATATACCCCTGTAAAGCAAAAAACACATCACACCAACTTTTAGCCCATTCTGAGTGATTATTGTCTCCTTTATTCTCAGATCGAACACGATTAACATAAAACATTGCAACATCAAACATTTCTTTGACATACGGACCGGGTGTTGGTTTCTAATTTAAAAATAATTAATTAATATTTTGGAGAAAAGTTTAAATGAGTAATATATAACAGTCGAACATCGATTATAAAACACCAAATATATTTCGGTAAAATTGAATTTCGTATACCCCCTCCTTTTTCTTACTTCAAAATGTTTAAAAATGGTCAGTCTGTTATCAGATTATAGAACTTGTCGAGCTGTGTCGATGACACCAAAATCAACCCCCGGTCTTAACTTTGGGCCGAGATACAGACTAAAACCCTGCGCAAAGAGAAGGGTTTTGCACAAGCATTTCGCCGACGTAAAAGGATTACTTTATGTCATAACTTTGTCCAATCAAGTCGGATTTCGTTGATTTTGATGTCATTCGAATTAGCTCGACAAGCTCTTTCGAATGAGCTATTATTTGTTTAATCGAATTTTTAGACCAAAAAATGAGCTTGGTCCACCCTGTTATTTTTCAATTTTCGGGGGTCTGTATCTCGGCCCAAAGTTAAGACCGGGCGTTAATTTTGGTGTCGTTCGACACAACTCGAAGAGTTCTACATTCTTTTAACAGAATGACCATTTTTAAATATTTTGAGGCTGGAAAAAGGAGGGGGTATACGAAATTCAATTTTACCTATATTTCTATTGAAAATAAATTTTTAAATTGGTCAATTTGATTGTAAGGAGGATTTCCTTACCTCATATTTAAAATCCAATTCATTATAAGATATTTCAATACCAAGGGTGTATTTACTCAAGGTCCAACTATATACCAGAAAATTGAAGAATTAAAACCCAAAAATAAATTATCAAAAATTATACATAATTATCATTAAAGAATTTTGATTTAAAAATGTGAGTAAAAAATAAAAACTTAACAACTCCCAACCATCCAAGTGCCGAAAGACCTTCAGAAACAGCAGCCAAATGATTGAATACAGATTTATTTGTTTTATTTTGTTCTTTAAATGCACAAACAATTCCAACTTGTTCAACAACTGGTTGAAGCAATTGCTGTTTTTGGTTATCATTTGGCTCTGGACGGCCAATACCTTCCCAAATTGCACGGCGTTGGGAATCGAAAGCAACGGAAACTTTATCTGCCTAAAAATAAATTTTTAAACTTTCCCAAATATTCTTAAATAAATTTCAAAACCATTTGTCCAATAGGTCCACCAATTTTCTTTGAGACAGCCACAAAAGCCTTTAAAGCATTATTTACTGAATCATCATAAGCTTTAATTGAAGGAGGAATTGAACCATCTGATAAGATAATTTAAAAGATTTCTTAAATTTTTTTAAATTTACTTCCACCAGCAGGAGGAGGGATAGAAGTTGGTTTTGGAGACAATCCTGGCTTATTATACAATGCTTCTTGACGTTGAACGGCCATTTCTAGACGACCAACAAGACCTTCCAATTTATTCAAATCTGCACTCATTTTTATTTAATTTTTGGGATTTTCTCTTAAAAAAATAATTTTTATTACAAAATTTTATAAAAAAATTTTTCTTTACATGAAAAGAAAAAAAGAATTTAAAACGATTCAAATGAATGAGTCATTCAAAAGAATTTTTAAATAGCCCTTTAATCATTAATTTTTGTTTTTAGTTTTGTTAACGTTTAAAAATGTGGAATCAATATTTTTAAAATAAATTTATAAAAAAATTAAAAAATATTTATAAAGTAAATGGATCCCTTAAAAAATTTTTAAAAAATATTTTTAAGTTAAAAAAATTAAAATGAAAAGAATAAAAAGTAAAATGAACACCTGTGTTTTATTTCTTAAATCTAAAGTGCGTTAATCTTTCAAGAAATATTAAAATTGAGATGGACAAAGTAATTTTCTCTTAAATCAATATCGTCTTAAGAAAATAAAAGGGAAAAGTAAATTCTTTTAGTCAAAGAAGATCCGCTTAGGAAAATATTGAGGAGTAAATCAAAGGTAAAGGAATGGATGTAAAAATCCGAGAGAGAAAATAATTTTAGTTTAAAAGAATTTTTCTTTCGACGGAAAATTCAGACAGAAATTCAGATCCTCAAAGCTTTTTATGAAAAATTTAAGAAGATAAGGAGATATTCTTGCCTCTGTGGGTGTAATTTTCTTCCCAATTTTATTTCAAAATTATTTTTTGACATTTAAAAGTAGACTTTTAAAAATACTTTAAAATGTCTCTTCTATCAGCTGCTAGAGGTGTTAGTCAAGTAATGAATCGTTGTGAGGATGCAAAATCGACAGGATTTTTAGGTAAAAATATTTTTATTCTAAAAGAAAATTTTCTTTTAAAGATTTGTCAGACTGAATTAATGTATATTGCTGATGCTTTATATATGGTATTGAGTGGTTATGAAATTAATAGATGTAGTTTAAAAAATAATAAATTAAAGAAATTTCCATTAAAAATGATTGCAAATTTTCCAAATATGGATGGTAAAGAAATAAAAATTTTAATGAAAAGAAAAATTTTCTTTTAGTTTTTAATTTAGAGGGTAATCAAATAACAGAATTACCCACAGAAATATCAAGATGGACAAAATTAAGAGGGATAAATATTGCTAGAAATAAATTCACTCAATTTCCAGAACAATTGTTTGAATGCAAAAAATTGACAATTTTGGATATTAGTGGAAATTTAATAAATGGTAAAGAAAAATATTTTTTGTTAAAAATTAAGACTTAGAGGTTATTCTGAGACAAATTAGAATTGGAAAAGAAATTAGCAAGAAATCAAAAAGCGATTAAATTATTTTTCAAATTTCTGCTTTAAATTTTTAAAATTTAGAAATCAATCACTTACCGTTACGTTCTTCGTTATCAACACTAAAACAATTGCATATGAAACAAAACCCAATTTGTCAAAGGCTGGATATTATTGAACAAATCTGTGCTGAGCTTGAACCACAAATAAAAGTTTTGCACAAATAAATTAATTAATTAGAGATTCGAAAAAATTTTTTTTTCAAAATTAAAATTTTGGAAAAATATAATTATTGAATATAATCCTTAAATAAATTAACAAGAAAAATTACTAAAAATTTATAAATTTAAACACAATAAATATTAAACTTTAATAAAACTAAAATTAAATTATTGAAAGCACAACTAATTAAAGAGGTTATTTTGAGACAATTTTAATTGGGAAAAAAGGAAAGGAAATTATTTTTTAAATTTAATTAAATAATTAGAATACATAAAAAATATTGGAGAGGGGGAAATAATCCATAAAATAAATTTTAAATATGGCGGTGATTTGACATTAGAGCAATAAATTATTATCAAAAATATTTGAATAAAATTGCCCGAATAATTATGAAGAAGAAACAGCTGGATTAGTGTTAATCAAAGAATTATTAAAAGCATCTACTTCATTAAACCAAAACTCGTAGCGACCATCCTGATATCGTGGAAGCATTTTTGGTTCTAGACATAATTCAAAATGTTGATAAGTATTATTTGGGGTAATTGGAAGCCAGAAATTGTTAGAGGTTAAATTATTGCCGTTTTCATCAAAATTTGTATGGATTTTGTTTGCTAAAATTGAAAAAATGAGTTTGAATGAGAGAACTTCGACTTTAATGTTGTTGAAAACAATTTTTCTATTAAGAATCCCACAATTCTACTTAAGAAGGTTAGATAAAACATTTTTCCCCCGTCTTATCCCTAAAAAAATTTACCATCGACAAATTTTGAGTTTTCATCTCCAGGCATGCCAGATGGATTCCAAGGTTCACAACAAGAATTATCGATTTCTTTGTTTATATATCCATTCTTTCTATCTTTAGAATTTTCACTCTCTTCTAATTTCCTCCAATGGCTGTTTGGATTTCCATACTTTACAAAATTGGTAAATAAAGTGCCAATAATGAGCATTACTTGTTTGTCATCAATATTTGGCCGAAATTTGGAATATAGACCCTAAGAATTTAAAATATATATGTAAAAATTCAAAGAGACAAAATACCTTTCCAACTAAATAACGCAAATCATGACAATGTGTAGCTGCATAAAAAGGCATTCGTAACCCAACAAAACCAAATTCATTCGAATTAAAATGAGACATATTATAAAGAAAAATTTTCGTTTTATTTGAAATTGAGGTTTCAGAAGGCAACATTCCTTTACAATAGCGCTGCACAGAATTATTAATCATTACATCACTATGGAGGCTTTAAAAATAATTTTTATTTAAATTTTCTATGAAATAAAATTAAACCGTAAAAATGCTGTAGACACTTGAGAAGAATTTTTAATATTAATTCCATCCAAATAAAGCCTTTCACACCGTCCACGTTTTTCGTCAAAATTTGGAATTTCTTCTGGAATATGAATTTGTAAATATTTGCGTAGAGAAACAATGTCTGATTGACGACGACCTAAGGCAGCTTTAAAAAAAAGTTTAATTAAAAATAATTTTGAAAAAAGTACCAAAAAGTAAAGCCTCAAATTCAGTAGCGCCAATAATTACTTCTAATGGAGGCCGGTCTTTTGAGGCAAATCTTTTTGTCCTTAATTCTGAAACTGGCGCTGTAATTAATTCTCCATCAATGACAGGGCAGTAATCAAGACCTATAAAATTTTTGGGGAAATCTAAAAAAAATTAGAAATTTTAACCTTTTTTATGTCTATTAAATGCTGATTTTCCAATTAGAGGTGCACTCAATTCATGAGCAGGCAATTCATGTAGGAAGGCTAATAAAGAGTCTAAATCTGAATCTTCGCCTGTAAAATGATTTATAAATATTGATAATTTCAAAAGCGACAATATTAAAAAAATTTCAAATTATTAATTAATGGAAATACAAAAAATAATTTTAGAAAACCTTTCCAATTTAGTCCTCTTGCAATTTTTAAAGCTGCAGCAATAGTTTTTCTTGGTCGAACAACTGCCCAGTCAGTGCTAGCATTTCCTCCCATTAAAATTATACGTTTAAAAAGGCCTTTAATTAAATAAATTGGAGGAAAAGAAATGAAAAAAATACCATCAGATAGTGGCGAAAGGCTTAAAAGATCGATAGAAGCTGCGCCAGCACTTTGTCCAAAGGCAGTAATATTATCCGGGTCTCCGCCAAAGGAGGCAATATTCTCCTTAAATATTTTTTATTTTAAACTAACAAACCCCCTACATACTTTCACCCATTTAAATGCCGTCAATTGATCCCAAAGGCCAAAGTTTCCAGGGCATCGATCATCTCCAGTAGAAAAAAAACCAAGCATTCCAAGTCGATATTGAACTGTACAAACAATTACATCCAACAAACAAAGATTTCTTTTTTTAAAAACATTTAATAAATTTAAAAAGAAAAACAAACTGGCAAATATTCCAATCCCCATAATTAGCTGCACTGTGAATAATAAAACCTCCTCCGTGTACAAAAACCATAACTGGACGTTTGCCTTTTGGAAATTCTGTAGATTCCCAATCAGGAGCAAAAACACAAAGATTAAGGCATTTTGCCTCATCTTGAGGTTGTGGAGTTAAATAAGCATCCCAAACGAGATCCTATAAATTTTATAAAAAATATAAAATTGCTAAAAACTAACATGTTGTACAGATCTTGGACCAAATTTAGTACACAATAAAGGCTCCTTCCATTTTGTGATGGGAAAAGGCTTCTATAAAAAAGAAATGTTTGGGGAAAATTGTCGAGGGATACCTTAAATCGTTGTTTAAAAGTTCCAGCAACTGCATAGGGAATGCCAAGAAAAGCATTAACCTTCTTCCCATCGGGGGGCAACGTGAAAGTTTTACCAATGATTGGACCATTTTTTGTTTGAATAGTAATTCCATAACTACAAGGACGGCCTTTAATCCAATTTTCGTCAAAAAGAGAAAAGAACTTTATTAAAAAAATTAAAATAAATTTAAATAAAAAAAATAAAAACTTTTCCAAATGCAGAATGGGAGTATTGACTGAATATTGACCAAAATGAAGAATATGAAGCTGAGGCCGTAAAGTTATTCAAATCCATTTTTCTTCGTAACCCTAAATGACCAGAAATATTTATAGAAAAGGGAAAAATTTTGGAAAATAATTGGTCCATTATTTTAAAAAATCCGTTTAAAATTTTGATGACCAAATGGACTTAAGCCCCGTCTGATTTTTAATCAAATATTAAGTAAAAAATTGGAAAAAATAATTCTGAAATGTAAAACCCTTTCCGTCCAAAATAAAAACTCAACAGCTGATAATGGACATTGAACTAATAATATGTTATTGGTTAACCCTTTACATCATTTAATTAAAACCAGTCTGTACTCTAAAAAGTAATAATGGTGAGAAAATAAGAGCAAGATAAAAATAAGGCTGGACCAAAAAAATCAAACGGAGATAAGTAATATTTTATAAAAATTTAAAACGTCTTAATTTTAATACTGGTTATAAATTAAGATTAAATAATTTAGTAATAAAAATATGCACCGCAATATGCACTGCAACGGCGAAAAATGATTGCCACAATATTGATAAATTACCTATATATTTTTCGGTATCTTGAAAATCACAAGGCTCTTACCACCACAGAAAACAAAAATATTTAATGAAAATAACAAAAAAATAAAAATGAATATTTATAAATAAACTTTATTTCGATTGATATGGCACGTAAAAATATAATTTTAAATATTCAAACAATTGAAACAAATAATTTAATCTTTCCATCTTTATGAATAAACTTCAAACCTGAAAACAAAATGCCTTTGAGTGTGTTAAGAACATAGCCAAAAGAATTTTATAATAATAAATTTATAACTGGGATAAAGTTTAAAATATAGTAACTTATTAACAACGAGTATCAGAAAAAATTATATTAGGCAAGATTTCATAACTGGCATTGAAAGAAAAGTTCTTAATAAAGAGATAAATTTATATAATTTTATTTACTGTTATATTTATTAGTGTTTCACCGGAACCAAAATTTTGACCGGAACCGGAACCGGAACCGGATCCAATTTGAGTTCCGGTTTCCGGAACCGGAACCGGAACTTTTCAAAGTTCCGGCCCGGAACCGGAACCGGAACTTTTAAAAAATTTTTGCTAGCAAATTTTAAAAAATTTGTAGTTTAAGTAGAGTTGACTGTTCACCAACTTCTTCGGTTAACCGAAACCGAACCGAACCGAGACTTTTGATTAACCAAAACCGAACCGAAAATCGTCGACGATAAGTGATATATTTGGGTTAGAGAGTGGTGTATGAAAGGATTTGGTGGTATAAGTGTTTGATATCGGACGATATAAGGATTCAGAATTGTAAGGGGGTTTAAGGGATATCAGTGGAAGAAGGAGCGATATACGTTTTATGGGGATAAGGAAGTAAAGAAGAATATTAGGCCCATTGATGTCACACTATATAATTCAAAATCCACATTGATCCATCCAAATCATCCGTTATACCATTCAGCTATCTTTTTCAGCGCCGCAGAATTCATCATTTATTAGTCATACGAAAAATTTTAAGAATTTTAGAGGGCCAAAAAACCGTAATTACTCCATGTAAAAATATAATGATTTTTAAAACAAAATTAAACTCAATAAATGAGTTATTTGTTGAAAAAAAAATTTTAAGAGTTATTGTCCTACGATCGGGAAGCGAACCCAACTTAAAATCACTAACGCCTTGAGTGAAGCCTAAACCCTTAACCACTCGGACACCCGCTCATCAGAATGATATTGAAAGAAAATAAACATATTTCTTTCGATTTTTTTTTATTACAAGTATGAGAGTACGAGTAGTTTATTAATATTTTTTAAAAAAAATCAATCTTTAGGGGTGTAAAAAAGTTCCGGTTTGCCCGGAACCGATTTGAAAACCGGAGCCGGAACCGGAACCGGATCCAATATGGGTTCCGGTTCCCGGAACCGGAACCGGAACCAAAAAAACACCGGAACTTTCCGGAACCGGAACCGGAACCGGAACTTCCGGTGAAACTCTAATATTTATGTAGTATTGATTGTCAAAATTTATTCCATGTGAAAACAGAGGTGGATAAGCTGTAGATGTTGGGAAACAAACTTGCCAAAATGCTGGAGGCAAAAGAGAACCCACCTGACCCACCTCTGATATGGAATAAGTATAGAGATATTTAAACTATGTATAAACTATGAAAAAACATAACAATAAATTAAGGCTCTATCAAGGATCGCGCCGGGGGAGATTGAGCTAATGTAGGCACGATCCCTGGGCTATAGAAATAACTAAATTAAGGCTATATGAATAATAAGAAAATATTTGAACATAAAAAATCTACTATAAATTAAAATAAATAAGAATAAATTAAGAAAAGAATAATAATGGGATAATTAAAAACTTTGTAAGAAATTCCATTATATTTCAAAAAATCATAATTAAAAGCAACAGGAGATTAAACTTTATTGCAATAATTCTCCTTCCTCCAGCCCTTCCTCATCCCCACTACTAAATTGGGCAATTATATCATCAAATAAATGGGGCATTTCACGGAATAAATGATGCGGGCGATAACATTTCGAATGACGAGTCAAATTTTTGTCTAACCTGGGATCGAGTAAACGTGATTGTTGTTGACGTTCAGCAGGCGAAGAAAGTAAATCAACACGTTCTGTTGGGATATTGCGAGGTTGTAATGTAGGTGGACGACAATTTTCATCTAGTCGTTTAAGCAGGAGTTTATCCTCACGATCCATTCGACGAACCTTTAAAATTAAGCAATGTTTATGATATTATTTTAGAATTAAAAAACAATAACTATTCTATCATAATTATTAAAAAGAGTGTATATTTAAAATAACGTACAAGCATAATAATCATGCAACCTCTACGTCCACACCATTCCGGCAACCCAGGTCCATCAAAAGGAAAAAGAATACCTGAATTTTTTTGATTTGATAAATATTCAGAAAGTTTTAAATTTATATTAAATTACTTGGTAACGGCTTCCCAGGTGCAAGAGTAAAAATATATCCATCCTTTATTCGGTCATGGCCAGTTAAATCCAAAACAATAATTTGTTTGTTGTCATAATTGACTTTTTCGTAAAAACGCGTATAAAACTCATACTGATAATCTACAACAAAAAATTTTGAAAATGAATAAAAATAAACCTTTCGGAAGTTCAACCAATAAAAGAATAATTTGTTTGTCCCAACTGTCTTTTAACCGATCGATATATTTCCAAACACCAATAGCTTCTGATCGACCCATTACATGGAGAACTGGAGGTAATTCACGACCAACTTTGAAAGCCCCTTTATTGCTGATTGCAGATAAAGTACAATCGAAAGAGGCCAAGTTAGTCCAAATAAATTTCCCTTTCCAGATTTGATTGTTGAACCTATTGTAAATTATATAGTAATGGGTAAAAATTTAGAAAATAGATGTCAAAGAAAAAATCAGCCTGTAACAACTTTTAAAAGATAACCTTTTTCCTCGATTGAATTCTTGCTCGTCAATTATCATTTGACCATTAATAGGATGAAGCATTGATCCATTAAAGGAATTCCAATTCTCATTATTTTCAATTGTCATTTCTATATTATTGTTTATCTGTTCAAATGGAGAAATGCATGAAACTTCATCTTCTCTCGGCTTTTCACTTTGATTGAATTGGTGGTAATCATTTTGAGTTGAACGAAACTAAAAATAATTAGAAAAATAAACAAATGTGGACGCCTCTATTTGCAATGAATTTTTCATTTTCGAGTCGGGAGGTACAAAAATCGTTTTTCTGGCAATTGGCAAGAAAAGAAATTAACTTTTTTTTGCTTAAATAAAATCCAAAATTTTTAATTAAAAAAAAACTCACATCAACGTTTGTATCTTGCACTTCAGGGGCCAATTGTGATGATATTTCAGGGGCATAATTATTAAAACCGCCATTGAAAGCATCATCATTTCCATAATCATTCTCCCCTCCTTCGAAAGACATATTGTCATCTTCATGATTATTTTCACAAATTTGTTCTGGAGGAAGTGCGTCAACTAATTCTAGGCCTAAAGGGTCACGTAGATGACGTTCCTGATCGAATGGGTTATCGCAACGACCAAAAATTACATCTCCGTCTAATAATATGTTGTTGTTATCGTTATTAATAGTTGGTGATGAGGCAGAGCATTCCAACTGAAAATTTAGGTAATCAAAAATAAGTTAACGATGTCCTCAATTTTTATCTGCAGGTCATATTTTTATACACACAAAAGGATTAATTCTGAAGAATAAAATCTCCAATTTTGAAAATAATTTTTTAGGTTATGTTAACAGTAATTCTTTTGAGAAGGTATGTTAAAAACGAGTTGATAATAAAAACCCAATCTGTTACTTTCACAAAATGCATCAATATATGTATTCTAGTACAAACTAACTAGACTATTTTAGTATAAAACTAACCATATCAAATTGTCCACTTCTCCTTTGCTTCAGAATATCCCATCCATTCGAGGCTGTTTCATCAGCCCTAACTTCCAACATTGCAGCTTGGATTGAAGGATCCAAATCAGGGAAATTTACTTGTCCACTAATTACTTCTTCAGCCCTTCTCTGTAAAAAATAAAAAAATATTTAAGTTATCCAAAAAATTTCAACTCTTTGTTCAAGCTCTGCTTCTAAACGTTCCTGTCTTTCTTTTTCAGCAAATTTCTTCAAATTCATTTGTTTACATATACCACAGTTTGCATCGTATAAGTGACTATTGTGTAGATGTGTTGTATCTTTATTCAAATCACCCAAAATGTCATCAAGTGTGGACTTGAAAAAATTAATAAATTTTTTATTTTTTAAATTTTTTAAATCTTAAAAAAATGTTTTTGAATATAAATTTTCAATATATTTTTTTGGGTCTCCCCACTAGTCCGCAAAAGTTTATTCGCAACTTTTTTTTGATTTTTAAACCCTTTATATATTATTGACTAGTTAAAATTTTAATTCAAAATTCACCTTTGCCTGTAACGGTGCTTTTTTAACCATATTGTGTCGACTTGCTGTTGTGATAATTTTTTTGCGAATTTGAGTAGTCTTGCTAACAGAAGTACATGGTTCATTATAAACATTCTCTAAAATAAATGAAAGATGAAGAGTAATTTTTTATATTAAAGTTGTATCGCGATAAAGAAAAGTTTTTAATATTAAATCTCAAAAAAACCTTCAGGTGTTTCAGAGATTGATGTTGAATCGGCAGCCGCAACTATAAAATTACTAGACGTTGAAGGAGCATGACCAGCAAAAAATAAAGTATTCGCTTCATTCTGAGGCAATGGTACACTCATCTGATCAATCGACAGTGTTACCAATTTTTTGACTGAAACTTTATCTCTGAGAACATCGCGGAAGAAACCCTGAAAAACAAAATTCAGAATCATTTTTTGCACTTTTTTTAAATAATTCAAGTGCAGTATCAAAATAATATTTTTATTTGTACGTTAATCCGCAAAAAATTCAAGTGTCAAATCTTCACAAGTGTTGAAATTGAGTGTCTTCTCATTGTTAGTTAAGTAGGATCCCGTGCATGATAATATATATCTGACTGATGTGAGATAAAATAAAAATAAACTAACATTCATCTCATCGTTAACAACAGTAATGAAGCTTTTGAACCATTTGCGATATCCCAAATTAACATCTTGATGAATCGAAAAAAGTGAACGTTCAATTTCCATACCCAAATCTTTGTAACGTTTAAGTGAGAAAATCATATTTGCCGATTTTGATCTTTTCTGAAGATTGGTTTCAATAGCTTTTCTTACATCAACTCTCATTGATTCTATTTTCTTTTGATATGCAGGATCGTGTAGACGATGATTTGTCTCGACTAAAAAATTAAATTTTATTATCAAACAAAATAAATTAACTCCCATGAGGTTAAATAAACATTTTTTATTCTTAACGATTTTATTACTTTGTGTTGAATTTTATCTATTTAAGTATCTACTTCACTAATATTAATAAGAAAGGCACGACTATAAAAAAACTTATATTTTAGATCGTTAACATATTTTGTTGATTTTTAATATTTATTATATAATTTTGTTATAGCGGGATTATGTTCCTGTAAATATATCTAGGAAATGCGAAAATATTTTTGCATTTAGTGAAAGAAACATCACAAACACTAACAAAAGTTCAAATCTGTATTCCTAAAATTTCAAAAATTACCAATACTTTAAATCAGGCCCGTAGCCAGGATTTTTTTTCGGGGGGGGGGGGGGGGGGCCAAGGGGGGAAAAATTTTTATTTTCAGCGCCGCAGGCGAAAATTTTGAAAATTTCGAAGGCCGTAGGCCAAAAAATTAACTTTTTTTGCCCCAGCCCTTCCCCAAATTTTTCCCTTTTCCCCATTTCGGGGGGGGGGGGGGGGAATCCCCCCCCCCCCAGCTACGGACCTGCTTTAAATGAAAAGGGTGACCCCCCCCCCCCCCAATTCGAAACTAAAAATATGAAGGAAAAAATCCTTCGTTAGACTAAAATTATTACCAATTTGTTCGGAAGCTAAAACTGGTTGATAAGAAGGATTTGCAAGAAGAAAATCTTCCAAAGTTTCAATTGTTGGATTTAAATGGCTGTGGTTCATCATTGCTCCTTTGTGGTCGATAACAAGAATGCGTTCACCTTCTTTTACACACTAGAAAATAAAATGTCAGAAATCGCCCTAATCGGATTAATTTTGGTTGAATTAAGTTATACTTTTTCTATTACAATATAAAGATCACCCGTTAAAAATAAAAGGAACCCATTCGATCAAATATACCTAATTTAAACACACCTTTCTTGCATCTTCTGCCTTTTTAGAAATACATTTCTGTGAACAAAACAAAGTATCCCGACCGCCAAACCTTTCTTTGTCAACTACCGACTCACAAACACAACACTGAACAATTGCCGCAAAATTATGTTTTTGTAGACTTCTAGCCACTTCATCTCTCCCGGCATAAATATTTGGAGGAGAATATTTTCTTTTCTGGTCAGAAGAATGTTTTTCTTTTTTACGCTCTAAATTGAAGTAAACAATTTTAATTGAATTTTAGATAAATGCACCAGTCAAAAATGTGAACGAAAAATTTTTGTAAGGGAAATTCCAGTACTCTACAAAAAATTATAAACTGGTACTCTTTCCCGAGATTAGTAAGAAAACGGAGAAAAAATTAATAATTTTCCTCCAAATTTAGTCAAATGAAGGATAGCAAAAAATTTCTTATAATTACCCTTTCCCGTCCCATCAGCTTACCCGTTGGATTATAAATACAAATAGTATTTCCCTAAATGCCCAATTAAACAATATACATACTTTTCTTCTCCCGCTCATCTCTATCAGAATCATCTCGATAAGCTTCCTTATTTTTTCGTCTTCGTTCTTTTTTTGCCACCTTTTTTTCCTTTACTTCTTTTATTTGCCTCAATTGTATATATTTTCTATCTCTTTGATAAACAGTTTCAAGTCTTTCACATGGAATAAAAATAGATTTGAAGCCATGACATCGAAGAACATGTTCATCTTTTTGAACAGAAAGGTCAGCAATTCTGGCAAATGCTAGTCCACTAGCTAATGTTTGGAGAGGTGCACAACCAATTATATCTATAGATGTTGTAGCATTTCCTTCTTCGTTCCGAATAGAAGTTGTGGGTTGATCCATTTGATTTAATCCATTGTTGATTTGCTACAAAAATATAATTTAATTGACAATTATCTAATAAGCAAAAATTTGGGAATAAATAAAGAGGAGGAAACAAAAGACTCCAAAATTCCCCACATTCTCGTGATTTTACAAAATTAAAAAAATAAACCGTATGTTCCTTTTCCAAATTCGTATTATTAAAATCCTCTGAAATAATGTTGTCTTGAGAACTCTCATCCGCAATTACTAAAGAATTTTGTTGTTCTTGAAGATTTTTAATCTCAAACTCATCAGATAGAGTCTCTTCCTCCTCCATTATTTTGAAAAACTAAAAAGATTTAATAAATTTATGCAACAAAAAATGGTTTCCACCATTCCCGCAACTACATATTTGACAGAAATTTCATTTTACGACATTAGCTTAAAAAGGATCAAATAGTGCCCGGCAAAATCGATTTTGCCGGACCCGGATTCCGGATTTGCAACTAGAGCCGGACCGGATCCGGCCGGATTTCTCCGGATTAATCCGGTCCGGTTTTAATCCGGAAATTTAAAAAAACCCGGATTTGGGACCCGGTCTCCGGAAAAATCCGGCCGGATCCGGTCCGGTGCTGGGCACTAATCAAAAACAATACGTCAACTAAAGCATTCCTTCAAAAAATCTATAGGAAATTTTCTCACAAAAAAAAGTTAGGCGCACGAAAGAAAATGTAAAATAAGGAGAGTAAATAACCATTCGACTTGAATTACATTTTTAGCAATAATGATGTGAATAGATAAAAGTCAAAGTTTATTCTGACATTTATTTATTCTCTTTTCGTTAATCTTTAGATTTTTCCTTATTTTTCTCTTTATTTTGCTTAAGTTTTAGAGTTAATTATGTCCAGCTTCAAGAAATTAGCGATTGACCAAACCGCTATCGGAGGCAAACGTGTCTTAATGCGCGTAGATTTCAACGTTCCAATAAAGGATGGAAAGGTGGCCAACAATTTGCGTATTGTGTCAGCTTTGCCTACAATTCAGGTTATTTGATTGAATTGTACATTTTGGGTTATTTTCTTTTCATTTAAGTATGCAATTAACAATGAGGCTAAATCAATTGTTCTGATGAGTCATTTGGGTCGACCGGATGGAATGCGTCAAGAAAAGTATTCGTTAAAGCCAGTCCACACAGAAGTGGAGAAGTTGTTGGGCAGGTTTAAATATTTTGTTGATTAAATACAATTAAATTTTTAGATCCGTTAAATTCCTCAATGACTGCGTTGGTGCCGAAGTTGAGGCTCAAACAGCAAATCCGGATACTGGAACGATCATTCTTTTGGAGAATTTGCGTTTTCATGTCGAGGAAGAAGGAAAAGGAAAAAATGCAGCGGGAGAATCGGTTTTTTAAGCGAAAATGTTTTTTATTTAGAATTTATAGGTGAAGGCAACCAAAGAAGCTGTAGAGGCGTTTCGTGCATCGCTCTCAAAGCATGGCGACATTTATGTGAATGATGCTTTTGGAACCGCACATAGAGCTCATAGGTCGTCTTTAATAGTTTTATTTAATCAAAATTTATTTTAGTTCAATGGTTGGCTGTTCGATCAATCCTCGCGTTTCTGGATTTCTGATGAAAAAAGAATTGGAATACTTTGCAAAAGCACTTGATCAACCACAAAAACCGTTCCTTGCTATCCTTGGTGGGGCCAAAGTCGCGGATAAAATCCAATTGATCAACAATCTGTTGGACAAAGTGCAGGAGATGTGCATTTGTGGAGGAATGGCCTTTACATTTTTGAAGGTGCTGAATGGGATGGAGATTGGTAAATCTTTGTTTGATGAGGAAGTGAGTTTAAATTTGGTTTGATTCTAAATTTTAAATTTAAAAGAGTTTAGGGCGCTAAAATTGTGGGTGATCTAATGGCAAAGGCTAAGGAACGTAATGTGAACATGCATTTACCGGTTGATTTTGTTTTTGGCGACGAGTTTAAAGAAGACACTCCGCATGGAATTGTTGATGCTAAATCGGGAATTCCAGAGGGAAAAATGGTAAACTAGTCCACTTAAACTTTTCAAATTTTCTACTTTAAAGGGACTCGACATTGGGCCAGAGAGTACAAAGAAATTCGCTCAAGTAATCACTTCTGCAAAAACTGTGCTTTGGAATGGGCCGGCCGGTGTTTTTGAGTGGTCGAATTTTGATCAGGGAACTAAAGGTCTTTTGGATGCAATTATTGAAGCAACGAAGGCTGGTGCAATTACAATTATTGGTTTGTGGCAAATTCTTTGAATTAAATTCCTAAATTTAAAGGTGGAGGTGACACCGCGACTGCATGCGAGAAGTGGAAAGCTGAGGATAAAGTTAGGTATGTCTGGTGAAAATTAAATAGATTATCTGATTAATTTCTAAAATTTAGCCATGTGAGCACTGGAGGAGGTGCAAGTTTGGAGTTGCTTGAGGGCAAAATTCTTCCCGGTGTCGAAGCATTGACTGATCTTTAGAGAACATAAATGCCAGGAAATCGTAAAAGTAGTCATATCATATGATTATTATTTTAGATAATCTATTTAAATATGTAGATGTTTATTTTTTAGATAAATTTATTCTTTAACCCATGAGTAAATTTAAATAAAAATATATTCAATTTAGGTGAGAGAAATAGAAAATACTTGAGTGTTTAGAGGGTAAATTTCAAAATCGGATGAGCAGCTTCTATTAAAATAAGAATACTTTTACAATAAAATCTGTCTAGGAAAATAGAAAATAACAAAAAGTTTTTGGTAAATTACTTAAAAAAATGTTTGAAAATAAAATTGTAGATATTTGTACCCTTTGAAGAAATTCTTTTGAAAAATTTTTTTGGATTATTGTGTGAACAGTTAATCAAACAAGATAGTATATTCATAAATAAATAGCCAACGGGAAATAAAATAAATAAGGTATATGTACAATTCACTGTCTAGAATAAATTAAATCTAATTGTAAGGACAAAAATATTTGTAATTGTGATACATATAAACCAGAGACCGGACTGGGTGTATGAGAATCAGGGCTGTGCGTCATGGCGTTTGGCGTTTTGGCGTTAATTTTGGCCGATTTTTGGCGTTTTGCGTTTGGCGTGATTTTCCGATTTTGGCGCGCCAAACGCCAGAAATATACACCCCTAATGCTGGAAATTTTTTAAAATAATCGGTAGAATGAACGATCGAGAAAGGAAATTTTTCTGCTTACAGTCTTCCAAAATTCTCAAAATTTTCGCCTGCCGCGCATAAAAATGAAAAAATCTACTGCTTGAACTTCCAAAATTTTCAAAATTTTCGCCTGCGGCGCTTAAAGCAGGAAGCCCTTATCTTAAACTAATACTTCCATCATGGTAGAAAAAAACTTTAGCTCCGTCAACCATTTACTCTCTTCAAGACCTATGTTATTCTTATTACCCAGTTTATGCCTCATATCCACCTTAATCTCAAGGGGTTCTACCCAAATTTTTCCTTTTCCTCATTTCGGGGTATAGGAATTCTCCCCATTTGCTAGGGCCTGCTTCCTGGTCTTAATTCAAAAAATTTTCAAAAACTCTTCCAAATTTTCGCATCCGGCGGTAAAAGGATGAATTCTTGCTTCTGGGAATCTTGAAAATGAAAAAAATTTCGCCTGCGGCGCTAAAATGACATGAAAAGAGGTTTTTGAGTCTTTATAGACTCTAAAAATTTTGGCGTTTGGCGTCTGGCGTTTTGGCGTTAATTTTGGCCGATTTTTGGCGTTTTGCGTTTGGCGTGTTTTTAAAATTTGAAAAATTGGCGTTTGGCGTTTGGCGCGCCACGCGAAAATTTTGGCGCACAGCCCTGATGAGAATCGAGATCTCGAAAAATTCTAGACCTCAATAACCGAAATTTTCGGGCGAGATCTCATCTCGGTCTCTAATATAAACTACAAAATAAATAATAAGATAGTGAATTGTAGAATTAATTGCAGTTGAAATTGTGAACTTTAGGAGTCCATGAAAGGAAAGATTTTAAAATAAAAATTTAAAAATATTTTGATTTTCAATAATAAAACATCTGAAAATATAAAATCTCGAAATATGGTTAACAAATTCAATCAATTTGTTAATTTTCATATTCCTTGAAATTTGAAAAAAATCTTAAATTCAAGTAAATAATATAAATTTAGAAAGGCCATGAAAATGAGCATTTTAAATGATGAAGATAAAAAATTTGAAATGATTAAATTTGAAAAATTGAATTTCTAATTTTAAATATTGAATTATAAAATTTTTCATGAAAAAAGATTTTTAAAATTAAAAGTTGGAGGTCAAATGAATGTAATCATTTAAAAATAAAGCAATATTCTGATTAAAAATTGAAATAAAAAATTTCTCAAATTTTTTTACTAAACACAAATCGGGAAATTTTATGGACTTTTGAATAGCCAAATAATGTCAGATTTTTATATTAAACCTAAATTTGGCAAATTCCATATAATTAAAAACAAGACATTTGCAATCTCTTCTAAAATATTTACGAAAACAAAAACAATGAGAGACAAATAAATTTGACATTTGATTACTCTAAAATTTTTAAAAATAAAATCTCGAGTAAAAATTAACAAAAAAAAGTTTGTTTTTCAATTTTCAAATGTCACACATATTAATCAATAACAACAAAAAACGGTAATAGTGAAGATCTGGGACACACTTTAAATTTTGCTATTTTTTCTGAAAATCATTTTAGATAAGTAATCGACCATACTGATCACGAATCTGATATCAGATTTTGTCAGGAAAAATCAAAGAAAAAAGATGGGCATGGTTCAAGTAGGCGCGTGGCCAAGTAGGCCTCAGCTATAACTAGCTGGAAAATTACTAAATTTGATGATTCGGAAATCTTGAAGCCTACTTGGCCACGCGCCTACTTTTTTATTTGATTTTTCCTGAAATCTGACATCAGCTTCGTGATCAACATAGTCGATTACCTATATAAAATGATTTTCAGAAAGAACAAGCAAAATTTTAAAATGTATCCCAAATTCTTCACTATTACCCAAAAAAACAATTAAAATAAATATATAATTAATTCATTGCCCGCCTACTATTATTAGTTGCCATTTGTTGTTTACGTTGTTGTTGTGTTTGACTTAAATGTCCATTATTAATTCCTCCTTTTCCACTCCCACCAGAATTCCCTCCTCCTCCTTTTTGTTTTGTTTTATTTTGATGAATAAATTTTTGTTGTTCAATAATTGTTTTCTCCAAAAATTGTTTTGGGGCTGGATTTTGATTCCAAATTTTAATTGCTTCTTCTTTGTCAATTGCTTGTTGTTGTTGTTGATTATTGTTGTTACGATTGGTAAATGGACTAATAATTGTAATTGGATTTTTCCAACCAAGTGAAGTCAACAGATTTTTGGGTATTCGCTTCTAAAATAATTAAAAATTTAATTAAAAATGCCGGGAAAAATGATATAATATATATTAATCCAAAAGACGAAGGGCGTATCCAGGGGAGAACCTCCCCCCTCCCCAGAAATGAGGAACGGGGGAAAAATTGGAAGTAGGATTTTCGCCTGCGGATAAAAATCGACCCCTGAATCGACCCCCTGATTACGCCCTTAGATAATTCATAAAAATAACCCAGCCAGAAATAAAAAACTAAAAACTTACAATTAAAGGAGTTGTTTCAATTTTTTGTTTCCATAAACGCTTCTTCTCCTCTACTTTTGAAGAAGTCCATTTAGCTTTAATATTATCTTTTCCTTCTTTCTGTTTAATAACCTGCTTTTGTTGATTATTATTGTTAGTGTCCTTATTTTGTTGTTCTTCAATATTTTTATTTAAAATTTCCTTTTCTTCTTTTAAATGTTCCTCTTTAATTTTTTCTTCATCAATATCCTTATTTTCATTTTCTAAAATTTTAACTTCATTAATAGATTTATTGGTGTCCTCAATTATATCTTCTTGCTTTGGTTGATTTTGTTCCTAAAATATTATATTACTATATGTTATTTATCTTTTACTAGACTCTTATAATGCTTGTAATAAATTACTAGTGCCTAGGGAATTCGAGTTTGCCGGACCCGAGTTTGCAACCTTAACCAGATCGAATCTGGCCGGATTTTTCCAGATTAATCCGGTCCGGAAAAAATCCTAAAATCTTTGGACCGGAATTGAAATTGGGACCCGGAATTGACATTTAGGGAATTGACACTTTTTCAATCTCAAGTATTTATTATTAAAATTTTTAAATTTAATTTTATAAAACAAAAAACAAACATCAACAGTATCCAATTCAATTTCAACATCCATTTCCTCATCAACATCCATTCCAACAACATTCCCATCCAAACTATTACTCGTATTTGAAGCATGTTTATCAACATTAATTGGAGTATTTATTCCATTATTTGTTTGTTTATTTTTGTTTTGTTGTTGACGAGGCTTTACAAAAAATATTCAAAAATATAAAAATTAAAAAAAACCTTCTGTTTTTGTTTCTTTGATTGTTTTTTTGTTGAAGAATTGCCATTAATTGATGAATTATTAGAAGCAATAGAAGTCCCAATATTAACTCCATTTCCAGGACTTGTAGCCTTTTGTGAACGTTGTTGAGACTGTTCAAAACCCATTGCCTTCATAATAACATCAACATCCTTATGCCCAACATAACCTTAAATTTGTAAGAATTTTTAAAATTATTTTTAAAAAATTACCAGGTTCATCTTGCGGCTTAATAATTAAACTTTTATCCTTAGAATTTTGTTTTCGACGTTTTTTAAGAGTCCTTTCACGATCTATTTGATTTTGTCGATTTTGAGGAGACAAATTCTGTTGCGATAAATACTGAAAAAGTTCAGGAAAAGGTGAAAGTTAAAATCGTAAAAACAAAAAAAACTAACAAAAAGTTGTGGATCATTACGATCAAATCTATTCCCATCGAATATTTGAATTCGATCATTTCCCAAAGTTGTAGATGTAGTCGTAGTTGTTGTGTTTGAAGTAATTGATGGAGCTATTGTAGTGATTGTATTTATACCAATATTATTTAATTTTGAAGTTAAATGTTCTTTTTCAATATTTTTGTTATTTTGATTGCTTTGATATAAAGGCCAATTATTGTTAGGCTAAAAAAATATTTTTTATTTAAAAGTCGTATGTAACTCTTATCAAAACATTGGGAATGTCGAAAAAATGTTTTGAAAATTAGAGGAAAATCAATATAAATAGGGTTGCCGTTTTCGAGTCGGGCCGACGGTCGAGACATTTTTTCGGGCTTGTTTTTATCGAGTCGGGCCGGTACGAGTCTTTTTCGGGCCTAACATCTAGGCCTGACTCGATCTTTCGGTCCAAGTTGGTCCATTTTGGCAACCTTGTTAAATATAATATACACTTCAAATTAGGATATTTCAAAATCAAAAAAAGATTGCCCATTTTAAATTACCTCAATTTTATTTATTCCTTTCGTCTCCAAAGCTCGCCCTTCTTCAACAAGATTCCAAACATCATTATTAAAATTCTTAATTTCCGAGTCATTTCTAGCTCCATTACAATCCCCATAACCACTAATTTCAAGTTTTGGCAAGTCAAGATTTTCTTGGATTTTATCATTTAATAAAGGCAAACAATCTAAAAATTAAAGTCTTACAAATAAATATAAAAAACCAAAAACCTCCAGATTGAAATCGATCGGCTGATAAAAATCCATTTTGTCCATAATCGATGTCATGCTCCTAAAACGAAAAAAAATTGAATAGAAAATAATCCAGTTTTCTCGATTTTTGTAGACTTAATTTTGGAAAAGTTTAACATATTTCCCGGCTTTTAGCGCCACCCAGGAAATTTTTTTAATTTAAACAAGCGGCACTACTGAAGAAAAGGGTGCTTTTTCTGCGGACTTATTTTGCGGACTTTTCCTTTCTTTTAAATGTTTCTTTTTTTAATGTTTTGTTTGTCTTGCTTGTAGCAAGTTTTGCTTGTAGCAACTAACGGTCAAAGGATTGATTTTTATGTCAATTTGAAAAATATGTGTTCACCATTAATTTGAACATTATAAACGTTAAAATTGACTTTAACTATATTTTCAATTTTCAATTACCCGATGATGAATTTCAACAATGGATCACTGATCTCGGAATGCTTCATAGAAAAAGAATATGTGATTGTGGACAGAAATTCATAATTTTTACACAGAAATTCATAATGTTATACACCAAATCAATTTTATTTAATTCTTTTTTGGTTTAAATTGTTTTCGAAGGCAAAAAATAAGTGTATGACTATGTATAAAATTAATCTTCTCTTTATCAATGTCTCTTGTTTGAATATGCCACAGAGCAAATAGAGGAAGGAGAGGAAGAAGAAAATCTGACCTTTATGTACAATCTTAGGTAAGAAAAATAATAGGGGGGAGGACCTTTGACAGTTAGTTGCTACAAGTAAAACATTTAAAAAGAAAGGAAAAGTCCGCAAAAAAAGTCCGCAGAAAAAGCACCCTTTTCTTCAGTAGTGCCAAACAAGCCAGGAATCCGTTTTCTTCGGACAATTTTTCCGAATCAGGACCAAATAATTTAAAACTTTACATTGTCAACAGCAAAATAAATATTTCCAGTCAACTCCTTTATAGAATCTAAAGCTTTATTTTCTTCAGCAGTTTTTTGAATATTTTCCTGAAAATAAATTTTTTGGAAAACAATCTTAAAAAATTAAAATAAAACCTCTTCCTTTTCTGGGGTCAAACGAGTTACAGAATTTGCTGGCGGTCCTGCTTGCTGAATTAAACGCATATACAATATTTCTAATAAATATATAAAACAATTATTTATAAGAATATATAATCTAAAATTGAAAAAAAAATTATTAAAAATTTACTGGAAAAAAATATTTCATTAAAAGGTTATTAAAGATCGCCAAACAACAAAATGGAAAAAAGAAACATTTGAGTATAAGTCAGAATTAAAGACCGGCGCGGGACAGGATCCCGCGCGCGCGCGAGATTTTGCGGGATCCCGTCCCGAAATCCCGCACTTTTTTCGATTTGCGGTAGTTTGCGGGAGTGCGGGATTTTTTGGGATATATCCTGCGGGATAACGTCCCGCAAAGATTTTAAAAAAATCCCGGATGCGGGATCCCGCGAGCGCGATTTTGCCGGTCTCTAGTCAGGATTTATTAAGTCCCTAAATTTTTATTTTCTTGTCTTTTGTTAAAATTAAAAGACAAAGAAAATAACAAAATAATAAAAAAAATTGGAAAGTCAATTAAGTAGTGAAATTTAAAGCTTTTATAAATTTCGAAAGAAATTATTCTCATAAGAATGAACTTTGTATTTTCGCGTAAAATGATGAAAATTAGACCACATGGTTAGATATTTGTAATCATTTTAAATCAATTTGGACTATAAAAAATATATTTTTTGTTTACTTATTGATAAAACAGAAAATTTGTTCTGTCAAAGAAATAAATGTATACAATCTTTCGATTAAACTTTAGCAAAAAAAAAAAAGAAAATTATTCCAAAAAAATAAAAACAAAAATATTTTTAGACAAGTTTATTTGACTAAAATTAACTTTTTAGTCAAATAAATGAAATTAAAATTGGAAAATTTGATAAGGAATTTTAAATGAGGTGGTTGTTTAAATATTTAATAGTATACATTCACAGTAATTGTTGCATTAATAATTCTCACTTAATTAAGGGTAATAGTTTTATTTTCTAAAAAGTCGGGTGTTATTGTTAGAATTTCTTGTAATCTTCTAGTTTACTGGTCCCTAGAAAAAATTAGCATATAAGGTGTTCTTTAGATATTTTTGAATTTTGCCACTAGATGATCGAGTGTGTTGACATGAGTCCGTATCAGGGACGGGTCGAGAAAAAAGTCCAGGGTCGGGTAACCCGTCCCATTCCTGGTCCGAACATTAGCACACAGCAACTTAAAATAGGCAGAGGGGGCTATAGCATAGAATTTGTTTATTTCAAACCCCAGAATGAACTACCGAATTCCAAGTTAACTTTCTGGACCAATTTTCTTCAGCACACTTACTGGCGGACCAAAAATTATTGAAAGAGCATTTTCTACTCAATTTTCTAGGGACCACTAAACTAGAAGATTGCCGAATTTTTTAATAAAATTTAAAAAATATTCTAACAAATAAAATATCCCAGCTATTCCATAACACATTTTTAAATTAAAACACGACTAAAATTATTGAATAAAAAATAAAATAGAGAAAATATTTTCTAAATAAGGGGGGGAGGGGATCGATCTGCGCATCTTTCATTTAATCTTTTTAAAAATTAAACGTGCCTTTTTTCAAGCAACAGCCTTTAAAATTAAATTGGGTCTTTAGAGTCTCAAATTTAAACATAAAATTTAAGCTGAAGTTTTCGTATAAAAACACATTTTTGTCTAAATAACAACAAACCTAAATTATTAAATGACCAAAACATTGTGACACTTAATTAAACTTTTTTTAAACTAAACAGAGATTTTAATTAAATAAAAATTATTTAACTTTTTGAATGTCACTAAACAACAAAAAAACAATTAAAATAATTAATTCATTGCCCGCCTACTATTATTAGTTGCCATTTGTTGTTTACGTTGTTGTTGTGTTTGACTTAAATGTCCATTATTAATTCCTCCTTTTCCACCCCCACCAGAATTCCCTCCTCCTCCCCCTCCTTTTTGTTTTGTTTTATTTTGAATAAATTTTTGTTGTTGTTCAATAATTGTTTTCTCCAAAAATTGTTTTGGGGCTGGATTTTGATTCCAAATTTTAATTGCTTCTTCTTTGTCAATTGCTTGTTGTTGTTGTTGGTTATTGTTGTTACGATTTGTAAATGGACTAATAATTGTAATTGGATTTTTCCAACCAAGTGAAGTCAACAAATTTTTGGGTATTCGCTTCTAAAATAATTAAAGATTTTTAAAAAATTTAAAAATTCTAGATAAACTTCTTTTTTTTTTCTCTCCCTCTCTCCCTCTCCCCCTCCCCTTACAAATATAAAATACCTACAAGTAATGGTTCTTCGAGTTCTTTTTTCCACAAACGTTTTTTCTCTTCCAATCTTGACGATGTCCAAAGCTTATTATTATTAGTTGCTTTTTCTTTCTTTAATTTTGTTGAAGAATTGCCATTAATTGATGAATTATTAGAAGTAATAGAAACTCCAATTTCAGAATTTATATTCTTTTGTGAATGTTGTTGGGACTGTTGGGGCTGTTCAAAACCCATTGCCTTCATAATCTTCCCTAGAAAAAATTTTAGAAAATTTATTTTTTAAATATTAAAAATTACAATTAACAGAATGCCAATAAAATAAATAAATGTTTGAAAAATACCGTATTCTGTCCATCAGAAACCTCGAAATTCTCAAAGAATTGACAATTATGTATTAGATTTTACATGAATTGATGGAAATCTATTTTTGCTTCCCTAGAAAAATATCAAAAATTTAGTTTTTATTGTTGATATATGTATGTATGTATGGTGATGAAATTTTAAACAAAAGATTTTGCCTTAGGCGCCGTAAAAGTATAATTTTGGAAAAATTTGTATTGGTCATTTAAAAATAAAATTAGAATTTTATTTTGAAGAATCTAGCAAATCCATTTATTTTCTTTAATCATATTGGTAATTTTTATGAAAATTTGCTAAGAAATATATTCTTTAAATTTTTTCTTTAACTTATTTACAAAAATTTTAACAGTAAAATCCTCACAAAAATTTAACTTTTCACAAGAAGACAAAAATAATTCAACAAAATAAAATCCTCTTTTAAATATAGAAAAATCGATTTACGCATCTTCCCTATAAAATATATCCATTTTTACAAAAATTCTTTCTCTTTGTTATTTTCCAAAAGCGGCCTTCAATAATTATTAAAAACAATCTTTTTAATTTTAAAATAATTATATTTAAATTAATTAAAAATATCTAAAAAATGTTTAAATTATTTAATTTTTTAATTTCTTTTAATTTAATTCTTCTAATTTATTTTTATTTAATTCTTAAAATTTCTGAAGGTGTTTTAATAAATAGTAGAAATTATGGGTTAAGACAAAGAAGACAGAACGGTAAAAATAAATATTTAATTTTTGAATTTCTGTAACAAATATTTGAAGATTTTCTTGTATTTTTTAGAGTTGTGAGGTATTGGGATTTCAAAAAAAAATCGGGATTTTAGAATGCTGACCCCGATACCGATCCCGACTGCGGGATCGGGATTTACCTTTCGGTCTCGTGATCAGAAAAATCGGGATTTAAAAAAACCGGGATAATCCCGTCCGATCGGGATCCCGATCCCGTCCAACCGTATTTTTAAAAATATATATTTAATTTTTAAAAATTAAAAATATAAACATTAATAGCCCCATTTGATGAATTAATTTATGGAGCTCTTCGACTTGTCCGCCCACTCGTTGGAAGTGCAAAATCTTTAGCTAATGATGTAATTGTTGGCCAAAATAATTTAAATTTACCTTCTAAAAATGTTTTTTTATTAAAAAATATTTTTTAAATTTATTTTTAAAGTCAAAAGAAATTCAAAGATTATCGTCTTCCCGTTTACGTGAAATTGAAATTCTTGGGACAGGACAACAAATTAATGAGGAAATTTTAAAAGCAGAAAATAATAATGGAAATTCTGGTATTGATAATATACCACAAATATGTCAAGTAAATATATTAATTAATTATTGGAAGTCTTTGAAAGTAGAGTTGGTCGTATCGGGATCCCGACCAAAAATCTGTATCGGTATTTTGGAATGATGATACCGATCCTGATATCGGCCTCGGTATTGGTATCAGAAAAACAGTATCGGTATCTAACTTTCGGGATCAGGAAAATCAGTATCGGAGTTCAAAAAAACCGCCCTATACCGGTCTGGATCTCGATACCGGCTAACTCTATTTGAAAGACTTTGCCGTTATTATTCCCCTAAAATTGTTCAAAAAATCTATTTAAGGGAAATTCCCGCATTTGTAAATTTGTTGCTTGTGCAGCACACAATTTTAAACATGACAGTAATTTTGCTAATATTCAATTAGCTGCTCAACTTCTTTCTGATAAAAAAATGAGAAGAACTATTGGATCGTAAATTAATTTATTTTTAAAAAATCCTTCTCAATTACTGTAAATCTTCTAATAGAACCATACTATCTGAAAGACACTCTTCAATATAACCACACACTGTGAGTGGATCGAGAAATACAGGCAAATGTGGTTCTATTAGAAGATTTATGGTATTTAAAATTATACATACTATTTCTTCTTTCAAAATTAATTTCTATTTAAAAAAAGAAATCCGAATGCCATAAAAGATGCCTGTAAAGAGCACGGGTTAAATAATGGGCAATGTGGATTTATTGCTAAAGCTTTTCAATTAATTGATAAATTTATGAGTACAATAGAAGATAATCAAGAAAATCAAAAACAAATAAATAAAATGAGTGATTCTGTTTTGGTTGATGAAAATAATGGACAAGAATTAATTAAAAGGTTAGAAGAAGAGAGTATTTTTGAATGTAGGGAGAATTATTTAATTTTTGGAAATTAAATATTCTATTTTTAATGAAAAAAATATTTTAATTTAAAGGGGCAGATAAATATTTAATTATTTTTTAAAATAAATAATACATACCGTATATCCTTTAATAACTACCCTGTGTAATTATTGTTTCAACCTTCCTCTTCAGGGAGTAATTAATTGAGAGGGTAAAATCTGAACGTGTTTTAGTGCATTTTTGGGGGTAATTATTGTTTCAATTAACACTGGATGGGGTAATTAATGTAAGTGGGTAATTATTTGAGGAAGGGGAATTAATAAAGGTTATACGGCATTTATATTTTTTCTATTGAAAAAAATTTTTTTCATAAAAAATTAAAAAAAAAATATTTTTTTAACAGACAACAAATGTTTTATTTAAATAATTCAACAATAATACCAACAAAAAATACTTTTAAATCAAAAGAAGAAGGAGAACAACAAAAACAATTAAATAATAATTTAATTAATAATTCAAAAACAGTAAAAGGATCTAGAACTTGGTCTATAAATAAAACAACGAATAAACAACCTCCAATAATTACAAATTTATTAAATATTTTAAATAATAAAATAAATGAAAAGGAATTATTAAATGATTCTGGTTGGTTTTTTAAAAATTAATTAAAATATCTTTTTTGTGAGAATTTTATTTAAATAAATTTGAATTTAAAAGAAAAATTTGTTAATATTAAATTAAAAAGTGAATACTAATAAATTCTTTCCTTAAATGCTCTCTAATAGAACTTTTGTACCTTTATGTTTTCAACAAAAAAATTTTATGAAATAATTGTGCCGACGATCACTAATTTATTTTGGATTAATCTATATTAACATCTTCATATGTTTTTAAAATTATCTTTTTAAATTTACTCGAACCATCTTTAGTATGTTAAGGCATTATTTTCTCGGGACTACGCATTAAGGAGTTCTATTAGTAGATTGTCATTATTGTCATATTTTCTTTTTAAATTAACTAAAAATAAAATTTCTAACTAGAACCGACATTAACAACAACTACAACAAAACTTCAGTCAAATATTAATTCTCCAATTATTTCAAATATTCCAGAAGCTGAAGTAAATACTTCAATTATTTTTGATAATATAAGGGGAATAATTCCTTTGTGGAGGGGAGGGGATATCGAAGGGGGAGGATATTTGGAAAGCTTTCGTAATTAATTCTAAACCCCATTTTTTGCTACTATCTTCTGGAATGGGTTAGGCCGTTAAATAAATAAATTTTTAATTATTATATTAAATCAAAATTTTTTAAATAAAAATAGGAATTTGCTGATGAAGACAGGGAAGAGAAAGAAAAATTAAAAATAAATAATAAATATATTCCTGAAGAATATTTAGAACAAAATGAATTAGAAAATTGGTTAAATAAAAGGTTAACTAATTTAAATTTAATTTAAATTTATTTTTTTAAAGGCTTAAAGATAAAAATATATTTTCTTCTAACGATTATTATGATGAAATTAAAAATGAAAAAAATAAAGAAAAATCAGAAGAAAATTTTGAAAATTTAAATGACGATGAAAATGAAGAAAAACAAAAAATAACAAAAGAAAAAAGGAAAAAAGAATTTAATTTTCCCTTAAATCCTTCAATAGATAATTGTATGGAATATTTAATAAATAGTAGATAGGTAAATAATTGGTTTTTTGATTATTATTAAATTGAGAATATATCTAACAATTAATTATTTTAAATAGACTTGGTAATGGATACTAATACAGATAATTTCAAAATGCCTATGGATACAATGTATCCGCCGTAAATATCAGAATATAGACACAAAAATCCATGTCCATTACCAAGTCTGATTTTAAATATAGAATGGGGAATGTGCTGACATAAAAATTCAATCTTCAGTAATCGGAACTGCATGTTCTCTGCCCTCGATCCTAATAAGTTTTCTGAACCCAAAATCCCCAACTTTCTATGAAAAGAATTTAAAAAAAAATAAAAAATTGCGAGAGAAACGGTGCAAAATCGAATTCAATTTTTTAAATTTATTTAGAGCTTTATTTACAATTTACAAACACAATATCATAGCAAGTAATATACAAATACACATTTTATCTATACAATAACTAAATATATCCTTTTTATATTTATATATCATCCCTACAAATATATATTTTTTATTTCTCCTATTCACTACCATTAGCATATTATATTCATCCATTTTTAGCCTCTCACAATATTGAAGAGCCTACAAAAAATAATAATTTTTTTCCTTCAACAAATATTTAAATTTACTGTGTAGGAGGACAAGTATTATTTCCCTCTCCAAGTTCCCTAACGAATAATTCAACCAATACATGACTTGACTGTGGATACTCTTGACATAAAATCCAGTCATTTCCATTTTCAAATTCCGTGTCAGAAAACAAACTTCGAAGCATTCTAACTTTTTTGGATTCTTTATTTGGTCGAGGAATGTTCTCTTTTCTAATATGTTTTTTGAATTTCTTAATAAATTGTTCAGCAATAAAATAATCTCCATGTTGAATATTTTTTGAAATACTTCCAAAACGATTGTGGAAATAAAGAGAACGAAGATTCTTTTAAAAAGAAAATTTTATTTTAAACTTTAAGAAAAATAAACTTACAGGGCACTCTTTGAATACATCAATTGCAATATCCACCGAAAGAGGAAAGTTCAATTGAAGATGCTGAAAAAAGAGGGGAAAAAATTTTTCTTTAATCAGACAATTCTTTTTTACTTCCAACTTTTTTTGCTCAAACAATTTGCGAACAAAAGCCATATATTCAGCATGGAAGATTAAAGGATAATTGTCTAGACATCTTTGGAGTTGTTCTTGTTCAAAAGTTTTTGGCGATTGATAAATACCCAAACAAAACGAGCGCAAAGAAGGAAATGGAAGAATTTGGTTAAAATGTTTGTGAAGTTGTGTGTTTGGATCTTCAACACAAGAAAAGCTTAAATGTTCCAAACAAGGAAACATTTCGGGGAGAAAACGCATAATGATGAACTAAAAAAGGGAAGAGAAAATAATTTGGAAATTAAAGAAGAAAACTCACAATTTGATTGACCAAACCCAAGTCGAGGGCCGTCAAACGATTCAAATAATTCGCCGGAAACATATCAGCTGGAACAACGTCTTCTGGAAAAACATGAGAAAAAGGAATAGAAAGAACTGTTATATGTTCATATGCAAGTGCTTGATTGACAACATCCCTCCCTGTACTTTCTACAGAAAGGACAGTCTGAAAAATTAGAACATTTGAGAAGAATTAGAACAAAAATCAACTAACAATTCCCGGTGCTCGTTGACGAACATTTCGCATAAGTCTAAAAATTATTTGAAATTTTTTTATTAAAAAATTTAAAAACTCACGCTCCGACGTGCTCATTCACTTGAAAATCACGCAAACAAAAAATTCGAAGACTCCGAGGCACTTGTTCGAGCTCGCACCCTGAAAATTAATTTAGGTATTTTTGTAGTTTCAATAAACTAACTAAAGTTGATATTGTCAGCAATTGCAAGTATTTGAAGTTGTGAAAGTTGTTCCAACATTGAATTGAAGTGACGAACAAGACTGAAGTGCTAAAAATGAAATATTTTCATTAAAATATTTCTTCAAAAAACAAGCTCACAATTCGGCAGTTTCTGATAATTAACGTTTTTAGCGAAGGCAAACGATCCCCAATTTCCATAATTTCAGAGCCACACAAAGGATTTAGAGAATCAATGCAAAGATTCACGACTCTGTAAGAAAGATTTAAGAGGCGAAACACTCGATCGTTCGATGCCATAGCATGAATAGTTAACTCCAAAGTATAACGAGCACAGCGTTTCATCAGAAGACGGAAAAGCTGACGACCCTTAAAAATTATTTTTTAGTCAAACAAAAATTAATTTTTCCAACTAACATCAATAGAATAACTGCCTTCCTTCACAACAACCTCTGGCACAACCACAACATGACTCTGCGGAACCCAGCTCTTTTTGGATGCTGCACGGAATAGACGAGAGACGTGTTCCATATTGAATCTGTCATTTATGGACATACATTGGAAGCAGCAAGCCTTAAAACAAAAAAACATTTTTTGTTTAAAAAATATTTTCTCTTACCAAAATATTTTCACCCAACTCAGAAAGCTGAATTTTCTTTGGATCCAGCATTTCCATATTCAGCGATCCTTGACTTGTAGACTGTTGCTGTTGTTGGAGTTGACTTTGTGTTGCTACTCGACGGGTATATGGGCGTCTATACCAAGTGTAGTAAATCCCATCATCGCCGATTGCCTGCAGCATCTGACCACGGTGGGACATTATTGTTGTTTTTGACAGGAATTGAAGAATGGAAATTTGACGGTAGAAGAATGGAGGGTTCTCAATTGTTAGACGGATATAGTTAAGCATGATTATAGCCTTTTTATAGTATGGCTATTTTTAAATTAATATTTTAATTTTTTCATTTACAGTCATCGACATAAAGATAGGGGCAAGAGTAACTGAAATGAAAATTAAACATTTTCTCATTTAAAAATTCATTTTAGGAAAATTTTTTAAATTTTATTAGATACTCCATTTAATTCTCTATTTAATGGGTATAAATTTTACCGGAATAATATTTTATACTACCGAGCCCAAACTGAAATGAAAAAGTACTGCTAATTTTCGCGCGTCAAAAAGATAGGGGCAAGTCTCATAACTAAGTACTCACCCGGACAAAAAATCTATAAAAATTTATACAATCATATTGACCGATAATAAGAGGAAATAAAAAAGAACTAGGCCCGTATCTCATTTCGGTGTCGAGATCTCGATACCCCAAAAATCAACGTAAAACAGGGGTAGGCAACTTTAAAAAATTTTTTCGACCCCTTGTGGATAGTTTTAAATTTTTGTTTTGGGCTCATTCGATAGCCCTTAAAATTTGCTACAAGTTGGCCAAATTTTATTTCCCAAAAAAATTTCCCCCTCAAGATAAAGAACGTTGATTCTCAGAAACGCCATTTAAGAGGGAATTTATGGGGTCTCTGTTGCTTTTTGTAAAATTCGCCTCTTCAACTAACGAAATATTTGTTTCTGAAAAATGAAATTTAGCATGTTTATAGCAAATTTTAAGGGCTATCGAATGAGCCCAAAACAAAAATTTAAAACTATCCACAAGGGGTCGAAAAAATTTTTTAAAGTTGCCTACCCCTGTTTTACGTTGATTTTTGGGGTATCGAGATCTCGACACCGAAATGAGATACGGGCCTAGTTCTTTTTTATTTCCTCTTATTATCGGTCAATATGATTGTATAAATTTTTATAGATTTTTTGTCCGGGTGAGTACTTAGTTATGAGACTTGCCCCTATCTTTTTGACGCGCGAAAATTAGCAGTACTTTTTCATTTCAGTTTGGGCTCGGTAGTATAAAATATTATTCCGGTAAAATTTATACCCATTAAATAGAGAATTAAATGGAGTATCTAATAAAATTTAAAAAATTTTCCTAAAATGAATTTTTAAATGAGAAAATGTTTAATTTTCATTTCAGTTACTCTTGCCCCTATCTTTATGTCGATGACTGTAAATTCCAGTTTTTTGTTTAAATTTTTCACCTTTTTATTAAAAATTAACAAAAAAATTTTATTTTCAAGATGTCCCCATAAATATTTTTACATAAAAAATAATTTACATTTTTCAATCAAATTTAATAATACTCAACAAGTTTTAACCAAAATTTTGAGAGAGAACCCATTTTCTCGGCACAAAATTGTCAAAGAAAAAACTATTGGTTAAAAGAGAGGAAAAAGTAATTTAGAGAGGGGGGGGGGGTAGATGGAGGATGTTTTTTTTATTTTTTTACTACAAAATTTTTCCATTTACGTCTTCAAAGGACATTAAAAGCATTTAATTTTCCAATTTTATTTTAAATTGTTTTTTTGGTATTTTTATTAATTTATTTTTTGAATTTATAATTTTAAAGAGAATATAGAGAATAGAGATCGGCCTGGGTCTGGACCAAGGCCTGTGTTTTTCCTGTACCCAGAGTCCAGATCTAGGCATTTTTGACATTCCTGGGTTTTTCCTGGACTACAGGCCCAGGATCCAGTCCAGGTCAATAAATCAAACTCCACAGTCCAGGAACAGGTCCAGGCTTTTCAAAATTTCCGATCTCTAATAGAGAATATTTATAATTTAGTTTATTACTGTTGAGAAAAGTCGAATTTTATTTTATAAATTAATTTAGAAAATATGATTTTGAGTTTTAAACTTTGCTGGAATTTTATTTTATTTTTTACTTGTATTTTTGGATATCCTTCTAGAATTCCAATACGTAAATAAAAAATATTTAAATAAAATATTAAATAAATTAAATAAATAGAGTCCTTCTCAACTGCTGGTGATTTAGCTGTTTTAGCAACTGTATATTTTAAAAGAATTTACCTAAATAAATTTTTAGTTAAATTTCACCGTTAATCGTCTAAATTCTGGAACACCAAGCACATTTTTGCTTGCACATAAGAACAGACAACTTCGAATGGCTGTAGATGATAGTTGGGGAATGATTTCAAAAAGTGTTTATTTTGCTAGTAATTATTAAGAGAGGGACTGTTAAAGAATTCTCTCAAGTTTTCCTGAGATTGATCAGTCCTCTTGGCTATTTTAAGATAGAGGGTAATTGCTAGAGGGAGAGTAAATCTTTAAATTAAATTACCCTTATATTTATTCTCATTTAAAGTTTGTACTGAACTTCAATCAGGATTTATGTTAATGCTTATGGGAGAGAGTAATCAAAGAAGCCACGAGGTAAGTAAAACCCCTCATTTAAAAATAAATTCTTTAAAAGGCTTATATGTCTGTTGTTAATGCCCTAGAAATTCCATTAATTAATTGGGAATTATCCCCTCATGCATTTTTGCCAAACACGCCAAACAATTTTGAGGCAAGTATAAAACCTCCAAATGCCCAATTATTGGCTGATTTATTGTTAATGAAAGGATGGAATAATTTTGTTTATTTTCATGATTCTGATATTTCTAATAGAGGTTAAAAAAAGGAAGAAAAAATAAAAGAAAATATTTTTTTAAACTTCTCTTTAGCAGCACAAAATCTTCGAATGATTTATTTACATTTAAATGGAAGAACAAATAATTCTATTAGTTCAGAAATGTTACAATTACCAAAAGATGTTGAACAATTTGGGGAATTTTTAAGACAATTTAATTTAAAACGTTTTAAATTAAATTTAACAGAAAATATTATTTTGGATACGAAAAATAATTATAGGTAATTAAATAGGGAAGTATTTAGTGGAATAATTTAAAATTTAAAAAGACAACAACAATTATTACAAGCAATACGTTCAGCACAATTTAATCAACAAAAATATAATTATGTTGTAGCTAATTATGATTTTTTGGTTTTTAATTTAAATTTAAAAATACAAAAATTATTTTACTTATTTTTTTAGCCCTATGATGTTGAAATGTTTCAACAAGTAAATTTAAAGAATATTTACTAGTTAATTTCTTTAATTATAACCCTCACTTAAAGGAATTGACTGGCCTAGTACTAGGGTTGGTCCCCGCCCTCCTCACCCCGTGGCGCTGGCTCCCCGAAAATTATTCCCTGTGCCCCCCCCCCCCCCGTCGGGGACCAACCATACCTAGTACATATATTTGTCGTGATAGTGGATCTGTGGGGATTTTCCTAGATAAATCAACTCTTTTTTTTTTGTGGGGACACCCGAAATGTGTCTTGGATAAATTAATTCTTTATTCTGAGGGTTATAATTAAAGAAAGAATTTTCTTTCAAAATAATTTATTAAAAAAAGGGTAATATAAACATCACTGGTTTTCAAATAATCGAAAGAGAAAATCGAGAATTTGCTTTACTTAAAAGACAAATTGAATTGGCAATAAAAGAATTAAATGAAAAGCCGGATTTGGATTTGGAAGTTTCTTTAAAATAATTATTTTTTATTTATTCATTTTAAATTTAAAGACAAGACTAGCATTTGTGCATGATGCTGTTCTTGTAGCTAAAGCAGCATTAGAGGCAACTTTACGTAAAAACGATTCCCTTTTTAGAAAAAATTTTCGTCATGGAGAGCTTTACAATAAAGTTTGGATTTTTAATTTTAAATTAAATTTTTTAAAGAATTTTCCTGGAATTTATTGTTATCCAAGTATGGATAAACAAAATTCAAATAGACCATTTTTGACATTTGAACATGGACGTTTAATTTCTAAAGCAATTACGAGTGTTTGTTTAATTAAAATTATTTAAATAATTTTAATTTAAAGTTAAAATTGAGTGGATCTACTTCGGGTACTTTAAGTGGACAAGTCGAATTTGATCGTGATGGGGTACGCAAAAATTTTTTGGTAACAGTAATTGATTTGACATCCGATACAAAATCTGCATTCAACAAAAAAGAAGTTTAAAAAATAATTTTGTTTTGATTAAATATTTTCTTTAGCTTCTTATTTGGAGACATTCAACAGGATTTTTAAAAGACCGAACAGAAGCACATTGGTTTTTCTAAAAATTAAATTATAAATAAATTATGATATTTCCCCTAAGGCGACAACAAACACAGAATTCTCGTTCTGGTCAATCTGAGGGGGGACCTAAAAAGATTGTTAGAGTTGTTACTGTAAGAGAAGAAGGGAAAAAAGAAATCTAAATTAAATTTAAATTTTAAGGTAAGGAGTGATCCTTTTGTTATGTTAAAAAGGGAATGTGATCCGGCAAAAGGTGGAAATCAGGTGTGGAAATTAATTTTGAATAGAAAAAAATTAATTTATTTAATTAATTAGAATGTGAGTGAATGCAAAGGAAATAATAAATTTGAAGGATATTGTATTGACTTGTTAAATGTTTGGATTTAATTTTAAAAAATAAATAAATATTTTTAATTATTTAGCTTTTACATGAACGTAATGAAGAATTTAATTTTGAAATATTTATATCAAGAAATAACCAATATGGGGCTAGACAGCCTGATGGAAGTATTATAATATTTAATTATTTAAATAATTTTATTATTTAGGTTGGGATGGAATTAGTAAATTAATTTTATTTTTTTAAATTTAATATTTAATTAGTTGGACACCTCCTTAGGGGAGAAGCCGATGTTTCGGTTGCTTCATTAACAATTAATCAAGTACTAAATTATTTAATTTTGGAAATTATTTTATATTTTAGGACAGAGAAAGAGTTGTGGATTTTTCTAAACCTTTTTTAACTACAGGAATTAGGTAGAGTATTTTATTTTTGGAGTAAATTCTTTTCTCTTTTTAAGTATAATGATTAAAAAGCCTGACAAACAAGGTTAATTTTCTTTTAAAAAATTCTTTTTATTTTTTCTTTTAAAGAATTTTCTGTTTTTTCCTTCATGGCACCTTTAAGTAGCGAAATTTGGATGTAAATAGAAAGGAATTATTTTAAATAATAATAATTTAAAGGTATATAATATTTGCTTATGTTGGGGTTTCTGTTGTTATTTTTTTGGTTTCTCGTTTTTCTCCATATGAATGGAGAGTAGAGGAAATGGCTAATGGAGGGTTTACAATATCCAATGATTTTTCGGTTTATAATTGTATGTGGTTTACTTTGGCTGCTTTTATGCAACAAGGGACTGATATATTACCTAGGTAGAAGTTTCTATGTAAATTAAAAGGGAATGTTGTTGAATGACTAAATATACTTGATCACTACTTCTAAATATCTTAATAAAATATAGGTATTTATTTTTAGATCTATTAGTGGACGTATTGCTTCAAGCGCTTGGTGGTATGTGGTTAAAAGATTTTTTAATAAATAAATTTACTTTTATTTTTTTAGGTTCTTTACAATGATTATAGGTATTTAATAAAATAAATGTTTTTATCGAAATTTATTTCTAATTTTTTGTTTCTTCTTATACTGCAAATTTGGCTGCCTTTTTAACATTAGAAAAAATGCAGGCGCCAATTGAGAGTGTTGAAGATTTAGCCAAACAAACAAAAATAAAATATGGAATACAAGCTGGTGGATCAACTGCACAATTTTTTAAGGTTCTCGAAAAAAAAAGAAAAAAAGTTTTTTGAGGGAAAAATATTTTACCTAATTGGAGTACCTCTTGACTAGCACCTCAAGAATATCCTCTAATAGACACCCTCTAATACCCTCTAATAAAATATTTAAAAATAATTCATTTATTTTTAAAGTATTCTTCCGTTCAAATTTATCAAAGAATGTGGCGTTTTATGGAATCACAAGTATAAATAATCTTTATTTTTCCAAAAAATTTGTTTAGGTTCCCTCGGTTTTTGTTAATTCTTATGCTGAAGGGATTGAACGTGTTCGTACACACAAAGGGCGATATGCCTTTCTTTTAGAGGTAGAAAGAAGAAATTAAATTACAAAAATATGTACATTTTTGAAGGCAACTGCAAATGAATATGCAAATACACGAAAACCTTGTGATACAATGAAAGTTGGGGCTAATTTAAATAGTGTTGGGTATGGGGTTGCTACACCTTTTGGAAGTGAATGGAAGTAGTGAGGGAAAGAAGGAGTTTAAAAAAATAAATATTTCTAGGGATGTAATTAATTTAGCAATTTTGGCCTTACAAGAATTGGGGGAACTTAAAAAACTTGAAAATAAATGGTGGTATGATAGAGGACAGTGTGATCAAGGAATTACAGTTATTTTTAATTAAAGGGAAATTAAATTAATAAAAATAATTTTTAAAAAAGGATGGGTCTTCTGCAAGTTTAAATTTAAGTAAAGTAGCTGGAATATTTTATATTTTAATGGCTGGAATGGTTTCTTTGAATTTAAAATTTTCTTGAAAAAATATAATATTTTTAGATAGCTTCTATGATAGCTGCTTTGGGGGAATTTCTTTATCGTTCAAGAATTGAAGCAAGAAAAGGGCAAATTACTTCTATGGTTAATTAAATATTAAATTTAGATAAAAACTCTTTTCTGTAGCAAAATCTTCGTGACTCTCTCTGTGACCAACTTAAACTTTCTTTACAAGGAAATGCTTTAATTAAAGATGGTTCTGCCCACGAAATGTTAAAGAAACAAAAAGTTCCCGATCTCTAAAAAATATATTTTTAAATTATTTTTTTTTTCAAGATTTCTTCTTTACTCCCCGCGAATTATTCAGATCCAGGTCTACAGCCATTTACTGGAGCTGGATTAACCCCAATAAATCCTCGTCAAGTACCCCCACCCTATTCAAATAAAAATTCGGTTGTTGATCAGAGAAAGAATAATTCGGGACATCGACAGAAAATTCAAAGGCCATACAATACGGCTGTTTGATTAAATATGAAATACTAAAGATCTTTTAAAAGATTAGGAGCTGTGCTTAATCGTAAAATATCTCCTATTAGGAAGTGCTTTACGATAAAATAATTAAATAAGCTTTAATCTCGATTAATTATATTCTAGAATTATTTAACACAAAGTTTTTTTAGTTTTTATAAATATTTTTAGTTTAATAAATAGAAAAAAACATCTCATCGTATTTTTAGATTAAAATATACCTAAATGACTCATTTGTCGAAAAAAACAAATACTTGACTTTTTCTTTAATTAATTATAAAAAATAGAAAACAGGTAATGTTTTCTTCTAATTTTCCCTATAATTTTTTCTAAAAAGAGATATTTTTCTTTCTCCATATATCCTCCTTTTTGTCCTTCAAAACTGATGGCCGTTTGAGTAAAAATATTTTTGGATAAAAAAAGAGATGCGATGAAGGCCGTTGATCACCTCTACCAACCTTACAAATATTTATTTAAAGCTGGATGGCCATTAGTAGTAGTTATGTATATATGCTTCTCTCTGAAAATATAACCGATCGCGCATGGGGAGAAGATTCTTTCGTTAAAAATCTTTTCCCCTCATTCCTCTGCCTGCTTTTCACTAAATATTATTTCGTTCAATCCTGAGGGATTTCTAAAGATGAAATAGACAAAAAGTTTTAATATGAAAAGCATTTTTATTGATCTAATTTTTAATCTTTAAATTCTCTTAATATTTAAAAAACAATTATTATTTACTTAATTTATATTTATTTAAAAATATTCAAGGACATTTATTTTTAATTATTTTCTAAAAAAATATTTATTTATTTTAACCATTAAATTGCACAAAATCCAAAAATAGTTAGCGACAAAAAACAGGAAATCCTCAAAAAGAGGTCAAGGCCCAAAAACAAGTCAAGTGCGCAACTAAAAAGAAGAAAAAGATTAAAATATATTTTGGTTGACGTAGAAGGAGGGAATTTTTAGTGGATATTTATAAAATAATTTTTAGAATTACAAAAATTTATTTTTTAAATCAAGAAAAATTTATTTAAACATCGAAAATATTTATTGGCTAACTCAAACTTTCCAATAATTTTTTATAATTTATTTTTAAAAATTAATTTTCAAATAAAAAAATGAGGAAAAAGAATTTATTATTTAAAAATAATTTAATTAAAATAATATTTATTCAATTATTTTCTTTTATTTTAATATTCCCAATTTTTGTTTTATTTAATTCCTCTGTAATTGCTATTCCAATGATAAGAGAAAATAATAATTTTATTAATAAAAAAGAATTTGAGGAATTTAAAAATTTAAATATTTTTGAAAGGAAAAATGAAGAAGGTTTGGAATTAAAAAAGTATTTTTATATATTTTTTGATTTTTGGGAAAATTTTGGTAGAAAAAATTATCAAGAAAAAATAAAGTAGCCAGGGCTATTTCTCTCCTTTAGGTAGTGCAAAAAGTTAATTGGGGACTCGGAACGAGCTCTTCTTCAGTAGACCGGACCATTACACCACGCCGCCTATTGCATAGCCTTAGGAATTAAATAGCTAATATATGTATGCTTTACAAAAATATACCTAAATTAAATACACAAAATAATTTAATAAAAAAATTATTTTTTAAATTTAAAAAAATCTCAGAATTAAAACCACCAAAAACTTCAACAAATTCTGGAGGAAATATTAATTTATTTAGCGAATTAATTGAAAATTTAAATAAATCAGATTTTGTACAAATATTTATTAAAATGTTGAAACAAATAGAAGAAGCATTAAAACAAACTGGAAATTCAAGTTTTTAGTTAGAATTAAAAAAAATAATTTCTTTTTTAGAAAATCAAAAAATTGAAAGAAATGTTGAAAGGAGAAGTACTTCAATAAATGAAAGAAGGAATAATCAACCAAGAAATGTTTTTTTAATTAAAATAAAATATTTTAAAAATTAATTTTAAAGGAAATTTCTTCCAACTTTACTCGACAACTTTCCCCTTTTCCTTCTCCTCCTCGAAGTCCAACAATAAATAAAAAATCTTTTAAAAACGAAAAAATAAATATTAATTTTTCTGAAGAAATAAGTGAAAGTATTGATGCTAAACCGTTGATAATTAAAAGTTTAGTTAATTTTTATTTTAAATTATAATTTATTGAAAAGTTAAGAGGAACAAAATAAATCCTCGGCTACATTAAATAATATTCCTCATCCTTCCCCTCTTCCTACTTCTCTTCTTTCTTCTATTCATCAACAACCAAAATTGGTAGACGGAATGTCAACAATATTAAAAGAAGCATTTAGTAATTTTTAAAAATTTTAAAATTTAAAAATTAAAAACACTCAAAAGATAACAAAGAATGGAAGAATTCTTTATTTGGCAAAAGTGGATTGCTCACAGAAATTTTTAATTTTGTTAATGATAAAAGGAAAGAAGAAATTGCAAAACAAACAAAATTAAATTCTTCCCCTATTTTAATTTGTAAATAATTAATTTGTTTTTATTTTAATTTAATTATTTAACTAGCTAACAACAACAATAACAATAACAACGATTTTACAAAAATTTTGGATGTTTTACTTAGCAGTCCACAACAAAATGGAAAATTTGAAGAGCCCCAATTACCAGAAATTCCATTTTTAGGTATTTGTAACAGAATTAGTTGTGCTGATATTTATAAAGCTTTGGATGAATTTAAAAGAAGTGAATTCTTTTCTAATTTTCAAGTAAATTTTTGTGAACTAAACGAGAAATAAAATTTGGCGTGCGGACATATCGAGATTGGGGCGACAAAAATAATTTCTTACGTGTTTATGTTTGTTCTAAAACATAAAAACTCTACATATTCCTCGATAGGACAATATACCTATCCAAGACCCAGTGGCCTTAGGTTCCAAGATCAGTAGGGTAACTGTTCGTACATTGAAATATCCCAATATGTCCGTCCGATATGTCCGCGTGCCGAATAATTAAATTAATTAAAATAGACAGCAATATCTTTATTAAATGACCCAAAAGGATTTGATATGATTGGTGAATTATTAGCAAATCCAGATCTTTTGGAGACTTTTACAGGCCCAGAAAGTATTTCACAATTATTTGGAAGAGGAAATAATAACAATAAAAATAAAAAAGAATTTATTAAAGGAGAAGAAAAACTAATTGAAATTGCTGAAAATAAAGTAAAAAATACTGTATTTATTCAAATAATACTCATTTACCCTATCCTCCCTATTAATTACCCCCCTCCCCTCCCTTCAGCTAAAGGTTAAAACAATAATCACCCCATTAAAAATAATTACAGTCATCGACATAAAGATAGGGGCAAGTGTAAATGAAATGAAAATTTACTATTTTTCAGTCAAAAAATACGTTCTATATAGCAATCGAAAGCTCTATTCGTATCTCAGTTGACATGTTTCTGCATTTTTCATGAAAATGAAAATTGGCCGAGATAATCCGGATCTACCGGATATACCAAATCCCATAATCTCGGAAAAATTTTTCGGAAAAAATTTAACAAACCCATTTGATAAAGAATATTTTTGTGAGTATTTACCAAAAAAACCGCTTAGAAATATCTTTTTCCTGACCAGAGATATGATTTTTTGAAAATGGCATTTTTCGCCTATTTTTGCAAAAAATTCAATTTTTAAGGGAAAAATGCCATTTTCAAAAAATCATATCTCTGGTCAGGAAAAAGATATTTCTAAGCGGTTTTTTTGGTAAATACTCACAAAAATATTCTTTATCAAATGGGTTTGTTAAATTTTTTCCGAAAAATTTTTCCGAGATTATGGGATTTGGTATATCCGGTAGATCCGGATTATCTCGGCCAATTTTCATTTTCATGAAAAATGCAGAAACATGTCAACTGAGATACGAATAGAGCTTTCGATTGCTATATAGAACGTATTTTTTGACTGAAAAATAGTAAATTTTCATTTCATTTACACTTGCCCCTATCTTTATGTCGATGACTGTAATTATTTTTAATGGGGTGATTATTGTTTTAACCTTTAGCTGAAGGGAGGGGAGGGGGGTAATTAATAGGGAGGATAGGGTAAATGAGTATTATTTGAATAAATACAGTATTTTTTACTTTATTTTCAGCAATTTCAATTAGTTTTTCTTCTCCTTTAATAAATTCTTTTTTATTTTTATTGTTATTATTTCCTCTTCCAAATAATTGTGAAATACTTTCTGGGCCTGTAAAAGTCTCCAAAAGATCTGGATTTGCTAATAATTCACCAATCATATCAAATCCTTTTGGGTCATTTAATAAAGATATTGCTGTCTATTTTAATTAATTTAATTATTCGGCACGCGGACATATCGGACGGACATATTGGGATATTTCAATGTACGAACAGTTACCCTACTGATCTTGGAACCTAAGGCCACTGGGTCTTGGATAGGTATATTGTCCTATCGAGGAATATGTAGAGTTTTTATGTTTTAGAACAAACATAAACACGTAAGAAATTATTTTTGTCGCCCCAATCTCGATATGTCCGCACGCCAAATTTTATTTCTCGTTTAGTTCACAAAAATTTACTTGAAAATTAGAAAAGAATTCACTTCTTTTAAATTCATCCAAAGCTTTATAAATATCAGCACAACTAATTCTGTTACAAATACCTAAAAATGGAATTTCTGGTAATTGGGGCTCTTCAAATTTTCCATTTTGTTGTGGACTGCTAAGTAAAACATCCAAAATTTTTGTAAAATCGTTGTTATTGTTATTGTTGTTGTTAGCTAGTTAAATAATTAAATTAAAATAAAAACAAATTAATTATTTACAAATTAAAATAGGGGAAGAATTTAATTTTGTTTGTTTTGCAATTTCTTCTTTCCTTTTATCATTAACAAAATTAAAAATTTCTGTGAGCAATCCACTTTTGCCAAATAAAGAATTCTTCCATTCTTTGTTATCTTTTGAGTGTTTTTAATTTTTAAATTTTAAAATTTTTAAAAATTACTAAATGCTTCTTTTAATATTGTTGACATTCCGTCTACCAATTTTGGTTGTTGATGAATAGAAGAAAGAAGAGAAGTAGGAAGAGGGGAAGGATGAGGAATATTATTTAATGTAGCCGAGGATTTATTTTGTTCCTCTTAACTTTTCAATAAATTATAATTTAAAATAAAAATTAACTAAACTTTTAATTATCAACGGTTTAGCATCAATACTTTCACTTATTTCTTCAGAAAAATTAATATTTATTTTTTCGTTTTTAAAAGATTTTTTATTTATTGTTGGACTTCGAGGAGGAGAAGGAAAAGGGGAAAGTTGTCGAGTAAAGTTGGAAGAAATTTCCTTTAAAATTAATTTTTAAAATATTTTATTTTAATTAAAAAAACATTTCTTGGTTGATTATTCCTTCTTTCATTTATTGAAGTACTTCTCCTTTCAACATTTCTTTCAATTTTTTGATTTTCTAAAAAAGAAATTATTTTTTTTAATTCTAACTAAAAACTTGAATTTCCAGTTTGTTTTAATGCTTCTTCTATTTGTTTCAACATTTTAATAAATATTTGTACAAAATCTGATTTATTTAAATTTTCAATTAATTCGCTAAATAAATTAATATTTCCTCCAGAATTTGTTGAAGTTTTTGGTGGTTTTAATTCTGAGATTTTTTTAAATTTAAAAAATAATTTTTTTATTAAATTATTTTGTGTATTTAATTTAGGTATATTTTTGTAAAGCATACATATATTAGCTATTTAATTCCTAAGGCTATGCAATAGGCGGCGTGGTGTAATGGTCCGGTCTACTGAAGAAGAGCTCGTTCCGAGTCCCCAATTAACTTTTTGCACTACCTAAAGGAGAGAAATAGCCCTGGCTACTTTATTTTTTCTTGATAATTTTTTCTACCAAAATTTTCCCAAAAATCAAAAAATATATAAAAATACTTTTTTAATTCCAAACCTTCTTCATTTTTCCTTTCAAAAATATTTAAATTTTTAAATTCCTCAAATTCTTTTTTATTAATAAAATTATTATTTTCTCTTATCATTGGAATAGCAATTACAGAGGAATTAAATAAAACAAAAATTGGGAATATTAAAATAAAAGAAAATAATTGAATAAATATTATTTTAATTAAATTATTTTTAAATAATAAATTCTTTTTCCTCATTTTTTTATTTGAAAATTAATTTTTAAAAATAAATTATAAAAAATTATTGGAAAGTTTGAGTTAGCCAATAAATATTTTCGATGTTTAAATAAATTTTTCTTGATTTAAAAAATAAATTTTTGTAATTCTAAAAATTATTTTATAAATATCCACTAAAAATTCCCTCCTTCTACGTCAACCAAAATATATTTTAATCTTTTTCTTCTTTTTAGTTGCGCACTTGACTTGTTTTTGGGCCTTGACCTCTTTTTGAGGATTTCCTGTTTTTTGTCGCTAACTATTTTTGGATTTTGTGCAATTTAATGGTTAAAATAAATAAATATTTTTTTAGAAAATAATTAAAAATAAATGTCCTTGAATATTTTTAAATAAATATAAATTAAGTAAATAATAATTGTTTTTTAAATATTAAGAGAATTTAAAGATTAAAAATTAGATCAATAAAAATGCTTTTCATATTAAAACTTTTTGTCTATTTCATCTTTAGAAATCCCTCAGGATTGAACGAAATAATATTTAGTGAAAAGCAGGCAGAGGAATGAGGGGAAAAGATTTTTAACGAAAGAATCTTCTCCCCATGCGCGATCGGTTATATTTTCAGAGAGAAGCATATATACATAACTACTACTAATGGCCATCCAGCTTTAAATAAATATTTGTAAGGTTGGTAGAGGTGATCAACGGCCTTCATCGCATCTCTTTTTTTATCCAAAAATATTTTTACTCAAACGGCCATCAGTTTTGAAGGACAAAAAGGAGGATATATGGAGAAAGAAAAATATCTCTTTTTAGAAAAAATTATAGGGAAAATTAGAAGAAAACATTACCTGTTTTCTATTTTTTATAATTAATTAAAGAAAAAGTCAAGTATTTGTTTTTTTCGACAAATGAGTCATTTAGGTATATTTTAATCTAAAAATACGATGAGATGTTTTTTTCTATTTATTAAACTAAAAATATTTATAAAAACTAAAAAAACTTTGTGTTAAATAATTCTAGAATATAATTAATCGAGATTAAAGCTTATTTAATTATTTTATCGTAAAGCACTTCCTAATAGGAGATATTTTACGATTATGAAAATCCTACAGGATTGCCATGAAAAGTAGAGATCTGAAAGGAGACCATCTGCTTAAATTTTACAATGATAAAAAGGAAAACTGAATCCGATTAGAGGAAGGAAGCTTTGAGGAATCCAGAGACTACTTAGACTACTTAAATTTAGCCAGGATTTAACATAAAATATCCCTAACCATCATTATCAGTAGTCTTTTTATTTTCTTCATTCTCAATAATATTAAACCAAGCAATTTCAGGTCCCAATCCTGTAGGATTTTCATACATTGCCTGACATGTTTGAGAAAGATTTTTAGCAATTTCCAAATGTATAGAGGGCATTCCATGTTGAGTACCAAGTGCTAAAGTGCCAGCAAGAAAACAAACTAAATGGTCCATTTTTGGAGAAAATTTAATTAAAGAATTTGATGATTCCGTTGTTTGTTCTCCTGAGAAAAAAAGAGAAAAATATAAATTATCCACCAAAATATTCAAAAACTGACCAACAAAATATAATTTCCCAGAAACAGTCCCTTTCCACAATTTATTTTGCATAGAATCCATCGCCCTTCTATAATCTTTCTCTAACCAGTCAATTGTTTTCCCAGTTTGTAACCATTGTTTTAGCAAATATTCATAATAAGAATCAGCTCTAGCACCAAAAGTTAAAGTGCCAGGTTCTCGAAAACGTCCATCAGTTGGGGAAATAAACATGGGACATAACCCAAATTGTTTATTACAAGGTTGGTCGTGAATATGTTCCGAGACACGAAAAGATAATGTCTAAATTATATTTATTTTGTTTTAAAAATTAATTTAAAATTCCAAAAAAAACACCTCGTAAGTATCATTCTCAACAAGTCGGGCTAAATCACGAAATTCTAATTGAAGAGAAGCAATTTCTGCAAGAGAAGAATCTACACTCCAACTATTATTGGATTTAATTATTTTATTTTTTTCTGTCTCTAATTTTGTAGATCATAACGTTTTTATTTTAAAATCATTTTCGGCTTTTCTTTTTGCTTTTTAAAATATTATTGTTTGATCTTTTCATTTAATAGCTTTTTTTATAAATTTTATGTTTAAAGAACAAACCCAAACAAACATCTTTTTCTTTTCCTTTCACGCGCGTTACATTTTTTACAATTTTATTTATTTACGTGACTATTAATTTTATTATATTTTTTGCATTTTTTTCTTGTGTTTGTTTGCCCGTAACATTGTTGTGCGAAAAATTAAACAAAAAATAACTGAAATAAAAATGCAACTTTATCTTTGCTTATAATCTCTGTCGGCATTTTTCTTTTACAAAAACTAGCAAGTAAATGAATTTATTGTTAAATTTTTCCGCGCAAAGAGTTGAAACAATTTTTTATATTAAGATAAATTTTACAGTATTATTAGAATATTTTATATCTGTAAATTCTGTCTAAATATGTATTGTTTTATTTTTTTGCTTTTGCCAAAAAAGATTATGGCAAATCTAGGACATTCCTTCCAAAAATTTCCTTTCGGTCTGAAAACGAATTTTCGTTTAGAAAAAATTGGCCATGGGCTCCATAAATTTTTTAAGTAATTTTTGTAAATATATTTAAAAAAATTAATTTTATAGCGACGTAAATCTTCGTACTGGATCTAGACAACAACCTAGTTGGAGTGTAGATTCTTCTCTTGCAGAAATTGCTTCTCTTCAATTAGAATTTCGTGATTTAGCCCGACTTGTTGAGAATGATACTTACGAGGTGTTTTTTTTGGAATTTTAAATTAATTTTTAAAACAAAATAAATATAATTTAGACATTATCTTTTCGTGTCTCGGAACATATTCACGACCAACCTTGTAATAAACAATTTGGGTTATGTCCCATGTTTATTTCCCCAACTGATGGACGTTTTCGAGAACCTGGCACTTTAACTTTTGGTGCTAGAGCTGATTCTTATTATGAATATTTGCTAAAACAATGGTTACAAACTGGGAAAACAATTGACTGGTTAGAGAAAGATTATAGAAGGGCGATGGATTCTATGCAAAATAAATTGTGGAAAGGGACTGTTTCTGGGAAATTATATTTTGTTGGTCAGTTTTTGAATATTTTGGTGGATAATTTATATTTTTCTCTTTTTTTCTCAGGAGAACAAACAACGGAATCATCAAATTCTTTAATTAAATTTTCTCCAAAAATGGACCATTTAGTTTGTTTTCTTGCTGGCACTTTAGCACTTGGTACTCAACATGGAATGCCCTCTATACATTTGGAAATTGCTAAAAATCTTTCTCAAACATGTCAGGCAATGTATGAAAATCCTACAGGATTGGGACCTGAAATTGCTTGGTTTAATATTATTGAGAATGAAGAAAATAAAAAGACTACTGATAATGATGGTTAGGGATATTTTATGTTAAATCCTGGCTAAATTTAAGTAGTCTAAGTAGTCTCTGGATTCCTCAAAGCTTCCTTCCTCTAATCGGATTCAGTTTTCCTTTTTATCATTGTAAAATTTAAGCAGATGGTCTCCTTTCAGATCTCTACTTTTCATGGCAATCCTGTAGGATTTTCATGGCAATCCTGTAGGATTTTCATACATTGCCTGACATGTTTGAGAAAGATTTTTAGCAATTTCCAAATGTATAGAGGGCATTCCATGTTGAGTACCAAGTGCTAAAGTGCCAGCAAGAAAACAAACTAAATGGTCCATTTTTGGAGAAAATTTAATTAAAGAATTTGATGATTCCGTTGTTTGTTCTCCTGAGAAAAAAAGAGAAAAATATAAATTATCCACCAAAATATTCAAAAACTGACCAACAAAATATAATTTCCCAGAAACAGTCCCTTTCCACAATTTATTTTGCATAGAATCCATCGCCCTTCTATAATCTTTCTCTAACCAGTCAATTGTTTTCCCAGTTTGTAACCATTGTTTTAGCAAATATTCATAATAAGAATCAGCTCTAGCACCAAAAGTTAAAGTGCCAGGTTCTCGAAAACGTCCATCAGTTGGGGAAATAAACATGGGACATAACCCAAATTGTTTATTACAAGGTTGGTCGTGAATATGTTCCGAGACACGAAAAGATAATGTCTAAATTATATTTATTTTGTTTTAAAAATTAATTTAAAATTCCAAAAAAAACACCTCGTAAGTATCATTCTCAACAAGTCGGGCTAAATCACGAAATTCTAATTGAAGAGAAGCAATTTCTGCAAGAGAAGAATCTACACTCCAACTAGGTTGTTGTCTAGATCCAGTACGAAGATTTACGTCGCTATAAAATTAATTTTTTTAAATATATTTACAAAAATTACTTAAAAAATTTATGGAGCCCATGGCCAATTTTTTCTAAACGAAAATTCGTTTTCAGACCGAAAGGAAATTTTTGGAAGGAATGTCCTAGATTTGCCATAATCTTTTTTGGCAAAAGCAAAAAAATAAAACAATACATATTTAGACAGAATTTACAGATATAAAATATTCTAATAATACTGTAAAATTTATCTTAATATAAAAAATTGTTTCAACTCTTTGCGCGGAAAAATTTAACAATAAATTCATTTACTTGCTAGTTTTTGTAAAAGAAAAATGCCGACAGAGATTATAAGCAAAGATAAAGTTGCATTTTTATTTCAGTTATTTTTTGTTTAATTTTTCGCACAACAATGTTACGGGCAAACAAACACAAGAAAAAAATGCAAAAAATATAATAAAATTAATAGTCACGTAAATAAATAAAATTGTAAAAAATGTAACGCGCGTGAAAGGAAAAGAAAAAGATGTTTGTTTGGGTTTGTTCTTTAAACATAAAATTTATAAAAAAAGCTATTAAATGAAAAGATCAAACAATAATATTTTAAAAAGCAAAAAGAAAAGCCGAAAATGATTTTAAAATAAAAACGTTATGATCTACAAAATTAGAGACAGAAAAAAATAAAATAATTAAATCCAATAATAGTGATAGATAGAAACGGGATCGGTAGTCTTTTTGCCTTTTTTGGAGTGAAAAGAATGAAACGGGGTCGGAAATTCAAAGTTTTCCGGATTTGGATCTTACAATTAGAATCAGCTAGGGTCTACCGGTAAATGCCGTTTATTAATGCAACTTGGAAGGGTACATTAACAATCGGTCCTAATCCCTCCTGGTCTTCTTCTGGTTTCATTTCCTGATATAAACTAAAACCCTTCAACGTTATTTTCCATTTTTTAATTTTTCGATTTCAAGTTTAAATTTCGAGAACATTTCTGTGATGATGAAATAATACCAAAAAATCAAAAATTCCAGAAAATTCTAAGTAAAAATATTATAAAGGAAGATTTGAATTAAACGATTCTTCGGAAAAAATCTAATAAAATATTTTAAGCGATTAATATATGTAAATAGCTTTAGCATTTCTAGTGCTCTAATTACCAATAAAAATATAGATACAATCTTGATTCTTTTTTTAATTTTTTGCCAAAAAACTCAAAGCATTTAAAACAAATAATTAATTAATAGTTAGCTACTTGTTTATATGCACCGAACTAATGCAAATTAATTAATCAAACGGTGCTCAGTCGGTTTTAAAAAATTTTCGTGTTTAGATGTTTGTTATTTTTTTCCTACTTTTAATGGGCGTGTGCAAATATAATTAGTGTTTTAATACTTAATGCAAAGTACTACTTTATTTTAAATGGTTTGTGCTTCATTTATGCTTTCGGGTTAAGCATGAGGAAATTTAAATAATTTTTGTTTAGAGGTTTCAAAAATATTTGAATTACTTAAAATATTCCCATTATTATTTAATTTAAGTCCTTTCCCAATAAGGTTGTCGGATCCGGATATCCGGAGTTTTTCAACTATCCGACAACCTTATTTCCCAAAAAGAATATATATTTCCTAGAAAGATTATAGGTATAATCCTTTATTTGTCCCATATTAAAAATAGGGAATCTTGATATATTGACAGTTTTTCTCTAAGATAATTTCTAACGATGAGGTCTATTAATGAAGAGTTTTATTTAAAAGATAATCAAATAAGTTCATTAAGGGAGGGATTCATGCTAGTTTGTTGATTTTCTCAATAATTATTATCTTAATTTGTATGTTCTAATAAATAATTAAAATAATTAGAAAGATTTTAGAAAACAATTCATCATATTTTTCTGATTTCTGAACTCAAATAATTTTTACTGCGTGACATATTAATTAATCATTTTCTCTCATTTAACAGAAAATTTGGCGTTTTAAGAAAGTTTTGCAAATATTTTTTAATTAAAAAATGAATATTTTAGAGTGAACATGATTTCTGAATAAAATGAAAAATTGCTTTCTAAAATATTTATTAAAATAAAAAAAAGGAAAATATGATAAGTCGCGCATGGAAAAACTTAATTAATTACTTAGACAAATAAAACAAAAATCTAAAAAGGCAAAAATGCGCCATTGACGCAGTAAAAATTAACGTGAAATTTACTAAAAAAATTATTTTACTGGAGAAAACTAAAAAAAGTTGTTATGCAGAAATGGAGAAAGTTGAGGAAAAAATTTTTTTAAATAAAAATTGATATGCTAACAAATTATTAAAATAATGTCAATCATATTGCGCATAGAACAGTGCGTCCGAGTTCTTTAATTTTTGATAAATTTAAAGAAATATATATATAAATTATTAACAAACATAAAGTAATTAGATAATCTAAAAATTAAAAACAGAAAAAGAAACAATAATAATAATTATCATTAAAAATGATAAAAGAAAAATAAAACAAAATGTAGATGAGTAAAGAATATTAAAAACATTTATTTTAGATTTTTAACGTTAAAAAAATGCTTATTACAAATAACTTTATTCAATATTTTCCTCAATTAAATAATGGAAACCTCTCTAAAAATTTGCCATCAAGACATCAATTTGGAGAAACAACAAAGATGGAAATGTCGAGACTAAAAATGCAAACACGACAATGTTCAGAAGAAAATTATAATTTAGTTGATAGAAGTGAGGAAAAAATAGAAAATATTAATTAAAAATATTTTTATTTAAGTTGGTGAATCTGCACGTAACCGTTTTGGAAGGCCTTATATATCCGGTAATTTAAATTAAAAAAATTTCTTTTAAAAATATTTTAAAAAGGCAAAAATAAAAATAAAGAAATAATAATTTTTACAGGCCGACCATTATTATTATGCGATCGAAAAAAGATAATAAGCCTTTACAAGGAAGGAAAGCGGAAAATTTCAATTGCTCGAGAAATTGGGATCACGCATTCGTGTGTTTCTAAAGTGATAAGAAGGTAGACGAATTTTAGAAAACGGGAAAATTAAAGAACGGAAAGAAGAGAGTCACTACTCCCCTCCTCAGAGATAAATACTAAATTAAATAATATAATTTTTAGATTCGAAGAGACTGGTGATTTAGAAAATAAAAATTCGAGGACGGCATCTTGTGCATGCCCAGGAGAGGCTGAAACTCACGGTAATAAAATAAATATTTCTTAAAATAATTTAATAAAGATTTGCGTATATGCCGACATGTACGTTTCCATCGAATGAGAAAAGAGCAAATGGAAGAAATGATAAATAACAAAAAAGAACAAAAAGAAAATCAACAAAAACAACAATATTATCAACAAATAGTTCATTTACAAAAGCAATTCTTGCAACAACAACAACAAACAATTAGACAAACAAAAATAAAAGAAAATTGTGAAAAACAACAAAAAATAACTGAATTGAAAAAATTTAGCATAGATTGGTAATTTTTTTAAGAAATATTTTTAGAAAATTATTTCGATTATTTATTTTTGGGGTAAAAAATAAGTAACAAAAATTCAGGATTTTAAATACAAACAACAATTGTGCTTCAAAAGAAATACTTGTGAGATGACTAGATTACAGTATAAGATTTTTACTATTTCTAATAAATTTTTAAAAGATTACTTACAATAAATACATAAATTTTCCTTATGTTTAATTACTTATTAATTAGAAAAAAATAAAAATTATTCATAAAGGGAAGCTATAAACTTGTCTTTAAACTAAACCAAAAAACATTTAAAAAATTTAATTACCTATTTAATTGTTACATACTTGAACAATTTGCCCGAATACTTTATTTATAAAAAAACACCCACCTGTAAGGAACAGCTGTAGGTGAATCGCTAATACCAGGTAATAATCGACGCCCAATATCCTCTGCCTTTGTAAGAAATATTTGATCTCCAGAAAGATGATAAGCGCTCAATAAACCTCCAAGTATCTAAAAAAAATTTTATGAAAATATTAAAATATTACTTTGTTACCCGAATAGTTGTTTCAAATAGACTAACAAATCTATTTTTATCAAAATCTAACTCTTTAGCTACCCATTCCTTTGCTTCATTGAATTCATCATTTAGACCCATAATTAAAAGAGTATCCAATGAATCAACAATGGTTAAACCTTTAAAATAATTTGATTAAAAGAGAGATGAATAAAAAAACATTTAAATAGATAAAAACAAAATCAAAAAATAAACGACTACATTAAGTAAATGGTCAGAAAGTTTTTTTTGATTTCAGGGTTCAAAAAGGTATTTCTCGAAAAGCTCTTTTCAGGAAATCTCGAAAAAAATTTTTGTCAACAGACTTTTAAATTAGTTTTTAATCTTTAAATCCATCTCATTATTTCTATTAAAAAATTCAAACCGCATTCAATCCATTCCTGGTATGTACGTGTTACAGGCTTTAAAAGATCATGTCCCCAAGCATATTGTTTGTAACCTCGCCAAGCATGTAAAAAGGCATCTCTTAAAGCTTTTTGTTTATCATTTTTCGGACCTTAATTTTTTGATTAAAAAAAGAAATCTAAATCTTTTTTAATTCAAACCTTCAAATTTTGGAATATTCATTGGCATAATTTTCTTTTTTATTTTTTCAGCGTCTTTTCGTCTCTCAGAATTAGCTATCCCTTTTTTATATGACTAAAATTTGTTTTCAATTTAAACTAAAATTATTTTATTCTAAAAACCTCTCTATTTTGTAAAACATCCATTGTCTTATCAACCAACTGTAACTGATTCGGAAATTTGTATAATTGTACATAAAGTAAAGCAGTGACCAGAAAACAAAATAAAAGACCACACAAATTATTACGCCGAATTAAAAGCTAAAGACAAAGAAAAATAAAAATTATTTTAAATTTAAAAAAACCAATTTAAGTAAAGCAGCAGACGAGGATTGATCAACAACACCTCCATTTTGACGTACAACAAAAGGAAGTGTATCACCACTATCTCTAAAATGCATAAATTGGGGCATTTTTGTTTTAGATCTATTAAAAAATTTTTTTAATTAATATTATACTTTTAGAAATAAAAAAATTAATTTCTGTCTGGACATTAACACTTTTACATTCAAATGAAAAATTAAATATTTTAAAAAGCTAATTGATTATGTAACAAATTGAAATTTAATTTTTAAAAAATTCAGAATAATTCATTTATCAGTTAAATACGTAGCAAGTTAAAGATATGTGTGTAATATTTCAATTTTACTTTTATGGCAGTAAGTGAAATTGGTAGTAATTTTTGTAAAATCTAACTATAAAATAAAGATTACTACTCAATTCCACTATCATAAAGAAGTTCAATAAAGATGTGTTTTTAAAATAAATACGGAAATTTTGGTTATCTTTAATAACAAAAGAATATCGAAAAATTAAAAAACACACCCATTTTTCAAAAATACCTGACAAATTGGAATGAAATGTAACAAAAATTTTGTCAAAAATAATTGGGATTTACATAAAAGCTAAAAGTAGAGAGATAATTTAAAAGCTTTTCATATATTTTTTAAAACTCGTTGTCAATTTAATAAAAGGCCTCAATTCAATTTCATCTTTTGACTCTTTAATTTGCACCATAATGCACAGTCGTCACAGTTTGCTGCGGCACTGCCACTACAGCCACATTAGTAGGATACATATAATAGCAAACACTAAATAGTTAAATTATTTTAGAGGAAAATAAACAAAAAAATTTTAACTTATTCAGGTTAACAAAACTAAGAAAATAAAATGAACAAACTAAATAGCATGAATCAGTCCTGGCAGCCATAAGGCACAAGTCAGAATAAAATTCAACAAAAGATGAATAGTGCACCCTTCACGAATCAGAACTGCCAACGGCTAAAAAGATTAAAATTATTATTCTAAATTTAATTTTTATTTAAAATATTTTGAAAATTACCGGGAAAATAAGCATAACCAAAAACAGACAACAATCAGCACAACAATTGCCCATTTTAATAAGATCAGTTGGTAATAAAATTCAAGTTAACTGAAATGTTTTGAAAAAAGAAAATATAGACAAAAAATATACAATGTTAAATAAACATTGTTTAAAAATAATAAAGTATAAATTATATTTAATACAAAAACAAATAAATTACAAAAAAAATTTAAAAAACTAATTTAAACTCCAAGAAATTTCCGTCCATAAATGCCAGCCTTTTGTTCAAAATTTACAGAACGAATAGGAGAATCATGTTGGTAAAAGGGATTCATAGAATATTTTATATACATTTCATAACTACAAAAATAAAATTTAAAAAAATTTAATTCAAAACAAACATTTCTTGAAAGAATTGTTTAATCCCATCTTCATTCTTTTGTGTATGTAACATTAAAAAGCGAATACGGCTAGATGTAACAAATGCAGAAACAAACCATTCATTAAATTTGTCAACAATCTATAAAAAATTGAAAATGATATTTATCAATTTTAAAATGAATCACCAGGCAAGTTAAACCTTTGAGATTATTTTTTAAAAAATTAAAAAAACCTTCAAGTACATTTGTGGCTCCCTAAGTGTCATTTCATCCACAATATCCAAAGCTGCGTGTGCAATAAATTGAAGTAAATGATGAGTTTCTGCCTGAGTTTCACGCTTCTTTGGAGGAAAATCCATTTCCAAAAGTGGTTGATCTTGACGTCCAACAATTACAAAATAATAATCTTTAGCAATTGCTGCTGCCATTTTTAAATAAAATCTATAAAAATTGATTTAATATTACAGAAAAGTTTATTAAACTTTCTTTTTTTAATATTTACAAATGTGTTAATTCAACAAAAAATAAGAGAAATAAACATTTAACATAAGCGAAAAAAGGCTTCCTCTCACTACATTCATCATCAGATAAAATGTCAGGGCCGCGATGAAACATTTTTGTCCCATATTTCACAATAGGAATTCTTAGAGAACTTTAACATTTATACCATATTGATTTAATGAATTACACAAAAATTGTTGGATTTTACTTTATTTCTAAATGGACTATATTTAAGAGATTAACTCCATTCTTATTAAAGAAAAAAAAGGATGAAAATTAAATTCATTAAAATGAAATAAAAGTATTAAAAAATTTGATTTAAAAAATTCAATTAATTATTGAGTAGTTAATATAACATTTAATGATATCTAAACGTAAATAAAGCATAATTACGGATATAAAGGCAAGTTAATATAAGTAATATAAAAATAACAGCAAAAATTATATTATAATAATGCCTAAATTTGTCGGTATGTTTAAGTAAGAAAGATTTAAATAAAATACGGAATTTTTTTAATAATAAGAATTATATTTAATATAAAAATATTTTTACAAATCAATTCATTTTCTTCAAATTTCTTCCAAAACAAACGAGCGTATCAAATCTGGCACAGCAGCGTCCAAACCAACAATATCAAGCATACCAGGATCATTTGGATCAGCAATTGTGAATTCATTTGCAGCCATACCCATTACAATAAGTTTTGCATTTGGAATGTTCATTTGTTGTCTATAATCTTTAAGTGCCTCAAATGGATGAATATCCTTAAATTAAAACAATTTACTGTTATTATTTTGTATAATTTATAATTGAAATTAAAGTATTATCGAATTATCTCCACGGATTACGTTAATTTGTAATTTTTAGGAAAAGGAAATGAAAGAAAATATGCGGAAAGATAATGCGATATTATCAAAATTTATTTGGAAAATATTAGAAAAATAAATACGTACTCCTGCCCATGTTTCTGAAACGAGAAAAACAAAATTAAAAGATTCACATTTATTATAAGATTACCCGAATCGGTATAAACAATGAAAACATCAAATGAAAGATGTTCTTCTTTTGCCCAAAGCATAGGAAGAGCACAATTAGTACCTCCAAAATCTAATTTCTCATTATAATCCATCATTTCAGTAATCGTGCTCTCGCGAGTAAATGGAAGCGTGAGAAGTTCATCACAGAAAGCAACACATTTAACCTATTAATAAAAATTAAAATGTGTTTGAAATCTTTTCCTACATTTTCCTCAGTCCTTAATGTAACATTTGCCATTGCAGTAGATGCCTCACAACAAGAAAGTATTCCACCAGTAATATTGGTCCAACGCATACTTCCTATAAATTAAAGGAAAAGGATTTAATCCAAAATTTGAATTTACCAGAAACATCCATAGCCAAACAAAAACGTTGTCCAGTTGGCTGAACATTTTTGAAAGCAAGAATAAAACATTGCTCTAAGGCTTCTTTAATTCGATCATTTACTTCCCATTTTAGTTTGCCTTTAATTCCATGTCCTGACTTGTAAACTGAGGATGCTAGAAGAACAGCAATTGGGTGAATTCTTGCTTTCTGAAGGGCTTCTTGATTAAGAATTTTTGAGATAACTAGATCAACACATTCTCTAAAATTTAAAAATAAATTAAGAAAAGGGAAGGTCTAATAAACTTGTTTAATTCGTCATCCAATAATCCTAAGGTAGCCAATTTTGACAGATTACGTAAAAGAGCAGTCATAGGCATATGTTGTAGTAATGCAGTCCAAACTTTAGGGGAATTAAGCAAAGTGGTTGGAACGTGTTCGCGTACAAAATCTTTACAAAAAAATTTTGAAAATGAAATCATTGCGAGATAAAAACTTGTTCAAAATTTAAAAAAAACTTAAAACTCACTATATTTTTTAATTAATTCAACACAACGTTTCTCATCATCTTCATTATCAGATTTAAGTTTTGACATTTCCATTACTTTTCGAATAAATTCTAAAGCAACAGAATCATTTGCATATTTAATCATTTGTTCGGTAAGTCCATAATCACATCTTGACTTTTTTAACAAAGGCGTTTCATTTGCTCCGTCAGACTCGACAATTATAGCCTTTTGTGGGTTGAAATCACCTAATTTTGGAAATATTAAACAAAAATAAAAAAAGTGAACCTTTGCATGCATAATGGAATATTTGATCATAAACAAGAGTTTGAGAATTTGCCAATTCTTTGTTATTCGAACTCGCCATTGGGTGGGACAAACGAAGAAGATCACGATGAGACCAAGACTCACGACTTGGATATTTTGTAATATGCAAAGCAAGCTCCATAGGAGATTTTTGTAAATACCTAAAGACGCAGAAAAGAATAATGAGAAGCAAAACCTAAAAAAGTAAATTTACCATTCAGCGATACATTTGCGCATTGCTCGTCCCCATCCAGTGTGCTCTTCACCCGTTGCTTTTGCTATAAGTTCACAATATTTGACAAACATGAATAAGTGTGTTGGTATACGGCAAACCTAACGGATTAAAAATAGGTTAACAAAAATATAGGAAAATTAAAACGAACTTTAGCAACCATCCTAAAAGCAGTCTGTTGCAGTTTATACAAATAAAGATCAAATTTTTTCATTTCATCTGAATTAAAATCCTCTGTATTCGAAAGAAGGGCCTTTTCAAGATCATATTCTCCTGACTTTTGTAATAAACTTTTTCTATCACGAACGCTATAACGTGCACAGAGAGCCAATGCAAAAAGTAATGGATCCTAAATTTAATTTTTTAGAACATCCATTAAGGTCAAAAAAATAGCACACCTGTTTTGGTGAACGACCTGCCAATGAAATGCTAACAATCTCTCTTAAAATCATTCCGCCCTTTCCACGTTTAATTATATCGATCAGAGCTTCCATATTGTCCATGGTAAGCTTTTGTTCAGTCACATAATACGTACCGCCCTCCGTACCCAAAATGAGAAACCGTCGAACTCTTGTAAGATCACTGACTTTAAAAACATATCCACCAGCATTATTGCGAACCTTAAAAATATTTGCTATAAGCAAACCTTTTTAAAAAACCTGATCATCACGAATCTTGACTTGCTGTCCAGGAACTTCAATATCTGCTATGGACATTTGAACCATTAACTCTAGTAATCTAAGAGATTCTTCAGAAGATTCAATTATATCGCTTTTTTCTGAATCACTTTTGTCTGAATGAACACGAACCATTGTCTGTGATATTGTAAATAGGTATATAAAAACTGAAATTTAAGTTGTTAAAATTTTAAATGAATGGACTTTGTATCTTGATTTAAGTTAGTCAAATGTAAAAAAATATTTTAAAAGAAGGGTGCGAGAATAAATAATAAAAATGATTCATATCAATTTAATCGCAACTCTCTTATGAAATTTATAACAAAAATTGATAATGAAATAGTTATTGAAACATTTTAATGAGTTACGGAACCAAATTTAAAATATTAAACATTCTAATGAATTGCGAAATCAAATTCAAAAGATACCTCTATCCGCGCACACTAAGGCCTAAGTTATCTTTTAAATTTGATTTCGCAATTCATTAAAATGTTTCAATAACTATTTCATTATCAATTTTTGTTATAAATTTCATAAGAGAGTTGTCGATCTTGCGCCCGCCTCGAATCGCGGCCTAATTGTAAGTAGTTTTCGCCTAGGGGGCGCGCACACTTTGCCGATTGGAGGTGCGCGCAAGAGCCAGTTTCAAAAAAACGCAAATGTACGCTAGGCCAAAATTTCGGGACATGGACGCTTTGTCGCGAAGTAGCCAAAAATTTGAATCGCTCGGAAACCAGGAAACTCTAAATCGGCCTATTCTAAATTGAGCTTTACCGTAATAATTCATTTATTTTTTAAGTAACTTCTACATTAGTTCGAAAATTATTTTTCTAAACAAGAATGGCTTTTACATTCGCTGCTTTCTGTTATCTGTTTGGATTAATTGCAATTGCTTTCTGCATTTTCTTCGCAATCTATACGGTTTTAAATTTAATAAATTTTTATTTCATACTTATTTTTAGGTTATTTGTATTGACGAATTAAGAACGGATTACAAAAATCCAATAGATCAATGTCGTAGTATGAACCAGGTTTTTTCTAAATATGTAGACTAATTTTTAAAATATTTTTCTCTTAAAGCTTGTCTTGCCAGAATATGGCATTCACTCCTTTGTATTTTTCTTTTTCGTTCTTTCAATGCAACTTTTTGCTATCGTTTGGAATCTTCCTTTGTTTGCCTACCACATCCACCGGTATTTTAAGTTAACTTCCAAACAAGTATTTTAATAATTTTTTAGTTATATTAAGCGACCAATAATGCGTGGACCTGGAATTTATGACCCGACAACAATAATGTTTTTTTAGATTTTTAAATTTTATCTTTTTATTTTATAGGAATCACGATCAATTGTCAAAAATAAATAGAGAAGGTTGGGTTAAAATGGGCTTTTATTTGCTTTCGTTTTTCTATTATCTCTATGCGTATGTTTTTAATTTTTTGCAAAATTATTATTTGGCAATTTAACAAAATAACTTTCTTTTGTCGGCCAGAAAATTTTTTGGAGTATTTCTTTATCAAAATTATGTACATTTTAGTTTTTCCATAAATTTTGTCCAAAATTATTTATAATTAAATTTTGCTCTTTAATTTATTTTTTAATACCAAAAATTTTTTTTAGAATGATCTATACAATGGTTACAACTGGTTGATAAGCAAACAAATTTTTGAACTATATATCAGGATATTAAAACATTTTATTTTTGTTTTTCTCCCAATTTGACTTTTTTCTTTAATTATATAAGCAATTTCTGCCATTATTTTAATTTAATTGTGGCATCTAAAAAATACTTTAGAATTTTGTCTTATATTATTTTTGCTTTTTTTTAAAAATTTTGTAGTGTAAATTCTTGAAAATTGTTAGATTAAATTTATCTATACTGTTTGAAAAATAAATATGTATTTTTTAGAGCTGCATTAAATTAAATTTTTTTATCATTTATTTTAAAACTCAATAAATATTTAATATATTTATTTTTAATTGTTTATAAATATTTTAAAATAATATTTAAATTAATTAAAAATTCTTGATATCTTAAATTTAATTTTTATTCATTTTTTGTTAAAATAATGAATGGAACTTCTCGTATTTCATCAGATTTCAACAATTTATTTACTCCATCTTTGATTGATGAAATTAAATTTTTAACACAAATTCATTCAAAATTAACCAACAATTTTGTCAAATTGCGAGAATTATTAAAACAATTTAATTCTGTTGAAAAGGCTAAAGAAGGTTTATTAAATGATTCAATTACTTTTAGAGAACATCCAGATATATTAAATACAGTTAAGGTTTAATAATTTTCAAAGGTTTTAACTTAAAATCAAAAATTAATTTCAGGCAAAACTTCATCAAAAAGCCAACAATATTTTAGAACAATTAACTATTTATTCCTCTCAATTATTATTTATTTATTCAAAATTAAACAATTTTCCACCAAATAAATTTAATTATCAATTTATCGAAGAGGATATTTTTATACTTAAAAACCATACACATCGTCTCAAAAATCTCTTGGACTCATTTATTTTGCAATTTAACGAAGGTAGAGGTTTTTGATATTTTAATTTTTTAAAAAATAATATTCGTGTATTTGTTGAATTATTAATTTAAAATTTTTTAAAAAATCCAACAATTTTTTAATATTTCCAGTGCTTCCTTTCCTCAACCAAACAATAGACCCACTATTATTTTGCAACCTTTCAAAACAACTAGAGCCTGAATTGAGTTTTTCTTTTGAAATTTCTGATACAAAAGTTCATCCAAGTTGGGTAGTTCAAAGGGCTATTGAACGAATAAAATCGTTTTTTAATTAAAATAATTTATTTTTTATATATTTTTTCTTTTGTTATTAAATTAAAATTAAAAATAAAGTTGTTAAAAACAAAAAAACTTATTTTGTTAAAAACAAAAATAATATTTTAAAAATGTTCAAAAAATGTTTCTTTAAATAAATCTAGATTTTATGAATGTTTCCCACAAAAATTTTATTTCTGAAAGGGGTTATGCCCTCGTCTTTGTTTAAATGTTATTTAGGAACAGGCAATAAATTTACTTTTCTTCAGCAAATTAAGGTAAATATTTTTTAATTTAAAATTTTATTTTTAAGTTTATTTCAACATCTCCATTTAAACCAAATTTATTTATTTTGCGGAGGCCAAACAATAATTTTTTCAAAATAAATTTTCAACAAAATAATGCTTATTTTTCTTCGTCTCCAAAACAACCTACTAGGTCGGTTCATAAAAAAGTTCGTTTTTTCCAAAAATTTATTTTCCAAGAAAAATCGATAAATCTCAAGCAAACTAAAACAGATAAAAAATCTAACCTTACTAAATAATTGTCCCGAGTCTTAACAACATTCTTAAACCAGAAAAAAGTTTGTGGATACCTCTTTTTAAAAAAATCTGACCCCATTTCTGAAGCACTGTCTTCCCCACCACAGTCTCGACCTTGGCGTCTTCAGCCAAGTGCCCGTCCCGTAAAAATTTTTTTGAAGAAGTAACCGACAAGGAAGGACGTGTTTGTTTACAGTCGGTGGCCTTACCGGACCAAGTTTGCGTTTGGTCCTATTGTTCCCAGATCGAATTTTTTTGAAAAATTTTTGAACTACACTAGATTAGACAAGATCCCTGCCTATCATTTCATTGATTTTTCTTGATGCCAATATTGCATTATTACTTAGTTTTAATGGGATGTGTAACTGCCCCTAAATATTCCCCTTACCCACGCTCACTTCTGAAGGCATAAAATTTTTTTGATCTTTGATATTTTTAAAATTTTGGTATCATTAGAAAGCTAAGACTCTGGGCTACAAAATAAGATGAAAATAAAATCGGATAAAAATAGTTATCACCCAAAAAACTTGCGATAACAAAAAACGAACTTTTTTATGAACCGACCTAGTAGTTGGCTCCAACGATTTCTATCAAAATTTGAATCCGACTCAACAGCTGTTTATTATATTTCAGGGTTTGTTTAAACATTTTTTTATTTTAATTTATTTTAAAGAATTGCTGTAATAATGCTTGGATTGTCTTTTGCGTTTATTCCATTTTTTCGTATTCTTTGTGAAACAACTTCTTTTAATGGAGTTGCACAAGTAAATTTTATTTTAAAATATTCTCTAAATTTATTTTTAATTTGTAGATAGCTAGAAATCTTAATAAAATAGCTACTATGGAAAAAGTGGATGATTGTCTAATTCGTGTCCAATTTAATGCTGTAATATTTTTTATAAACAAAAAAACTAAAAAAATTAATTTCATAGGATGTCCCCTCTTCAATGCAATGGAAATTTAAACCACTTCAAGATGAAATTTATGTTAGTCCAGGAGAGACGGCACTTGCATTCTTTACTGGTATTTTAAAAAAATTTTTGCACTTTATTTTAATTTTTTTCAGCCTATAATCCAACAAATAAGCCAATTGTTGGCATTAGTACATACAATTTATCACCGTTCCAGGCTGCATATTATTTTAACAAGGTTTTTAATTTTAATAGTATTTGTTAAAAATATTAAAGATTCAATGTTTTTGTTTTGACGAACAAATCCTCAATCCAGGAGAGGAAGTTGATTTGCCAGTGTTTTTCTACATTGATCCAGATTTTGTCAATGATCCTTTGTTGGAGGATGTTACCAATTTATTGGTTTTTTATTTAATAATTTTATATATCTATTTTCAAATAATTTTATAGTTATCATATACATTTTTTGAATCCGGATCCGATCTAAAACTTCCATCGCCTTTTGATCCGAATAATCGGCCTTTAAATAAATCTCTTCAAAAGTTTGAGGAAAAAGAAAAGAAGACAGGATCTTTATTGGAATCAGTTAATGCCATTGCCTAGTTTGTTTATAGTATAGGGGTTTGATTAGATGATTTTGTTATAAATATAAAAATCGGATTCATTATACTTAATGTGGAATTGATGTGGCTTACTTAATATGGCTCAAGTTCTTAAGCTATACGTTAAAGTAAAAAATACACTACTTGTAAATTATGTCAAAAATTATCAACAAAACAAGAAAATACAAATACACACAAAAATGGGTAAAAACGAATGAAACAACAGTGTGTGATTTGCACAAAATTCGTACTTTTAAAAGCATTAAATCATTCCCCCAAAATATTATCGCTTCTCAAAACCTCTTTATAGTAAAAATTGTCAATTAATTTCTTCTGCTTTGCTTCCATTTTCGGCGGTAGTGGCTTTCGCAGCTTTATTTCCTCCTTTTTTAACTTTTTTAACAACTTTCTCTTGTTCTTTTTCATTCTTCTGCTCTTCTTCACCTTCTTCGTCATCATGAATCAAACCACGAGGATCTGGACGCATTGCAGGGAAGAAAAGAACCTTTAAAATTGGGTTGAATCTTTTCAGAAGTATAAATTAGAAAAATATTGGACGGTTATTTTTTAGTTGTGATTCTTTAAATGAACTTGAAACCAATAAAAATCCCTAGGATTTAATTAAAGTCATGGTGAAATCCTATGACATATTTAAAGTAAAAAAAAAGAAAAATTTCCTTACCTCTTTAATATTGTGACTATCAGTTAAAAGCATCGCTAATCGATCAAGGCCAAGTCCCCAACCAGCGGTTGGTGGTAATCCATATTCCAATGCTGTACAGAAATTTTCATCAACTAATTGAGCTTCTTCATCTCCATCAGCTTTAAATTTTGCTTGTTGTTCAAAAAGTTCTCGTTGAGTAATTGGGTCATTCAATTCAGTATAGGAATTGCACAATTCTTTGGTAACAGCAAAAAGCTCTAAAAAGATCTAATTATATAAACTATTAAAAATTTAAGAGAATAAAATTTATATGTGACTTTAACCAAAGCGATAAATCATGTTTAAAATAAGAAGTCCGTAAGGAACTCTCAAAATGTAGGAATATTTAAAAAATAATTTTTTAATTTACCAAAACGTTCTGTAAGCCCAGGAATTGAACGGTGCCATTTTGCGAGAGGACACATAATTTGTGGATGCCCAACAAGAAATGTAGGATTAATACACTGCGACTCAATAAATTCTCCAATAAGTTTGTCTAATAAACGTCCAGTTGTACGTGGTACTGAACAATCGACTCCTTTTTCTACACAAATCTTATCAAAAACATCACGAGCTTCTAAAAAGTTAAATTAACAAATCTCAGAATTAGAAATTTAATATATAAAATTACCGGGCGTTGAAAGTTGGTCAGGTGTTGGAAGAGTCATTCCGAGAACTTTGCCGAGTTCTTCATACATATTCACTCCTGTTTAAAGAAACAACGAATAAAAGTTAAATTAAAAATTAAACGTTTAAATGGTGGAGTAAAGTCGACTTGATATACAGGCACTGTGTCAGGTCCATTTGGATGATACGGAGTTTTATAGGTGCCATGAAGACTAAGAACCATTTCTGTAAATAGTAAAAGAATTTAATTATAAAATTTTTCAAAGATTTCTCACTAGATAACAAGTCCTCAGTCAACTTCATTAAATCCTCATAGTCAGCATATGCCATATAAAACTCACAAGAAGTAAATTCAGGATTATGGGTTTGGTCAATACATTCATTACGGAAAAGACGTCCAATTTCGTAAACTCGATCAATACCTCCAACAACTAACATCTTAAAATTAGAAACATTTTTCAACCTTTAAATATTTACGCATATTTAGACTGTCAAAAAAATAAATAAAAATTTAGTGATATTTTTAGAAAATTTTCGATACTAAAGGAAATATTTTATCAAACGATTAAGCTAAGGTTGGGAAAATTTTAAAATTTTTTCCAAATTAAATTTTAAAGGTTGGGTTTATTTAATAAAATTAAAACCTTATGATAAAGCTCAGGCGCTACTCTCAAATAAAGACTCATCTCCAAATCATTATGGTAAGTAACAAAAGGTTTAGCTGTTGCCCCACCGGCAATTGGATTCATCAAAGGCGTTTCTACTTCCAAAAATCCCAAAGCATCCAGATAATTTCTCAAGAAAGTAATTATTTTGGCACGAATAACAAATTTATCGCGAACATGTGGATTTGCAATAAGGTCAAGATAACGCATTCGATAACTGAAAAATAAAATCTGTTGTTATTTTAGGAAAGGTTAGAAAGATTAATAAGAAAAACCGACCGAACTTCCAAATTTTTGACACCAAAATGTGTTCTCTAAAAAAAATTGTGTTAAGTCCGAAATAAAAAAGGAAAATTAGGAAAAAATTGAAACCATTAAAATAAGGATATGAAAGAAAGCTAGATAGCTCGAAAGAATACAAAAATCCGAGTAACATAGAGGAAATTCTCATTTAGATCAAAAAATAAAAAAAACCGGAAGCATTCTAAAGCAAGGCGTTAGCAATTGAACAGAAGTTGGAATAACACTGAGTTCGCCAGAATTTGAACGAGATGGATGGCCTTCAACACCAATAATATCCCCACGTTTAATTTTATCATGAGAAGAAAGAAAATCATCAATGCCGGCAGAATGGAATCTTCAGAAAATTTTCTTAAATTAAATTTATAAAAATAAAATAAACTTTGCATTAGCCAAAATTTGAATTTTTTTGCATTCTCCATGTAAATCATAAAAAATTAATTTGGAGCCCTGCTCACGTTTAAGATAAACACGGCCTGAAAAAAATGAAATTAATCAAAAACTTAAAAAACACAAAAAAATAAACCTGCAACCCTAACAGTTTCATCTTCAAGAACTTTTCCTCGTTCAGTCAAAACAGAATCATATTTTTCAATAAAATTAGCCAGAGAAATGCCAACATCAAATTTATGTGGAAAAGGATTTTCACCAGCAGCTCTACGACTTTGGACCATTTCTTGTCTCATTCGAAAATATTCTGCTGGAAGAGATGGATCCTGCGTTTTCTTTTTGGTAGACATTTGGCGAAAGATTAAATTTAAAGCTCTCAATTTATTTATCTTGATCATAAAACAAAAAAGTGTTAAATATTGCAGAAACTGCAAGAAATACAAAAAAATATAAGAAAAGTATGCAATAAATGCATAATAATTTTGTAAATTATTAGTAAAAAAATTAAACAAAAACTCTCAAACCAACAAGTTTTTAACTTACTAACAAAAGTTAAAAACAAAGGGAGGCGCGGCCAGTTTGGCGCGGAACGGACTGGCGCAAGGGATCACCCAAAACGGCGCACGGCTAAAACGGCGCAAACCCAAAACTGAACATAAGGATAGAGTGATTAATCGTGTTATCATTAATTGATCAACCGTGAGAGGGATCAGTTGACCTCGAGTGATCACCCTGATTGTGATTGATCTGACCTTGGTGATCGATCAAAACCACCCTTTGCGTTCACTGATCCTTCGAATTATTAATAAAATACTGCGGCTTTGCGCATTACGGAAAAATTGTTCCAAAAATGTGGAAGATCGTTCCAACATTGAGAAAAGTTGTTCCAGCAACGGTGAAGGTCATTCCGACATCGAATAAGTTGTTCCGAGAACGGGAGAGGTTGGTCCGTTAATGGGGGAAGTTGATCCATTAAAGGGATAAGTTAATTTATGATAGCCCCCCCGGGTACAGCTCAAGTTGGCGCGCGGCCATGTAGGCGCAAAGCCATAACCTGCTTCAAGATTTCTGAATCTTTCCAAATTTAGTCGAGCTAAAAAATCTCATCGAGCTAAAAAGATTGGTATCAAAATTGTTGAGGTCCAAAAATTTTACAGCTAGTTATGGCTTTGCGCCTACCTGGTCGCGCGCCTACTTGGGCGTGTCCCAGCCCCCCTACCTCTGTTTTATGTTTATTTTCGTGTTTCCCGGATCTCGATTGAGTAAACCGAGCATTTTTACTTTAATTATAATTTTTTAATGGAATTGCACAAAAAAGTAAAATAATTTCTTTTCACATTAATTTGTAAATAATATATTTTCTGTATTTTTTATATTATTTTTATTTTCTTCAATTAAATCTTTTTCATTTTTTTCTTTATTATTATCATTATTTCCTTCATCATATTCATCAGAACTTTCATGAATCGAAGCTGTAGCTGAAGATAATGTAGCGAATAATTGGGCAAGTTCGAAATGATTTAAAATATTTGTTGGACTTTCTGATACATTTAAATTATTATTTATGTTGTTTATATCTAATAATAAATTATTAAATTTGATTATTTTAAGAAAATTATGTAAAGTTTTGAATTCCTTAATAATTAACTAACTCAAAATAAATCTTAATTCAATGGTTATCCCCCATAAATTAGTCCTCGTTTTCTCCTTATTTTTTATATGAGAATTTATTAAAAACGATTTAATATTCTAGAAATTCCCTTATTAAACGAAGAATTATCATCTTATATTTTATACACAATTTAGATATTTTTAAAAATTATTTTAAATACCTTCAGAATTATTAATTTCCTTGTTTAAATTATTAATTAATTCAATTTTTGGAGATTTTGTAATATTTTTTCTTGATTCATTTTGTCTAATACTACCACAACTATTAGTTTCTATTAAAGGTATTGTTGTTCTTTTTAAATATGTTGAATGATGTGTTTCCATATGTCGACGACGATCAACCTTCAAATATTTTTTATAAAAAAATTTATTCGTTTTTACTTTTCTTTGAAATGTTTTTTCACAACAATCACAGGAGAAAGGTTTATATCCCGAATGTTTTCGAGTATGTGTCTAAAATAAATAAATAAATTATTAAATTACTTATAATTATTAAAATACAATTAAATTAGAAGATTGAGAGAATGCTTTCCCACAAACAGCACATTTATGGGGCTTTTCACCTGAGAGAAAATATTTTTTTTAATTTTTTAAAATTAAATACCAGTATGTATATATGTATGTTTTTTCATGTCTGATTTTTGATGAAAACGTTTTCCACAATATTCACAAGGATAGGGTCTTCTAAAAATTAAAAAAATATTTTTTAATAAATTATTTATTTACGTATCACTATGAATTAATAAATGTGTAGATAAAGTGCTTGATCTTTTAAAACTTTTTCCGCATTGATGGCATTCAAATTGTCGGTAATTAGTAGTGTTATTGTTAAGGGATTTTGATGTTGTTGGTTCTCTAAAATATTTTTGAAATTATTTCGAATAATTTATTTCAATTTTTTAATTATTCTAGTCTCGATAATGGGGGGGGGGGTATCGAGACTGGGTCTTTAGGACTGGGTCTTCCGTGGAAAAATAAATTTACTTGGGACTCATATTCTTCACCAAGGCTTTATATGATATAAAATAATTTTTTAATAATTAGTTAATTTTTTTTAAAATTGTTCGGGCACTCCCTTAAAAATACCTTTCAATTAAATTTTTGAATTAATATAAAATTATTATTTAAATTTTCAATTCTTCTACTAACCCTTTTAAAGCAAAATTAAATATTTCTTCTTTTCCATTTTCATTATTAATTTTACCATTTCCAAATTTATTTTGATTATCCATTGATGTAAAATTATTAATTATTTTTTCAGTTTTTCTTTTTGAATTTTTCAATTTAAATTTAACTCTTCTTCCATTATTTTGTTGTTTTTGTTGTTCTTTTTCAAAAATACTTATAAATGGATTTTGTTGATTATTATTAATTGAAGATGTTGATTCCAAATTATTATTATCTCGTCCACAAAAATTATTATTAAAAAGTGAAGATGTTAAACGTAATTGTTGGGCCAGAAAATTCTTTAAATTTGTTTTTAATTTTAAATTTTGTTAGACGAGATAAAAATTTTTAGGCGATAATAGAAATTTTTTAATTTATTTTTAAAGAAAACCCAAAAAATCCTTCCTTATAAATTATCCCGTTAAATATTTAATTTTTAAAACCTGTTGTAGAATTATGGAGTAGAATTCTGACGGATTAAGAAAAGAATTTGATTGTTGATAATTTGAGAAGGATGGAGGAGGAATTGAATAATTTGGAATTATAAAGTTCTAAAATTTTGATATAAATATTTAGATAAATTTTAAATTTTTTATCTTTTAAATTTTTTATTAAAATTCCCATTCTTTTTTTGAAAATTTCCCTCAAAATTCCCTCAATATTATTTTAATTTAAATACTCTTTGATGATGAAATAAATGCCCTCCTCCCATAATAGAGCTATTATTATGTGTCTGTTGATGATTATGATGGAATTGTGTTGAATTTTTAGAAGAAGTAGAAGCGGGAGAGTCGAAAAATTGTGGAAAATTATCATTTAAAATTCTCTTTCCTTCTTCTTTTTCATTATTTTTAATATTTCCACCAAAAGATGCGGCAGAGTCTTTTCCAAAAGTTAATTGCCTCAATGGCCATGCCGTTATTGGTGGAGAATTTTGATGGATTGAAGAATTTGGTGGTGTCCATTGTCGAGGAAAATCATTTCGATTTAATGATGAATGAGGGGAAGAATTAATAACTAAAAATAAAAATGCGGGAATTTTAATATTTTAAATTTAAATTAAAAATATATACACATTTTTTAAATTAAATTTGAATAGAATTTGATGTAAAATTTATTTAATAAAAAATTTAATAATACAAATTGAATTTAAAATATGTTTATTTTATATTCCAAAAAATCCTAAAGAGAAAGGAAAGTAAAATTTCGATAATTTTCCACGCGGAAGATTTTTATCAAAAAAATTTTATGGCATTTTAATTTACATGATTGAATTTGTCTAAATAAATTATTTAGAAGAATTTGGGAATAAATTTGTTATTAAATGAGAGGAAAATAAAAAAGTTATTTTTTAGTTTTAAATTAAATTTATGAAAACTTTTTTAAAATAATATATTCAAAAATTAAATACTCTTTACCCAAAACACCTGTGTGTATTTAACTTTTTTTCATGTGTTAGTCTATATATTATTGGTTTAGCAATAGAAACACTTCCGGATATGTTTGAATAAGGATAAGATGAACTCTCAAAGAAAGTCAATTTTAAAGTGGCCAAAAGGGAAAAACAAACAAAAATAAATTTAGTTTTATGTGCCAAAAATGAAATTTTACCGTTTATCACCTTTCCTTATTTTTTTGGCACATCTGCTCTGTTTAATAAATATTATTTTCACAAAATTTGCTTTTGTATATAATTTTATTTACATTTAAAAGTTTAATGAAATTTGAATCAGTCCAAAAGTTTTTTTAGAAAATAAAATTATTAGAAATTGACAAAATTGTTAAACGAAAAAAATTTATTAAAATAAAAGAATAAATATTCATTTTCAAAAATTTTAATTAAAAGTATCAGATTACGGTCAAGATAGGATTGGTAAAAGTAAGTCAACATTTTTGAGAAAAAAAGTAAAGAAATGTCAGGTTATTCAGATATATACTTAAATATACTTCAACAAATCACACCAATCCGTTCTTGAGAATATTTGGTATTATTATTAGGTATTTTTTGTTTTAATAAAGTTTATTTTAAAAGATTTTGTTTGTTTTAATTAAAAATATTTAGGTTGAATTAGGTGAGGTTTGGATGTATTTTAAAGGAATATTTAAAAATTTTTCTATTTTAAAATAACCAAAGAAAATCTTGTTTTTATTTAAAATATTTTTTAATTTTTATAATTTTTGTAGAGCTTAATTTAAACAATTTTAAAGTCTCCAGAGTCTAATTAAAATAGAATATTTTCTTTTTCTTAAAAGCTAAGATAAATTAAGTATTAAAAAAAAGAGAGAGATGTGCCTGACCTTAACTCCCCTTTCCAAGTAATTGTTTCTCCTTCTTTTTAAGGTTTGAAAATTAAGAAAAAAATAGAGGGGGTCTTGTTAATAGTTAAAATAAAAAGGGACAATCTACTCAAAACTATAGATTTTGCGCAATATTATTTTTTAATGCTTAAGTAACGAGAATATTTAAAGCTTGTGACATAAAAAAGGAGATTGTGCCAATTCGCGCGAATCTTTCCTTTTTTTTAATTTTAATTTAAAAATCTGCCTCTTGTCAATTCTTGTCAATCAAAAAACATGCAAATTTTAGAGGATTCTGTTAAGAAAATATATTTTTTAAAAGAAGAAGAATATGTGTAATAATTATTGCGTGTTTAATAAATTTGTTTAAATTTTTTGATAAAAATGGAATTTTTAAATTAAATATAAATAAATATTAAAAAAATAATTTTAATCTTTTTTGTTGTTTTCTTAAAAGAGAGAAATTTTGTTTTTAAATTTTTTTGGGCTAATCTTTGCTTGAGATACTCTTTTTCTTAATAATTTTTACCGCAAACAATATTTACAAAAATATTTTTCTTCCTTTTTTAAATAACCGCTTAAATATCCCCCCCCCTCCTCCCTCACTAATAAATGTAAAAATACAAACAATTTAAAAGTAAATACACGGCATTTATTTTAGCCTTAAATTTTTACCTTTTTTGATGGCCATCTTTGTTTAAAGTGCCTGCTGACCTTTACAAGCAACAAACACTTTGAACACTTAACTAGTTTATTTTTGACAAGAAAATACTTAAAATACAATTTATTCCCCGTTATTTTAACTACTTTAAATGTTTTTATAAGCAGCAGGTGGGAAAACAAATAAATAAAAATAATAAATTAATATTAATTATATGTAGATTAAAGTGAATATTTTTTAAAATTAAAATTATTTTATAAAAAAAGATTTAATAATTAAAACTTTATTTTCTATCAAAAAAAAGGAATTGGGTTTATTATTCAGAAAAGATTATTAAAAAAGTAAAATTTAATAATTTTAAAAAATTATTTTTTTATTAAAAAAGCATTTCTTTTATTTTTTTCAATTTTATTTTTTTTCATGCGTGTGGGAATTGACGTTGATGGGAATTGGACACTTTTAATAATAAACATAAGAGAGGACGGATATTTAGAATATTTTTAAAAAGCAATCCGCAATGATTGCCTTTGGTTTTAAGAGAAAGATTGGGAAGAAATGGATATATATTACTGTAAAGGGTTTTTTAAAAAATGAGAAAAAATATTTAAATAATTATTTTTTTAAATTACCGTTATTTTGTTGTTGTTGAAAAACAGCAATAGCAATTGCTAATAGTAATTTTTGTTGTAAAAATGAATTTGAAATTGAAGACGAATTTGAAGGATCGTCATCATTATTTTGATTGTTTTGTTGGTCTATTTCTTCTAAAGTTTTTAAATTTTAAAGAAAAATTTTTAAAAATAAAATTAAAAAATGGTTTAAACTAGTAACCGGATCTGCCGTATTTTTCCGTATCCGGGTCCCAAATCCCGGTTTTTTGCGATCTCCGGATTTTTTCCGTATCGGATTATCTGGAAGAATCGAGCTGAATCAGGTCTTTCTTTAGCTGCCAATCCGGATAGTTTAGACTGGATAAATTAAATACCTAAAGAACTCGAAAAAAGTTGGAAAAAGTTGGCTATTTTATATTAGAGTTTTTTTTAATTGGTGATCACTATATCAAGATTCGATAATTTAATCAAATAAAATTAATATATTTAAAAATATTTACTTTCAACTAAATGAGGGGAAGAAGCCTCTTCATCATCATTTGTTTCCATTAAATCCTCGTCTGCAGAATTTTCATTATTATTTTCTGATTTACCCAATAACTGATTAATACTATGCCCATTATTTTTACCAGCAATCCTTTGCTGATTAATATTATTTTCAGAATTTGTAGAGATTTTTTTCATTTATTTAAAAATTTACTAAATTTTAAAAATATTTTTTTAATTTAAAATTTTTAAATAAAACATAAGGAGACGAATTTTGAAATATTCGATTTCCCTTCATAAATTTAAACAAAAAATCGTAATAATATTCAACAAAAAAGTAATTTTAAATATATTTGAGAGGGGATGGCTTATTTGACGGTCTAATGGTGTCGAGAGTGGGAAGCAAAGAGTGAATAATATATTTGAGAGTCTGTGCCGAAGAAAAACTGGCAGTCTGTGCCATTTGTGTGTGTGTGGTTGAATGTGTTTGTTTGTGTGTGTGTGTCGGGATTCCCGCCCAATTCTGTGATTGGTAGTTATTTAATGAGAAATATATTTAAATAAATATTAAAAAGCAAAATAAAAAAAAAAGTAAAGAAAAGAAGGAAAGACAAATCTGGCCACACCCTTTTTTTATTCAGAAACTGTAAATCTGTGGAATGAAAACAATAAGAAATTTAATTTATTAGCACAATATTAACCTAATTAATTAATTAACTTATTTTAAATTAAAAATACCTATATTATAATTTAAATTTTGATAAAAAACATTAATTCCTAAAATATTGCAATTTTAAATTATTTAATGTCTAAATATATTCTGAATATGTTTAAATTATTTTAATTTCCAAAAATTAAACTCAAATCTAATTTTTTTAATTTTTAATTATTTCAAAAAATAATTAATAATAATCGTTTCTTTTTTACAAAAATGCAACAACAGCAGTGAAAACAAGGCGCGAGTTTCATCCCTTTTCAAAATCCTCATATTCAAGAAACATTCAAATTTAAAAGAAATAACAAGTCCAAACAGGCGTAAAAGGAACGGCCGGAAATTTGTCCAATCCATTTTTGTGTGTAGGGGGAAGGAAGCAATTCTTGGAAAGGAAAAAAAGAGTCAAATTTCGAAGTTTTTGGTTAATACTCCCTTCCAAATATTAATTTTATTTTTCTCTTTATTAAATTCTCTTTTGTGTTTATGTATATTTATTCCCTCCAATAATATACAAGCAAATTTATCCAAAATAACCAACAAAATTGTGTTTATGTATTATTTTCGACTTTTTATTTTTATTAAATTTAACAAAAAATTTTTTTGTTAAATAAATTAAATTCTTAATTCCCTTTTTAAATTTATTTTAATTAAAATTATTTTTATATAATTTTTTAGATATAATTATTTCTTAATATTTTTATTATTTCAACAAATACTTATTTAATTTTAAAATACAAATATGTTTTTATTTCCTCTTTTTTATTCTCTTCATCAGTTTTTCTTCCAAAAAAAGTAATCTTCATTTAATATATTCCTTATAACCCCCCCCCCCCCCTTCAAATTTTATTCAAAAATGATTTTATTTCCCTCATTTTCTTCTTGTTTTTGTTGTCATTTTCTTTCATTCCTTCCTCGTGTCGTACGTTCAATTCTCTCGGGATTTTTTGTTTAAAATGAAGAAAATTGAGTAACATAACCGAGAATTCTTCCCCCCCCCTTACTTTACCTTTCCCCTATTTTCCTTAACAAAATTGAGGAAATGCTGGCAGACATTTGGAAAGGAAAACTGTTGTTGTGTTGTGTTTTCCCTTATTGGATTGAAAGAAGGTTGGTTGACTTTAACCCCAAAACTAATCTGCAGTTAAAAAAGTAATTATTGAGAGAAGGAATAATAATCCCGTGTAATCCTTTAATTATTACTTTTCTTTAGAAAATAGTCGAAAATTTAAATAAAATTAAAAAATAATTAAAATAAGTTGGAAATATATTTAAAAAATTATATTTTAATAAGAAAAATTAATTTTAAATTTAGTAAATAAATTTTTAAATTAAATAATCTTATTTAAATTAAATTAAACGACTTTTTATTTTTTAAACAAAAAAGTTAGGTAATTTCAATTTATTATTCTGTTAAATAATAATCTTCCACAAAATTTATGTACATTGCATGTCTTAATAATATTTTCTTGCTTTTGAGAAACTCAAAAAATTACTCACCGTAGGACATAGTCTACATATGTATACTATTTTGTTTAGGAGAGAATAATTACTAATTATTTTTTAAATTTAAAATACCCCGATTGTCTGATTATATTTTCTCGTTTTTAATTTAAACTAACCGTATAATAAAAATAGGTATAAACATTTGTTTTGAATTCAAACTTTCTCCAGTTTTTATAATAAATCAAACAATTTAAATTTTATTTCATAAAAAAGGAGATTTATGACTCAATTATTTATTTTTTTTAAATTGTCTAGAAATTAATATTTCCTTCTTCAATTCTCGTTAATTCCTTCAAATTTCTTCTATTATTTTCCCCTTAAAAAATACTAAAAACAGTGGGTGGCCGAATTCGGGAATGCAAATTAAATTGATGATGGAAGATGTAAATGACAGTCTTTTTGGCAGTCTTCTAGTATATTGGCACTTAATTTACATTTTTATATTAAATAACTCATCAAAATATTATTAACTAATTTATTTAATTATTCTAATTCAAGGGAATTTGAGACTTGTTATTTAAAAAATATTTTGTGATTAAGGAAAGTATTTTCAAGGAAAGAGAAATGATGAAAGATTTTGGAGTGAGGCAGAGGTAGGTCGGAACAGGCAGAGGTGTCGGAAATCGGAAATCGAAATTACGATCTACCTCTGAAGTGAGGTATATTTTATATTATTTTTCAAAAAAAAATTTAGAATTATGAAGACATTGAATTGACTAAAAAAATAAAAGTTTGTATAAACTTTTTGGGAAATAACTAAAAAATATCCATCAAATAAATTCTTTTCAGAAACCCCAAAAAGAAACTAAAAAATTCCATTAATTTATTTATTATTTTGTGCAAAAAAGGAAGAGAGCGGTTTTTAGTGAAGATTGGAATTAATTGAATAAATAATTTAAATATATTTGGTTTACTGTAAAATTGGGAAGTAAATGTGTAAATGTTGCGTGTCGAGAAATAAATGAAATAGATATATGTACTTTATTTATTTAAAATTATTTTTAAGTAATTACTGAAGAAATGAATATTTTAAAATTTAAAGTTTGGTATTGACAAAATGGATTACAGTCAGCCTTATCGCCAGCAAATGTTATAGACTTAAAAGATCAAAGTCGGAAGTATTTTACTTTTAAAGTGCCAAAATATCGTGATATTTTTAGCAAAATTTTTAAAACAAAAACAAAAAAGTTCTTTACCTATTTTCCTCTAAAGGTGTCACATTTCGCGCATTGAATACTAAAACAACTCAAAATTATTTTCCTCTACCCTTTTTATGAGTTCCGCCTCTTTAAAGTTAAATAAAGTTGATGACCGTTCTTCTAAAAATCCCGCAGTGAAAATGTTTAGTTTTAAATAAATTTTTTATATTTTACTTAAGAAATTTACCGCCGATCATTAACGGTGAAAATAACGGTGAAAAACATAACAATTAGTAATTGTTTGTTTATATGAAAATAAAACAAAAATTTAAAATTAACAAATTCTTTGAAAATGTGTCAAAGTTTCAAATTATATATTAGCAACATAAATTTACTCGATATTCGAAAGTTTATCAAAAATATTAAATAACCGATTCAAATATTAATTTTTAAATAAATCATGGATTTATCCAGAGGTAGTCAAAAACGCTTTGATCAGATTATTTATATCAAACTTGGTTAAAATTTGATTTTAATGTCATAAAACTTCATTGGCATGGTCCACATATTTTATTAAAATATGAAAGGAAATGCGGACGATTAAATGGTATTAAAAAAATAAACAACTTTAAAATTTTAAAATTAAGGTTTAAAAAAATAATTTTATAAAAAATAATTTTTATGACTAAATATTTTTAATTTTTTTAAAAATTAAATAACAATACAAAAAAGCGGCAAAACATATTAAAGTTAAAAAGAACAAAAACAAAGAAAAAATAATAACGCTGAAAAAAAAGAAAATAATAACAAAAAAGAATATAAAAAAAATTAGAAAAGGCAAAAATTTTTATTTTCGGTCATTTTGCGCAATCAAATTATTTTTTATATTTTAGTTTAGATATCCCGAATATATTTTTGATGTTGTAATTTGACATGACTTTTCTTTTATATAAAAAATATTTTTCATACAAAAATAAAAAATAATAATAATAATTCGAAACAATTTCTTTCTAACAGATAATATACCTTGTTACAAACCCCACCTACTAATTTATTCATTTTATCTAATCCCATTTTTGTCCTTTTTTCTAGATTTCAAGATTTTATGGTGGAAAAAGTACTAGAATCATTTTAATTTTTATAAATTCTTCGAAAAAATTTTTGTAAAGAAATTCAACTTTTAAATATCGGAAATGTAATTTAAATTTTTTGATTTATCTTTAAAAAAGGAATATTCATTCGTAAAAAGTTTTCAAAAAACTGGACAAGGATGGGATTAGATAAAATAAAAAAAATTGAATGAGCATATACTTTTGAAACAATTAGAAACAATATTCCAATAAAAGTGAAAAAAATGTAAAAAGAAATATTTAAAAATATGTTTCAGATATTGCAAAAAATTTAGAAAAAAGATATAAATATTGGAGTAATTAATTAATTTAAATGCAATACCAATTAATTTAACATCCTCTAGACAAACTAAATATTTTTTGGTGATTTCAATAATTAAAAAACATAAAGTTAAAAAGATTTAATTAATTTCCTCCTCTTCATTAAATTCTAAAAAATCCTCCAAAAATTCTTCATTATTTTCAAAATAATTTTTATTTAATTCTTTTTCGTTATTTTCAATAAATTCATTTTCTTTCCTTTCAGTAGCTATATTTTTCAAAACAAAATGCCCAATCAAAAAACAAAATATTCCAATAAAAGTAATTATATAAATAATATTATAAACTTAAAAAATAAATTTAAAATTTATAAATAATTATTAAATAATTTTTTAATAATCTAAAAATTTCTTTCAACATTTAAATAATAAATGAACATTTTTAAATTTAAAAACGTTAAATATACTCGACAACTAATTAATTTAAGTATCCCCAACAATTTCCTCAAATTCTTCAATAAATTTTTAAAAATTTGATTGGCTATTGAGCAATGCCTAAATGCTATCCCCAATTTAATGGTACCTTTATTATAATTTATGGATATCTAAAAATTAAATTAAAATTCCGATTTAAGGATACCCTTATTATAAGATAAGTTTTAAAAAGATTAATACTAATTATTTAATTACTTTGCCATTCTTCATTTATCCAATTAAATAAATAAACAAAAAATATACTTCCAACAATTAAAGGTAAAAATAAAAATTGACCAAATGTTAATTTTGAAAATGAAGAAAAAATTAAGGGAAGCCACTAAAATTATTTTAAAATTAATTTAAATTTAATACCTGAATTATTAACAAAATTAAAGGGCTAAAACATAAAAAGGCGTAGAAAATAAAGAATTTTGTAGACCAATTTAAATTACATTTCTAGAAAATTAATTTAAAAATTATTTATTTTTATTTAAATATTTACATTAATTTGTTTGAATTTATGTGACAATTCTGGTAAAGGTCCTGTTTTAGGTGATCTATCTCGGGGGGTATATGTTGTTGGTTCATTCACAAATAACTTTCGGCGCTTAAATTTAAAAAATAAATTTAGAAAAGAAAATATTTTAGAATTAAATAAGATAAATAAATTAACAGAAATTATAGATAAAAACTTAAATTAATTTCAATAATTTAAGACTATTTATATTCAGAATTGAACACCTTATAGTATGTTCCAGAAATTACATTTCTAGTAAAATTATAGACAAAAACTATCTCGGGTGTATATGTTCTTGTATATATTGAAAAAAAAATTGAAAAAAATTCTAGACATCAGTATCAATACAGATAAAATGAAGTTCTTATGTACTTCCATTATCGAGATCTCGTAATCGGAAAATCAACGGAGGGGTGAGGTTATAATTTCGGAAAATTCTGTATTCAATTCTAAGTTAATTCAGATATTATTATTATTATTTTAATTATGTATTATATTTCTATCGAGTACTCAATTTGAGACAATTTTTAAAAAATTCCAAACCTTTGGAATATCAACAAAAACATCAATTAAATGCCAACGAAAGGGATTTTTAATTCGAATATCCCCAATAATCAATTCACAATGATAACGTCCTGGACGGCCACTAAATTTTTGTGTGTCTTTAGGCATTGCCTAAAAATTATTTTTATTTTTAAAATTAATTAAAAAATAAAAACAATTTCAATAAAATATTTCCCTTCCACTCCTTCATTATTTGTTGTTACTCTTTTCCCAATAAAAAATACTTCGTGTTCTTCTGTTTTTGAATGCCATAAACGCAAAAATTTTTGTTGAATTCCTTTTTAAAAAATTAATTATTAAACCAAAAATTAATTAATTTAAAGAGACCTTCAATTAATTTTTTAGTATTTTTGTCAATAATATTAAATTGTAAATTAATTGCAAGTTTTTCTTCTAATCTAATTCCCTTTGAATATTTTTCATTTTTTTCTGAAGGAATTCTAAAAGAATATTTAAATTTAAAATTATTGTTATTTAATTAACATAAAATTCCCCAATTGTTTCCCACTTTGCCATTCACGAACTTTAATTTGAACATTTTCTAATTTTATTTCATCATATTTTTCTTCATTTTCATTAAAAGAATTATTCTTTTTTATAAATAAAAAAATAAATAAAATGTTTAAATAAATTAATAATTGGTGCATTATTTTAAAAATAAATTAATTATTCCTTTTTTAACATAAATTTTTATTTTAAATTATTTTAAATTTAAAAACAATTTTTAAAGGATAAATAAAATCTTAATCAATTTATTTATTTGCCATTTCCATCCCCCCACTCTCCCCCCCCCCCCCTTCTCTCTCTCTCCCCAATCACAAATCTAAATCAATTATTTTGCCAACAAAACAGTCTGTCTGAAAATGCATGTGCCGTATTGTTTAAACAATAATAACATCTTTTAAATTGTTTTTTCTAAATTTTGTAGCGTTATTTGTTCAATTTATATCAAAAAATTTAAAAATTAAATTAGATATTCAACATAAACAATATTAAAGTTCCCATTAATGAAGATAATTTAAGAAATACAATTAGATTAAAGTAGATAAAATTATTAAATTTTATTTAAATTAAAAAGTTGTTAATTTACTTTTTAATTATTTAGTAAATATATTTTTGAATCTTTTTAAAAATTGTTTCTGTTCTAAACTATATTTTGTATTGGATATCTGACTAAAATATATAGTATTAAAACTAAATTTGTAGAAGTGTCAAACAGACATATTAACAAAATTTCTGATATGTACATACATAATTTTAAACAAAAGTCTCATATTTTAATCATAAACAAAAGTAAAAGTTGCTACCTTAAATCTACTTTTATGCGAAACAAGAAAGGACAAGTTAAAAAAGAAAAGATCTAAAGACAGAATAATAATTTAAATTATGAAATTTTTTAAAATTGTATTTTCTAATAAAGAAATTAAAGGGGAAACTTTAAATTTATAAATTGAACTTTTTAATCAGATAATAACAGTATTAAAATACATATGTAGGTAGCAGTGATGTCAAAGTTCCAGTTCCAGTTCCGGAACTAGAACTACGGAACTACCGATTATCTGGAACTAGTTTGGAACTAGAACTACGGAACTAGTAAATGCCTGGAACTAGCTTGGAACTGGAACTACGGAACTAGTAAATGTCTGGAACTAGCTTTGGAACTAGTTCTGGAACTAGTATATTTTTGACAAAATTTCCTCGAAAATTACCTGCAGCGCACTGAGTATGGCAGAAATCTGGCTGCTTGAGCTCCAAAATTCTAAAAATTTTCGCCTGCGGCGCTGAAAAAGGGGAATTTTTTCGGCCTACGACCTTAGAAATTCTCAAAATTTTCGCCTGCGGCGCAAAAAAGCAGGGAATTTTGTGAATGGTCTTCCAAAATTTTCAAACGGAAGAAGTACCAACTATGGTGTTCTGAGGGATGGGTTCGAATCCATGATTCGAAAATAAGATTTCTTGACATTTTTTCTTCCAAAAATATAAATTTTTAACTTTGATTTGGATTTTAAATGTGTAACTTTATTTTTTCAAAATTCTACACTTGAAAAAACTTTAAAATTTTTAATTTGGTCATGAATTTCACAAAATTTTCTCCTGCGGCTCAGAAAATTGAAGAGTTCTGGCTTCATGACCATCTAACCTTCAAAAATTTTTTGTCTCTGAGTCTATCACCTTAATTTTTCAATTTAGTCTTCCAGAATGCTTAGAATTTTCGCCGCGGCGCAGAAAATGATAAAATTTGGTAAATTTATTTAAATTTTAAAGTTTTATAAAATTTTTTAAAAACCTCGGTTATCCTCGAACCTCGACCTCGGACCACGGCCAAAATTTGCCCCTCGACCTCGATCTCGGCTTTTCCAGCCTCGGTGATCCTCGGTCTCGGTTTTTTCAAAAAACCTCGACCTCGACCTACTCTAGTTTTAACTTTCAAAAAAATCTTGAAAAGCACTTGACACTCAACACTCTACACGGACGACTATCAAGTGTTGAATGTCGAGTAGTACGTATCCTTCCTACATTGAAATAAAAAAGACACGGACCAAAACACTTGACATTCAACGCTCAACACTTGACACGGATCAATTGTGGGAGTAGTGTTATGACTTTATTTGTTAAAATTGATAAATCCTTTCATATTCAAAAATTTAAAAATTTGGAACTAGAACTAGCTTGGAACTAGTTCCAGAACTGAAACTGGAACCAAGGAATTTCAAAAATGGAGTTCCGGAACTGGAACTGGAACTACAAAAATTAAAAACCTAGTTCTGGAACTGGAACTAGTTCCAGAGAAATTTTGGAACTTTGACATCACTGGTAGGTAGAGACTAGCTACTCGCCGAAATCAAAGCCTTGATCTATTCTTATATTGAAAAATTATTTCAGAAAGATCAAGCAGTAATGTGTCGGTTTTGAAAATCTGTTCTCAAAACCGGAATCGTCGAAAATTTGAATAGCCAGCAACCGGAAGTGGGACCATTTCAGTGTCGGAACCGATGGAATTTATTCTGGAATCTCAGAGAAAACTGATAAAAGTGAATTTTCCGTGCCTTCGGCAACTTAAATTATAAAATAGCATATCAACTACATATGTAGGTAAAACATGCGATTCTCTGATTAACGTTTTTCAAACAAAATGTGATTCTGTATTTACATACGTTTAAAGACTAGCAAATTTCTTCCTTTTTTCTTATCTTCTTTTTTAATAGACATTTCTAGAATTAGTTTTTTCCAGGTTTGAGAGAATGTTTAGTGAAATACACAATCTCAATGGTTCCTTCCGCATAATCTCTATTTTCAAATTTCTTAATATGCATACTCATTTGAGGCTTAAATAATAAGATAATAAAATGATTAAAAATATATAAACAAACCCAATTAGTATAATTGTTCTTCTCAACAACTCCACCATTAGCAAAACAGTGTTGACCATTCAAGTCATAATTGACTACATGGGTAATAAAAAAATTAATTGGAAAATCTAAATTGCAATTATCCGGTGTTGTAATAAAAACTCCATTATTATTTTCCAAAATAAATTCTTCAGAATTTTCTGTTCGGATAACTTGATATCCTCTTTCAATTGTTGAACAAAGCATGCGGACACAGAAATGGCTATATTCATGATTAAAAACTTGGTGAAAAATATTCATATTTGAAACGGTTCCCTTTATATTTAGAAAGAATTTTTTGCTTTCAACAATTGAACAAAAATGTACAAATATAAGAAAGTAAAAAAGAATTAAAGTTTTTAACATTTTTAAATTCTAAATAAATAAAAAAGAAAATTTTTTTAAATAAATTTTAATTATTTGATTTTTTTTTCAAAAAAAGGCGATATTTATTTTTAAAAATATTTAATATTAAATGGCATTCGATGCGCATACATATGTATGTATTTTTAAATGAAATTAATCGAATAAATACATAAAATTTTTTGATAAATGTGTTTTGATGATTTTTAGATAAATCAATTTATTAAATAAAATTTTTATGAAATCAAAAAACGAAAGGAAATATTTTTATTGAAAATATTTATAAATAAATAAATTTTATAAATTTTTAAAAAATAAATAGGGTTCTAATAAATATTTACTAACAACATAACCCACTCTGTGAAGAATACTAAGAATAACCTTATACCGAAATTAAAAATTTCTATCTTGATAAAAACAATTTAATCAAAAGATAAAAAATTTCTAAACAAAAATGAGCATTGAGAGAATCTCAGGAACTATTTAATTTTCAAAAAATAATTTTTAAATTTTCAAAATCCTAAAAAAATACCAAATATACACAAATTATAATAAAGATAAGCAAATTTAATTTTAGAAATTTTATTTTTAATAAAAATATTTTAAAAAGTTATATGTAAGTATTCAAATATATTTTTATTTATTTGTTATTTTGAAGTTAATCTACATGCAAAAACCAATTCAACAAGAAAAAAAGAATTTTCTTATAAAAGAACGTTCAACAAAAAAAGACCTTAGGGAATAAAAAAACAAAAGAAAATAAAAATAAAAACAAGTAAGTGATATGCTTTTAAAAATAAAAGAAATTGTTTTATTACGTTAAATTTTCTTCAAGTTTGAATATTTTTATTTTTACTTTATGGATATATTTTTAATAGTAAAATTCTCGATTTCATTAAAAATTGAAGTATAAGTGAATAACTAACTGTAAATAAAAGGTTTACAGTTCGAGTCCTAACAGACAGCCTTATACTTACAAAACTATTATTATATTTATCCTTCTAGCTAAATGTGATTAGTTCTTTATGAACTACTTATATTTAGCTAAAGCTTGAGTAGTTCATCATTCTCTAAATATTTCCGTCGACTTATCCCTTCAATTTTTCAATAATAATATTTGGATATTTATTGTCAGCAAAATATTATTAAAATTTTATTAAAATATTTTAGAAATGTATCGTTTAAATAATCGTCGTCAAACACTTCCACAACGTCTTTCATCAAATAGTCCAATGACAATGAGAGAATTGGAACGAATTGCTCTTTTACGTAGAAATAGAGGAAGTAGTAGAAGCAGTTATGGAGGGGGAAGTGTTACTACAACTTCTTTTAATGATTCTAAAAAATGGAAAAATTATGGAAAATTTGAGGTTAGAAAGTTTTCTTTTAAAAATGAAAAAAATAAATATAAAAATAATTTAATTATTTGAATTGAGAGTTAGGTAATCTGCAATTTTTGTATCTTTAATTGTTCATATTGTTATTTACCTATTTAATTTTAAATATACCTACTTTGATTAAAAATATTAGATTAAAAAATTATTTTAAAGATTTATTCTTAATGTTCCAAAATAATTATTTGAATATTTAATTTAATTTTTTAAAAACAAATTAAAAAAAAATCCCTTCCTTCCTCTTGTATCCATCTCCAAAAATTATTTATCTTACTCATTTTTGGTTATTCACTTTTTTCTTAAAAAATTATAAAAAAACATTTTGTAATTTGTTTATTCATACGTGCAAAGTGCTACTACCCTTAAAATAATAATTATTTATTTATTGACATTTAAATTTTAAAATCTTTATTTCGTTTTATCAAAAAATCAATTTATTTTGTAAAATATTAAAGTACAAAATGGAATTTTTAATAAAAATTATATGTCAATGTTCATAAATCCAACTATAATCAAATAATAAAATTCTCTCAGCTTATTTATTTCTATATTTCTTATTTTATGATCACAATTTTTCTTTCCAAATTGTCTAATAAATATTTAATTTTTTAATTATTAGGGTTGCCCATTACCAATTATTAATTGAATACTTTCAGTTTTGGGTTTAATCAAATAACAGTTCGAGGTGAAAGGGCGGTACATATTTCACTCATTTATCTTTTTCTAATCCTAATTATAACTACTGTATTGAGTGATTTTATTTAAAATTAAAAATATATAATTTTTTAAATATTTTTTTTCCACAATTTTACAAAATTAAAATAATAATAATAATAATTTAAAAACAAAAACATTCCTTTTTCTCATTTTTTAATTTAAATATTCATTTAAACAGACACATTTTCTTTTAAAAACATTTACTTACTTGCTCTTTTACCAATTTATTTTTACTTTTGCCAACCTTTCCTCCTTTCTCCAAAACTCAATTCATTTTAAATAAATGGGAATGGGGACCTTTTTGAGTGAATATACCTCTAAATAAATATGTGTGTGGGGGATAGGGGAGGGAGGAGGGATGAGGGGGGATAAAAATAGTGAGAGATATACTTAGTCAAAAGCCAAAAAAAATTTTTTTGGAAAGTTTTTAAAAGCAACAAACACGAATGAATGCCATTCCTTTATTTTACTAAAATTGGCATTCTAAAAAGGAAATTGTGGGAGGATAGAAAAAAATATTTAAAGTCTTCAAAAAAATAATTACAAAATTCATTTTAAGAATATAGTAAAAGTAATATCCATTCGACCTCTCATTTCCTTTAAATTGGGAAATAAATAAGAATTGGCTTTTTTAATAAACTTTTATTTAAAAGTTCAATATTATTCTAAAAATAAATTTAAAAACCATTAAAAGATAAAATGCAACTTTTTATATTACTTATCTCTTTAGTCCTTTACAGAAATTTCCATAAAATCTGTATTTTATTTAATATGATTATTTATTTTAATTTAAATTAATTATTAAAGTATATTTATTTAAATGGAATCTTTTGATCAACACGGCACACCAGCAAGTCAAGGTACAACTGCACGTGCCGGAACTTCAACAACAATTAGGAGTGGTGATGAGGAAAATTATTCTTATGGTGAAATAGATGAAGGAGGAGAAGATGCTAATCTTAATTCTCCTGAAGGAGAAAGTATATACTTGAATATATTTTTTAAATAAAAATTAAATATTCTCCAAAAATTACTATGTTCTCAGATTATCTGGAAATTGTTTAAAAATTCCACATAAATTGTTTTTATTATAAAATTTTCAATATTTTCTTTCAAAAATTCACAAATAGTAGAGCAACAGCAACAACAATCCCCTCAACAAAACCCTTCTCATAGCCAACCAACTTCAGCACGTCCAACTCTCTACCAAAAACGTTCAACTCCTTCAGCAGGCGTTGTTGGTGCTGTAGTCCAACCATTATATAGTGGACCTACACCTGCACGTTTATTTAAGAGAACATTATCTGAACAACAATTTGGGGTAGAAAGAAACATTTTTTGTTCAAATTTATATTCTTAAATACTTTCTAAATGCTTCTAATTATTTTATTGTTTTATTTAGCTCTTTAATCCTTTTTTTAATTTCAATAATTAATATAAATTGAAATTATCATAAATTTAATAAAAAAATTTTTTTTAAGAATCGCCCAATCTCGGAAGTTCCTCCAACAATTTCATCTACCGCACAACAAAGCAAAAGTTTACCATTAACATCACAACGAAGTATCCCAGAAAGTATTCATTCAATTCAACAAAAACGTAGAAGTCCCTCAATTATTGACTTAAGCGGTAATTTAATAAAATTATTAAAAAATATTAATACATATTTTAGTTAAAGTAAAAGAAGTTAGTCAATCAGTAAAGAATGCAGCAGAAGATGAATTACGTTATGAATTAATTCGTTTTGCAGCTAGAACAACTGCTCACGGAATTCCTATGGTAAATATTTTGGAACATTAAGTTATCCTCAATATTCACTTTTTTGACTTGTACTTGGCCTAAATTATAATTATTTATCCGCCTATTCTAATTTCAACTAGTTTTCTTTGTATTTAGCGATAATAGTGAATGAGAGAATTTTAATTTAAAATTTATTTTATTATAAATAGGCAGCTCAAGCAACTAAGTGGTATGCCAAATGGATGTGGATAATTATATCTTTGTTGTCTGTTGGTATTTTTATTTATAGCGTTCTTGGTGTTTTAGAGAAATATCAAAGAAGAGAAAAAATTGTTTCTGTTCAAGTAAAATTATTTTTTTTTAATATTTAATTTTAATTTAAATAAAGCTTCGTTTTGATAATGTCCCATTCCCCGCTATTACTATTTGCAATTTAAATCCTTTCAAAAGAGAAGAAGCAAGACATGTACCCGAAATTAGTGAAGTAATTTAAAAAGTATTTTTGTTTTTAAATAATAATTATTTTGAAGACATTAGAAGCATATCATCAAGCAGTAACTTATTCAAAACATGCAGACCTTTATTTAGATGAAACCCCGGCAGTTCGTGAACGTAGAAATATAAGGGGTATATTTTCTATTAATTTTTGAAAGAAAAGTTTGTCTCTAAGAAAAAATTAGAGGGGATTACTAGATTAATTTAAAATTTAAAAATAAAGGCGGCCATCGTCATGTACAAATTGAACCAGTAATGTCAGACTGTGAATGTTTAGAGGGATTTAATTCTGCTGGAAAACACGATTGTGCGCAATTAGATTCTATACCTAAAGTTTTAAATTAAATAAATATTTGTAAATTAAAATATAATAGGATAATGTTTCTTTATGTATTTGTAATTATGACAGACAAGATTCTAGTATATGGCCTTGTTATAGTAAAACGTAAATATTTTTTATAATTAAAAGGAAATAATAATTTTTTATTTTTATAGAAGTTGGATTGAAGAATGGTGTCCAATATGCAACGGTAAGTTAAATTATTGTGATTATTGTGATTCTAAAAATTTTTGAAAATAATTTTTCGAAAAAACTCTTAAATAAATTATTTATTTCAAAAAAACTTTAAAAATAAATTAAAAATAAAGATATTGGATATTGTACTTTGCCAAATACAAATACTTCAAATACAGTACCTTGTATATGCCAAAAGGTAATTTACTAATTATTTAAAAAAATATTTTTAAACTAAAAGAGTGTTAATTATTGTTTGATTCGACCAGAAAGATTAAAAAGAATGTGGGAAGTCCGTGGAGATAAAATACCCACAGAAGATTCTCCTTTTCGGACAGATTTTCTTAATCAATTAAAAGAATTGGGTTATGAAAATATGACGGATGAAGTTGCTATTACAACAAAAACTAGAGAAAAGTAAATTCAAAATTAAATTAATTTCAAAAATAATTTATATTAAAAAAGACTTGTATTGGCAATGGCAAGTCTTCATAAAGAACAAAGAAAATCGCTTTCATATGGAAGAAGTGAATTTATTAAAATGTGTTCATTTAATGGACAACAATGTAATATAAATCACGGTTAGATTCTTTTAGGAAAAATTTATTTTTCAAATATTTTACTCAGATTTTAAATTACATGCTGATCCAGCATTTGGAAATTGTTATATGTTTAATGCTAATAAATCAAATCCTTTGGTTTTTAGAAAATATTTATTTAAATAATTTTTATTTTTAGGTTAGTAGTCGAGCTGGACCTTCATATGGTTTTTGAATTCTTAATACAAATTAAAAAAATTTTTTAAAGGACTTAGATTACTTGTACACATTAACACCTCTGATTATTTACCTACAACACAAGCTTGTAAATAAATTGAAAATTAATTTAGATACAGTCAGACTTAACTATTGTGTTAATTTAAATTTGCAAAAGTTCATTAAAAATTTTCTTAGATAGTTTGCTAAGGAAAAGCATCTAAGAGATACCCTTATTTTGTGAGATATTTTTATATTTGGACCTAACTAGTTAGATATACCATGTAGTTAGGTCCAACTGTAATAAAAATATTTTTTTAAAAACTAAACTATTTTTTAAGCTGGTGTTCACATAGTCATTCACAGTCAAGATGAGCATCCCTTTCCAGATGCTTTTGGATACTCTGCCGTTAGTTGATATATTTTAACTATGTATAATCAAATAAAATTATTTTAGCCAACAAATCAACTTTCTTCTTTTGGCATATCTTTAGTAAAAAATTAAAAAATAAATAAAAATAAATTTTTAAAAATATTAAGAGAAAAGTAAATCGACTGCCCATTCCTCGTGGTATTTGTTTAATGCCTGGGGAGCCTAAACCCGAAGGTTATATCTACTCAGATCATAAATATGAACCTGAGGGTTGTTATAAAAGTTGTTATCAAGTAATTTAATTAAATTAATTTTTAATTTTAATTTAATTAAGCATCAAATAATTAGAAGGTGTGGATGTTCTGATCCAAGATATCCCCAACCAGATGATAATACTAAAGTTTATTTAAATATTTAAAATATATATTTTATTTATTTTTAAAGGTTTGTAATAGTTCTAATGCTCTTGACAGTAATTGCCTTTTGGTGGAAAGTATAAGATTTACCCGTGCTCAACAATGTCATTGCAAACATCCTTGTGTTCATGGTAGGAATATATTTTAAAAATTTAAAAGAGAGAAAAAAGGGGTAATCATTGGCTTACTGTAAAGGGGTAATTAATTGAGGTAGGGTAATTAATTGAGTTTTGAAATTTATGGGCAGTAGGGCATTTTAGCGTGAGGATTATTATTTTTTAGAACTCATGATAGAGGGTTAATTAATTGAGGATTAATTGTGGTTGCCGGTTTGTGAAACCGGAAAACACATACATATATTCAGATAGGGCCAAGAATATTTAAATTAAAATTCCTTAAATATGTAGATGTTTACACAACAGCATTTTCTTCTGCACGTCTAATCTCTGAAGCATTTCGTAGTTTTCAATGTTCGGGTAAGAGGGAATGCAAAACAGAATTTGATGCGTATGGAAGATATAAATTTCTATTCAATTAAAAAATCTTTTAGTGATTCTGCTGCAATGCTTGAAATATATTACGAACAAATGTCACATGAAGTACTTACAGAAAGCGAATCTTATATGTTTGTTAATTTTATTTCTGATATTGGAGGGCAAGCTGGATTGTGGTTAGGTGCTAGTATTCTTACACTATTTGAGGTATAGTTTATTTAATTAAAATTATTTTTAAATTAAATATTAATTAAAAATAAGTAAATTGTATAGAGTTGAAATTCCCTTAGTTTTTGATTATTTTTGAAATTTTTAATAATTTTTTCTCCACCGAATATCCTAATTCCTTTAAATATTTTAAATAAAAATTATTTTTTAAAGCTTTTTGTCTTCGCTTTTCGCATTTTTACAATTGTTTGCCGTCGTCGCCTTCGTCGAAACACAATTGATTTTGACATCGAAGATGACGATTTAGAACAACAACAAAAAAGGTCAACATCCAAAGGAATCCCTTCTTCGTTTACAACAACCCCAAAACATTCTCAAATGCGGAAATCTGCTTCTTCTTTAACTTCTTTAAGTATTAGAGCTTCGGCATTAGATGCTAAAGTACAGGCAGCAAAAAGTGAAAGAAATACATCTTTGGGGTCTTTAAATTTGGCATATCAATCACCTAAAACAAGAAAAGTAACGGCTGAGCCATTTTCTTCGGTATCTAATAATTTTTATATAAAAATGTAAAGCTTAACAAATTTAAATGAAAGTAATGGAGGAGGGGTGGGGAGGGGAGAGGGCTCATTTTCCTTTCAGTTTTAAATTTAATTTTAATTTCCACTGTAAACTTAAATTAAATTTCCCTGCGTTTCAATTTTTAAAAATATTGTAAATTATTTCCTTCTTCTTTTTAGAGATCCGCTCGAAAGCTAAGTAAACAAACATCATTTGCTGTAACGGAAGATGAGGAAGAAGAGGAAAATGGAAATATTGAAGAGGGTTATTATGACAAACAATTAACTCCAAGTAGCGATGAAAGAACTCTTGGTAAAAATAAATCAGTGGAAAGTATGGGGACTTCAACCACTTCAAATAATAGTTATGTTGAAGGAGGAGAAATGAATAATAATAATAATTCTTCAAATAAAATAAAATTAAAAAATTCACCAAAAAAGGATACAAAAAATAAAAAAGAAATAAAGAAAAAGGAAGATAAGAAGAAAGAATTGAAGAAAAAGGAAGGAAAGAAAAAAGATAAAAAGAAGAAAAAAGTTGTAGAAAATCCCTATGAAGTTTTAGTTTAAAAAATGGTTAAAATAAATAGATGACGATTTTTTGAATTATTAGAGAATATTTAATTTTTTGTTTATTAAATGGTATCACGACTTTTGCGCCGAGAACATTTGCGCCGCGACATATGCGCCGCGACATTTGCGCCGCCATTGTTTAAAAAATCCGGATCCGAAAAATGCCGGATATCCGAAATTTTCAGTTCGGATATCGGATCCGGATATCCGAAGATTTCCAACTATCCGACAACCCTACTAAAGTGAGGACCGGCTGTAGTTATTGATATATTTTTAATGATAGTGGCGGCGCAAAAGTCGCGGCGCAAATGTTCCCCGGCGCAAAAGTCACTCGGCGCATAAGTCGCGGCGCAAAAGTCGCGGCGCAAGAGTCGCGGCGCAAATGTTCCCCGGCGCAAAAGTCACTCGGCGCATAAGTCGCGGCGCAAAAGTCGCGGCGCAAGAGTCGCGGCGCAAATGTTCCCCGGCGCAAAAGTCACTCGGCGCATAAGTCGCGGCGCAAAAGTCGCGGCGCAAGAGTCGCGGCGCAAATGTTCCCCGGCGCAAAAGTCACTCGGCGCATAAGTCGCGGCGCAAAAGTCGCGGCGCAAGAGTCGCGGCGCAAATGTTCCCCGGCGCAAAAGTCACTCGGCGCATAAGTCGCGGCGCAAAAGTCGCGGCGCAAGAGTCGCGGCGCAAATGTTCCCCGGCGCAAAAGTCACTCGGCGCATAAGTCGCGGCGCAAAAGTCGCGGCGCAAGAGTCGCGGCGCAAATGTTCCCCGGCGCAAAAGTCACTCGGCGCATAAGTCGCGGCGCAAAAGTCGCGGCGCAAGAGTCGCGGCGCAAGAGTCGCGGCGCAAATGTTCTCGGCGCAAAAGTCACGGAACCTATTAAATAACACGGTTTTGTCATTTTTTGGGAAAAGGGGGACAAGTTAGACAAGGGATAAACAGCAAGAAATTTACAGGCCTTTGATTTTCACACAAAAAATTGTAATTTTAGGGTTGTCGTTTTTGAATGGGGCCGTACTAGTCTTTTTCGGGCCAAATATCTTATGCCCGACTCGATCTTTCGGTCAGAGTCGGTCCATTCTGGCAACTTTAATCAATTTATGAAATATTTAGACATTCGAATTATACAAAAATCAAAAAAATAATTAAAAAAATATTTTTTAGCTACTTATGTTTTTAGGCTTTTAATTATTTGCAACCAATGTTCTTTCATATGCTTTAAATATTTGTTTGAACTTTTAAATAAAATTAACGCTTTTTCATAAATAATTTTTATTTAAAAGATAAGAAAAAATAAAAAACATAATAAAATACAGACTATTTTGGAAATACTAAATAATTATAAACAAAACAAAAAAATATTATATAAATTAAGAAAGGAGAAAAAATAAAATTAATTAGAATGAAAGAAATATTAAAAAACAAAAAATATTTTGGTATTTTATGAAAAAGTTTTGTTTTTGGTTTTGTAAAATTTAACTATGTTGCAGTATTTTCTGCTTCTTCAATTATTTCTTCATCATCACCAATACTTGGAGGTTGTGTTTCTATAGCGGATGAAGCACTTCCACGAGATGATGAATTTCTAAGATAAAAAAATTAAATATTGTCCTAAAAGAAGGATTCATAAGATGACATTGTCTTTAATCACTTTAAGATACAAGAAGGCAAAACAGCCGTATTTTAATTTTTTCCCGATTTCTCAGAGTGTATTTTTGGCTAGAGAATTATATGCCCTCCCCTTGTGCACTAAAAAAATAAATTTTTTAAATTTAATTGAAGAACTCTGTGTTAAATTATCCTCAAACCCCCTTTCTTTCTACCTAAAAGTAATTCCATCATTATTATTTTGTATCCCAACACATTCATTAATTGTTTCAAAATGTTGAGAACAACTTCCACTTCCACTACGTTGAGAACGAAGTGAAAGTGTATCTCTCGCAGTCATTGCATCAATTTTTTCTTTTTCAGATGGGGCAATAAAACATTGAACTTCTTGTAAAGGAAAAGCAGAATTTCTTTGAAAAGAAAATATTTTATAAATTAAATTCCCAAAATATTTACTTTATTCTTATACGTTGTTTTTGTTGTTGTTGCTGCTGTCGAGTACGTTGAAGTTCTCGTTGTTGTTGGCGAATTGAACAAATAAATGATTCAGAGGGGCGAATACACTGTTGGGGATGGAAATTTAAAGCTCCAGCACTTCCCCTAGTTAATGAAGTATTTCCTCCTGAAGATGCACCAACACAATTAGAAGACAGAGCACTGTGACTACCTCCTGTATATCCACAACGACATTGAGTCTGTTGGGAATTATTATGGTGTTGATAGTGAGAAGGAACGGAATAGATATCTGTGCAGGTATAATCATCACAACTATTAGTTCTGGCTCTGAAAAAAATTCTCTTTATTAATAAAAAATTAAAAGATTTATTATGCCTCAATGAATTTCTTGAAAGGCCGGAAGTAGGAATTGTAGCAACACATTGGGCTGAACGATTACCAAAGAAAGATGGAGGTACTCCAACAGTTGAAGTTGATGCTGAAGATGGGGTAGTACAGATCATTGAGTTTTGGGCAAAATCTAACTCAACAAGATCTTCATCTAGACTATTAACGTTGTTTAAATGTTCGTCTTAAAAAAGAAATTATGATTATTTTGAATTATTAGATTTGAATTTTTTTAGTCGAGAGAGGGATAGAAATAAAATGAAAGTAATAAACTATACCTGAAGGTGATTGTTTCTTTCGAGTTCTTTGTTGTTTATTCCCAACACTGTTTGCACCAATACTTCCACTACCGCCAGGCAATGAACGGGTTACTGAATGGCTTGAACCAATACTATCAGATCTAGCTTGTTGATTAGGAATTGGACTAGTTAAGGGAAGTTGTTGTTGTTGGGATTGTTTTTGTTGATTTTCCTCATTTTTACAATTAACATTTATTGGAGGAGAAGGAGCTGAAGTTGAACAAGAAGAAATAGAACATAATCGATGAGAGGACAAGGATAAACGATTTCCGTTGTCGTTTATACTTCTAAAAAACAAAAATATTTTAAAGAAATTTTCTGTCAAAAATTACCCAGGAGACGAAGATTCATGAACAATGCATAAATCTCCATGGATCGACCCAAACAAAGAGGACGATCCTGAACGAGAAGTGGCACTTTTATTATGTTGTCGAATATTTGAAGAATTTCCATGAGAAGAAGAAAGTTTACGAAAAGGTTTACTAAAAAATTTTTTTTATTTCCAAGAAATGGACGGAAAAAACAGACGTTAGCCAGGATTTAGATCCAAGTGAAAATGCTCGCTTCCTTAGTGAATCGTCTCCAATAGAACAATCTCCACGATTTTGTATTAAAGAGGAAGAGGTAGTAAGAATATTAGAAGAATCATTATTATTTAATTGTTCATCATCAGCAAATTTAACCTAAAAAAATAATTTTTATTTTACTTTAAAACTCGGAATTACTTGTTTTTGTTGCTCCTCTTCCTCCAAAGGAGTAATTAAAGAGGTTTCCATAGAAAAACGAGAAGACGAAGAAGAATATTCTTGTTGATTTTGAGAAGAAATTCCAGAAGCCTTTGAAGGTGCGCAATGAGAACGAGGTGAAGGAGGAGGGGGTGGTTGTTGTTGTTGGTTGTTAAAGGGAAATACCTTTGAATAAATTTATGATAAAAAACAAATTTTTCAATTTAAAATACATTTCTGCCTCCCATTACAGCAGCAGTCCATTTAGCAGCTGCGGGGTGTTGTTGGGGTTGTTGATGACAATGATGAGTTGGAATAATTCCCGTATTTAAAAGTCTTCCGTTACTCCCTAATTGATGATGTTGGTGATTATGGAGTAAAAGATGATTTCTGGCATCAGAAGTTGAAGAAGAAAATGAAAATGCACGGGGATTTAATTGTCCATTTGCCTTTAAAAAATAATTATTTTTTAATTAAAATAAATTAATAACCATTGATGAATAACAACTATCACCACTATCACTAGTATATGAACATATATCTTCTGGACAAAAACAAGTATTGTGACGATCCCCTTAAAAAAGAGGGAATTTAATTTTTAAAAATATTTTTTATTTATTCACATGGCTGTGGAACAGCTAAATGAGAGAAGGAATCAGAAGAACAGCTAACCCTATCCATTAAAGTATATTCTGTTGAAGAATTGTTAGTATTATTACAATAATTGTTGTTGGAATTTAATTTTGATAAATGTTGCTGTTTCTGAATTTTAATTAAGATTTATTTTTTAGTTTTTTAATATCCAATTTAAATATATTTTATAATATAAATTCACACCTTATGTTCATTAGATTGCCTTCTTTGATGTTTAGAAACGTTTGTAGAAACTAAAGGAGAATGCCTTCCCGTAGCAGCCACTAATTCATCATCCCTTCCGCGTTCACCGCCGCCACCACCGGCACTACTACTAGCAACAGAAGAGGAACAAGAACAACTCTTGAAAAAATTGAAATAAATTCAATTTTTAACTAATTATCATTTACTTGGTCTGCTTCAGTCCCTCCATCTAATTCTAATGAATTATTAACATTATCACCAACAGACGTTTTCATTTCCAAAATTAATTTTCTTGATTGCCTTCTTTTTTGCTGTTTTTGTTGTCTTCTAGCACTCAAAGCAGCATCATCATCAGCAGAAGAACAAGCATCTACACCAGTCCCACTACTTTCTCCACCATCACTTACTTCATCTGGGGGTATTACTAAAGCTTCTTCATCATCATCACAAACAGTAGCATGACATTCAACATAAGCTTCAATCTTTAGAAAAATAAGAGATAATTTCCAAAGATTAAAGACTCTCTACCAAATGTCCAGCTGAATTTGTACTTCTTTTTCTCTTAATTGTTGATAAAAGATCATCAGGTGTACAATTCTTTGTTTGCGATGATGTTGGAGGCCCCATATTTAAAGAACTAGAAGAACGAGAAGGTGCAGCACTGCTTCCATCACCCCCTCCGCCAGTATTGTTTTCATCACCACAGGGAACCATTCTAAGAGTACCTCCACTATCCTCAGTTTCCTCGGGGTCCATTGAGGGTCCATAACCGGCACCCAACAAAAGAAGTGAGTCTGCTTTATCCATGGTCCAAAAGCGACCCCCAACTTGACCACCAAATGAGCGGAAACTGAAAGATAAATTTTTTGAGTTTATTTTAGAAAATTTTAAAGTCTACTTCAAAGCTTGTTGCTCTTCCAAACTTAGAGACTTGCTACGGGCGCAAAGTTCAGCTGTCATTTGTGCAGAACCGCGCCTTTTGTTTTGTGAAGGTCCCAACAAACAATTTGGTCTTAAAAGTGATTGAGGAGAACTAAAAATAATTTGAATTTTTTAAAATAAATTTTTAAAAGTTACTTTTCATTTAAATTTTGTTGATAATAATGAGGAAGTAAAAGTCTTTGTTGAGCAACTTCCCATTCTGCTTGTTGTTGTTTTCGTCTTAATTTCTCCTCAAGTTCTTCCTTTTCTAAAGAATCTACTTTAGCTTTACATTCCCTAAGTTCAATTCTTTTTTCTCTCGCAGCTTGACTTAATGATGAATGTTCTCTTCGTTTACGTCCTCCATCAACAGAATTATTTGAAGATGAAGGTGTAACATTTTGTGGTTGTTGTTCATCTTCACTTATTGTTTCTAAAATAGGTTGTTGTTGTTGTTCAGCAATTTCTAATGGTTCTTTAGTTATTTCAGAATCAGTTGTTGAAGAAGAAGCAAAGGAATACATACAATACTGATTAGAAGTAGAAGGATTAGAAGGGGAGGATGAACTAGGAAGTGGTGAAGCCTTAAAAAATAAAAGGTTTTGATACAAAATAAATTTATTTACATTTAATTGTTGCTGTCCACGAATTGCTTGTAAAGCTTGTTGTTTCTTTTCTGTTTCACGCTGAATTATTTCTTGTAATTTACGGTTAATCTCAGCAGCATGATCATCAGATTCGCATTGAACCCAAACTTCACAGGATCCCATAGGTGAGCTCCTCCCAATTCGTAAAAGAAAATAACGTTCTACACATCCAAATTGTGCAATAAAATGCCTTGAAATTTCAACAAAATCGGTTGTCCGGAAAGGAGGGATTCCTGCTTTTGGAAGACCAGAATGTGCTGGTTCTATTCCAGTTTTGCTTTAAAAAAGTATTTTTAAACAATATTTTTAAATTAAATTACCAAATAATAATTGTATGAGGATAAAAACAAAGTCTTCCTCTTCCTGCCAAAAACATTTCATCACGTAATTTAGCACAAATATTTGGACAATTAACAAATTCGGGGTTTGTTGGGGCTTGTGAAGATCGTTTTAATTTCGGTTGTTGAGAGAAGATAACAACATCCCAAACACATTCTTTAAAACAAAAAATTAATTAAAAAAATATTTTTAATAACCAAAAAATTCATTGGCAAAGACAGGCCTTCCTAAATTTAATGCTCTGGCAGAAATAACTGCTGATAACAAAACTCTGTACCATTCCTTTAAATTAAATATTTTTAATTAAAAAATATCTTTTTTAAATTACAATTGTATCATTAGAACTTTCAGCTCCTTGAAATAAAAAACATTCATCGGGCATCATTAAACAAACACTAGATGATCTAGACTTTGGGCAATTCTTTAAAATTATTTATTTTCTTAAAAATATTTTTAGGGAAAAAATACCTGTTGAGAAACATTAAAACATTTACTTAAATCAACAATAGCTTTAGCAACTTTCTTTTTTCTATACGATTTTTCAGAATTAAATAATTCTAATGCCCTTTCTGATAGGACTGCATAAGCAATTTGACCACGCTTTTTCCCTCCAACTAATAAAATGATTGGGCCAGATTTGCGAACACCGTCTCCTTCTTAAATAAAAATTTTAATCTTTTTATTAAATATATTTTTTAATAAAAATATGGTCTCTAATCATTAATTATTAAAATTAGAAAATTTAAATCTTGTTTAAAATTATGTTAAGTGAAATTTGTGTATTAAATATTAGATGGATAAATAATATTGTATATGAGAGAGAATAAATTAGAAAGTAGTTAATATAATTAAATTATTTAATTAATCTTTAAAATGTTTCTTTTAAATATTTATAAACTAAATCACCCTGTAGCATTGAAGAATTGCTGCTACCAGTAGTACAACCACCATTCATTAAAGTATTGGATAATGACACTAAAGCCATACCAAACTGAAAAAAAAATTAATTAGAATATAAGGAAAATAAAAAAAAAGACGCGAATCAATTAAGAAAATTAATTAATTAAAATAATTAAAAGGTCAAAAAACTACGCCTAGTAAAATGGAACAATGGAAGGAGATATGAGAAGGACAATCCCCAATTTTCAATTTGAATTATAATAAATGTAAAGATAAAAAATTAAAATAAATTTTAAATAATAAAAAATAGAAAAATTGTAAAAAATAAAAAATAATCATGCAATAATATTATAAAAATAATGAAACGAAAAAAAAAACATTTTTTAGGAATGTGTGCCTTATTACTCTTATCAATATTAATTTGAATTATTTGATTAAAAAATATTTATGTTGCCAGTTATTTTTTTTAAATAATTAAATATAAAGAAATTAATTTAAACTAACAAAAAGTATTTTCTTTTTAATTTTTGTTTCAAAATTTAAAATTAAAAAATTAAATATTGATTTGAATTAGACTAATAAGTAAAGATTGATTATCTTTATACAAAGTCGCGCGTCCTCATTAAAATTTATGGCAATTAAATGATAAATATTTTTTATTAAGGTTTATATTTTTGTAAATATAATGAAAGAATGATTCACTTTTATTTATTAAATAATTTAATTAAAAATAAAAGAAAATTATTTAAAACAAAAATTAGAGCAAAAGGGTAAAAGTCATTCACATGAAAAAATAAAATATAATTTTATTTTTAAAAATACCCAGACTTCATTTTTATTAAATTCATCCCCTTCCCGCAATAAAAATGTCTGAAACATAAATGAAAGAGAATATATGTACATAATTAAAATTAATTAAAATAAAAAAAATTAAAATAAAATAACGCGGAAATAAAAATAAAAAAAGAAACAAAAAAGAGTTTTTTTTAATAAAGTTTAAAAATATGTAAATATAAAATAAAATGTTTATCGAAAATAATTTTTAAAAATAAATTTAAAAATAAATTTTTTGGGGAGGATTTACATAAACAATTAAATAAATAAATAATTTTTAATAAAACTTAAATGAATTATTTAAAATAATTTAAATATATATTTAAACAATCCACGTAGCTATTAAAATATTTTTATTTAATCAGAAGAGAAGATAAAAGATTAAGGGAAACCCAAAAAATTAAAAATTAAAAAATATAATTCAGATGTTTCTCTAATGCATGTGAAATTTTTTAAAATTTATCAAACGAATGGAGAATTAAAAATTAAATAGGTACAATTAAGCAATAATAACTGAATAGTATTATTTTAAAATAGATTAAAATCAAAACTCAATTTCTTTTACTTTATTTATATGTATAAAGCATTCCTCCAAAACTTTCCAAAAATAATTAAATAATTAATTTTATTGTCTATTGCTAATCTAAAAGAAATTTAGACAAAATAATGTGATATTAGAAGGGATTACTTAAACCGATCAAAACACTTTTTTAAATTAATTCATTGTTAGGACTTTTACTTATTAAAAATCCACAAAACTTTTAATGTGTTTTGTTAGAATAAAGGATGCTACTATACACGTGAATATTTAATAAAAAAGAATGAAAGAGATTTTTGGACATAAATAAATTGTTCGAGAATAAAAGAAAAATAAAGAGAAGTTAAGAATAGGTAAGTATAAATTGTTTTTAGATTTTGCTAAAGATTTATTAAAGTTCTGTATTATTCGAGAAGGAAAAGGGAATAATTCCTTAAAGTCTTCGTATCTTAATTCTTAATAATTATACTTATAAAATTTAGGGGAAAATTTTTATTTAATTTCTAAAAAATATTTATTTGAAAATTAATAGAAAATTAGAAAATTTTTTTATAAAATTACATATACTCTTTAAACTAACTAATAAACATATTAATATTTAAATTTTAATATTAAAATTGTTGGTAATATAAAATTTATTTAGAGGTTTTTTAAATATATTTAAAATATAAGTGTTGTCGTTAGCAACATATAAAAAATGGAAGAGTTTTTAACTTTTTACTAAAAAATACAATTAACTCGGAAATCCAAAAAAAACTTCTCGTCTCTTTCTCGCATACTTTTTAACGGCAAATGAATAAAAAATAAATGAAAAAAACCCCGTTGAGGAAAGTAAAAAAATATTTAAATTAAATTAAAGTATTTAGTATAATTTCCTCTTTTATGTTTATTAAAAATCTTCTCACAAAGAATTTTGATTAACCAAACAAAATAGGATAAAATTAAAATACTCCATCCCTTCCCTCATTTTAATAAAAAAAATCTTTTAAAATAAAAAACTATAAAATTAATTTGGCTTAAAATTTAATTTAGCCCCTCTTATTTAAAATATTTATTTATTTTAAATTGCGCCTAAACGAGTCCCTTGATAGTTGAAAACCACAAAAACCCTAGTACTAGAACACTAAATTTTTCCCCTTCCCCCTTAACCAATTTTCTCTCTTCTCTCTCCTCTTATTTCCTCCCAAACTTTAACGTTCCTCATTTTTTTATTAAAAAAAGTTCACACCTGCTCCCTTTCTCCTGTTCTTCACGGCTGGCACTTCTTCTTTATTCGAAGTGTAACTGAATTGCTTGCCGCTCTATTTTAAAGCGACAGATGCATAGAACACAATAGCCTCTCTCTCTTTTTCTCTTCTTAATGTTGCGATTTTGTTCACTATCTAATAATCTTTCTCATTTAATATTCAATTCTCTAATTTTAAAAGGAAAGTTCTTTCTGCCTCTTCTTTTTCTATTATCTTTTTATTATTTTCACTCTCTACTTCAAAGTAATAAAATACAACTATATTGCCAGCCGGTTAAGAGTTGAAGTAAATATTGAATTAAAAATTGTCAATATTTTTCGATGTTAAAGTGTTGTTGGCAACAGAAGGATTAGCGTGCAATATTAGAAAGTAGTTAAAGGGAAAAAAAATTGAATATTTAATATATTTATGTATGTATGTGGGTTCTAAAAATATGAAAAATTAAGAAAATTGTGAAAATATGGCAGTTGATATTATAGCAATATGTCAATAGGTAATAGTGTATAAGATATTTGAAAATTTTTGGAATTGATATAATGAAGGTAGATTCGATAGCCTTCCGAGTTTCTATGCTTTTGATATTCTGAGAATCTCCTAAAATTTATGATCCCCAGATTTTTGATGCGCTGTGTCTATACCATACAAATTGACCATTTTTAGGTAAATTTCTGAAACTCCAGAAATTTCCGCACGCACCGCTAAAGAAAATCTAAGCAAAAGAATTTGTTAACTGAACAGATCAGAACGTGGATTATCATTGGAGTCATCTGATCTGAACACTTATTGGCAACTCCGAATTTGTCTACATTTCAGAGTGTTTAAATCTAAAAAGAGATTAGGACCAAGACGAACTACTGTGAGAGTTCTTGATAAATAGGGGCCTCTAGAAAATTTCCAGAGTGGTGATAAAATCCAAACTAGAAAATATAAGATTCAGTTGTTTTAAATAAAGAAAATAAATAATCGTATGAACTAAAGAAAATTAAAACGAATAATTTTACACATAAGAATTATTTAGAACTAGGGTTGGAAGTTCCTGGAGAATCATTGGAAAAAATAATTAGAAATAAAAAATCAAAAACCTCCTAAATTTTAATTAAATGTAAAGATCCAAAATATGTATGCCTTTAATCATTTCGTCGAAAAATCTAACAGACGTAAAAGAACGAAAATTTTCAGACTTGCAACTAAGCTCGCACTTTAAAGAAACAAGGGACCAAGACCTGACCTAAAAAACACAAAATCAAATAAGTATAATTTTTTGGACACAACGAACAAATTATTGACATTTTTTCACGCCATCGGTGCGGTTAACTATCATTAGGCTTTTATGAGATATTGTAAACCTCCGAAGAACCCAAAAAAATTTTGAGTTCCATCGCCGTGCAAAATTTTTTCTATTTTCAAAAGGCCAAGAAGCCAAAAATACTCATTTTTTGCACGCAAGTGAAAAATTTGGGGTATTATAAGGAGAAAGGAGAGAGAGGATTCACCTTTTTGTGAACACTTGAATTTTTTCGACTTTTACTTCAATAAGGATATATGTATGTATATTATAATGAATTGATAATCACGATCAGGACTTGACCCCGAGCCTATTTTAATAGTAGTAATCGAGGGATGGAAATAAAATTTAGAATTAAATATGTTTGTAGTGGTTGTAAAACTTTCATTTCAGTTAATTATGTATCAAACTTTATTCAGAATTTTCCCATCGTTCTTTACAAATTTGCTAACAGCAGTCAGAAACGAAATTGTGAAACCGTTTAGCACCAGCAGGGAAATGATTCCAAAAAATTACTTTAATGCTAGAAAGTAGGGTTTAAAAACGGAATTTTTGAGTTTTTTTAACAAAAATTAGCCATTTTTATGAAATTTTAAAAACCGAAAACTTAAGAAAATGAGTGATTTTTTAAAAAAATTCCCACAAAATAAGACCGGTATTTATTTAAAACTCAAAACCAAAAACCGGGTTTTTAAAATTCGGATTAATCGAAAACTGGGGGTACCGGTTAAATAACTGGTAGCGAACAAGCCAAGTAGAAAGGTTTTAAAATCGAAAATTTTGATATTTCTTGTCAAAAATTAACACTTTTATGAAAGTTTTTCCACAAAATAAAAATTAAAAATTAAATTTTTGTTAGATTATTTACGTAATAAAGGAGTGTTTTGAAGGGAAATTTAAGCTCTTAGTAATTAGAATATTAAAAAAATATTTTTAAAAAACAAAATAAATGTAAACACATTAATCAACTATTTGCGAATAAAAATATTTTTTAATTTTTTCTGTTAAAAATCTCCTTTCAGAGATTGTCCGGATGAAGGACGACACCCATTTATGAAAGAAAGGAATGTTGTTTTGATAGAAATGTGGGGAGATGGAGACTGGCGAAGTAATGGCCGCCGACGGCCGCCTTCGACCGATGCTTTCCTCTGTTGCGAGCAAAGCAAAAAATTGTTTGTGCGCTTGAGGAATTGTTTGGAAGGGCAAATGATTGGGGGAATACAAAGTAAAAAAAAGGAGTTGGGGGGAAAATACATTTAGTTGTTTGTGACGAGAGAAGCACTTGCTGTTTGTTTGTGAAGAGAAAAAGGGAGAGAAAGGCCTAGAAAAAAGCCTTGGGGTAGATTTAGTAAGGGTTTTAGAGTCTGAAATTTGTGGCAAAAAATTACAATAGAAGAATAAACAATTTAAATTTTAAATACTAAATTTGTAACAAAATTTTAATGGAGAGGTGTACTTAATTAGAGAAAATATTTTTGAAAAACAGTTAAAATCACAAATTGTTTTTTTTTGTTTTCGAGATTTGTGCCCAAAAATGAGGAAAACATAATTTTAAAAAATGAAGAAATAATAAAATTAGATAGAAAAGAATTCCACAAATACATAAATCACGGAAATCCCCGTTGAAAAATTATCAAATAAAAATTATAATTAATTTATGAAACGAGGAAAACTCTTCATTTCTGAATTTTTACATTCTGAAATTTTTTGTGATAATTTATTAAATATAGGTCAAAAGTAATGATCCCTGGGTGTGAAAATTTTTAAAAAGCGATTATTTTGACATGGAAAGGGTAAATGTTTCACTTCCCTTTTTCATAATCAAAATTCACAATGTTGAGATACTTTCCATGGATTCAAGGAATAAATTTTATGAGAAAGTTAAATACACAATTAATATTTAGGAGAAGTTAAATAGTAAATTCTTTAATAAACAAAAAGTCATTTATTTAAGTTAGCCACGCTATTATTGTTTAAACAAATTTAAAAATTAAATTTAAATTGTCTAGAAATTAGAGGATATAAAATAATACAAAATTATGTTTAAACAAAATTTATTGTTTGAAAACCTCAAATGATCCCAAAAAAATATTTAAACAATAAAAAATCAAAAACAATTTACTAGACACCCAAATAACCCCTTTTATTTCTTCCTTTTTCTTTCGCCCGCTTGTTCGGTTCAAAGTGTGTTTGTTAAATGTTGATGAAGAGAATAAAATAGTAGTAAATACATACGCGACAGTCTTTACTAGAGCAAAATTAAAAGTTGTTTTAATAAAAGTCTCTCAATGTGTGGAGAACGCGCCAGCCGTGTCTGGCTGGCAGAGAAGGAGAAAAAAGATGGGAAAAAGAGTATGATTGAAAAGAAGAAAAAGGAAAATAAAAAGAGGAGGAAGTGGAAATTGTTGTTGTTGTTTTGTGTGTATATATTTGAGGGTAAAAAGCCAGCTGGTTGATAGAAAAAAATAAAAAGGGGGGGGAAGGTCGTCTACGCACATTAATAAGAAGTGTAGTTAAAGGGGGGAAACATTCATAGTAGTAACATTAAAAATAACAAAAACAACAACAAAAAAATAACAAAGTACTTGATAGAAAATAAATAAATTGTTACAATTTTAGTAGACAATTTTATCAGTTTAAAAAAATAAAAAATAAAATAAAGATACATTTTTAATAGACAATTATAAACAGTCGCGGTATTTAGTTGGAAATAGATGTAAGTAGTTATTAACAGAGATGGGTCGGAACAGCCAGAGGTGTCGGAAATCGGAAGAGCCTGAAATCGGAACTGGCTCAAAAGTCGGAATCGGAAATCGGAATTCCGAATTCCGACCCACCTCTGGTTATCAATTAAATATTTAAGAAGCAGAAAAACACAGTTCTTGGATAATTAAAAATTAGAAAATTGTAGAAAGAAGTCTAAAGACGTGAAAAGTGAGCCAATTAATGGGGGGTAGCATGTTTTACACGTTTTTAGACATTGTGGTTAATGATAGAAAAAATAAAAATAAAGATAAAATAATATTTTTTGGCAATATTTTTATTTGCCATAATAATCCTTCAAGTACATTAATATACGAGATAATTTAGAGAAAAAATATTATTTAAAATGTTTAAATCTTTACTATTATTTAAAGTAAAAAATAACTTTACTTTATTACATAAACTTTATAGTCCACTTTATTAATCCAGATTAAAAATTTTTTATAAAAAATTAAAACAAAAATGTTGCCAAAAAAGGTTAAAAAAGTTATTAAAACTAAAATAAAAAAATTAAAAATATTTTTTTTATTTTTATTCCAAAACCCCCCTTAATTTATGTGGCAATTTATTAAAAAATTTCCTAAAGGGAAGATTATATTATAAGAAAATTGTAAACAATTTTATAAAAGTTTATTGAGGAAAAATATTAAAAGAAAAGCTAAAAGGCTGTCTTTAAAAGCATTATTTTCTGTTTAAGAGAAAAAGGAGGTTTTTGAATTGTTTGTGTGGAACGAATGCGGGGGAAAAAGAAAAATAAATATTTAAAAAAATAAAGAGAAGGTAGGAGAGAGAGGTTGTCATCAACAAAATCAATGTTTTTAAAAAGAAAAACAAAAAAAACTAAATATTTATTTATTTTATTACATTTTTCTTTCCTCACACTTTTACAATTTTTGCTAAAAAATTTAGCGATAAAAACGTTTACTTAATAGTTTTGCAAAAAAATAAGAACATGCACACACACAAATAATTATCTGGCATGAAATTTTCGAAGAAAAAAGGGTAAAATAAAATGGAGTGATTTAGAAAATAAAAAAGAAATTTTTTGTATTTCTTAAAGTAAAATTTTAAGAGGAAGACTTAAGAATTTGTAGTTTTAATAAAATAAAGCTTTTTAGTTAGAAAATTCTAAGTATTTTTCGGTTATACCGCCTCCCTTTAAATCAAGGAGAGGGGGGAGGGGGTAATTCTGTACTCCTTCAATGAGGGTTTCCTAAAAAGATTTTCCTTACTAGAAAGTTATAAACAAATTGAACAATCGAATAACCTCTAACCGGCTGAACTAAAAAGTGCCGAATGAAAATGAAAAAATTCTAAAAAAGATTAAAATTGAACAAAAAGTTCAAGCAGAAATATTTAAATTTTTGGATTGAACGAGTTCTTTTGTTTTTCTACTTTTGATATAGGATTAGGGTAGAACACTTTTTATTTTAAGAAAATATATAGATAATTAGTAATTCTGATTAAAAAATTATAATTAGATTTTGAATAAAGAAATGAATAAATTTTTCTTGAGAAAAATTTATATTTAAAAACAAAATTTCCGAGAAACTAAAATATTATTTGTACTTAAATTAAAAAATTTATGTAAAAGTACATACACTGCTCCACATAATTATAAGTCCACCCCTTTTTTCGAAATTTTTTCACTTCTACTGATCCAAATTTTCTGAAAATTTAGATACACACCTTTTAGTGAATAAATAATAAGATGAGTATCAATTTTTGGCTGATTTTTTATTTTAAAAATTTTTAGACCAAAATTTGAATTTTCGGCCTCCACAAAATTATAAGTCCACTTTATAAAAAAGATATTTCCAAGATTAGGAAAAATTTAAAAAAATTCTAGCAAAAATACATAATGATATTATGAAAAAATAAAAAAGAAGTAGACCCATATCTTTACCCGAAGCCGAGATCCTGAGACCCCGAAAATCAACGTAAACAGGTGGTAAGGCTCTTTAAAAAATTTTTTCGACCCCTTATGGATTGTTTTGAATTTTGATATTGGGCTCATTCGAAAGCCCTTGAAATTTGCTACAAGATAGCATTAATCAAGTTTTATAGAAAAATCCATTAGAAAGATACAGGCCTTTAATTTTCTGATGCAGCAAAATACCCCATAAAATGTCCTTTATGTCGATTCGAAAGTTTAACTTTCTGTGAATCTCAGTAAAATTTTTTCTGAAAAATAAAATTATAATTATCTTGTAGCAAATTTCAAGGGCTTTCGAATGAGCCCAAAATCAAAATTGAAAATAATCGATAAGGGGTCGGAAAATTTTTTTAAAAAACCTTACCCCAGTTTTACGTTGATTTTTGAGGTCTCAGGATCTCGGCTCCGGGTAAAGATATGGGTCTAGTTCTTTTTTATTTTTTCATAATATCATTATGTATTGTTGCTAGAATTTTTGTAGATTTTTCCTAAACTTGGAAATATCTTTTTTGAAAAGTGGACTTATAATTTTGTGGAGGCCGAAAACACAAATTTTGGTCTAAAAATTTTTTAAATAAAAATTCAGCCAAAAATCGAATCACACCTTGTTAGTTATTCACTAAAAGGTCTGTTTCTAAATTTCCAAAAAATTTGGATCACTGGGAGTCAAAAAATCCCGAAAAAAGGGGTGGACTTATAATTATGTGGAGCAGTGTATATGCTGCGCGAAAGTAAACTGTGTGGCCTTTCTTCCCTCACTTACCCTAACATGTTAAAACAGCCCCCAATTATTTATTGTTTTGTTTCTACATATAGAAACAAACAAAACAAATTTAAAAAATAAAAAGTTAATAAAAAATAATTTTGTAAATTTATTTTTAAAATTATTAAAAAATGACCTAGATAGTTAACAAACATTTGAATATTCTATAAGGAATAGAAAATTTTAAATGATTCTTTTTTCAAAACAAAATAAAAATTGACTCATAAATACACAAATATTTTTCCTGTTATTTAAATAATAAATACAAATTATTAATAAAAATAATGAAAAAATATTTTTATTTAAAAATAAAAACAAAAAGATTATAAAAAATATTTTACAAAACAACAAAAAAATATTTTTCCTTTTTTCCGTTTACCGCTACATATTTTTAAAAAAATATTTTAAAGGGAAAGAGAAATTAGCTAAATAATGGCATGAAAGCATCCGTTTGGCATTGACAGTCATTCTCTTTTTTTATTTCATTTAAGTGTTTTTGATATGGGTTGCCCTGGCAGTCATTAAAAATATTAAGTATTATTATGTATTATACTTTGCATTCTCAAAAATTGTTTTTTTTGTTTTTATATATTAAAAATAATTCTTAGAATAAATATTTGGTATCTGGTATTTAAAAAAATATTTTTAAGTTTTATCATTTAATCAAATTTGTAAGTGGAAAATATGGAAAAGGGTTTGGAGTTAAAATTAATAAACGTTTAAATGATAGATCAAGAATAACGGTATCGATAAACGGTATTTTTAACCGATATATAGTATCGGTCTGGTTTCTAGTTACAATATTTGGAGCACTGAATATTTCAATTAAATAAATTATTACCAAATTCAAATTCTCTTTCGTTTAAAATACATTTAAAAACTGATGAGAATTTAAAGCAATAAAAAATATATGAACTCTTAAGAGATTAGAAAATTACTTATATTTGATATATCGTCATAAAAATAGATAAAAAAATACAAAAATATTTATGATATATTTTAAAAGATTTCATATCATTATTTAAGAAAAAAACAAACAAAAATTTATTAAATATTTACAAAGTAACTAGTTTATGTTTTTAAATAATTTTTGTTGGTAACAACACCGTAGTTGCCGAGTATATATTTTTTCTTTCAAATATTCTCGCGCGTTTAAACACATGACAGGCAAATGACAGACACAGTAAAAATTGCCGGTTTTGTAAAAAAATTAAAAAGAAAAAAGTGGAACGAATATTTAGTACACCCAAGAGTGTTTGTCTGTCATTAAATAATTTTTTGTTTGAAAATAAAAATAAAAAAAGAAAATAAGATTTTATGTTTTTGTTGTTTTAGAGGCCAATCAGAAGGGAAAAAGCCATTAATTCTTTATATTTTACGAGTTTGTTTTTATTTTTTTATTAGTGATTTTTGGTGTAATGATTTGAAAGAAAATATTAAAATTAAAATTGTAGAAAGGAAAGAGTACATACAAAGTTTTTTTGAAAAAAAATTTTTTTGGAAGAATTTGCAGTCATTTCTCATCTTATTTGCTAAATAAAATTTCAGATCCTTCGAAAAACTGAGTTAAATAATTATTCAAAAATATATTTTTAATTATTTAAAAGTATTCGGTCAATTAAAAATGTGTGACCTAGGTGGGATATAAAAAATTAAAAATTAACTAAAATTATTAAATGGCAATAATTCTTGATATAAAATGTATAAAGGATTTAAAAAAGGGGGAAATATGTGAGGATTTTAATGAGAAGAAAAATGTTGCCAATAATTAAAAAAATATTTTTTTCTACGTAAATAAAAATGACGTTATTTTGATATGAAAATAAATATTATAAAGGAGTACTTAATTTTTAAGTGTTTTTGATGTTAAAATAAAATAATTAGTTAAAAAGCTAAGAATCTTAATACTAAAAATAAATATGATAAATTTGAATATTTATTTGGTTAATTTATTTAAAGATAATTCAAAACAAAATATAGTACATAGCTCTCTCTAACCTAAGAGGTTAGATTCCGTGCCCGCTCAAAACATCAAACGCTTAAAATATCTAGACGACTAAAAACGCTCAAAATATCTAGACGGGTAAAAACGCTCAAAACATCTAGACGACTAAAAAGGCTCAAAATATATTCGCTCAAAACATCAAACGCTCAAAATATCAAAATATATTTTTTCATTTAAAGGGGACAGTTGAGTCCGCGGAAAAAAGTTTTTGCCGCTGCGGAGGAAGCCGGGCATGTCGAGCGGAACGACGGCCGCCGCTTCGCTACGGTCGCCGCGAGCGAAGCGAGCACGACCGCAGCGAAGCACGGCCATCGTGTAGCGAAGACCATGCCCGGCCTACCCTCCGTAGCAGCACAAAAACAGTTTTTCCAGCGAAGATTCAGTTGGTCATAACTTTGTTCACAATCATCCAATCGAGCTGATTTTGGTGTCATTCAACTCAGCTCGTCGAGCCCTTTCTCAACACGTCGAGTTCATGCAAAATTGGTCCTGAGATACTACATTATTCACCCCTGATACAAGGAAGAAATATTGGACTCAACTGTCCCTTTTAATCAAAAAATATTTTGATATTTTGAGCCCTTTTAGCCGTCTAGATATTTTGAGCGTTGATGTTTTGAGCACTTATATTTTGAGCCTTTTTAGTCGTCTAGATGTTTTGAGCGTTTGCTGTTTTAAAAAAATATGTTTTGTAGGGTAGCCGTTAGATTCACGTACAAAATTGAGAAACGAAGTTATAAATTTTAAAAGAAAATTGTTAATGATTGTTTTGGAGAATCTTATATTTTGTGCCTTAAAGCTATTTAAAAAAATAAATTCAAATTTGAGATGAAAAAATGTATACATCAAGTCCTAAATAATAGAGCCAAGTCAAGAAATAAATATGTATAATTTGGCATTTGTTCATTTTTTTATCAATGAAAAGTAGGGCAGCGAAGCGGATGCCAAGAAATTTACTATTTCACGTCTTACATATGTATTAAAAAGATAATAGAGTCTTAAAAGAAGTGAAAGAGTAAATTTTTAATAAAGGATATTTACTAAAAAAGTTCGTGGGGTTACCCGACTTTTCTGCTTGAGGATATTAAGCATAATTTTTCTAAAATGAGAATGTAAACGGATATTTTTAGAAAATTAATATTTAAGCAAGGAACAGACATATGTAAGAATCTGCCAATTTTTGAAAAAGTCTTGGCCAGTATTTCCGGTCAAATTTATTTCATCTGCCATAATCTTGTTCAAACTTTTATTATTTTAGAATTAATTATTAGCTTATTTTTATAGCTACGACTTAAAATTGATAAAAATTATGGGTTGGATAGACAATATAAAATTAGAGAAAAATAAAGTCGGGACTTGTATATTGTTGCGAAAAAATGAAATACTTTGACAAAAAGATTTTTTCCCTCTGTGATGGCTGTCAATAAACTCTCTACGTGGGCACAGCAAAACATCAATAACATGTGTATATAGACATAATATATACATGAATATATGTATTAAGAAGCATATGTATTAAAAAAGTATAAGCAAACAAAAAAGAAACACAAAACAATTGTCAAAACATATCCGACACAATCCATTCAATAATAGATTTATTAAATTGCTCATAGCTAATCTCTTCGAAGAAAATTACAATGGTTAACTATCTAATAATTAGGGCTGTCCAAAAGTAGCTGTCCAAGGATCTGTTTCTTGCCTTGAAGTAAGAAGTAGATCCTAACATATACTGATGAGATTTTCGGAAAAAATTGAAAGAAGGGCACAAGGTAGTATTTGAAGTATAGGATAAATGAAAATAGATAAAAATTAATTTATTTAATGATATATACATTTTGATGATAGAAATTAATAATCTACATACATACATACCTGTTTTTGATGAATAAAAATAGATAATATTTTTTGAAAAATAATTTAAAGAAATATATTAAAAATATATTTTCCTATATTTATATTAAAAATAATCTCTCTTAAAAAAATTTAAATGAAATCACTTTTAACTTAAAAACCTTTAATTTATACGTCTAGAAAAATTTAAAAATAACGTCATTTAAATTCTAAAAAGAAAAATAAATGAAAACATTTTTGCAAAAATAAACTTGTTGGAATATGTATTGAGAAATAAATTCTAAACTTTCGTAAAAAAATTTTTCCTTTTATTAAGATCGAAAAAAGGAATCAATGATATGTAGGTTGAGTAAGTATAAAGGGAGATATAAAAAATTTTTTTGATTAAAAGAATTTTCTTTAAAAGATTTTTAATTAAAAATTAAAAATCATTTGGTAAACAAAATAAATTTTAAATAAAAATAAAGTAATTAGTAGTAGAGACCGGAATGGGAGTGTCGGACGAGTATCGAGATCTCGAAAAATTCTCTTTCTCGATAACCGAGATTTTCGATCGAGATCCCGTCTCATTCCGGTCTCTAATTAGTAGTAAAGGAATGTTGATTATGTTTGGGGTTATTGAAGAATTTAATTTATTATTTCAGTAATTAAACAAAATATCGTTTCTAAATTAAAAATTTATTCAAAGAATCTTTTTTGAACTTTAAATCTTTCCATTTAGGCTGGGAATAGACTTTGATTGCCTTATAATTTTTTTAAAAATATATGTAGTTTGTTATTTATTAGACAAATATATATTTTTATTTTTCTCAATAATATTTTTATTTTTTAAAATTTAATAGTAAACAAATTATTAAATAAAAAAAGAAAGAAAAGCTGCTTAACGAGCAAAACAACTCGCGCGTGGGCAAAGGACATTAAAAGGACATTAAAAAAGTAAATTAAAAACATTGAAGATGAAATTATGATAAAAAAAAATTTAAAAAATTAATTAAATATTTAAAAATAAATATATTTATTTATGTAAAATATAAAAAAATCTGAAATATCAAAATTTATATTTTTTATAAAATTTTAAAAACTAATTTATTATTGGGGATGATAAAATACAAAAATTGTTTGTAAGGAAGAAATTCAAATATAAATTTAACCAACAATTTTTGATTGTTTTTAAGTTAAATATTTTTAAAGTTAAATAAATATAAGGTAATGAAGAAAATTTAAATGGGGGAAGAAAGGTTGGATAGTTAAAAAGCTAAAACAAAAATCCAGAAAATAAGTGATTAATAAAAATCTGAAAATTAAAATAAATATTTAGGGGACTTTATTTTTAATTTGAAATAAATGGTTGTGCCAAAAAATTATTTTAATATAAAAATCCCATTCCTTATCAAAATTCAAAAATTAACCTAATAAATTGTTGAAATGAATAGAATTCAATCAAAAAACCCTCATTTTTTTACAAAAATATTTTTTGTTTTATTAATTTTTCAATAATTTTATTAATGTAAAATATTAAATTTAAGCAATTAATTTAAATTTAACAAAATAAAATAAATTTTTAAATATAAATAATTATTTAATAATTAATTTAAATGTTCTAATCTCCATTGGTTTTAATGAAATAATTAAATTAAAATCATTATCTAGTAAATTAAAATTTAAATATTTAATATTTAAAAATATACTTTTTGTTTTATTATTCTCAGCAGAGCGATCGGCTCCAAGAGCTAATTCCTCAACAGAGATAACGTTAAAATGTGGAAGAAATAGTTTCTGAAATTTAATTAGTTTTTAAAAAGAATTCAAGTTAAATTTTGTAAAAATTAGATAAAAATTTAATATTTATCAAGTCATTACAATTAAAATATAACCCCTCCAGCGAGGGGTTATATTTTAATATAACCCCTCAAGCGAGAGGTTAAACAACAATTACCCAGGTTATCATTATATCCCCTCTCCCCCTCCAATCATTATTATCAATAAATATATTTACCTTAAGGTCAATATGTTCCACAATATTCGAAGATATATTTGTTGCTTTTAATTCATTTTTTTGGTAAAAATGTTCTAGACGAATTAATAATTCATTTGTTTTATTACCAATTGGTGTTAATGTTAATATATTTATAGTTGGAGGTAATGAATTTGGTGAAATACCAGAAAACTAAGAAATTAATTATTTTTAATTAACTATTTTTTGAATAAAAACCTCAGTTCTGTAAAGTTCTCTATAACGGCTTATATTTCCTTTTATCAAATTATCTAAAGGAATAAATGCAATTGTTTGTGGAGCATTTTCCTCAAAAATATCAAAAGCTAAAGGTCTATGTTCTTCAACATTTTTTTCATTAAGTAAAAGCCAATGTTTTCCCTGTACAATTAATCCTCTTCCATCCTCTCCAGGCTCATCCAAAGCCTCTTCAACACCCCAAGCATCGTCAAAAAAGCATCGACGATGAAGCTGAAATTGTTAAAAATTAAAATTAGTCCTTAACAATTTACCATTAATTCAATCTGTCCATCATTTAAAGATGATCCGCCTTGGGAACGATCGGTAAGAATTGTCATACGATCAGAACTATCCTCTATCCAAATACGAGAATTAACTGGGAAATAATTTCCAGCTGCTGGTTCTGAGCCTTCGTAAAATCGTTCAGGGTCATTACGCTTACGTTTAATCTAAAATATTTTGAAAGTTAATCAAAGTATATATTCAATAATCCTAACAATTTGGCGACCATTTGCATCAGTCCAAAAAACTTGAGACGATTTAAATCCTTCAATTGTATATTTAGTAATTACTTCTATTGACTCAAGCAATCTAAAAAAATTTTAAAATCCAAAAGTTTAATTTAAATAAAAATAGTTCTCAAACGTTTTATTTTTCGGTAGAGGGCCAATTTTCCATTGAAATTCAATAAATGGCTTATTTGGAAATAAACGAATTATTTGGCTAATCCAAGGATTTATTGTTTGTCTAACTTCTTGTACTAATAAATTCTTAATAACTTGAATATTTTGGATAGGTCCTTCAAATGGTTGGGGCTCGCTTCCATTTGGACGGAAAATATAAGCGCCTGAAGCCTGAAAGTTTGAAATTTAAAAGATTTATTTTTAATGTTTAAGTATAAAATATATTAAATTTCGTTAAAGTTCCAAAATAAAAATAATTCCCTTATAAAAAACAAATATTTGCAGGAGGGAATTGAAATATTTAAACTTATGTAATACCTGTTGATAATGTCCATGTAAATCTTTATTTCCCATTCCTTTATAATAAAAGAATTGCTGATTTAATTTAAATGTTTTATTAGAACGGCGAATATCTTTTACTTCATTTAATAGTCCACCATTGTTAAATGATAGAGAAAAGAACTAAAAATGATTTGTTTTTTAGATTTAAATTTAAATGAACAAACATTATTTTCAATTTCCACATTATTTTTTATATTTTCACTTTTCTTTTGACGTTTTTTAATTTCTTTTTTATTTAAAATTTCTTCATTATTTATTTTTAAATTTGTATTTATTAACATAAAATAAGTTGAAAATCCAAGAGGGGGAATTTGTGCCTCAAAAAGTAATTCATAAGGAGAAATTGACTTAAATAAAAAATATTATTTAATAATTTTTAACAAAATTCCTTACTTCAGAATTATTTATTATTTGTTCATTTCCTCCCAAAAATGTTTTAATTATTTCAATATTTATTTCTTTTCCATCAGAATTAATTATTTTAATTTGTTCAGGTTTAATATTCAAAGGAATTTTAATAATTTTTTCAATTTGTCTAACACCTCCATTAAATAATATAATTGCTATATGTTGTTGATCAAGAGGAATATTACAAATACCTTTTTAAAAAATTAAATAAAATTATTTTCTCTAATAAAATGTTTGTCATTCTATATATCTTTCATGTCCTCGAAAATAGGGTTGGCGGATCCGGATATCAGGATCCGAAAATGACAAGATATTCGGAAATTTTCGATTCGGATATCGGATCTGGATATCCGGTGAATGCGCCAATCTTACTCGAAAATTGCATGGAATTAGAGGGGAGTCATTCAATTAAGTTTTCTATTAGAGGGGATAACATAGGTATATATTACAATTATTTAAAAAATATCTACTTTGATTTAATTTCCGGCAAAATATAAGGGAAGGTATATCCTGTTGATGTGTTGAAAGTGAAGAAATTTGCCAAAAAGAATTATTAATTACTTTTTCAGCTTGATCCCAACCAGATAATAATCGTTTAATATAATCCCTTTTAAAAATAATATATTCCTTTATTTAATTAATTATTTACATTGTAACATTATGTTTACTAGTTCCAGTAACAGCATCATGATGTGTAGATAAAGCTAAAGCCCCTTCCAATTTTAGTAATAAGGGAAATGAGGGTTCACATTCATTAGAAGGGCAATAAAAGGGTTTTGATAATATTTTGGAAAAAGAAGCTAATTTTTGTGATAATTGAAGTAATGCCGATGAGAAACGAACAAGACACTATTTTTTAAAAATTATTAAAAAATATTTTTAGAATATACTTTAAATGCAGGCTTTGAAGTAAAATAACCAGTCCAATAAGAATGATTAGAACTTGCATAAGGAAAGAAATCTCCATTAATTTTTGAAGGAAAACTTTTTGTTAATAAATTAGATTCAACTAATTCCAAAGCTTTAGCATAACAACCAGGCGTTGAATAAAAAGCATAAATCTTTTTTTAGATGAATTTTATATAATTAAAAAAAATAAAATTAATTTTTACTCCAGTTTTATTTGTTCGAGAATTAATTGCCGAAATAAGTTTATCAAGTTGAGTAAACCATTGATTGGCATTTGAATACTAAAATTTAATTTTAAATTATTTCCATTCAAAATTTACATGAAAATCTCCCCCCATAGTCATAAGTACATGTTTATGTAATTGTGTATTAACAGAATCATTAATATATTTAAAAAATTCTTCCAATCTTTTATCAACATTATAACCTTCAAATTGTTTATTATCAACTATAGGTTCATCATCACATAAAGAATCAAAACAAAATTTATTAGGAGGGGCATAAGTGCCGCGGAGGAAGGCGCCAGTTAAAATTGAATTATCTGACTGTTTTTTTAATAAATTTAATTTAAAAATAAGGTTTCTACATTAATTTCTTCTTCCTCATCAGAAGTAACTTTCCATCTAAATTCTAATTGTTTATTATCAGCTCTATATTTCAATTCCTTATAATGTGTTCTAGCAAAAAACAAAGCTTTATTTCCCAACAATTTTGCAATATTTGAATGTTCTCTTGAATGCCCAAAAGGATCAATTTGCCAAGCAACCCTTGGTCTACCACAATTTCCATAAGTTGAATTTAAAAGTGCCAAACCAGTAGAATATTGGGAAATAATATCTATATAATGAGTTGTTGCCTAATTTTTTAAATAAAAATTATTTTCCTATAATTCTTCCTCTCTCCTCTACCTCATCAGGTTGTGTCCAACCTCCACCAATTATTTCCATTTGTCCACTTTCCACAATTAAATGCCTTAATTTTTCTTTTTGTTCATTATTATGATCTAAAAGCCATCGATGGAGAAATCCAGCCTCTGCATAGCAAAAACGCCTAGAGGGATTTTTAAGCAATTCATCAATAACTGTATTTAAAATATATTGAACACCAACAGGTACAAGTCTAGGACGAGCTTTAAAAGTATTTATTTGTTCAAGTATTTTAGTAAATAAATACCTCCCGTATAATAATCATCAACTGTTTTAATCCACCCCATATCATCGTGACTGTGAAAAATATTTTGAAGATGGGAAAAATATTTATAAAAATAAAAAGATACGAATGTGGAACAAGATGAACATTAATTATATTTAGCGAGTCTGACCATTCTGGACAATTCTAAAATAAATATAGTCGGACCTCAATTAAAATTTTTAAAATTTGTTTGGCCTATATAATCAATGTTATATTTAACAACTTCCTTATAAGATATAATTATTTTAGGTCTGTACATAAAACGGAGGTCCAATTGTATTATTTAATTAATATTATTTAAATAATAATTAAAATACTTATTAGTAAAATGAAAAAAAACTTACATCCCAAGCACATTTTTCTGATTTAACATTGAAGAATAATAATAGTAAAATAAATAATAATATAGAAAACATTTTAATTATTCTTATTATTAATTATTAAAATTTAAATTAATTATAAATTTAGAAAAAAAATAAAATTTTATTCAAAAATAATATTTTTACCAGAATAATATTCATAAAAATAAAATGATTTGGTAATTTATATTTATTGCCTTAGGTATTCTTTGCGACCTAGAAATTTTGTTAAACTTTAATTACAATTTTTAATTTTACTGTTACAAAATAAGTGTTTTTTGATGAAAATTAAATTTAAATAAAACAATTTTAGAGAGAAAAATTTTATTTTATATTTCAACGTGTCAGAGAACAAGTTTTCTTTGAATTTATTCCATTTAAATATTTGAATAAAAAAATTTTTTTACGATAATTGTTAAAATATTAATAAGAGAAACAAATTTTTATGCCCATGATTTAAATATTTTATCTCAACTCCAAAATTGTTTTCCCCTCATCGAATAAATTTTCCATGCTTCTATCATCTTACCGCCTTTACTAGTTGTCCCATCTCCCTTATCATCTTCCGTCTTAGATGCCTAGGGAGTTCAGGGGCATTTTATAAATATCGAACCAGAATAATATGACATGTAAATTATTTAAAAATATTTAATTAAAATAATTCTTTTTTTTTATTTAAAGTTTAAAAAAGAGAAAAGTAATATATTTATTTTGTTTTAAAAATCAATTAAACCTTCGATCTTTATAAATATTTTGTCAGTAAACGATAAATAAAAGAGAATTAATGAAAAATGGCTTTTGTTCTATTTTCTTTAATGGAACAAAGAAATAAATATATAAAGCTTATAATTAATCTTATAAATTTAAAATAAAATAAAAATGTTTTAAAAATTGGAAAGTTTCCCACAAGAATATCTTTCTTATCAATATCGTTGCCTGATTAAATAATCCGACTTTCTTTTGAAACTTCTGAGAAATAAAATCAAAACGAAGTATTAAGTTAATTTTTGTTTGATTTTTTTGAAAATATATTTTAAATTTATTTTAATTATTTATTTTTGATATTGTTGCAAATAAATTAAATTAGGTATAAATGAAAAAAGAACCTATATTGTAAGCATAACAATAATGCTTTTGACTTAAAGTAAGTCATAAATAACAAATTTTTATATATTTTTTGGAAATTTTTTTAAAGTAAAATCTCACTCAAACCACGATTAAATTAACGCCAATGCATCTGAAATTAATTTAACACCCTGTACTACTCCAATCGTCGGGGTTAAATTTATTTGATTAAAACTTTAAGATTTATCAAAAATTTATTATACCCTTTTTAAATGTATAATAAAATAATAAAGATTTATACTCGTCAAAGAAATGAATAAAATATATATTATAGTGAGATAGAATTAGTGCCATTGTTTTTGCTATACTACAAATAGCTTTTACCAGATCGTTAAATATAGATTAAAGAAAATATGGAATGAGGTGTTTGGTTGTAAATATTGTACTCAAATTATTATACAATAAAAAATTTTTGCTCGATTAAATCAGAAAACTTTATATATTTTAATGGCTAATTAACTAAATCTTATAAAAAATCTTTAAAAATTTATATATTTTTATACATAATTCTCTTCCTAAAAGCAAAAATTTTAAACAAACACACAAACACAAAAAGTTTTAAATAAAGAAAATCAGAGGAAGTGATACATTTTAAAAAATATTTTTAAAAATTTAAAAAAGTCTTTAATACAAATTAATTTATCTAAAGAGCAAAAGAAATATATAATAGACCAGTAAAAATATATATATTTACGTAAAATTAAAATACATATAATAATAATATAATATATTCCCAATATATATATCACAAAAAATATTTTCTAATTCTCGTATATGAAATAAATTTTTGGTACTTTTCGATTATACAACCTTTCCTTAAATTAATCAGATCTTATTGGTGTCAAAGTGTGTGGATTATGAATATGAAGATGGATTTTGAACACCCTTTTTCGTCTCCGGGGCTAAGCTAAATTTTAGGATAAAATTTTGTTTTTGCAATTTATACTCGTTTGAAGCAGTAAAACAGTAAAATTAATTTAAGAGAGTATAATCGAAAAGTACCAAATTGTCTAATAAAAAAATATAATATATATCAATCGCCGGTTACTGACAAAATTTAAAAATAATTAATAAACTCGTGTGTGGTCACAAATGTTGCGTTGTTTTCAACGGGAAAATACATAATTAAAGAAAGCAAAAAAGGAAATAATAATAAAATGATGAAATGAGTAAAATATATTGAAATAAAATTAAAGATGAATAAAATATAGAAGTTGGATAAAATTTTAGAAAAAATAAAGAAAACTTATTATTATTATTCAAATATATACTTCTAATTATTTTTAAGGAATTGTGTTTGAATACATAAAAAACTCTCAAATTTCAAATTTATTTTCTAAAAAAAATATATATGGTTACATATTTATATAAACACAAAATATTTGAGTTACATATAATTATTAAAAATCCATTTCGGAAACAAAAAGAGGTGTGTGTTGTTTGGGATAAATATTTAATACAGAAAAAGGAAAAAAGGGACGGAAGCCAATTTTGAAAGAAAAGAAAAAATGAGGAGAATATTTATTTATAAATATATATTTTTTGGCTATATTTAATAATAAAAAATCTATTTATATATTTATTTATTTTTAATAAAAGTCAAGCACTGCTAATTGTTGTAGCAGAGGAGGGAGTTGTTTTAGAAATTGTTGTTGTTGTTGTGGATGTTGGGGAAATAATAACATTTGAATGAAGAATTTTAGGTGAAGAAGAATTTTTATTTTCTTCTTCTTCTTCCTCCTTTTTTTCTTCTTCTTTTTTCAAATTTTCCTCAATTTTTATTTTTTTAGGTTTACATTCCCCTTCATCTTCTTCTTCCTCCTCCTTCTCTTTTTCTTCTTTTTGTTCTTTAGATGTTGTTTCTGTTGGCTCTAATTTAATTTTTGAATCTTCTTTTGTTTTTATTCGGAAGAATTCTTGGAATAGAGAGCCTTCTGCCTGCTTTTTGTTAATTTTGTCTGGAGGGAATAAATCTGGAACTTTTTTGGTTACATCCTTCAACAGACTAAACGCTTCATCAAGCTTTAAAAAAGAAAAATTTAATTTTCAATTCTTTCAAATTCAAATAAATTACCGTTTCATATATAATTTTTGCCTCATCTGGGCCATAAGCAGATTCAACATATCTACAAAAATAATTATAAATTCACACTTTCATATTTTATTCAAACCTTCTCAACAATTGTTTATGATTGTGATAATGTTTATCTGCTAAAGTCCGGTCTTCAGCACTTAAATCAGTATCCGCATAATGACTGAACAATACAACAACAATAATCTAATAATTAAATATTTTGATAGTTAGGGGACAAAAAATAATTAAATTACCAAATTATTAGCAACTTGATCTGATTTTAATTTTGGATGAAGTTTTTTGTAAAAACTTTAAAAGAAAAAAATATTTAATTTAATTCAAAAATTAAATTAATTTACTCCATAACACGACTTTTTTGCATATCATCATTTAATCTATCAAAAATGTCAATTCTGCAACGAATATCTCTATTTAAAAGAGGACTTTTCCAACAACGATTTTCTGAATCCAAACGAGAAGCTCTACAAAAGATTATTTTGATTTTAAATTTTGTTTAAGTCTATATACCCTCTAAGTGTCAACAAATCAATCATTGCTGCTTTCAGGAGAGAAAATTTACCACTATTACTAAATTCCGCAAAAGACGGCAATTTCTTTGCCATTTTAACTAAACGTCTCATCATCCTTTAAAATTAAATAAAATTTAATTTTGTATTGATATATTATTTATAGTATTTTGAGAGTTTTCAGTAGCAGTTCAATGCCTTTGAAATTTTAATTTTACTCGTACTTTATAAGACCTCTATTTTTTCTTATTTAGTACAAAGGCATAAGCTGCGATTTCGAATTTTAGCACGAGATTCGATATAGAGTGACACAAGCATAATCATAAAAAATATAGAAATCTCATTTATACTCTTGAAATTTTTTAATTTTGCTTTGTTCAAGCTATCTCTTTAAGTAATCCCTGTAAATCCTGGAGTTTATTTTATTGTTTCATATTTTATTTATGCTCAATAATGGGAAAAATTGATCATTTCTTATATAAATATCAACATACATATCCAACAAACACATCATATCATCAGGACTTTGTGGTTGTTCTTTAGTCATTATACCCAAAAGTTTGGAATTCTTCAAAAATTCATTTTTCAATTCTTCATCCATACTATAAAAATGAATTTTTTAGAAAATTTCTAAGTAAAGAATTACCTCGAAAATGCTGATTTAACATAATTTAAGTCATTTTGTTCTTTAGAGTTTAATTGGTAATTCCTCAAATCAGTATAAACTAAAGAAGAATTTCCACTAATAGAATTAGAACGGCTAAGGGGAGAACTTCTTTCTTCAATTTTAATTGGATTTGGAGATAATGATTGTTGTAAATTATTTCCATCTGGAGGCGAATTCGAAATACCCAATTCGTCTCTAATTGTTTTATTAATCCTCATACTCATTAAACGTTCACGTGTGTTTGCATCCATTTCCATTAAAGTTTTAACTTCATTGTTGTTTGTCCCATTATTTGAAGGAGTTAAAGATGATCCATTATTTGACACTTGATTATTGTTAACATTATTAGAAGCTAAAAAATTAACATTTTTAAATATAAATTTTGTATTTATTCTACCATTTTTAGCGGCAGCTACAGCGGCTGCTGCAGCTTCCACCAAATTTTTTGGAATTGCTGAGGAATTTGTATTGGAATTAAATCCAGATAAATTGGAAGATATATTTGTATTTGTAACGTTATTGTTTCCATAAAGTCTAGCCAATATTGAAGCAGAATGTCCATTTCCAATATCTCCATTTTTAACTATTTGTGGACTAACAATTCCTTGTGATTGTTGACCTAATAACATTAATCTTTGACATTGTTCAACAAATGGAGAGACTGCAGCAACAGGAGATTGTTGATTTTGTTGTTGTTGTTGTTGAGCTGCAGCAGCAGATGCCAGAGAAATTAAACCGTCACTAGATTTTCTCAAAACGGCAGCAGCTTGTTGAAGCTGCGCTTTTTTCAATAATTGTTGTTGGGCTAAACGCAAAACTTGTGGATCATATCTTTGTTCGACATCTATAGGATGAGGATTTTGAAGTTGAGGCAAAATGGAAGGAGGTGAGTGAGTTCCAGTACTCGGAGAAGCCTGCAAAAATATTCAATTAGCTAATTTTGACCATAAAAATATTTTTAATGTTAAAATAATATCAGCTACTATTTCTTATACTTAATCTATATTCACTTTATTATCCAAAGATACTCCTCCACAAGCAAACAAATTTTGTTTTCCACCATAATCGGGACTGTTGCCCAAACCAAATGTTGCCAAAGGACTTGAATCCAATCCACTTGACAGAACAGAAGAAGCACCCGTAGGAGAATTTTTTGGTGATCCAGCCAGTTTTGTAATAGCTGCAGCAGCTGCAAGCAAGGGAGAATTCAGGGGAGAATGTGATTGGCCTTGAGTTTGATTGTGAAGTATACTAGCTGCTGCCATTGCAGCAACAGCATTAATAGAGGATTGTGGAGGAGGTGGAGTTTGTTGTTGTTGTTGAGTATGATGGAAAAACTGAAAGAAAAACAAAAATAATTAATGAAAAATAATTGAGAAAATTACTTGTTGCTGTGGAGGAGAGAAGGGATTAAGCCCTCCATTTCCATTCCCAACGTATGGAGTGACTGGAGCAACGGAACCAGGCATAGAACCTTCCCCAACGCTTGAAGGGGTATTTGGTTGTTGATTTCCATCTTTACCCATTTGATTTTTAACACGAGCATTTTTCCGCCTTCTTAACTGATCCTCACTTAAAATCCATTCTTTTTTCATTCCAACCATAAAACATTTGCGAAGACGACATTTTTGACAAAATCTGAAGATTTAATATTTTTAAAGGTAAATAATCCTATTCTTCACCTTCTACTAACAGCATTAATTTCACAATCATTAGAATATGGACATTTAAACTCTTTTGGACGTAAAGCATTTCGCCGGAAGAATGCTTTACAAGATTCACAACTAAATAACGAATATTTTAATCCAAAAACCTATCAAAACACACAAATACCTAATAACATTAAAATTATATCCAGTAGCAGAATCCCCACAAACTCTACAAGTTTTCATTCTTCCGGCAGCTCCATTCCCATCCTGACAATTTCCATCATCCTCCATAGGTTGATTCTGTGTTTCCATTATTTGATATTGTTGCTGTTGTAATTGTTGTTGTTGTTGTTGCTGTCTTTCAAGTAAAGAAGGTGGAGATTGGCCTTGGCATATTGGAGTTTTTGGCCCTCCAATATTTCCCCCATTCCCACCCATTGAGGCAATCATCATTGCAATATTTGCAGATGCAGTAGAAGAATTTAGTTGTGGTTGTTGGGAGTGATTATTGTTATTAGATGATGATTCTTCTTCAGTGTTTCCCTCCTGAAGAGAAATTATTTTAAAATTTTAAAATTGAAAATAAAAAGTTTTTTATATCGAATATGTTGAAAATGTGTTTTATTATATTTTTATTTAAAAATAAAAATATGATATAAAATCAAAATATTCATAATGCTTATATTTTTAACATAAAGTGTGAACAAATATTTATAAAGATATGTTGCTATTAAATGTTTTGCTTTAAAAATATATATAAATGTTTTTAACCAAGTTTAATATCTCTAAAAAAAGGTGTTCTCTTCTCAATTTAGAAAATGTTTGTGTACTTTTATTTATTTTAATATATTTATTTCCTTTCTTGATTTAGGAGAAAAAATTGTTTTTTTTTTGTAGAATTTTAAACATATGAACGGAAAATAAATAGAAAAAAATGTTGCAGATACGTGTAAAGATTAGATGATAGAGGGAGAGAAAAAAGTGATTATTTATATAATATTTAATTAATTGATAATTTTATTAATAAATTTATCTTTTTGGAATTAAATGTTTAATCGGTACTTATCGGTTACACGCCACAAACTGAGTGCCATCCGAATTTGATCTGCTTTAACTTTCTATAATATAAAAAAGGCACCGCTTATTATCGAGGGCTTATCAAGGTCTTTCGAATGATATAAGATTTACTTGAATTGTATCAAACATCAAAAAGTTAAAGCCGATCAAATTCGGCTGGCACTCAGTTTGTGGGCGTATAACCGATAAGTACCGTTTAATCAATTAATGAGGAATAACTCCAGAAATTATTGTGTTTTGCTTTAATAAAATGATTTTTTAATTAATAATTTTATTTGGCAAAATTTAAAAATAGAAAACAAAAGGAAGGAAAGAAAAATAAATTTTAGAGGAAATAAGGCGGTAAAAGATTAAAGAAAATTTAAATTAACTTTAATAAAGAGGTGGCACTTCCTTTATGAGTAAAAAAATAAATGTTTATTTGATTATGTAAACATATCACTATGAAGGGATTTAAAGGGGGGACGGCACTGTTAAAAACCTCTCTACTGTTATAGCTATTACTATCATCCCCATCATCCCCTCTAAAATGGATATATAGAGAAGTGAGGGATATAGAAAATTAAAAGGGGAAAGATAAGGTAATTGTGAGGAGACAGTCTTTATTTTAAATAGAGAATGAGTCTGATTAGAGAAAAAGAGGATATTATTTGCTTTGTTGGCTTTTTAAGGGAGTGAAGAGGGGGGGGGGGATTGATAGCAGATTTTGGGCAATTTAGAATGGAAATCGACGAAAAGGCAAGGCAAAAAGTTTTGGGGAAGGGATGTGGAAAAAATAAATTAGAGAATTTAAATGATGGTTATGCTTAAATAAAAATATGAACGATAAAAAGTAAAATCCGTAAGCGGTTTAGGGGCAAATGCGCAAACAGTAGAGGAGAGGAGAGAAAACTTACGGAGAGAGTTAAATGAATAAAAATAAATAAAAAAAGGTTCGGGATTCATTTATAGAATATTTATAGAGAATGAGGTAAAAAAAGGTGAATAAACAGAAAATAGGTTTATCACTTAATATTATATATTAATTAGTTTTTAAAAGAAGTTTTTTTAAAGGTTTTTTTTTTGTTTAATAATTAATTTATCTTGAAAACAAAAAAATATAAAAAATCTTTTAATTGAAGGGAAGACTTAATAAATTAATTAAAAAGATTTAATTAACAATTTAAATGAGGGAGGGGAGGTAATAATTCAGACAAGTCAACGATGTAAAAAAATGGACTAGATGTTGAGAAGGCCACGACAAATTGTCTAGAAAGTCTGAAAAAATACTTGAAAAAACTTTAAAAAATTTGCTTTTTAATGGTAGGAAGATAAAGATAAGCGAAGAAATATATGTAGATTAATAATTAGAAAAAGACAAAAAACATTGATTGATAGATACATTATAAGATTTGGAATCATTATAAGATCATCATGCCAAATCTTTCAATTTCCAAAAGAAAATCTAACTTTTCAATTCAAATAAAAAAGTTAGTCAAAGTCTCTCTAACAATTACACCTTATCCCACTCCTTAAAATTAATTAATTGAATAAAGAGGAGAAACACAAGGAAATCATATGCCGATTATTTTGCCAACCTTGACAATGTTTTTTAAGGCAAATTGATTAAAGATGATTGGCGGCATTTGCCTTTTTATCTATTTTAAATAAGATGTCTGAATTAAAAAAAATAATTGCGAAATAATGAGAAAATTTAAAATGTTAAAATAGAAAAAGTCGGGGAAAATTAAAAACTGTAAAAGTCTCCAATAAATAAAAGTCTCTAATACATCACTAATAATTAAAGCTCTGTTTATATTGTAAAGTATATATGTAGCTATTTAATTCCTGAGGATATGCATGAGGCGGCGTAGTGTAATGGATAAAAACTCGGCCCGATCAACTGAAGATGATGGTTCGCTCCCACTGCCGAAATACTCTTGTGTTAGATGAACACAGGAGAGTATTAAATGGCATCCAAAAAATCCTTAAAGAAACATTCTAAACTCGGATGTTTCTTTAAGGACTTTTTCTTTAAGTTAGCCCAGCGTCAGTTAAGCGTTATTATATTTATTTTAATTCCAAATTTTTGATAAATGAAGTAAATGTATTATTTAAAAATTAAACAAAGCTTTCTATAATAAATTAGATAAACTTAGAAATTACTTTTTGGAATAATGCCAAAAATGAGGGAATTTACTCCAAATTGTTCTTCTTACTTTTTAACATTAAAAAGGAAATATTGCGTATATAAATGCACCCAAATGATAAAAAAAGTTTTTATTTATTTTTAAAAATAAAAAAGTTAAAATGTGAATAGGTGAAGAAGAAAAAAGAATAAAAGGATGAGGGGAAAATAAATAAAAATGAGGGGAAAGAGGAGAGAGAGAATAATAGAGGGGGAAAGGAAAAAAGAAAATATTATTTGCCAGGCTTTTAATGCCACGTGGATTCTAACACTCAATTACTCGTTTAAAGACTTCTAAACACGGATGCTTCTCAAAAAACTGTTAGACTTTAATTTTTGAAAGTCTGAAAATAATAATTAAAATATTCAAGTCGAAAGGAAAAAAGAATTGAAAATGTCAAACAATGAGGAATATAAAATTAAAAATGTTAAAAGATCAAAAAATTAATTATTAATATCAAAATTATTAAGAATTATAAATAAAATAAAACGAAAATAAAACTTAATTTTTAACACGTGAAAATTAACTATATTAAAGTATTTATTTTTATATTAAAGTTAGTAACATTTAATATAAAAACTGGGAAAAATTTCGGAATACTAAACAGAACGCAAAATGGTCAAACTATATGTCATTCGAAAGAGCTCGTCGAGTTGAGTCGAATGGTGAAAAAATTTTCGTGCGGACTCATACAGGGGCTGAGATATAGGCCCCCGAAAATCGAAAAACCATAGGGGGGACCAAGCACTTTTTTGGGGTAAAAAATTCGAATATGCAAATTATACCTCATTCGAAAGAGCTCCTCGAGCTGAGTCGAATGACACCAAAATCATCGTGATTGGACAAGTTTGGACAAAGTTACAATAGAAAAACAAACAACATAAACCTATGGAGCGTAGGCGAGGCGCTTGTGCAAAACCCCGCGCTTCGCGCGGGGTTTTGCGGCACGCGCCTCGCGGGGAGTCTACGGGCGCTGGGTCTGGGCTCGTAACATAAACCTATTCCTATCTCCCTTGCTCTGGACGTATTTGGGGCCTCCGTAGCAGCAAAAATCTCCACAGATGCCATAGGTAAGGAGCTAAAATAAAAGATCATAACTTTGTCAAATCTTGTCCGATTTCGTTGATTTTGGTGTCATTCGACTCAGCTCGACGAGCTCTTTCGAATGAGGTATAATTTGCCTTTTCGAATTTTTTACCCCAAAAAAGTGCTTGGTCCCCCCTATGGTTTTTCGATTTTCGGGGGCCTATATCTCAGCCCCTGTATGAGTCCGCACGAAAATTTTTTCACCGTTCGACTCAACTCGACGAGCTCTTTCGAATGACATATAGTTTGACCCATTTGCGTTCTGTTTAGTATTCCGAAATTATACCAAAAACTGAAATAAAAAAGAATTAGAAAAAAAAAGAACAAAAAAAGAATATAAAATAAATGTAATAAATACTCCTTAATTTCTTTAAAAAAATCCAAATTTAGCAACAAAAATATTTTATAGTTTGCCAAGTTTTTGTAAATATAAAAACTTAACAAAAAGACACATATTTAATATACAACAAAGGAAAAAAACTTGAGAATATAAATTTCTAAAAATAAAAAATTAAAAAAATTTTTAATGAATGATTAGTTAGAGGAAGGGGGGAGAGGGGAGGGGGGAAGAAATAGATTGATTGATCAATGGAGGGAAGACGAAAATGATTGGAAGTCTCTCATGTGCCTTTAATTATATATTGTTCCAAAATAGAATGTTTAACAGAGGATAAGAGGAAATAAGTTTAATAAAAAAAGATCTAAAGAATTTTTTATATTTTTAAGGAACAAAGAAAATATTTGAAAGATTACGTACCGTATTTTCTCGATTAATTCCCCTGGGGAATTATTTTTCCAACCCTTCCTTAGCATGGGGAATTAATCGAAAGAGGGGAATTATTCGAGTTTTGGCATTTGAACGTGCAGTAGGTGTCTGGAATTTTGAAAATTGCTCGTACCCGTACAGGCATTATTTTTTTCTCGTACTCTTACTCGAGTATGAGTACGAATACGAATTTGGGTACGAGCTTCCAAACATCGATTGTAACCAAGAAATGCTTGATAAATACTCGATTTTCAAGATAAATCGGAATTATTAAAATATAGATTAAAAAAGTATGTACATAAAATTAAATAGAAGCAATTCATTAAAAGAAAAGTCTAGAAAATAATTAATAAAAAAATAATTTGAAATAAAATTTTGAATTTAAAAAATGTATTTATTAATATTTTATTAAAAATTAATTGAAAACGAAACAATTAGAAAATACAAATAAATAATCTTTTTAATCTTGTATAGTTTTAATGATGTGAAATTTAAATACAAATTAAAATAATTAACAAGGAATAATTAATTCTTTACAGACAATTTAAAAATTAGCGTAGTGGAAAATTAACAAGAAATTTAAAAAAGTTTAAAAAAAAGTACTTTAAAAAGATTTTAATTTTTTTCTAAAATTGAGGGTGGTAGAAAAATTATTTTATTATTTTTTAAATGTAAATTTGATATAATTCAAAGAAATAAATTTTTTTGAAAAAAATAAATGCATAAAAATATTACCAAAAATAGAAATTAAAAAATATTTAAAATCAGAATTTGTAATTTAAATGTTTGCCAAAATTATTCTAAAATTGAAGATTTTTAAAAGAATTGGACACAACTGGTTTTGAATCCGAAATTTTTGATACTTTTGTCAAAAATTAACAGTTTTATTTAATTTTAAAATTTTAAAACTGAAAATTGATGAAAATAAGTAATCTTTTTAAAAAATTCCCCAAAATAATACAGGTATTTGATAAAACTCAAAATCAAACACCGGTTTTAATAAGGATAAACAAAAATCGAGGGTACCGGTTAATAACCTGTTGGGTCCAACCTTAAGTTTTAATTTAAAAAATTTTGGCAAAATCATAATTATATGTTAATGGAAAAAATAATGAATTAAAAAGAGATTTTGAGACTTAAATTAAATATATAAATGTAATTTTAAAATAATTAAAATTTAGAAAAAAAAGAAAGGAAATAAAATTAAGTATGTATATACATACTAAAAATAATTTTAAACTAATTAAATTTAATTGTAAGGTTTAGTAATTGAAATAATGTATCAAAAATTGTTTTAATGTTCCCATGGCAAAAAATATTTAATTTAAATTTTAAAGGCTAGTTAAATTTAAAATTAAATAAAAAGTTGGCTTTTTTATAAAGAAATTCTTGATTTAAAATAATTGAGGAATTAATTAATGAATATTTAATTAAAGAAGAATAACTTGAAAAAGTAAAATAAACTAATAAAAATTTAAATAAAAATTTGCTAAAAATAAATTAATAAATATAAAAATAAAGTTTTAGGTACTTAGAAAAAAAAATTTTTTTGCAGAAGACTTTAATAAAATAAAATCAGAACAGTTAAGTAAATAATTAAATATTAATTTAATTTAAAAGTTAGAGAGAAATAAATTAAAAGCTAAAATTGGAAAAATAAAATGATTGTTTGAATAAAAATATAAAAAAGTATGTGGATGTACTTTAAAAAAAAGATTTTTTAAATATTCGTTAAGTTTATGTTTTAAATATATTGCCAAATATATTTTAATTTAAAAATAAAAATTATTTTTTGGCATTAAAAATTAGGTATAAATATTTAATAGAAAATATATTTTAAATAGATTTTATTTAACATTTTCTTCAAAAATGTTAAAAAATAATTAACTATAAATTAATTTAAAAAATGTCATAATTTTATTTTAAAATAAATAGCTAATTAATTAACAAAAAATTATTTTTATAGTAATTAATTAAATATAAAAATGTTTCTCTTTTTTTCTAATTTAACATTTAAAAAAAGATTTTTTAAAGAATAATTAATTATAAAGGTAAAACATGCAATTTATTTGTTGAGGTAAATTATTAAATAATTATATTAAAATGTCAACAAAAACAGAAAAATATTAAAAATAAAAGTTTAATAAAAAAATAAAAATAAAAAAAAAATCTAAAAATAAATGCTAAATAATTATTAAAAATTTAAACCAAAAATTAAATAAAAAAATATTTTTCTAAGAAAAAACTTTATAAAGAATATAAAAAAATAAAACAATGAAAACAGAAAACCAAATAATATAAACTAAAATGGGTATATATATATATTATTTTAAGAAGTTTACAAAAAGAAATACCAGAAGAAAATTATTTTAAAAAATAATTAAAAGGAATGTTAATTAGTAGAAGAATAATTAGCAGAAAAGTAAAAATAAATATTATTTAATAATATAAATAAAATATATTGTTTATTATTAAATGTCAGAAGAAAATTAGGTATGTAGAAATAAAAAGAATTGTTAATTAATAAATTAATAATTAGCAGTAAAGTGTAGGATAATGTAAAATTGAAAAAAAAATAAAAACTAAATTGGAATTTTTAATTTGAATTTTAAGAAAGATATTCCTTATAAAATTACCAGATATTTTATAGCAAAATTATTTTAGTTGACAATTTTAATTTTAATTTATTTTTGTTAATTTAATCAAAAAATAATTTCTTTTTTTAATCAAAAAGATGTCTGAAACAGGAATTCTTAAATTTAATTTAAAATAATTTTTGCACCAAAAAATGTATTGAGCCAAAAAAGGTTGTAAAATAATTAAATATATAATTTAAATTAAATTTTTTTTTGTTTATTTTTAATTAATATAAAAATAGATAAAAAGAGAACGTCGTTTGTTAAAAAATATTTTTGGAAATTTTTAAAAATTATTTTTTAAATTTATTTTTTAAAATATTTTTTTAATTAAAAAATTAACGGAAATAATTAATTTTGAAAAATAATTAAAATATTAAATTAAATAAAAGTAACATTTTAAGATAAAAAACGTTAAGTTAAAAAGGAAAAAAAATTGAAATAAATCCCACTCTTAATTAAAAAAGGAAGTGTAGAAAAAGGGGATAAAATGAAGAAAAAAAATATAAAAAATGTAAAGCCTAAAAAAGGAAACAAAAAGTAAAAAAGAAAAGAAAGGCCAAAGATTAGTTTAAAACGTAGAAGATTTGGTTATTATTTATTTATGTACGTTTTTGGGAATTCTTCCAATTTGTCAAAACCAAAAAAAGGAATGGAAGGAAAAAAGTCTAAAAAATATTTTTTAGAAGATTTTTTTATAAATTAGAAAAATAGAAAATTTAAAAAAAGCAAAGGAGATATGTATGTATGTATACCGTATATCCTTAAATAACTACCCTGGGTAATTATTGTTTCGACCTTCCGTTGGAGGGAGTAATTAATTAAGGGAGGGCAATTATATGAGGTTTGAAATTTGAACGTGTTTTAGGGCAATTGATGGGGGAGGGGGGGGAATTATTGTTTCAATCTATCGCTGGAGGGGGTAATTAATGGAAGTGGGGTAACTAGTTAGGGTAATTAATACAGGTTATACGATAAATAAATCTAAAAATTATTAAATTAGAATAAAAGAATTAAAAAAAATTTAAAAAAAAATTAATGATAAAAAAAATAATTAAAAAATAACATAGATAATTTAACATTTTCCAAGAATTTTTTAGAAGGAATTAGAGGATGAATAAAATAAATATATTTATTTTTCAAAGATGAGTAAAAAACATCTTTTTTTCTTAAAAAAGATGTGAATAATAATGGCAACAATGACAAGAAAAAAATAGGAATTAGATGACGGATGTTGAAAAGGGGAAGAATAAATGTGAAGGAAAGAGGGGGTCTGGAATACCAAAATTGGCTTAGAAAAAAACAAAGAAAAGGTTGAGGAGATGAATTAAAAAAACCAAAAAAGAGGAAGGAAAAAAATTTTTTTAATAAAAAGCTTTGCAGGCGGCGGAAACGGAAATATATAAGGAGAAATTAGAGAAGAATTTTTAAGCATAATTTCAATTTTCTCTCATACCCACATGTCTAAATTTAAATATTTTTTAAAAATAGATTCTGTTCTTTGTTAAAAAGAAGATAACTTTAAATATGTAAATGTCTTTCCAGAGAAATAAAAAAAGGAAATATTTGGCTTTGGCCAAAAACCAAAAAAAAAAGAAGAGAAAAAGGAGAACCTTTAAATATAAAATTTAAAGTAAAAATCCTATAATTAATTCTAAAAAAGGAAAAAGAAACGTAATACGTGAAAGTTGCTAGAAAATTAAGGAGATATATGTAATATATATTTATTTATGCTAAAATTAGAAAATAATAGATAGTTTCTTTGTTTCATTTATATTTTACTTTGTTGATAAAATATCAAATAAAAAGTATAAATTAAAAAATAATTGAAAGTTTAATAAAAATTATTCATCAAAGTGTCTTTAAATTGGCTTAAAAATTTTTTAGTAAATTAAGGATTATAAAGAAATTCAATAAAAAGTATAAAGAGTATTGAAGAAAGTTTAGCTTTTCTTCCCATTTTCGATGGGAAATTCGAAAATAGGTTTGTAAAATGAAGTAGAAAAAGAAAGATCTGATTAATTTGTCATTATATCTGGTTAGGATAATAAAAGAGACAAACTCTTGCTACAAAAATATTTACATATTTAGACTGTCTGTTAATTAAATTAAAATAGAAATTCTAAAAATAAATTTAATTTAAATACAAAAATTAATTTAAAATATACATTTTTATTTTAAATTATTTAAATACAAAAATAGAAATAAACATTTTACTAATTTTTTTTTTAAAATACATATTTATTTTTGAAATATTTAAAGATATCTTAAAAGGAAATTTTTTGAAATGTTTCTTTTAAGGAAAGAAAAAATTTTGTAAATACAAATTAGTAGAGGTTTTTAATAAAAATAGAAGTTAATAATTAAAATATTCTTTTTTTAGAATTAATAATTAAATATATTTTTTGGAAATAAAATTTATATAATAAATTATTAAATTAAACCACTAAAACTATAAATATAGAACTACGGTAAAAATGGGAGAAGCCAAAAATAAAATGGAAGTTTTTTGAAAGAAGGAATTTATGTTTAATTTATTTAAATGTCACCAACCGTTTTAAGCAAAACACTGTTACAAAGCTGCTCATTTGCAGGAGTTAAAGGTTGTTGAACTGAAAAAGGACCCAAACTGCAAGGAGAATCAACCATTTTCTCGATAACAGATACACAACTACTATTTTCCCCATACATTGTTGTATTCCTTCTATGGAGTGTTTTTCCAGCAAGTTCCTCTTTCGGTCGTCGACGTCGAATTCGGCGAACGTTCTGTGCTTGTTGTTCATTTTTTGCTGCTGAAAATACTGAAAATTTAGTAAAATAAAAATAGATTTTCGGAGCAGTTCAACTGTTTATTGGTAAAAAAAAGTTATGATCTATAAAGAACTTTTTCAAGAAAATCTAATTTTTCGGCACTTTATCAATCATAACTTTTTTTTACCTCTCGGTCAAGAATTTTGATTTTTTGGTATATTGTAGCCTATTTAATGCCCTATCCAATGGTACCAAGAGAAAAGAAGGTGACAATCACTTCATAAGTTATAGGGTCCGGGACTTAGTTGAGTCGGGACTCCATTGAGGTGTACCGTAAATTTTTAACTTAAATTAGAATTAAGTACCAAAAAATTAAGTCTAATTTTAATTTTAAAAATCCTAAAAGTCTCTCTAAACAAAACTTATAAACTAAAAACGTTGAATAAAAAAAATCATAATAACCAGTATCAACTGAATTTATTTGTGCCTCATCTTGCTGTTGATTTTGGCTGCCAACTGAAGATGAGGAAGAAGCAAGACAATTAGAAGTATCCATTCCAATAGGATTAAATACTGAGGTATTTGCAGAGCATTCTCCATTATTAGTTGCTTGCAATACATTTGTAGCAGCTGCAGCAATAGCAGACAATTGTTCGAGAGTAGGGGCACCAACAAAGGAAGTGGAGGCATCTGTAGTAGGATTTGTTAATGTCTGTTCAACAGCCGTGGAGAGAGGAGGGAGAGGGGCTAAAAATAATTCATTCAAAAATTGATATTTAAATTTTAAGAAATTTTAGAGACTTATGTAATAATAAAAACTTTTTTTGTATACCTTGTCCTTCCTGAATTTGCTGTTGGGCCTGTTTCTCTTGAAAAAGAATAGACGCAGGCGAATTTAAATGAACTGCTTGTTGTTGTTGTTGTTGCTGATGTTTTGCTAAGGCCATAGCAGCGGCCGTTAATTGTTGCTGCTGAGAAGGAGGAAAAGGAAAGGGAGGAATTAATGGTTGTTGACTGGCAGCAAAAGTATCCATTATTTGGGCCATCTGAGCAGCATTGCTATATGCCGCAGCCTGGTCTTGGAAACGTTTGGCTAGCTCAGAAAAGTTTGTTGGTGCAGGTTGTTGTGGCTGCATTTGATGGATCTTTAAATGGTAATTATTATCACATTTTCACGATTAATTACCACCCCCTAAATTATTAATAATGCACACACTTAATTGCCATCAAATTAAGTTCAATCCTTATACCCCTTTTGTAATAATTAATCTCTCGGGCGACTAATAATTTAAAAATAATAACTATGGTACTTAATAAAGGTTAATTTAGTTAAGGTAAGATTTCAACAACTTATAATTATTCACTCGTTAATTTAATTTTTTATTTATTTACTAAAATTTTTAGTGAGATTTAAACTCGGATACGAATAAATTATGGAAATCACCTGAGGTATTTCAGTTGATCCGTTTGGACAAGTAAGCCCTAAAGAGCTATTTCTCAACAAAGACAAATGATCCAGATGGGCTAGCGCCACCGCTGCAGGAGAGCCTGGTCCAAAAGGCACAGCAGAAGAAGAGGAAGAATTGGCAGGGGAATTAGCAACGGCAAAAGCCGCAACAGCAGCAGCGGCAGAAATAGCAGAATTTGATGGTTGTGGTTGTTGAGCGGCAGCTACAGCAGCAACTTGTTGTTGTAGACAACGAGCGAATGCTGAGCCGCCAGGTGAAGGAATGGAAGAAGAATATAAAGCAGCAAGTTGAGCTTGGACAGCAGCAGCTGGAGAAAAGGGATTACATAATTGTGCTGCAGTAGAAGAACTATTTGTTGTTGCCATAGATAAAAGTTCTGGAGGGGAATTTGAAGCAGAAGTTGAATTAGTAGCAACATTTAATGCTGCGGCCAAAAGCGCGGCTGCTGAAGAGCCGTTCCCGCCATTATTAGCGGAGGATGGCGAACCTAATTGTTGAAAATCGGTGTTGATCATACAAAGAGACTGATGAAAATAATTTTCAGAAGGGGAAAAAGGAAAGAATGAAGAAGGTGGCGGTGTTGGCTGTGGAGACGACAGCGGGGCAGATTTTTGTTTGTAAAGGAGTTTGCTTGCCTGTGTAAATAAAAAAATATATAAATAATTTTTTAAAGGTTCTTGGATATATTCTGAAATATTGAGATTTTAAGTAGAAGATTTAAGAGAGCGAAAATCGAATTTTAAAAATATTAAATTCTCCTTATTTTGAATTTTAAACTTAATTTTTAAGGGAATTTAGAAAATAATTTTTTTCTTGATTACTATTTTCTATTTATTTACATTAATCACAATTTACTATATATTAAATAATTTAAATAAGAATTTTTAGTTTAAAGTAGGGAATAGAAAAAAAAGAATTTTAAAATAAAAATGAATTTCAAAATTCTGTGTACTATCAACTACTTACTTTGCTTGTTTAAACTTTCCATTAAAATTCAGAAAAAAAGGAAAAGTACAATGTGTATATATAAAAATAATTATTTTATCTGATATAAAAAATTACTGTTCCCAATCTATATTTATATTTTTTTGTAAAAAATATAAAATAAAATTAATTTTATATATTGATGGTCCCATTTAAGGGTACAAAAAAGACTTTAAACAATTAGTTATTTAGGAAAAAAATTAATATTTTATTTTATCAAATATTATAATTGTGTACTTTAAAGTATAAAAATATTTATTTATTATTTTAGAATCAAAAAAATTAATTTTTCGCTCTCTTAAACCTTTACACCATTTAAAACAAAAATATTAAAAATATTTTAAATTAAAAATTAATATCGAGTTTATTTTAATAGAATGACCCTTTTTAAAGGGTATTGAAAAATAGAATGGCGGCCATTCTATTAGAACATACCTATCGGTATTTTAAATATCCCTTTCTATTCATCGAGATCAGAAATGTGTTCCGAAAAGGAGTCCAAAATTTTTTAAAATATTTATATGAATATATATCAGGGATGGGATCTCCTCCGCTTCCATCTTCAGTTTCTTTTGCTTTCCACCTTTTTAAAATTAGGCAGATCCATCCCTGATACACATTTAAATCAACAAAATTCTTCAATTATTATTACCTTTTTTACAACCAATTTAATTTATTTTATCGTTGTTTATAAATTATTATTTAGTCTCTCATTAGTGCATATACAGCACATTTTTGTTTTTATTTATTTAAACAATTTTTGAGGTCGTTTTGCTGATAAAAATTGTTTTTTTAAATTTTTGTTTGAAAGAAATAAATTAAAAAATAAAAAGAGGTGAATATATTTAATTAATTGTGAGGAATAATTAAAAATTAATTAAATAGAGAGAGAGAGGTTGCTGTTGTTGTTGTTTAGAGTAGTTTGTTAAAAATATTTTTTAATTTTGTTGTTTTATTTATTTGAATTTTGAGTAATTTTGCGTAAAGAAATTTGTAAGTAGAAATAACGCCAAATGCTCAAAAATCAAAAAAAAATCTGAAAAAAAAAACTTTTTAAAATTAATTTTAAAATTTTCAAAAAGTGCTAAAAAACGTTAAAAATGTATATTTTAAAAGGTGATATTAAATAGGGTTCGATATTACGGGGCGGGGGCTGAGTTTACATAGAACGTAGATTCGAGCCGCAGGACGGGGAACGTGGGCTCTGACGGGGAAGGAAACCTCCCCTCATTCCCTGGGGGATTCCCTACCCCGGTGAACAGGGATCGAACCAGTGTTAAATACATAAAGGAGAATAATTAAATAACATATATCTGAGAAATCAAAGTTTAATTTTCTTAAATAACTAAAAATTATGCTTAAAAGAAATAAAAATAAGGAAATAAATCTTTTATAAAATTGCCAACAAAAATAAACAAAACAAACAATTATTTTTCATTTAAAAATATATTTGCATTTTAATATTTTTATTTGATTTTTATTTAAAAAATTGCTTTATAATTTAAATAGAAAATTTAAAAAAACTTAGAGATAACCAAAAATATAGTATGTAGTTCTTTGTAGGGGGAGCGGGGTAAAAAAGAAGTTTTTGGATTACAAGTTAATTGTTAAAATGCGAGGGAGAAAAAATGAGCGGAACATATGAAAATAAATAATTGAAGAAAAATATCTAAAAGCTTTATATAAATGTTCCGCGAATTAAAAATGAACGTTCTTATTTTTGATAGTTAAGAAAAAATTTCAATTCTTGCCTCTGGCGCAGAAAAAATAAAAGAGAGGGAATTAAAAAATTAGAGGGATTTGAAAAAAAAGAAAGTTTTTCCATTTCTTTTTAATTTTTTTTTTTAATTTTTTGTTGCGCGGCTGTCGCCATTTTTGGTCTTTTTTTGCTCTATTCAATGCTCGAATACAAAAAAGAAGTGAATATAAGAAATAAAAAATGAAAATGAAAAACTGCCTCGGGTGTGCGAACTTTTTTTTATTTAAAGAAGGGAGAGAGGGAGAGGAGGTAGAGGATAGAAAGGGAGGAAGGAGGGGGGGGGGGAAGGATTAGCTAACGCGCCAAAATCTAAAAAAAGAACCTTTAAAAACTTTCTATATCCTTTAGGCGAACGCTTTCTTCTCTCTTTTTTTTCCATTTCCTTCCTCCCTTTTTTTGGTGTTCTTCTAAATAATTTTTTTCAATTCAAATAAAGAAAAATACTAGTTCTCTCTAAAGTAGTTGCTTTTTCCATTCATTACCACCCAAAATAATGAACATATCCGCTTTTGAAAACATGTCCCTCTATTTTTCTTTTATCTTTTATTTCTCGTTTTTATTTGTCAAAATTCTTTTATAATATACCTATGTATGGGTGGTCAAAATAGTTTAGAATGCCAAAAATGTTCAAAAAATTTAATACCCCCCCCCATACTCCAAAAATAAGAAAAACCATAAAATTCTCTAAGATGACCACCAGACCTGGGCGAAACTCAAAATTTTTTTCTGACGAAACGAAACGAAACAAAATTTTTTAAAAATCGTTTCGTTAACGAAACGAAACGAAACAACCAAAATCTTACGAAACGAAACGAAACAAAACGAAACATTTTAATATTCAAAAAATTTTCAAAACTGCATTTATTTCGAAATTATTCGACCTCAAATACGTTATTAGTCGACTATGACTTATAAATGATTTAGTTATTGGTTTATTTACAACAATTGTGTCCCATAAGCCAGGCCCGTAGCAAGGAAAATTTTCGGGGAAGGGGGGGGGGGGTCAATCATTTTCGAAGCCAAATTTTTGGCGACGCTTTTTTTTAAATAAAATTGAATATTTTTCAAGTAAAATTTTATTTTAAGCGCCGCAGACGAAAAATTTTAAAATTTTGAAAGGCCGTAGGCCAAAAAATTCACCATCTTGCTCCATTGCCTACCCAAATTGTCTCCATATCTCCATTTCGAGAGGAAGGCGATATAAGCTAGTGCTTCGCCGGAAGTTCCGGTTCCAGTATTTCCGCAACTCGCAATCCGCAATTTTTAAATTATGATGCGAGTCCGGTAATAGAATTTGTCGTCGATTAAGTAATATGTATATGTGGATTAGGGAGTGGAGTATAAACGGATTTGTAGTATATAAGTAATTGCTATCTTCCTTTTTCAGCGCCGCAGGCGAAAATTTTGACAATTTGGGAAAGCCAAGAAGCCGAAATTCTTTTTTTTTCAGCGCCGCAGGCGAAAATTTTTTAAATTTTCAATAAAAGATGGTAAATTTTATAGATTTTGGCCTTAGTTTAGGCTTAAAAAATTGTTTCGTTTCGTTGAAAAATCACAGGTGTTTCGTAACGAGATATTAAATAATAAAAGGCAAAAAAAAATAAGTTGGTTGTTTCAAGTTTTTCGTGATAAAATAATAGACAAAGATTACTTAACGAATCCGAAACTGAAAAAATTTTTGAATAAAAATTTTTAAAATTTTTTGGTAAAATAAGAGAAAATTTTTAATAAAAAAATAAACAAATCGTTAATATTCAAATTATTTTTTAAATAAACAAAAAAATAATTTAAAGGTTTTATTCTCAATTTAGGGTTGTTTTGTTGGTTATTTGCGAGCCGGATGCTTTAAAGCTGTAAAAAATGGAAAATAAAATTTTGAGCGAATTTAGAAGTGTATATACATATATGTACATATATGTATATACATATAAAATAGTAGACAACAGACCTTGCGCAAAAAAGAACATAAAAACTGTCCATCCAGTCTATCCGGTTCTTTTTATGGACGATTATTTTTAAAGGAAAATAAATAAAAACGCGGCTGGTAGAAGATGAAAAGGCTGGAAAGGAAAAAGGTCGGATTACTTCCACCATCAATTTGCGGGAGAAAAAATGAACGGAAAGAGGGAACGGATTAAAAATTGAAAAAAAATTCGGTTGTATGGACTCCCGATTAGAATAAAAATGGACGAATAAAAAAACTGGATGGTCCGAAAAAAATTGTCAGATGAATTTTGTTAAATAAAAAAAAAGGGAAAAGGAAAGAGAATGAACTAAAAATAAAATGACCGATGAACAAAACACTTAAAAATAAAATTAGATCAGTAAAAGTGAACGAATGAATGAACGAACAATTCTTTTTTTTTTTAAGAAAAGAATTTTTATTTAGAAGTGGACAAACATCAAAAAACAAGAGAGAAAAGGATTGAATAATAAATTGAAAAAAAGCTGAAGATTAAATATACGATAAAAATATTTTTTTGGATTTAAATTGTTTAATTTTTAGAAAAAAATTAGAAATGCGTTAATTATTTATGAAAAAAACTTTTTTTGTTTCTATTAATATAAATTAAAGCAGACACAAAAAATGAAATCTAAATATTCTAATATGTGGCAAATTATGAAAATTCGTAAAAAATGTTTTGTGGATTAAATATTGTAGACTTGAAATTCCAAAAAATTGATTTATAAAATAATGCTAATTACGAAGATTTTCAGTCCTCAAAAATAAAACATTTAAAAATAAATATTGAAATCAGGGGCCAGCTCGCT